GAGAGAGAGAGAGAGAGAGAGAGAGAGAGAGAGAGAGAGAGAGAGAGAGAGAGGGAGAGGCCTTACAAAATCTATGAGTTGTTGATCGAGGTAGGCTATACAATCCCAGAGGACGTTGCCGTGAGGTGTTTGGAGGAGGAGGGCGCGTTGTCCTATACCGAGCTGAAGAGGTGTTAGTCGCGGTTCGTCGACAAAACATACGTGCAATTTTCTCCTGTCTCTCTGTAAAAACAATATAGATACCTTTGGCTCAGCCCAGATGGACCAAATACGCTTGTCATGCTCATCTTGCTTCCACTTGGTCTCGTGTTTTCCAGCTTCAGCCTTCAAACTCGTCCATGCTTGTCCAGTGGCAGGGATATATTGTCTCGGATCCTGACAAGAACATGTGTGAGTTCGAATTCTTCTTGAAAATTGGTATGGGCATATAGTGTCCATGGAACTGCTTACATCACATATTCTGCAGTGACCGGAAGGTGGATTGTCTGCAGGTGTGTCGAACTGTGTACCACAGGTCGGACATAGCAATAAGTCTGCGCCTTCAAGCATGGTTGATATAGTGTTTGGATCTTATGCGTTGATGAGCGTATCAATAGTCGTAATGTTTCAGCCAGACAAGTACTTCTGGCTGTGATGACATGATCATGAAGCAGGATCTACCCCACTCACACCCACCCCACCTTCCACCAAAAGTGGGGTTGGTATAAATAAGCGTCACTCCATAGTTCACGCATGAATCAATTAAGATCTGCAGTAGAGGCAGTTTTCTCATTCAATGCTGATCCCGCTAGTTTACAATTATATCTCGCCGTCCTTGCAACGCTTGATCGAATCTTGGAGGATACGTAGCAACATGTACAGAATTTGACCCCTTTGAGAACAGAAAAGAAGGGAAGAAAGACAAGATATGGAGAAAGTGCAGATTGGTATCGCGAGCAGGAGCAAAACTAGAAGGAAAGAGGAGGAGAAAGACAAAAAGAAAAGCCTTGAGGTTGGGGACCCAAGGTGCTTTCGTCATGAAGAAAGTTCCGTAGTCGTATTGAGGGTATTGTGTTCATCGATGGCATTAGAATATGGTTCGTGTCAGACGTCTGCCACAATCTGACGGTGGGTCGTGACAGCCAGGAAGGAAAAGTGATTGGAGAAATCAGGGATCCTAGGGACGAGGGTTGCTTGTAGGGCCCTGCTCGAGATTACCGGTAAGATGGGCAACACGAGCTTTAATTCGAGCCACGCGGTCGTCTATTGTCTCTTCACCACTGGTATCTCCTTCATCCTCCGTGTTGGTAGTAATATGAGATGGGCGGCGAGAAATCTGGTCCTCACTCACTCTCGGCCCTCGTTCGACCCGTTCGGCGGCATTCTTTCTGATTTGGGCCCATCGGTCATAGCCGTTCGCGACTGGCTGAGCAGTTTCATAGACCGAGTCGGATCCCAATTGACCATTGCCGTTCTCAGACATGGGTGTCTCCATAGGTGTTTCGGGGAACGCACCAGGCGCGTTCAGGTGTCCAGCTTCCAGGTCTGCTTTGTGGGCCTCTTCTTGTGTCAAGTGTGAATCAACAGACTCTCGAGGTGTCCAGGCCGGGGCGTCTGAGAGTGGTCCCTGATCAAATCTTTGAAATCCTTCGTCGGCATTGCTCATATGTTCCGAGTGCATAGGTGAGACCAAGTTGTCATCTACTTCCATATGTTGTTGCGAGAAAGTGGGCTCTAAGGAGCTGACTGCCGGAGGACTTTGCTCTGAGGGTGGCGCTACTAGACTGTCTGCCACGGCACGACGAGGGAATAGTGGTTCGGTGATTGGTGCCGCGGGCTGAGTTGGAGAAGTTGGCGTGTTAGACTTCTTGCGAAGTAGCGAGAGCTTTCTTCCGAGGCTCGTCTCTGAAGGTGGAGCCAAGCTGGTCATCGAAGCCGATGGCTGCTGACCGGTAAAGTCGCGCTTACCATCGTCGTTTCTGTGACCTCTACTAAACATCCTCTTGAAGCCATTGGGACGCTTGTTCTCATGAGCCATGATTTCGGGACTGAACTTGTTTGCTTTGGCCTCCCAAGCCTGTCTTGCAGCTTTCACACCGGTGAGCTCTGTGTTGGCAGGTCTTTGTGTCTCCGCAGAAGGTCTGAATGCCGGGTGATTGTGGACATTGTTAGTACGATCAGGGACCGGCTTTCTTCCTACTTGAGTGACCTTGGACGCAATAGACGGCATTGTGGGCATTTCTGTAGCATCGTGTATCACTGGCTTTTCCGAGATAATGGAAGCACTCAGCGATTGAGGTTCGGCGTTGTTAGTGGAAGTCTGCGGAGCGGGAATAGTTTCCGTGCTTGCGTTTGGCTGATCCGGAGTCTTTGGGGCCTGGCGCTCAACGACGGAAGGCGAGCGGGTTCGCGCACGAGGAGCTGGTAATGGTTTGTTGGACCCTTGTGCTTCTGTGAGTGCGGCAGCGTCGACAGAAGCATTGTCAGGAACATGTAGTTCCACTGGCTCCCCTTTACCAGCGAAGTTATCGCCCAGATATTGCTTACGCGTCGCTTCCTTGTCGAAACTATGAGCCCACTTCATGGCCGGTGCCGCTTCGCTCGTGAGGCCCAAGGTCATGACACTGTTGGTCTTCATCGAGGAAGCATCATCATGCCGTCCACGTCGCTGACCGTTTGGCGTCCCATCAGCCTTTACGTGCTGCCGGACAAGAGTAGCAGCCGCAGCCCTAATTCTTGCTTGCTGGTCGGGTGACATGCTGGATTGGTTTGGCGTTGTCGATATATCTCTTTGCTGCGACATAGGGCTGTCGTGTCCCTTCAATGGTAGAGTGGCGGACTTTCTGCGACTTTGTTTGCCTCTCCGGCTGAAGCCAAAGCGTGATTTTTTCTCGGCAATGTAGGCACCCTCTTCAGGTTCAGGGGCAGCACTCTGGATCTGTTCTTCTAGCAAGATCCAACGGCCTTGAAGTATACCAGTCTCGACAAGCGCACATCGGCCAAAGGCAGCCTTTCTCGCAGCAGTTTCTTCGGTGGCGAGACTCATCATCCAGACCCACCAAAAGCAGTCATCGAGGTCGAACTTTGTGATACTAGCTAGTTCACCAGGATTGACATCCTCTTCTTGATAACCATTGGAGGATTTTGGAGGTCCGCTATTGATAGGAGGTAACATCTTCTCGGGGGGCATCAGTGCTCGTATGGGCGTTGGCTTCACATTAGTGCCTTCATCGATGAATCCTGAGTTCAGGAAATCGGCCCATGAAGGCGTTGTCGGACGTCCGCCGTCATTGGCACGAGAACGAGGCGTGGACCTCAGTCCTGATGATCTTGGCTCCAGGCTTGGTGAGATTCCGTCGTCTTCAATCGATGAGAACCCGAAGTCCTGAAAGTGCGACCAAGACTCGTCCGGTTTGTGCTTGAGACTGTCTAGACCAATGCTCATGTTACTTTGAGATCGCACGGCGATTGACTGGTTCGCTGCAGTAATACACTGAAGTACACGTCTACATTCTTCAGTCAAGGCTTCTGACGGATCCGAGTATTCGGAGAACATCTGTAGATCCTCGTCCCGATACTCAAAGTTGCTGGCTCTGCGGAGTAGAGCGAATGGTCCAGGAGATACAACATCAACAAGCATAACAACTTTTGGCGTCTGCTTTTGCATTAACGCGGGTAATTCGGGAGGGTACTCTGTTTGAGCCAATAATGCTTGTATGGATCGTGGTAGGCCATTGATTCCTGTGAATCCATCTAGAGCTTCTGGGTTTAGTGACCGGAGGTAGCCGAAGAAGAGATGACTAGACGCATCTGCAGACCTATCAATAGTTAGCAGAGGACTGGGGGATAAAAAGAGGAACATGTTTACATCAGCCATGTTCGATAGGCGACTTCAAAGCCTTTTGGGTTGTGTGGTTGCTCGAACGCCCACCAGCCGGCCATGCGAGAGAGTTGCATGCCACCAAATCCGTTGGTCTTGCCATGAGCAGCGATCGCGGTCAAGAGGTCAAAGAAACTGTAAATGATGGTTTTTCGAGCGTCCGAGTCGACGCCTAAAGGAATGAAGGTGTGGAAGGCATTTCTGGCCATGTTCGAATCTATGGCCGTGGTCAGTATTCGCAACATTTCCTCAGGCGGGTCATACAAACCACGTTCGCCTAGAGTGAAGCCGTGATAAACCGGCCAGCTTACGACACCTCCCGGTATACGAGCCCAGCACCATTTGAGAACGCTGCATAGAATCTGGATTTTGCATTAGCCAATATCGCGGCTGCAAGACCGAGCAAACTCACGGCTGGGTCGGTAAGGACAAGCTCTCTGCGAAGGCTCGAGCCATTATAATTTCTCGTGCCATCGCGATTGCCCTTGAAGAAGTTGTTGATGAATGTCTTTGCGGCCACGGTATTGGTGTCCGGTCTGAATGGCAAGAGGAGGAATGGCGTATCCAAAGCCTCGGCTACAAACGTCTAATCAGCAATTGCGGTCCATGACGCCATGGGAGCTGCATACCTCTGGATTTGAGAATCAGAGTGCACACTTGTATGAGTTCCTCGACATCTTCTGGATCGATCACCGTGCTGTTCCATGTCGACACGAATCTAGGCTTCGCCAGAGGCATGTGGCCTTGGCTGCTATCGACTTGTTCCACTTTGTGTTTTGCGCCTGCCTTTGCATCCTTGCTCTTGAAGACCTTTGAAAGGAAAGCCATGGCGGCGAGGGCCACAAGATGTGGGCTTATCGGTCAAAGATAATAACAGGTGGATATGCGATGGATAAAGTATGGGCATGTGTTGTTGGATTCGAGGTAGCTGGAAGAGCAATTGAAGGTGTCAGTCCATGTGTTTCCAAGCAAAGAGGTTGCGCTTCTGCGCAATGGTTGTTTCGACAGAGAGGAGAAAGAGAGAGAGAAGAGAGAAAGGAGAGAGACAAGGTGCGCTGGCATTGAATCATGGGACAGGGCAGTACCTTTGAGTAAATTATTAAATGAGTGAAACCTTGTATTCCAATATACCCAGGCGCGTCCTGCCGGCGGTCGATCCTGTTTTCCGCGAAAGCCACCCGGGCTGAAACTGTATGAACTGCCAAACTCGAGTCGAAGAAGGAGAGTGGGGAAATCATGGACATGGGCGAGCTGGCCTAATGAATGGCTACAATTCACTCTGCAGCCCAGCAGTTACCTGCAGCAACACACAGTAGTTGATTCCCGCGGCCTGCTAGCCGAAACCACCTTGTTGGTTGTCTTCCCCCTCCATCTTGTTCTATCCGATAACATCGTGCATCACCGACTGATTGATGTCCCTGTTCCCTGACATCCCGCCATGTCGCCAGCGGTAATGTCTGCCCTGTGACCGGACGCTATAAAAGCTGCCAGCACATCATTGGCGATCAATACAGCACACCTGCTTCTGCGACCCTCGTCGTAATCGGACGCCCCTGGTCCCTGGATGCGCTCCCAGCCGCGAGTCCGCGACTCGCGCGCCGCAAGACAAGTGTTTCTGAGACACTTTCTTTATAGCAATTAAACTCTTGCGACCAAGGGTGAGCTAAACAAAACTGCTTATCCATCTCTAACGCCTTCCCGCAACCTAGTCTTGAGCAATGACCAAGCAGTGCAAGCACGTGAAATGCCAATGCGCTTCTGCTCGTTCTGCAGATTGCAAGGTGCTATCCCCTATATTGCTGTAGGGCACAAGCCATCTTAGCCATTGGTTGCATAATCGAGTATCATTTCTATACAAACAAACATCAGTAGCAGTGGACTTTCGAGCTTCGTTGTCAGTTGGCATGCGAATGTGATGCAGCATCATCTTTTCCATGGCTACGTCATGACATTATGGTTTAATGACGCTGCTAGACTCAAGCTACCACAATTGCATCAAATAGCATTGTGTCCGTTCAATAATGCCTCCATTTCATCTATATCATCTTCAGACAGTAAAGTTCCAACGTACAACACAGCTCCATTCTCAACCGACATAAGGACCAATCGATTGATCGAAACTCGGTAATTGCTATCAAAATGGTACGACCCTTCTCACTGTATGGGTACTTGTGTTTTGCCTACAGACACGCCAGCACCAATGATCTCACGTGAAGATCTGTAACGCGATGTGGAGAAGAGGCAATGCTGACTGTATCCCCAGGTCAAAGACAACGACACAGTCATCAAGTGAGTACACACCATGTTTAGCTTGCCAACACCAACTTGGCCATGTGCACGTAGAGGGCTGAGATGAATCTAGGGAGTTCAATGAGCTCGTCAACATGAGCCCAGATCAGTTGAAGGAGTGGCTTGGTGATGAGGAATCTGCTGGTGCAGGTTGGTCCAAGGACGATGGCTCGGGTGAGACCGTCGGCCACGAGAGGTCAGTACAGATTGATGAAGACCAGGATTTGTTCTCCAATAGGATGTGTGCTTATACCTTGTAGCGGCCGTAAGATCATCGAGATCTTGGAGAAGAACCCAAACAAAGAGCCCAGCAAGTACGACGAAGAGGATATCAGCCACATGCGCAAAGTTGTGGCGTACAACAAGCGCCATCTGGCTCAAGAAGGAAAGGCAAAGCAGGACCCGGAAAGCAAGAGTGCTAAGTCTCTGAAAAACTGGGGCCATGACCCTCAGCAGTCCTAGATAGGTAGCATAGCCGCGTTATGGTGATGTAGGAATTTGACTTCACTTCTTTTGAATCGAGGAATACTGTGCTGTCGTGGATACATTGGCTGACAGAAGGACCGCCAGCCCTTCTTGGACATGGTCGGACAAGTAGAAACGCCCAACATAGAGTTTCGGAGCTGGTCGTTATGTGTTTGATGTCCGACGTGTCTGGGTGGAAACGTCGACAGGGCTCATGTACGGAATGTGCAGGCAAAGGTTGACAGACAGCAAGAGCAGACCGACATTATTGAGCTTGAGTAGTGGACGTCCCGCCCTTGCACATGTTGCAGCAAAGCGCGGTCAGTTCTGACAGCACACCAAGCGCTAAGGGCAACACAGAGCCGGCAAGCCGCATTCTGGATAGCATGAGCATGGCCGAATTGGGGGCGGTAGATGGCAGGTATTTGACAAAAGGGTTGGCCAGGTCGTGCCACGAGGCTCGTTTCATGCCAAAGGAAGGATCAACGATGAACGGACCCAGACGTTTCGCTTTGCTGGGTTCCAATAATAGGAGCATCCCGCCCGCATGGCTCAAGCTGACGGTTCTGCCTTTTTCGCATTTGATCTGACGCAGGACACCACTCTTATCACGCGTTGACTCGCAGCTTGCTCTGCGCAGCGTTACGAGGGAGCTCCAGCAAAGACGACACGACCTGCATACACGACATACACTGCATACACTGCATACACTGCATACATTGCATACATTGCATGTCCAGCAGGCGGCAACGAGACGCTACCAGCATACGAGAGCCAAAAGCCAGCCAAGGCGTCAGACAGCCATCCATTTCTTGCGCGTCCTGGAAACACCCTGTCGCATGAAAGTTGAAACTGCGCTCTTGTACCTTTTCCCTTTTCGCTATCCACGCTCTCGACGCGCGCAAGGCCCATCTCGACTCCACCATGGGTCGCAGAAAGATTGAGATCCGTCCCATCAAGGACGATAGAAATCGCTCCGTGTATGGATGACCGCCTCTCTTCTATTTTAATCCCGTCAATGCTAACGGCTTTTTTGTGGCAGCACCTTCTTGAAGCGTAAAGGCGGCTTGTTCAAGAAGGCTTACGAGCTGAGCGTACTCTGTTCCGTCGACGTCGCTGTCATCATCTTCGGTACCAACAAGAAGCTCTACGAGTTCTCGTCTGGCGACATCCACGAGACCGTTACCCGCTTTCAATATGTACGCGCCGACCTCCCACTTGCCATCAAACTTGCGACAGAGCGCTGACCTGACTTAGTATGGCGGTGCACACGAACACAAAGGACCAGCCGACTTCCAGGGCAAGGGTGTCGCCGGTGACGATGACGAAGAAGGTGACGAGGAGCCTGTCGAACAGCACGAGTCGCACTCACCACCAGATGCATCCATGATCCAGCATCCCCTCCAGCACCAGCCCGGTCTCCAGCACATGAGGAACGTCACGCCTTCTGCATCGCCGCCAATTCCCAATGGCGCTATGCCCGCATTTCCACAGCGCATGGCCACTCCGCAGCCGCCCAATGGCTCTCGTCCTTCCTCTCGCGTCTCCCACTTCCGCCGTACAAGCTCCAACCTAGTGCCTCAGCAACAACACATGGGCACTCCGTCGCAAGGACCTCCTCCCCAGCCTACATACGCATATTCTCCCAATCCTCCGTACCACCCTCCACCTCCGAATGCCATCATGCAGCGACCCACCCCACAAGGCTTCAACGTCCATCCTCCGCAATACTACGCCGCCTATCCTCCGCCTACTCAACAACAAATGCAAGTCGCTGCTCAGCAGGCTTATATGCAAGAACAGAGAAGACAATCGTCCGTTCCTCCACACTTCATGAGCCAGGTTCATCCAGGTGCGCAGCAACACATGGGCCAACCGCAGCAACACTATCCACAAAATCAATCACATAGTGCACAACCTTCTCCTCAACCCAACCAGAATGCCTTCCAAAGCCCTCCGATGCCTCAACCAAGACCTCTACCAGCCCATGCTAGATCGCATAGCATATTCACACCCATTGACGACAGTCGCTCGCTTCTCGCTCAGCATTGGGGTGGAAGCGCTTCCAACTACAGAGAACCAGTCATTAAAACAGAAGGTCCACGCTCACACTCGGTCGATGTGTCTTCGGCGCCACGCCAACGAATGGAGGAATTACCTTTAGAACCGCCCGAGCCAGCGGCGACATCAGCACCACAAGCACAAGCCACGTCAAACCCTACCATGCAAGCACCTCCTCCAGGACCTCCACAACGCACAGCGTCATTCTCATCAATACCTGGACCTATAAGACCAGGCGGAGCGGCTGCCGAAGCCAAACGCCCACGATTGAAGGTGCAGATCCCGAGTGAGCAGTCAGATGCGGGCAGTGCGACAGCAGATTCCTCGCCTAAGGATGGTGGTACAGCGACGGCAACGCCATTGCGCGTGGGTCAAGGGGTAGTCCTTCCACCTCCTTCGCCATCCACAAATGCTGTTCTCTCGGCCGGTGCATCTGGCCCACCCAATCCATTCGCACGACCGGCCCCGCCAATCAGTACAAACTCGCAGCTGAATCGTGAAAGAGACCATATAGAAACGCCTCTATCAGCATTACCAAGTCGAGTCATGGATGGAAACCATCTTTTACCCAGCCCTTCGTCGTTCTGGCCTGATGCCTGGTTCGGACGGGATAATAATATGATGCCGAGTCCACTAAACTTCCAAACGCCGGTTGTGTTGAGTGGGCCAGGATTCAGGGAAGAAGATGAGAAGAAAAGAAAGGCCGAAGAAGAAGCAGGAGGCGGTGGAAAGAGGGCGAAAGAATAGAGGGATTGTTGTTTAATGATTTCAGTCGAGAAAGAGGCCCAAAATAGTTACGAGTACAGCAAGTTATGGGTAGGATGTCTGAGCAGGAGAATTTGCAGAGAGCATATTCCCGAGATATGGGCGCATCATCAGGTAGTGACAGGACTTATAACACAGCATTTAGTACTTGTAGGAAACGAATTAATACGCGTACCAGCACAGACTAGGTTCTGAACATGATTTAGACATGTGCAATACGGAGGTGAATACGGCAGAATAATGAGTGGACGAGTCATGGCGTATACTCTTCGGTCATAGGTGGGGCAGGGTAATAATGGGATTCGGACTTGAGCACCCTTGGCTCAGCCATGGCGGACGATTACTTGATGCGCATGACGTCCGACTCTCTTACTTCATCTTTACTCGATTCACCACGACCAACACCACCATGGCATACAATCGAGGATATTCGGGCAATCCAGACGCCCTCCCAGCGTATGAAAGCGCCCATTCCCAAGCAGCGCATTCCCGGCACGGCTGATTGCTATCCTAGACACGCCGAACCCGAGCAGGCAGCGGCCATGCTGTCGCAACATCCTCAAAGACAGTCCTCGTCCGCCAGTTACCACAACAAACCACAACCACCACCGCCCCAACAGTCTCAGTCGTACTCGCGCCCGCCTGGCCATCAGTCTCCCGCCATGGGTTCCGCGCCGCAGCGCTACGACAACTACCCACCACCTCAGCAGCAACAGCAGCAACCGCAACGATACGGCAGCGGATACGGCCCTCCACCAAACGCCGCCCCAGGCAGCGCCCCTCCGCCTCGCGACTCGTTCGCTTCACCCCCACCGCCGTCCAACTACGGCCAAGGCCCTCGACCGTCAGGCTACCACAATCGCCCTCCAATCCCTCAAGCCCAACGTCCACCTACCGTTGCGCCTCCTCAGAACCCTGACCCTAACAGTCGTGAGGCACTATGGCCACTGTTTGTTGCCGTAGACAAGGATCGCAATGGCCAGCTGAGCGAGTCCTCTTTGCGCAGCGCCCTGGTCAACGGTGACTACACGGCCTTTGATGCCCACACTGTGCGCATGATGATCCGCATGTTTGACACGGATCGCAGCGGCACCATCAACTTTGACGAGTTCTGCGGTCTGTGGGGTTTCCTGGCTGCCTGGCGCAATCTGTTTGATCGCTTTGACGTGGACCGCTCAGGTAACATCAGCTTCCAAGAGTTTGCCGATGCTCTTGTCGCATTTGGCTACCGTCTAAGTCCCCAGTTCGTCCAACTGCTGTTCAATACCTTCGCCAGGACAACCCGCGGCAGGGGTGATGATGCGTATAGCGGTGGACGCGAGAAGACACTCAGCTTTGATCTCTTCGTGCAAGCGTGCATCAGCTTGAAGCGCATGACGGATGTCTTTAAGAAATACGATGACGACCGTGATGGATACATTACCCTTTCTTTGTAAGTTTGCTTCGTTTCCTGACCCCTACCTGGCAGCAGGCTAACAACGGCACAGCGAGGAGTTCCTCACAGGTGCGCAAAGCCTTTTCCTCTTCAACTCCATATCCCCCGTAACCGACAATGGCCTATACTGAAACCTTTTGGAAGAAATCCTACGACAGCGATGAATGCCCTTGATGCGTTTGAATCAGTAACGTTCGGGAGATGAGCCGTGGACACGGCCACGGAGAGGCAAGAGAGCTTGTTTTTCTTGAACTTTTCTCATCAGGTAGTATATTATGATACCCCTATACTTTGCCAATGAAAAATCGAATTCTGAATGAAGGAGAAAGGCATGCAATGTTGAAGAGGGAAAGCGCCAGAGTAGTGGACCCTGCTTTCATGTGATTCATGTCAAACAAGCCAAACAGGGCGGACTTTCGGCGAAAAAGTCGCTGGTTGCCGCAGCTTTAGGAATTTCTCAAAAGTCGAAAGCACTGCAATTGTTCACCATAATTTCACAATTTCGACGGCAACCATGGATACAAGCCTAGTTTCAATATTGCCTGGTCTCACCAGCTCTCTGGAATCAGCCATTCCCGCGCTGCCCACAACCGATTCGATTCTCCCTCCGGCAAACGGCATCACCCTTCTGGACGCAAAGAACGAGCTGTTCCTCTCATATCTGCAAACTCTGGCTCTGCGCAACCTGGCCGTCATTCGTAGCGCCAAAGATGGAAAGAATGTCGCTGCCGACTTTGACAACCAACTCGTGAGAGATCTGGTCAAGCACCGCGTCTTCCTCGAGAAGGGTGTGCGCCCACTGGAAGACAGACTCAAGTACCAAATCGACAAGGTCGTCCGCGCCGCCGAAGACGAAGCCCGTGGAGTCGTTCAAAAAGCCGCCGTCGCCAAACAATCCGCCGCCAATAGCAAAGCCGACGCTGAAGACGACGAAAACTCCTCGGACGAAGACGCCTCAGATTCGGCCTCTGAAGCGGACTCTGACGATGGTCTCGCCTTCCGTCCCAATCCCAGCGCCCTTACCCGCCCTTCGGAAGCAAACGACACCGCAGCATCCTCCAGACACCAAGACGCCTCCACCGACGGCATCTACAGACCCCCTCGCATAAACGCAACGACCATGCCCGCACCGCCTTCGCCTCGCCGCGAAAAGGGCGACCGCAAAGCCATGCGCAGCAACACAATCGACGAATTCGTCGCCGACGAACTCAGCGGTGCCCCTACAGCCCAACCCTCCATCGGAAGCACCATCACTGCAGGCGGCCGCCGTGACAAGTCTGCCCGTGAACGCAAAGCAGAAGCCGAACGTACCGCATACGAAGAAAGTAATCTGGTGCGTCTACCTGCATTGGGCAAAAAGGAAAAGGCAAAGCAAAACGGAAACAAGCGTGGTGGCTTTGGTGGTGAAGAGTGGGATTTGTTGGGTCAGGGTATTGGACGAATTGATAGGTTGACCAAGAAGGGTGAGAGGACTGGTGCCGGTGGCGTGGGTGGTGCGTTGGAGAGGAGTAGAAAGAGAAAGAATGATGATGATGGCGGTAGAGGTGGTGCTGGCGGTGATATCGGTAGAGAGTTTGAGCGCAGGAAGAAGAGAGCTATGCGTAGAAACTAGGCATTACGAATGTCCTTCTCTCGATCGCAAGATCCTACGAAAATGCATAGACGCATCTTCTGGAAACACTATCAATCTACTGTGTGTGCTATGAGCAGAGATTCGTTGACATCAGACACTGTCAGCATTGTGTCGCAAGAGCACAACTCAAAGGCACCTGACAAGATGTGCGCAATTTCCGCATGGCCTACTCAGCGACTCTATCTTTACAGTTCGTCCATAGCTCATCTTCACATCAAGATATGGTACTCTCGATATCCAGCCAGGGTGGTCCCCTCACCAACAACCTAAGTTGAGATCACAATGTTGGCCTCAGTTCCAGGCGATATCTCAAGATCATGGGCAAATAATGTTTATCCTAAGCTAAATACCAGGAATACTACATCAATGCCATGGTCTTTTCTCACTCCTCTTTTTTCATTCCTCGCTGATAAAAGTACACTTCCTCTCCACACGTTCTCGACGAGTCTCGCTTCACTGACCCATCCAGACCGATCGAGGTGCTTCGTGATTTTCCTTTCTTATCGTACAATGTCATGATCCCGCGCAGATTACCTAGTTCTGCTGGGCATCAAGATCGGCGACCGCTCTGCTCATGACGCCAACATCAAAATCGTAGTCATTGTGATCTTCAACATCCACGATCGAGAGTCCCAAGTCTGCTCTACCCAGGCCGTTCATCATGTCGGAGCGACGCATGGGCGAGATTTGGGCGTTATTGAGGTACTGTGATCCAACACCCGTGGAGCTGAGGCCAGATCCGGCTGCAGCTGGGCTTTTGTGTTGAAGGATCTTTGACATTCTTCCATTTGCCATGTTACTGTGAGGCGTTAAGGGGCCGTTATGTCCTCTGCTTGCACTTTCTTGGGCACGATTGATCATAGCCATGTTGTTAGAGGATGAGTCGAGCGAAGCAGCTGGGGTCTGGTTCTTGAGCCACTGAGGAGCGGGTTTGGAGAGCGATTGGGCTTCAGAGGGGTCCATATACGCCCAACTGGTGTCGGTTCCACGTACCTGCTGTTGCCCGTTGCCATGACCGGAAGTCCATCTATCGTGCTCATCAGATTTTTTGTGGATAAATCCGTCAAAGGCTGCCATAGTTTGACGTTTCTCAAGACGTGGATTGCGGAGAGGAGATGTTGCTGTGCGTTTTTTTTTCCAACATGGATTTTGAGCAGGAGTCGGCTCGGCGTCCATATCGTCCTCTGCCACTCCTTCCTCGCCTTGCCATTCGTCATCAACGCTCATATTGTCCTCTCCATCGTCCTCACGACCAGTATACCCATTATTCTCTCGAGGGTTCTTCTTGCTGCTTACGGCTCTGGAGACTCTTGTGAATTCAGGTTCCACATGAAGTTCAGACTCGTCTTTCGCAGATTTTTCAGGTGACGAGGTAGGTGACTCAGCATAACTGACTCGCTGCTTGACACGTCCGCTACGGCGAGTTCCCGAGGATGGTTGGGTTTGGGCAGGATGCTCCTTTTTATTCGTGCCTCTTGCCGATCGGCGCTTAGGCGCTGAGTCTTGCTCATTTGTGGCAGGACTACCCAAGTAGTCAATTTCGGAACTGTAGAAGGCTGACCCCCCGGTCCCCTCGAGACCAGGTGTGATGTGTTTGATTTTGGGGGCCTTTGGAGGTCGCCCACGTCTCTTCTTAGGTGGTGAGGGACTGGGATCGACAATCGTCACTCGGTCTGTAAAGGAGAACGCTGAGGCTAAAGAAGGAGGACCACCAACCTCCTGGGCCAGGAGCTCTGATCTCCTTGCGCTCGGTTGGGCCGAGGGGATGGCATTCGTAGCAGGTCGGCAAGGAGTGGCAGAGTTGTCACCATGTTCCCAGATGCCCGAGTCCGCACGCTTGAGCATGCCTCTCACAAAGGCCTCCTTGGATTTCGAGTTGGCTTGTGGCGAGGCCAACAAGGGAGACTGCTGTGTCTGTGTGTTGACGAATTGCTGCACTCTACGCATCTTTGCTGCATAGATAGCCCGGGCTTGCTTGATCATCGTGGCAGTACGATCAATCGCAGCTTGTTGCTTTTCCTTTGTCTGGCTGATACCGTCCAGAATGCGTTGACGCCGGGCCCCCTTGTCAGCGAAAGTTCGTCTTAGTGCCTCATAGTCTTCGTGCATACTAAGAGCCCTCTTTCTGACATCTGGTGCCAAAGTGCCCCAGGCTTTCTTATAATCCTCGAGAACTTCAAGATTTCGCTTGAGAGGGTCCAAGCGATTCTCGAGATCCAGAAGATCGTCCTCGCATGCTATGAGCAAGCTCGCACCATTCTCTGCCCAATCGGCAGTGACTTCATCCTCTTTGCAGTAATCGCCGCCACACAGCTCGAATGAGGCAGTCTTCTGGATGTGGTACCGATCACAGAATGGCACTGCGGTAGCTAATATGTCAACATTGCATCTGCCGATGGAGGCACTCTTGTGACCACAAACATGTGAGGTGTATCGATGATAACACATGGTGTCGACGAAGTCGTGGAAGGGGTGATGTAGTAAGGCTTTCAACAAGTAGTGTTGTTGTGATCTGAGATGTCACGATCGTGGATTCGCGTGAAAGATGTCAACGCGCGTTGGAGAAAGCATGTACAAAAAGAACAGATGCAGTAGGCGCCAGATGATCCGTCGAGAAGAGTTCGTTTCGTCGAGGATTGCTTCGCCGAGGAGTGTTTTGTCGAGATGTGTTTCGTTAAGAAGTGCTTCGTCGAGAGGTGTTCGCCGAGAAGGATTGCTCAAAAAGCAGGTATGACAGGGGCGATCCTAAGAAGGTTGAATAGCCTTTGTTGAGGAAAGGTCAATACACATCGAGCAAAGATGTCAAGTGACCCGTCAAAACTCGGAGGCAAACGCAAGTGAAGTTGTCTACCGACACAAGTGAAGTGAAGATGGCAAGAGCAAGAGTAGTTCGCCGGCGCACAATTGTAGGTGGCAGGTGCACGACGAATATGCCTAGCAAGAACGATGTACAGGAAGATGGATTATTGTTGAGTCGGGGAGGTAGACGCAGAGAGAGTAGGTAGCATCGAGTCGTGAAGTGAACAAGACAGGTGAGTATTGGGTACGGAGGGACTGAATCGAGTAGGCGTGGTAGGTAGGTACGCTTCGAGTCGTCAAGCTGGCTCCCGAGTGGCGCTGAGCAGCATTTCACGCCAGATAGAAGAAGTAGGAGCCCCAGGTGTAAACAAGAAGCAGGCGCGAGTCGCGAGCGTCAGTGAGTACAGGCTGGGCAGTAGGTCAATGACCAGCAAATACCGAAGTGGTCTTTCCAGCTTGATTGTGGCAACGACGTCTTTGCTCCTTTCTCAACCGAATAGATGATTATATGCAACCGACAAGCATACAGTGTCGTCAATCTCAATTCAGCCGGCTGATCTTGCGACCAGTTCCTTTGATCTTTCCTGAGCCGCTATACATAGGTGATCAGAGCTCAGGGAGACCTTCAATGACATTCATTGCTTGAGCGGTATGCTGATCCAGAGTTTTGAATGCCTCTCAAGGACTACTTCCCGGCATACAGCGTTCCTAGCAATCACATTCTCTTTGTCGAGAGCCACATCGAATCATGCTTACAACGGGTCTTTCGACCATCGGCGCATAAGATGTTCTTGTTGCATGATACGTTGTCTTCAAAATCAGCGAGTCCGTTCGTCGACTTATAGTGATACCTTGTAGCCTTCTATCAGCACACGGCGACGATGTCGATCTACTCATCCGCCAGCCGCATCGAACTTTATGACGCCAGGTGCGCTCAACATTCTTCAGTAGTTTTGCTGGCCCAGCACCACTTGTAAAGATCCGGCTGTAGCAGTACACTTCTTTGCTAGATGAGCGGTCGGCTGCGATCATATACTCATCTCGACTCGAGATCGCCGGGCAGTCTGAGTCGTGGTTATGACCGTATGCAGCAACGGGATGAGCGTTGTGTCGATTCACAGATTTACGAAGCTTCCTCGATCGAAGAGCGATGTCATGATTGTCATTCTTCCAGAAGAGCAGACCCCACGTTCCACCAAAACCTTGCCAAAGTGTGGAGAGCTGTAGCCAAGAACTTTGACAGATTTGATGAAATCAAAGCCTCCAAACCTGTTAGAACGTATGGTAAGATCTGTACGTCTGTAACCACTCACAATGATTCGCATGCTAAGTAAGTCTCTGAGTCTGTACCCTCGCCGAGGGTCCTCGTGCGACGAAATTCCTGACGGCTGACAGGAAGATCTTCATCGGACATGTCGGCCGAGATGCACGGAGATCGAGACGGCTTTTGGATTGTTGGCCGAGATGCCGTACTCGTAGAGGGGGCGGCGCGTTTACGCCATTTTGCATCCTCTGGAATACAAAATCAAAGAGTCATGCAGCCCTGTTTCCTTGTCAGTTTTTCGACTTCTTGTATTCCTGGTTACTCTCCTGGTTAACACTCTATCATCTCTGTGCCATCATGAGCGACACAGCGCGACAAACAGAAATCCCGCGGGAAGAAGCCGCTGCAGAGGCTGGACCTGGAGCCGCAAACACGAATGCTGTTCCGGCCAACCAACTCACGGAAGATATCGAAAATAATAGTACTTCTTCAGTATCTACGAAGCATGATGATGCTCACCCGCAAGAAAGGCCGCAACTTGAGAGGAAGGACTCTACGCCATTGGAGGAACGATCAAAGGGAAAGATTGCGTTGATTATGACCGCACTGGGCATGGCTGTATTCCTTGCTGCTCTTGATGTCACAATCATCACTACCGCTTTGCCGACGATTTCGTCCTATTTCAATTCAACAGCTGGATATACGTGGATTGGATCGGCATACCTCCTAGGCAATGCTTCGAGCACGCCGCTTTGGGGCAAGGTCTCTGATATAGTGAGTGTTCCTTGGGTTGACCCAGACATAAGAGGTACTGGGAACTTTACAAGCTAACAATTTATTCTAGTTTGGACGCAAGCCTATCTTGATGGCTGCGAACGTACTGTTCCTCATAGGCTCTCTGGTAGCTGCTCTTGCAAACAGTATCGGGATGCTCATTACTGCTCGCGCCATTCAGGGCGTTGGTGGAGGTGGCCTGGTCACCCTCGTCAACATCTGCATCGGAGATCTATTTTCGATGAGACGCAGAGGAGCCTTCTACGGAATCGTGGGCGGTGTAAGAGAACACAGTTGTCAATTAAGAAAGACTGTGCTAATTGTGGTGTTAGGTATGGGCATTAGCTTCAGCTGTCGGGCCCCTCCTCGGAGGCGTCTTCACAGAGAAGGTCTCATGGTAAGACAATTTGAACGGCTGCTTGCTCTCAAGCACTAACGTTGAACAGGAGATGGTGTTTCTACATTAATCTGCCCCTCGATGGTGCAGCGTTAGTTATCATCTTTTTCTTCCTGGATCTGAAAACGCCGAAGACTCCTCTTTGGGAGGGTCTGAAAGCGATCGACTGGGTAGGAGCCCTCCTCGTCATTGGTGCCGTACTCATGTTCCTTTTTGGTCTGGAATACGGTGGTGTCTCCCACCCCTGGAACTCTGCGACCGTTCTTTGCCTCATTATTATCGGAGTCTTCACCATGTGTCTTTTCTTCCTCTACGAGGCGAAGGTCGCCAAATCACCAGTCATGCCGCTTCGCCTTTTCCACAATTGGAGTAACATTGCTGTCCTTGGTGTTTGCGCCATCCACGGAATGGTCTTCATTTCGGCTTCATACTACTTACCTTTGTATTTCCAGCTTGCTCGGGGAGCTACACCTATCTTGTCGGGTGTCTACATTTTGCCTCAGGCTCTGTCTCTATCCTTCGCTTCTATGGCAACTGGCATCTTCATTCGTAAGACAGGTCAATACCTGCCCACAATCTGGTTCGGAATGGTCTTTTTGGTGCTAGGTTTCGGTCTATTCGTCGACTTTGACCGTAACAGTAGTTGGGCAAAACTCATCATCTTCCAGATCATTGCAGGAATAGGAATTGGTGATTACAGTCTCGTTGAACGACTCAAATATTGAAGCTAATACAGTGGCTAGGCCCTAACTTCCAAGCTCCCCTGATCGCCCTACAAACGAATGTCCAACCCAGAGACATCGCCACAGCCACAGCCACCTTTGGTTTCGTCCGCCAAATCTTCACATCCATCTCCGTCGTCATCGGCCAAGTCGTATACCAGAACCAGATGGAAACAAAGACCGCCACCCTAGTAGCAGCACTCGGCCCGGAAGCCGCATCGAAATTGACAGGCGGAGGCGCAGGCGCCAACGTTGGACTTGTCGACAGTCTTCCCCCAGATCAAAAGCGGATAGCTCAGACCGCATTCGCACAGAGCTTGCATCCCATGTGGATCATGTATGTGTGTTTTGCGGCTCTTGGATTGATTGTGAGTTTCTTCATCCAGAAGAAGGAGCTCAGCAAGAAGCATACGGAGACAAAGACGGGGCTTGAGGTACAGCGTGCGAATGCCGTGGAGCAGGCGCAAGAAGATGCTGATAGAAAAGCCGCCAAGGAGGAGAGAAAGCTGCATGATCCCGAGAAGGGTGAAGCATAAGAGTTGCCAACGGTGGTGTTGTTCTTCTTGCATTTCTGGCGCATGCCTTTGATACCACAGCGGTCGGCATGGCGGTAAATGTAGCATGTCTTCTTTTCAACATGAAGCCAGCATACTCTCCATTCATTCATAGACTTTGTTTAATCTACCACTTTCACCTCACATCGACTCAGAGTTGCTCTTTCCATTTCTGGATGGTTTCAGCTTTACCACAGTTCAGTATCTGGGTATTGTCGCTCCTTCCATCCGTCCATTGTCTAAACAAGCGTTTTGACTCTTTCCTCCAACTCTTTGACCCAAACTTCTACAGCAGCACTGTTCTCTAACATGCCACTCTCAGCTCTAGCAACGGCTTCTTCCACCTTTTTGAGACCGTCTCGCCATTCTCGTATCTCCTTGTCTGCTTCGTCCTGCCGCCTCTCAATATCGTCTAGTGTTTGGCTCGCTGCAACGGCATTGGCGTGTAATGTACGCAAAGATCGTAAACGAGTCAGAAGTGGCGGTAGTGTTGGACTGAGCGATGTCAAGGTGGGCAAAAGAGCGTAGAGCGCGCGGAGTTTTGCCATGTCTTCTGGAGAACGTGTTTCATGCGAGCCATCAGATGTGGTAGTAGAATTTGCTTGCTGTTGTTGCTGGAGCTTTTGGGCCAGTGTGTCGATGTGTGATTGTGAGGATGAAGAGGTCAGGAGAGCTAATTGGCGATCTAGCAATGAGATGGTGGGTATGATTGGAGTGAAAGTCGAGGTGGTGGTGGAGGCTTCGGGAGTGTCGAGGGATGTGATGCCGAGCTGACGTTCGAGGAGTGCGAGACGAGCATCAAAGTCTGCGACCTTATTCAACGCTTGTGTGTCGGCTATTTCTTTGGCCGCTTCTTCGGTGCGGGTGGGTTTTGGTATCACGACAGCTTCTGCTTTCGCGGTGGTCGAGGTTGCCAGTTGTTTACTCAGCCTTGACTGAGCAGACTGCGATTGGCGCATACCATGCAACGCTGTGCTCAAGTGCGCCAATTGCGCGGCCATGTCCTCCTCCTCAGGGAGTGCCTGTGTTTCGTCCGACCCGCTTTTCCTCTTGTCCAGCTCATTCTGCACTTCCTGCACCTCCCTGTTCAGTCGCGCCAGCTTCCTCTGCAAGCTCTCATTCTCATCCTCGCTGTCGTAGTCCTTGCCGTCTTGGCCTTGCTCTCTGTTGCTCACAACATAGGCCCTCCTTTTGCTGCTCACGCGGTCGGAAAAGTCCGTCTCACGTGCATCGACCCGCGATGATTGAAATTGTGAACGCGCTTCATCTGGTTGTAATTTTGTCCGGCTGATGCTGGGGTTTGCTTCTGTATCCGAGGTTTCTGACCAAGCTGTTGACGTCGGTAATGTAGATGCGTCGTCTGTTAAATCCGGTGTCTCGTACGTGTCTGGGGACTCGTCCTTTATCACTTGTTAGTCTGTGAATAATGCGACGCTTTGTTGATGTTGTTTACCAGGTCAGGTAGAGCAGCATATTTGCGCACTTGCGCCATTTTACGGCCAGGTTGTTTGTCGAGTATGATCCTCAGGATTGACCAGCAATCGTTCACGGCAGATTAGAGAAGATTGAGCGTCACTTGATTCTCAGGATCAATTGTAGAGAGCGGAAGTTGAATTCACCTGGTCAGAACACAATGTTTCGACACCGCCAGTTTGCACGTGACACTGCTGGCTAGGCGGTATACTGTCGTTTTTGCACTCGTGGTGTTGGGTAGCTCCTCCAAGTTGATTAAAGACATAGACTTCGGGTTTGTGAATCGGTCATATTGAGAATCTAAATAGCTGCCTACGTGTCGAAACACGAAACCCCCTCTTGCTGATTGCAGATGTGTTTGCTGAAGCCAAAGCGCGACCACATGCGCCACCAGACAAAACATAGTATGCAGTCTTCCGAGATGTTTCTACCATAGATAATGCGCGCTTTGGCGTTGTTCTTATTACCCTCGACTTGCCGTAGTTGCTCAAGTCCTCGGAGCAATTACTGCTGAGACCATGTCTCTGGGCTTCTTTCCATGTTCTCATGCCTGTTTTCCATTGTCACGGCGCCACAGATCGGCCTCATCTTTCGATGCCGGAGTAGGGTACGACGATATTTGTATATCTTTCCAACACAACCCGGGTCTTATAGAAACGGCCGAGGCTCTTCTTTGTAGGCATAGCGATCATGAATGGTGTGCCCAGGGCTCGGTGTTTGAGCCCATGAGGAGAGCTTGGAGAAAACCAATTGACACTGTAGAGCTCTTGTAGCATCTCTAATCAAAACAAAAGTGTCAGCGAAAGGAGTTTTGCGAAAGACCACTGGAATGTCAGGGAAGACGTGAGATGCAGAGTGCAAGATTGATGCGATGTTGAATCGCAACATTGAAAGTTGAACCGCAACGTCGAGGACGCGAGTCTCATAGACAGTTGCGTGGGCATGTCATCCCATTCATGTTGCGCCTTTCTTGTCAGGCATGTACCCTGAATACTTTCATTCGGTCTTCAGGTTGGGGCTCGCTCTAATTTCAAGGAGTCGTGTTCGTGCAAATCGCGTATTTGTGTCCGATGATGGAGTCGGTATTGTCGGCTGTGCAGCTGATTGAAAATGTCCATCGGGCAGCACCATGTCGATCATTGCTAACGCGTCGACACAGAGTAGTATTACGCATGCTTCTGTCCGTCATAGCCACCACACTGAGAGGGAAGGCAGTCGGCCGTCGAGGCGAGTGCTTGATACATGTTGCGAGGAATGAGAGAGACGAGGAGTTCGCATGTCGTTGGAACAAAGCTGGAGCGGAAAACTCGCCGAGGGCACACCGGCGTTCTCCAAGGGCCGTCACCATCTATCACCAGGTCCAGTGCAGTGCTCGCCGCCATCAGCTTTCGGGATTCATCACTACTTACAGAACATCTTCTTTCTTTCTTTCTTCCGATCTTGTAGGATCGAGCATGCTCTAAACCCGAACAGAGTAGTGATGCAACATCACGTCGGCCACGGTCCATTCGCCTCCATATCCTGATATTGCCAATATGGGCTCATCCAGCAATGCCAATACTACCGCAAGCGACCTGAAAACCTTCCCGAGCACAATAAAGGAGACAGTCGCCAACATGTCTGCTGGGAAGATGGCTTCGGATGCTGCCTCGGTGGCACAAGACCAAGTCCGATCAAGGCCATCAGGCCAATATACCACTCTTGAAAGTCCTGAAGATTCAAGCTCAGGCTTATCTTCTGTTGAGAGTGAACCCTTAAGTTCAGTCCCCGATATACATTTCCCGAGTCTGAATCTTGGTGATATTTGGCGCCATGGCTCCTTTGACGCCGACGAAACTGGTTTATCATCAGTCACTTCCGGCCCATCAACTAATAAACGATCATTTCAAGCGATACACAGCTACCCTGAGAGCCAGGTGTCTGATGATGGTAGAATGGCGAAAAGACCGGCTCTATCTCCTGGTAATGTCTATCCTACAGATTACGCTACACCCAGCAGCCGTTCATCACTCTTATCCAATATTCAAGTCGCAGCTCGGCCGACTCCAGAAATCTCCTCATCTCTAAGAGACGATCGCATACAGTCGGCGCCGAAAGCCCCCACACCAAAGACGAAGAAGTTCTCCAAGGTTACCAGACTGACGACTAATGCTCGACCAAGATCATCAATCCCTGTCAACATGTCTTGGGAAGAATATGGAAGACAGTGCATCTCGGCAGCCCATTCGTCTCGCCTCAACCCGTATGCTCTCCACCCAGGAGAGTATAGGCTCTTGCGAGACCACATCACGCAAGCTCAAGTCACCACATACCTAAACATTCGCAATGGTATCCTCCGCCTTTGGGTACGAAACCCCTTAGTCAGCGTCTCCAAGGAGGAAGCAGCTGGATGCGCAAAAGATATACGATTCTTTGACTTGGCACATACGTCGTACCGATGGTTGACCAGAAATGGCTACATCAACTTCGGCTGCGTCGAGGTGCCTCACGCAGGTGTTCTCAATCCCAAGCGCAAATCAACACCGAAACAGAGGACTATCGTGGTTGTGGGTGCTGGTATGGCAGGTCTCGGCTGCGCGAGACAGCTCGAAGGTTTGTTCGCCCAACTCGGTGATCACTGGACCGATGTTGGAGAGCTGCCTCCCAAAGTTGTCGTTCTCGAGGGAAGGAACCGAGTCGGCGGTCGCGTCTACTCGCATCCACTGCGCGAGCAGGTGCCCGATAGCTTGCCAAACGGCTTGCGGAATACTGCCGAGATGGGTGCTCAGATCATCACAGGATTCAATCATGGGAACCCTCTGAACGCAATCGTCCGTGGTCAGCTTGCCCTTCGCTATCACCTCATGTGGGATGAGATCACAATGTACGATTCCGATGGGCTCGCAGTCAACCACGAACGTGACATGATGGTCAACAAAATACATAACGACCTCCTGGAGCGCGCCAGTGACTTCCGCGTCAGATCGACCCCTGTTGAGACACTAGAAGGTCTGCCGGATTTTGTCGAAGTCTGTCAAGACCCAATCGAAATTAAGACAGAAAAGGCCAATGCCCCTACCCTGAACAAAGAGAGACAGGCTGTGCCTCCTGGCTTCGCCAAACTCCAAGGAAGAACCCAAGTCGTTGCTGGTAACAGCTCAAGTCGAACAGCGGCACAAGCTGTGCGATCTGCTGGTTGGCAGTTAAGACCTGGCATAACAAAGAGACATTCTCTCGCTCTCGACGCTATAGCTACAGAGTCCGACAAGCCAACACTAGGTGCAACCATGGATGAGGCCATTCGTCAGTATCAGGAAATCGTCGAACTGACGCCTCAAGACATGCGCTTGCTCAACTGGCATTACGCTGACTTGGAGTACGCAAATTCTGCCACTGTGTCCAATTTGAGCCTGGGCGGTCACGATCAAGACAGTGGCAACGAGTTCGAAGGCCGGCATTCTGAAGTGGTAGGTGGATACATCCAAGTGCCTCGAGGACTGATGATGCTACCCTATCCACTTGACGTACGCTTTGGATCGGTCGTAGAAAGAATCACCTACAACGCCAGCGACGATGACGCAAATAGCACAGCGACTGTGACGATCACGACTGGAGAGACTTTTGAGGCCGATCAGGTCATCTTAACGTCTCCACTTGGTGTCCTTAAAGCCGATACCATCTCTTTCGAGCCAGCTCTGCCGGACTGGAAGAAGGGAGCCATAGGACGTATGGGGTTCGGACTTCTCAACAAGGTAAGATAGCGATTTTAGTTTTTGACAAAAGCAGTGGCTAATTTCGCAGGTTGTCATGGTTTTTGAACACGCGTTCTGGGACAGTCAATACGACATGTTCGGTTTCCTCAACGATGCTGAGAATAAGAACAGTCTCAATCCCGATGATTACGCCACTCGACGCGGCCGCTTTTACATGATGTGGAACTGCGAGAAAAACAGCGGCCGACCAGTCCTGAGTGCCCTTATGTCTGGCCGAGCAGCCCATGAGGTGGAAACCACAGACAACGATACATTACTTCAAGAGGCTTTGGCAAAGCTGAGGCGTACATTCGGAACTGAGAACGTTCCTGCCCCGGTCGAAGTTATTGTCACGCGGTGGAAAAAAGATCCTTTTGCGAGAGGTACATACTCTTTCGTCGGGCCTGCCACCAGTCCATTAGACTACGACATCATGGCGGCGCCTGTAGGCAACCTCCATTTCGCCGGAGAAGCCACATGTGGCACCCATCCCGCTACTGTCCATGGCGCATATCTGTCGGGACTTCGAGCAGCTGCTGATGTCGTTGACACGATGATTGGTCAAATGGCCGTCCCCGAGCCGCTGGTACTGCCTCGACAACACATTCCTGTCACAGCTCATGGAGACACATCTGATCTAGCTTCCACGGAGTCACCGTCGGGACAAGCCTTCATGAGCACACCTCTTGGCACCGTAAAGCGTGTCGGTAGACCTCCGGGCAGGCCACCAGGCAGACCACCAGGCAGACCTAAGAAAGTGATCGAACCGCCACAAACTCTCCCTGCCGTGGTTCCGAACCCAGTCGCACCGCAAAATCCCTACAGATCATCGATCAACAGCAAGTCTGTTGAAGACGAAGCCTACGAGGCCGCCATCATTGATGCTATTCTTTCCAAGCTTGGCCCTCGCCCTCTGAAGCCTGCAAGACCTGGCGCAAGTGTTAATCCGTACCTCTTGTTCACGAACGACGCCTGGGCACGGTGCAAAGAGGAACTGAGTCAAGCGAAACAGAAAGCAAGCGGCGACAGCGAAGCTAAAGCTCTGCGTGAGGAAATCCGCACAGAGGTCGGTCGCCAATGGCGAATGTCGAGTGATGAGCTCAAGCGACCGTATATTGAACAAACACAAGCGGCGCAGCAAGCAGTCAAGGAAACGCGTGCACAATACGAAAAGGCAGCGGCAGAGTGGGATCAAGATGCTCGACAAGTCAGGCTTGATTACCAGAAGGCACACCCTCCCACCAATGGCAATGAGTGGACGGGCAGCACCAGTATTGAGATTGCTCCACTAGCTCCTCCCCGACGCAAGCAGACCATCAACTACACGGAGTCTGACGGCGAGTGAGAAGCATATATGATGCTTTTTGGCGCGGATGCGCGTGTATGAGTGGTGGAAAGTGTTTAGTCAGCGTGTATATGAACTATGTACCAACAACAGTACAACCAGCGTTTTGGGCGGAGGCTCGGGGCAGGTGATGATTTGCAGAGGGCCCGACCGGCGGCTATTCTCGCGCAAGGATCGCTCTTGGCTGCACGCGTGACGACCGCGTGGGAGCGCCAAAGTATAAATGAGGTGTTTGATCGGTATGGAGGCCCTCGTTATGTATTCATATAGAGCCGATCAGCGCGAGACCTTACCGATGCGTTTAGAAGTCTTCGGTCTGCTATTGGTGAGAAGGGCAATTCTGCTTCCAAGTGACTTGACTGGCATACAGCCTTTTGTTTGTGTTCGTCATGACGACACGGACCTTTGAGCTATGGCGCATCGAAGCGTCTCGCCCTAGAGCGGCATTTGGAAGGTTCGATCGAGCGACGTGCCATGCTGGGGGCAGCGTCGGTGTGCTTACTTACCGATTGAACCGAAGCCGGGTCTGCTATCAGCGAACACAAGGGCACAGCGGGTCTCGGTGATGTCAAGGAGCGAAATCCTCCCCCGGAATGGCTGGGGCCCGCTGATATGGCTCGTGTAACGACAAGGACTGATGGAAAACGAATGCAACTCAAAGAACAACAGTCGTCGAGGCATTTTTGTGTTCTTGAAGCGAAGGCTCCGGAGGTGTCAGGGAGGTATTCAAGCCACCAAATCGATTGTCGGAAGCTCAATCCTTTTCTTCCCCGCCATCGATCCCCAGGTTGCGCTCGGGTAGTGGTGCCTCGAGTAGGCGAGACCCAGCACTTAGCCGTTGCATTGCCTCTACGCTCTGCGCAACTCTCGAGTCTCTTCCGTTCGGCGTCCGTAGTTGTCTCTCAATCCTGCTCTCTCCTGTCTACCTGTCTTGTTGCCGTCGCATCGTACATCCAGTCCTCGTCAACGTTCCTCCTCCGAGACAGTGGCTGAGATATTGGCCAATTGCTTGCCCGAGGACCGGGAACGCAGTCACGCCTGCCCCGACTTTGATGTCCGCATCCCTGGTGGAACTGTAGAATGTCTTTCTTCGGCAAGCTCAAAGGAAGCGCAGTGAGTTGGACTTGCTTTTGCTTACGTTTGCGCCACGTTTGACTGACGATCACAACCATCTCAGACACCAGCGAGTCCGACCGCAGGCAGCGCCCCTCTCAAGAAGGATGTCGCCGCTCCTCTACCAACGCCACTAGAGAAGCACCTCGCTGATCTAGCTGGTCCCGTACGGCCTGATGGTAGTGACAAGTTCTTTGGCTTTGAAAATGTACGTAAATCTGTCCGCTCTCTACTCAGCAGCAACGCAGACTAATCGCGACTCGGCCAACAGTACGGAAGCACATGGTACGCGACTACTACAGTCCAAGCAAGCGAGAAGATTGCTGACCCCTGCCCAACAGCTATGCGAATTCGATCATCCAATGTCTATACTACTCGACCACGTTCCGCGAAAATGTGCTCAACTTTCCTCCGCTTCCCCCATCACCCGAGCACAACGAGTCGGATGCAGACCGTAGCATGAGCCTCCAGAATGGCCTGCCGTCGCCTGGAAACCACCTCTTGACTGCTGCGACGAACAACTTCACGTCCAGCTCGCCAGCACGAAAGCCCATCATTCTGCCAAACACACCTGAAGCACAAACGACAAAGCCCGATGACAAGGATTCTCCAGACTACAAGAAAAAGGTGGCCATGAGGTCGGGCCCTATCTTGGAAATGCAGATGAGCAACTCTAACGCATACGGCATGTCCGAATCACTCTTCACCTCGCTCAAGGACATATTCGAATCCATCATCGGACACCAGTCGCGCACAGGAATCATCAGTCCTCTAAAGTTTCTTGAGATCCTGAGGAAGGAGAACGAGATGTTCCGCTCTGCCATGCACCAGGACGCCCATGAATTCCTTAATTTGTTGCTCAACCAGGTTGTCGACAACGTCGAAATGTACTCGAAGATGCTGCCAGCCATCAACGGTACCCTCAATGGTCACAAGGGCTCGGAGCCCAGCATGGAAGGCGCCATGTCTGCCATGGCAAAGGCACATAGCACGCCAGGCATGAGTGGCGCTGGCTGGGTACACGACCTGTTCGAGGGTCTCCTCACATCAGAGACACGTTGCCTGAGCTGCGAAAACACATCCCAAAGGGACGAAGCCTTCATGGACTTGTCTGTCGATCTCGAAGCACACTCTTCGGTGACGGCATGTCTGCGGAAGTTTTCCGAAGAGGAGATGTTGTGCGAACGGAATAAATTCCATTGCGACAACTGTGGTGGCTTGCAAGAAGCCGAGAAGAGAATGAAGATTAAACGACTACCACGCATTCTGGCACTTCACCTAAAACGTTTTAAGTACACAGAGGACCTCCAGAGACTCCAAAAGCTTTTCCACAGAGTTGTATACCCTTATCATTTGCGATTATTTAATACTACCGACGACGCAGAAGACCCGGACCGACTGTACGAACTTTACGCCGTTGTTGTTCATATCGGAGGAGGTCCGTACCATGGACATTATGTGTCTATAATTAAGACTCAGGATCGTGGGTGGCTCATGTTCGACGATGAACTGGTTGAGCCGGTCGACAAGAGCTTCGTTAGAAACTTCTTTGGCGGCGAGCCAAAGCCCGGCGTACAAGATGCCAGACAACTTGCTTGTGCTTACGTGCTGTTCTACCAAGAAACCACTTTGGAAGCTATGCAAAAAGAGCAGGAAGTCGAAGCAAGACAAGCTGCCGCTGCGGCCAACATGCCAAACAGAGATTCGGTATCGAAAGAGGCGCAGGGCGGCTTGATGATCAACACCAACGGCCTTCGCAACACACACACCATGCAGTCACCGATCGAGGAAGAACCCAACGCTTTTGCCAACCTCGCTCATGCCTCGACTGCTCCAGCCTTGTCACAGCAACGTTCGACATTCAGCAGTCTATCAACTTCACCTTTCCTCGGTTCCGGATTTGGATCGATTGATAAGAAAGCTGCAAAGCAAGCCGAGAAGGATCGCAAGACACAGGAGAAGGAAGCCAGGAAGCTTGCAGACGCTAAGAGGAAGGAAGCAGCTGAAGCGACCAGAAACGCATGGAAGAAGCAGAATGAGGACTACCTGGCAGCCATTGAGCTCAGCAAGCAAACGGCGGCCGAAGAGGCCACTCGCTCGGGTAACCCCATTCCAGACACAGCGATGCCTGCAACAACACCTGCAGCAGATTCGAAAGACCGACCAGGTCTCAGCAGATTCAGACACAGCTCGATGAGTCTACGACAGAAGCCAAAGTTCTGGACTTCAGGCAAAGAGAAGGAACTAGGAAGCCCCCTGCCGACCCAGGCCGAAGAAGCGAACGCCGGCGGAGAAAAGGAGCTCAAGAAGAACCGGTTCAGTCTGAGCAGGAAGAAGTCGACGGTGCTTTGATTATCGGTGTACATACTACCACATCTGTCCGCGCAGTCGGTGGAATGCATGGAGCAATTTTGGACATATACAAAGGAAGTGTATGGCGGCGTTCTCACTACAGACAATATTGGGCGGTGGACGATATCCAGGCTGATAGGTGGGCAGCTTGAGTTTCATGTTGATGTTTTTGTTCGATTATCGTGTATTTAACAGAAGACCGGGCTCCAACAACCAAATCTTTTACTTCACACAACACGTCTTGATGGCCATGCCCGCTTTTGCATGTTTCTCTTGAAACAGTATTGGACAGGCGCCTCGTGCGATTGGTGAGGAATCCCAAATTGTTGATGCGCAGACGTGTCACATTGGTGTGCCGCTGGGCTTCAAGATACAACAAGGTCTCGTGCGGCGGCGAATGTGTCCTAATCTACAACAAGGTCTCGTGCGGCGAATGTGTCTTCAGCACAAACAATTGGGAGGTGGCATTGAGGTGATTGTGTGTTTGATTCGTAGTTCTACGCGCAAGCTCTTGTAGATGATCTCAACCCAGTATGAGTTCGTAGATGATGATGATTGTGTTCAGGGCGATTAACGGTACTGCAAGTATTACAATCAGCGTTGGATATTCCGACCAAGATGTGACCAACGTACTCCTCATGAGGGTGCGGACTGAAGCGATCAGGTTGATGACTTTTGACTTGACGCTGGTGTTGTCTGCAGGGCCGCCGAATGCTGGCTCTTGTTGTGTGGATCCCCAGCCGACTGTTTGTGTCCTGTTAGTCGCGTGCTTCGAGTGTCGGTGGATACAAAGGGGCTTTGCGTACTTCTGGCGAGGAAGCGGTCTTCGGAGAGGATGGCTATCGCATTGATCAACAATATCGTGACTGCGAGGGTCGCAAGTGTTAGCATAGATCGCGCAATCATTGTGTCGCAAAGCGCTTACCATAGAACAAGCCCCCAAGGCCAAAGAAGAACATTTTGATCTAGTTGTCAGACGCTGGTTGCGACTGTACAGGGTGGAAGATGGATGCGAGCGAAGCAATGACATGTCTCCTTCCCCCACGGCCCTGCTTCTGCCTCTCTCCACACTCGTTCACCAAAGCTGTCCTCACATCGCGTGTGCCAAGAACTACACCATGGCTCGACAACTTATCGGTATGGCTTGAAATCACTTTGGTGAATATAGTTTGACCTGCGGAATGCTAATTTGATTGGTTTATCAGATCTAGTGTTGGTCGGGATGTTGCCCTTGACCATACTGCTCCATCTGTACTTAGCCCCTTATACCAAGGTCGAGGAGTCTTTCAACATACAAGCTATTCACGACACACTTGTCCATGGCATCCCGACACGAGATGCTGCAGCTTTCTTCGACTCACATTATGATCATACCACTTTTCCCGGTCCTGTACCTCGCACCTTTGTTGGTGCTGTCGTCATGTCCGGCTTGACTAGACCGCTGCAAATTGTGTTGAATAAGCTATCGTCAGAAGGCGTAGATAAGTTCAACTATCAGATTGCTGGTAAGACGCAAAATGTAAAAACTCGATGTGGCTTGGGTGCTGATTCCAAACAGCAAGAGGAGTGCTCGGCTTGATCAACGCTGCAGCTCTTGCCCACTTTAGACGTGCAATCGACACAGCATTTGGAAACGTAGCTGGGAGATGGTATATCATCCTCCAAGCCTCTCAGTTTCATGTGATGTTCTACGCATCTCGCACTCTGCCAAACATGTTTGCATTCAGCATTAGTAAGTCTGCTTGCTGCTATATGTCATTCATGCCTTTTTGACAATCTTAGCCATTCTGGCATTGTCTAGCCTCATCTCTGCTCAGGCAGTCGCGACCCGCACGTTGAAGAGCTCGAAACGCCGCCGCCTAGCTCTGTATCTCTTGACTGCTTCAGGCATCATCTTCAGATCAGAGATAGCCATTCTGCTCGCTGTGCAGACGCTATACTTACTGCTACAAGGTCGGACCTCTCTGATCCGCGAAGTGATACCCGCCGGACTCCTTGGTGTGATCATTGGTCTTGGTGTCACTGTCTCAGTCGACTCATACTTCTGGCAGCGCTTTCCACTGTGGCCCGAATGGATAGGCTTCGTCTATAACACCATCCAAGGAAAATCCTCTGACTGGGGTGTCAGTCCATGGCACTACTACTTCGTCAATGCCATTCCTCGTCTTTTGCTGAACCCAATTACATGGACGCTCTGCATACCTTTGGCTCTGGTCAATCGCGCTACACGAAAGACGAGCTTGGATATCATGCTACCCCTCGTTGCTTTCGTGGCCATCTATAGCGTCTTGCCTCACAAGGAGTGGCGCTTCATCATCTACATCATCCCTGGACTTACTGGAGTAGCAGCTGCAGGAGCTTCGTGGATCTGGACTCGTCGATCGAAGACCCTTCTCTACCGTGTCTTGAGTTTAGCTTTGGTTGGCTCCACTTTGCTCTCATTCGTGACTAGCTTGGGTCTGCTCTACATTTCCAGTCTGAACTACCCAGGAGGTGAAGCTCTTGCACGACTTCACGAAGTCGCTCCTAGCACACAGAGTGGCCAGACGTGGGTGTATATGGATAATCTGGCCTGCCAGACTGGCGTCACGCGCTTTCTGGAGAAGAATGCTGAGTCAACTTTCAAGTACGACAAGACAGAAGATGAAAAAGCGCTGTTGGATCCAGCCTTCTGGCAAAAGTTCACCTATGTGCTTGCCGAAGACCCGAAACGAATTATCGGTAGCTGGGAGGTCGTCGACACCATCTACGGCTACTCTGGAGTGGGTGTTGACAATCTAGCCGAGGAGCAAGATAGCGCCCCTGCTCTCGCGGCGAGAACCGCCATTGCTCGACCTCTGAACAAGGGTCTGCAGGTGTACAATTGGATAGCTCGTACAGCAAGTCAAAAGCTGACTGGCGGAAGATGGCCGGTGGTGAAGATGGAACCCAAGATCTATATCTTGAGGTCTCAATAGACTTAGCTGACATGACCGCACCAATGCTCCGTCGCACACGTAATGTCCGATCCTGAAGTCCCGTCCACGTACTTACGAAAGTTCACTTGCTCTACTCTCACTTCCTCACAATTTCTCTCGCTCATCTCCCTATATACAAGTCTTGTCTTTTATCCAAGAACACATCTTTCCTTTCTCCAACAAAGAACAGAACAACATCGGTACGCGAAAATCTTCCATTACAGTCCAACATATGCTAATCACCCGTAGGGTCAACATGTCCAGCCAATACTGCGATTCGTATGGACAGTGACGCCGCGTTCGTGGCTTTGCAAGAGAGACACAAGCACTGCTCCGACGACCAAACTGACTCGCGCCCATAAGCACTTGCAAAAGTAGCTGCCAATATCGCCAGGACGAAGATCAAGGTGCACAAACTCCGACTCGACGTCATACAAATATACACCCGAGTCTCCTGAGTCTGGATTCGTCCATGACCTCAACTTTGCCGTTTTCATCCCCGACGCTCCCATCCTGGAACAACTCAAAGTGATGTGTTCTCAGCTAGTCATCGACGAGGACACCAGTAAGCTTCTCTACGATTTCAGAGCAGAATGACGAGCTGTTCGACTCTCACCTAGAGGAGACAATCGTGCTCAAAAGCCAACAGATCACGATGGAGGCCTACGAGAGATCGCTACGTGATGCTATTCAGGGCAAGGGTGAAGGAGAAGCACAGAATAACCTTGGGCGCGTCGGAGAACACACCAATCTTGTCTTCCGCGGAAGGAGTGACGAGTGAATCTTATCAATTTGATCTTGTATCGACCAGGATAAAAAAGGGACGGAAGCGGGAACTTGTGGATCTGGGCAACAATCTTTCTGAGTCACGGGTACAACTTGAGCTGGCACAGAAGACTGTCGCTTTGATCAAAAAGGAAAGACAACGCTTGGAGGAGTTTGAAATAATGATTGAGAAGTCTTTTGGCCGACCTGCATTTGGTTCGCTTGCCTGAGGTCGACGGTAAAGCTTGGCCCTTAGTGCAGGCGCTGTCATCATTCCTCATCATACGCTTTGAGAAATGGACTCTGGCGAACCAATACCTCTTCACGATAGGGCTTATACAAAGAGTGGCATTCTCGAAGCGATCACTACACTACACAGAGATTTTCCCTTCTCATCCTATCTCTTCATCCGCCCCCTTCAATCAACATAATTAGAAATCTCAATCAAATTCCCGTCCGGATCCCTCGTATAAACACTCTTCAATTTCCCCTGTGCACCAGTCCTATCAACCACTTTACCTTCCTCCAAAATCTCCAATCCTTCCTTTTGAAGTTCAGACAAAACATCTGTGATGGGAGTAGAGGTCAAGAAACAGAGGTCTGCAGTACCGGGTTTTGCGAGAGTGGCTTTGGGTTCGAATTCTGCTCCTGCTTGGTGCAGATTCAGTTTTTGAGAGCCAAAGGTTAGGGCGTGTCTGTGAAGAAGATTAGTAAGGCACGTAAGAGGGATGATGAAATGTAGTGAGATGAAGGTCTGGCAACCTGTATGTGGAGAGCTTGCGTTGAAATCTCTCCATCCAAATAACCACCTTTGAACAGTGCAAATCTGCGGATTTGTAGTTACCTCTCAACTCCTGGTGCGTCCTTGGAAGAACGAAAGACCTCATGCTGCATACCCAGTCGCTTTGTGTAAAAGGCAACTGTTGCATTCACATTGCGACAGGTAAGGACGATGTGATCAAGAGCTTTGACGGCGAAAGGCATGATGGGATGAGACTTTCATAGACGACTACGAATATTGGTCAAGAAAGTAAGTGTTTTGTTCTAAGGAGGCATCGATGAGGTGAGTCGTACGAGTAGTGGCTTCCAATTACGCATTGCGTAAGCAATTGCGGGGATCTCGAAACTCTGTTTGATAGGCTTGTTATGTTGTAATGAGGAAGCAGCGACTATGGTAGTAAACAAATCATGTTCTGTGTGTCCGGCGTGGGCATGGAATGATGGTCTAAAGGAATTAAGAAAAAAAAAACATTGTGAGACCAGGAAATTTACTGCCATGAGGGTCTCCTGGCTGGCGAGCCGAACTGCAACCCGTTGTCCTTCACCAACTCGGTCGAATGCACGACCTCAGTCGTCTTTACAATACTAGGCAGATGAGCCGTAGAATCATACGCCGATCCCCATTGTATGGTCGTCTTGAGGCTTTTGAGCATTTGCGACCCATCTTCGAGACGATTCAATCTGTGGCAGGCTGATGAACTTGTCCTGACCTGACAGATCAAGCCACAACGTGCTAATAGTGTCTCGTATGGCGTCTGAAGCCGGACTGCGAGAGCAGCTACGATGCTTAGGTTCTGCTCAATCTGCCACCAAATTGTTGGAGCTACCATGTCTCGAAGCGGATCATCACTCATGCGATAAGTGTGTAAATATATCATGTTGGCGACTGAGGACATACTGATGAAAAGTCCTAATCCGACTAACAAACCCAGTGCGATTAGCTCGTGCAATGGTCGGTTCGCAGCTTTGACAAAAGCGATTGGTGTCAACGATAGAAGTATGCTTGTGATGATACCAAAACCTAAGCCTGATCAGTCAAGTTTCTTGCGAAGATGGCATCGGGTTTCTTACTCAATGTGACATAGGCAGCAAGCTGTGTCCTTTGAGGTGGCCAGCATTGTGCCAGCACATTATCGTCCCAGAGTGCGGAAGTCGGCTGGCACTGCACAACTTGGATGACGTTGGTTGCAGTTGTGCAGGCGATTTGCACAAAGATGATCCAGCAGAACATCCATTGCCATTGTCTGTCTTGTCTCTTACTGAGGGCAGTCCAAGCGATGGAACACTTGGCTAAGCAGACAGACCAGATACAAATTGGCTGTGCAAGAAAGCTGAAATACCGAGCCTTGACTATACTGACAGAGTTTACGAACCCAGTATGTCTGCCTAGACCGTAATGGCAGCTGATGGCGATCAAGATAAATTCGACTATTGCTAGCATCTGAACATCTTAGCTTGTGTTTTGTGGACGGGGGACTTCCGTTTACTGACCAGAGCTGCAGTGATCATGCCATCGGTCCACAGGAGGGGCGCAGACCGACGAGCTCGTACACGTACACCATATAGCAGCAGTGATAAGGTCAAGGTTATTATTGCAGGGACCAGTAATTCAGCTTGTGTACTATTGTTCGCCCCTGCGAATTGTGCTTGATCCATGGACATCGTACGCTGTGTTGCAAGGTCGAAGTTGCTGCTGTTATCGTTCGATGGGCTCGGCGACAAATGCCTGTGGTCAAATTCAGGACGGGGAGCGCGAGGTGATAGACCCTCTTTCGAAGACCAGATAGTAAAGACCACATGGCAAGGACGCTACTCGCAACTAATAGCAGTCGGGACAAAACGTGCTTTTTGCTCTCTACCAGTGAAAAGAGCTTCATGCATAATCTTGAGTAACTCTCAAGATCGTTTTGTCTTGGTGTCATGCAGTATATCTCATGAAGGGCAACCAGAGAAGAAATCGTGGAGATTAAGTTGCCTCCGCTCTGCTTCGGCGTCCTGCAGGTGCATTTTCTGGGAAAGAGCGGCGCATGTGATCCGCCACATGGGCATCGAGCTGAGGTCGATGAAGCATGGAAAGAAAGCAGACGGCAACCTAAATTTCGAGCCTGTCGATGAAGTGGCCCACTGAGGTATACGGTCATCCTCCTTCGGCTGATATAAGAGCTGGCACATCCTGAGCCGCCCAGATGGAGAGCGGAAGCTTGAGCCTCTTCTTTGCCCATAATGTGCCGCCCATCGCACTACTGCATGCATGAGACGTGTTGACAAAGGTCACAAGCCCTAACATCCGGAGCCTTCTCGATTGGGGCACATCTAGGTGGGAGTCGCTCGAGTGACCAAATGTGAAATTCATCTGTCGTTTCTGTGCTACCTCACGGAGCCAAGAGGTGGTGTCGAGAGTCATTGTCGGGTTCATCCCTTGTGTTGACAGGACATGCATCAATAATGGCTCAGACTAGCAGGTTCAGGCTTTCTAGGCAAGGAGGTCCGGCTTCTGTGCTCACTTGGACTTGCAAGGATGTACAAGAAATTCGATAATGCGCGACCGCGATGACCGGTTCGGCAAGCGGACCCGTTGAACGCAGACCCCACACGACAAAGATGTGAAACGGGCGGACACTGTCAACTTTCGAACGTTGACGCGTTCAAAACAACTTGTCAGCTCACCGTCTCCGAGGCCTTCTAAAACATCGAATACTCTTCCTCGCAGGCGGTGATCACAATGAAAACTAGGGCAGGTTGTCCATCGTGAATGCCACCGGGCCGGCAAGAACAATAGAACGGGGATGCATGTTTGGCTGCAAGATTGATCGACAGGCACCATGTCACCACGCCGTGCACGTCAGAGATAGAGATCTCTATCTTTACAATGCCGTTCATCAACTCGACGCACCCCCACCTAAAAATATCGTCTAGCTCTGATCAAATTGATTCTTCAATGTCGCCCGTGAGCCGACCAAAACCACTGCAGCGAGATAGGTTCCACGCTGCCCTTTTCAAACCACCTTTTGGTCCGTGAGCCGCTTGATCTTGAGCCGCTCTTCCCAGAAGTCCCAGAAAATGAGGCGGGCCTTCTTCGTTACGAGAAAGCACCTTGTGATGCCTGCCCTCTGGCTGCGGCAGGTTACGACTCTTGGTAAAGCGGGCCTCCAATGATCGACCACTTTGCCAAACAGAGAAGAGAAAGATAGCAACTGGCTTATGTATATAGGTAGGCCTTCAACTGCTCAATTCCCTTCTAGGATCCTCATGATCAACTTGCACTCTTTATTCTTCAAGATCACTCGCCGCATTCGTTTGCTCGGAGTCTGATCTCTTACATTCGTTAAATTCTCTTTACCTATAATTGCACCGAGATACAGTCAAGATGCACTTCAAATCTTCTATCGCCGCTCTCGCTTCGATCAGTGCTCTGGTAGCTGCCCAAGCGCCTAGCATCGATCAATGGGACCAGTCAGAGATCAACAATGGCACTGCTTGGGAGGAAGTGACCCAGATTGCCAGAGACAACCAGGTGTACAACTTGGGCACGCGTGGAGACAACAGCTGCCAATGGGGTACCATGTCAGTGAGAAAGGAGTTTCGCGACATGTCCAATGCAGACCGCAAATCGTTCACCGATGCTGCCACCTGCCTCATGAAGACACCTCCTAAGCGCATGCAGACCAGCCAAGCTTCAGACTACCCTGGTGTCAAGTCCCGTCATGACGAGTACGTCGCTACCCACATCAACATGACCATGAACATCCACGCCACGGCCGACTTCCTAGCATGGCACAGAAACTTCATCTGGCACTACGAACAAGATTTGAAGAATCTCTGCGGTTACACAGGCACTCTCCCCTACTGGGACTGGGCCTTGGACGCTGCAGCCCCTCAAGACTCACCCATATTCAACGGCGACAAATACAGCATGGGTTCAAACGGAAAATACATCCCCAACCGCAGCGACACCTACCTCTACACTCAAGGCGTCAACATGCCCCCCGGCACAGGAGGCGGCTGCATAGAATCCGGCCCCTTCTCAAACATCAAGATCCACCTCGGGCCCCTCGATCTCCCTAATGCGAAGAACGTCGACAGCGACTATGAATATAACCCTCGTTGCTTGGAACGTGACTTCAACTCCTTCTTCACATCGCAATACAACACTTACTCCAACATCACCGAATTGGTACTCGAAAGCATTTACCTCGAAGACTTTCAAGATCGCATGCAAGGCTACGCTACCGGAGACCCCTTTGGCGTCCATGGAGGCGGTCATTGGGGTATGGGAGGTGCGGCCTCTGATTTCCACTCTTCACCTTCTGATCCATTGTTTTTCTTGCATCATGGTATGATTGATAAGATCTGGACTACATGGCAAAATCTCGATATTTATCGTCGTCAACTCATTATCAAAGGTACTTCTACGCTTGGAAACAGTCCTCCTAGTGCTGAGATGACTTTGGATGATTCTATTCCCTTTGGCTTTGTGGCTGAGGATAGAGTGTTTAGGGAGTTGATGGATACCTTTGCTGGAGATTATTGTTATCGTTATGAGTAAATCATTCTTTAACGATATCCTACTGTGGGAAGGAAAGAGAGATGCTGCGTACACTTCTTCTCACACACACACACACAACTGGACTTCCATAGACTCTTACTATACAAATTTAATGTCTTTGCCGAAACTAATGTTCGGAGAAAGGAATGTGCTTTTGTCTATCGATATGATCAGTGCAACGCTTCTTATGCTCCATATGTCTTTCTGATCCACTCAGTCCATACGCCAATGTCGCCAACGAGCCCCAAGGCCTTTGCCATCTTCTGTGCAGCTTTGTCCTGCTCTTCTTGACTACCTCGAGCCACGTTTTGCGACAAGACGATGATCTGGCCATCAACAGAGACATTTGCACTGATGCTCGCCAATCCGCCCTCTGCTCCTTGTACCGGGAACACAAATTCTAGAGTAGGCGAGGGTTGTGTGGACAGAGATACATCTACCGATAGCGTATTGCCAGTATCCAGATTGGTCCCGCTGAGCAAATCAGCTAGCGAGAAAGCTGTTTCGGATTTCGAAGGGGCAACACTGTTGGCCTGCAGAAATGTGCCTCTCAAAAGACTTCCCAGACTAGCCCACTGTCTCAACACCGGCAACAAAGCTACCACCTGTCGAGGATGTGCAAATGGGATGGAAGTCAGCACATAGCCGAAATCTTGCTTAGGCACGTATAGCGCATTTTTATGCTCCACATGCTTGCCATCAGGAGCAAGCACATTGATCGTCGTAGAGGTAGAGGGACCTGAAGGCTGGACCACAGGCCTGTTAAGCAGCGGTATGTCAAAGGTTTTGTCGAGTAGCGCTCCTTCGTAAGTACGCTGAAGATCGGGGATCTCGGACATCAGAGTGCCAGCACCGACAGATTGTAAGATGGCGCTCGCGGCTGTCCAGGGCATGGCGAGCGGTGGATTCAATTTTGCTACAAAGCGAACGGCTGGTAACTTTTGCGCGCCTGGATTGGTATTGTTGTCAATGGCCATGACATCGCTAGTGTTTTGATTGTTGTCGGACAGATAGGTAGGGGCAGGTTCTAGCCAATCGATGCTTTGGGTGCCAGAGAGAAGATCTGTTGGATCCGTGGTTTCCTCGGCAGACTTGAGGATCCGGTTGGCGATCCAAGAGAACGAAACACGAAGCGAGGAGTAAGGATCAGGAGTGCTGGCTTCAACTGTGATCTCGAGAGCAAAGATTGTCTCATCGGCTTCCTTGACCGGCTTGTCCGGAGTTTTAGTGTCAATTCCCATTGCGGACTCATCCTTCTTTGCGCTCGTTGTAGCTGGATTTGAGGGGTATATGTTGCTCTTGTCCATCCAGTAGTCAAGGCTCAGACCAATTCTTCTGCGCGCATGCATCTGTGGGCGGCCACTTCTCTTGCACATGACGTGTCGCTCTGCTCTCAGAGCGGGATCTCCACGTTTCGCTGTGGCCATGGTTTGAGCGGCTTGTTTCTCATGCTCGTAGAGCGTCTTCAGACTTTCATAGACGCCTGTGATTGCCTCTGTGCAATTGAGTTGATCGTAGACACTGAGTTTGTCCAATCTGGCGAGAGTTTCGAGGTTCGCAGCAAACTTGTCAAGATTGGTGTTGATGGCGGAGACAGCAGGTGGAGGCGTAAGGTCCTCGAGTAGGACGCTAGCAGCAGCAGATTGATGGGCCGTGACGGCGTCGTTCTGACTGGAAAAGGAGAGGTCGACGTGGGTGGGTAGGTTGTCCTTGAATTGGAAATCGATCAAGACGTTGTTCTTGCCAGCTACAGCGACGGGTCTGTTGCCCTCGAACTTTCGCGCCTCCCTCTTAGCCTCGACCTCGACGTCAAGTCCTACCCAACGACCGACTCTTCTGACGCCCTCCTCACTGACCCTACCAAAGCGGCGCTGTTTCTGGCGGCCGAGCAGCGTTGTGAGAACCGTGTCTAGCTTCATTCTACGTTCATCATCTTCGTTACGCTTGCCAGAGGGGATGCCGAGATCCGACAAGCTCAGGTTCATTGGGTGTGAAGTGGCAGCGTCGAGCAAGGCCGAAGGGGTGGTCATGTCGAGTCCGGCGAGGGCAGCGGGCGATGCGAAAGCGAGCAGATTGTTCGACGGCGAAGCGCCCAAGAGGTTGTGCGTCATGGCTGAGAGAGCTTGGATGCTTGGGTTTGAGGTCTGGCTCAAGCTGCTTGTCATGGCGATGCCTCCCGTGCCAGCCTTTGTCGCCGAAGCATGCTGTGATTGCGCCGTGGTGAGGGGGGCTCCTTTGCCGGCCGTCGAGGGTACGCTGCGAGGAGCTTGAGCAAGCTTGTTGACCGGCGTGTGCGATTGTTTGGCGAGCAAACTGTTTGTCGCGTTCGGCGTCGTCATGGCTGCCTATTTCTCAGAGCCGCGCGATAATGACATGTGTCGACTTCCACTCCGACCGTCATTTGTCCATCAAACGTGAACACCTACCTTTGACGAGACAGTCGCTCGGCTATGCTGCTGGGTGACTTCAGCTCGCGCCATCATGCTCCCTCGGAGATGGCATCCGTTACATGCAACCACTTTACACCTTCTCACGTGATTCAAGCTTCCAGCCTGCATCTGCTTCCAATCCCGATGGCCATCCCGCTTCTACCCGCCTCTTGCGCCATCTCCCCAATCCCCATCCGCCCACAGACTACAGTGCACACACACCATCCGCATCTGGGGAACCTCGTCGCTACTCATGTCTCACTTGGCAATGACCTTGATGGACGCGTGTGGAAATATGCAATCCGCTTGAATCAACGAAACTAAAGGTACTCGGGATCTATTGACGGCGACCCTCATCCTAAGGCCACGCCTGTCTCCCCTTCCCCTTTCTGTGTGAAATTATCGCCAGTCAACCCACTTCTCAACCAGCTGGCCAGTCGTCACGACTAGGCTGGTCATGTTCGCTCTCCTGTAGTGCTTCTTCGTTCATTGCTCTCCCCTTTTACTTGCCGTGGTCGCGTGAAATGTCCCGTTTAGGGCTTGGAGATGGGCACAACCATCTCGAGGTCAACGTTCTCGGCGTTGACGGCCGTCTTGTGCACGTTGGCACCATCGACCTTGCCGCAGAGAGTCTCAACGATAATACCGGTGATCTGGTAAGGGTCGGCGTTCGAGGCGGGTCTGCGGTCCTCAAAGTAGCCCTTGCCCTGCTCGGCGACGGCGCGGTTGACACGAACACTTGAGCCGCGGTCGGCGACACCCCAGGTGAACTTGTCCATCGAGGCTGTCTCGTGCTTACCGGTCATACGGAGGGCGTTGTCTGAACCGTAGACGTCCATGTGCTCCTTGTGACGCTTGGCAAGCTTCTCCATGGCTTCCTCGATGACCTTCATACCACCGTCCTGGCGCATGGCTTCTGTTGAGACGTTGGTGTGGAGACCAGCACCGTTCCAATCACCAGGGATGGGCTTGGAAGCGAGAGTGACCTTGACTCCAAAGTCTTCGGCAACACGGTGGAGGATGAAACGGGACATCCAGAGCTCGTCACCGACTAGGAAGTTCCGTTAGTTCAGCTTAGGCATGACTTGCGACCGCACATTAACTTACGGTTGATGCCAGTGCAGGGACCGACTTGGTACTCCCACTGGGCGGGCATGACCTCGGCGTTGGTACCGGAAATGTTGATACCAGCGTAGAAGCAGGCCATGTAGTGAGCCTCGACAAGGTCACGGCAGAAGACTCTACCGGTACCGACACCACAGTAGTAGGGGCCCTGAGGAGCGGGGAAGCCGTTCTTGGGCCATCCGAATGGCCAGCCGTCGACGTCGAGGAGAGTGTACTCCTGCTCGAGACCGAACCAGAAGCCTTCCTTGGCGTTGGCCTCCATTAGGAGAGCAGCGTCATGGCGGAAGTTGAATGCATTGGGCTTGCCGTCCGACATCCAAGTCTCGCACATGACGAGGACGTTAGGCTTGCCGCGGAAGGGGTCGTCGTAGAGGGCAACGGGGCGGAGGTAGACATCCGAGTTGTTGCCGGGGGCCTGACCTGTTGACGAACCGTCGAAGTTCCACTCGGGCAGTTCCTCAAGAGTGACACGACCCTTGGCGACTTGCTCGTCGGTGCGGTCAATAGTCTGCGAAATTTGTTAGTACAAAATCTCTGCATGAGGGATATATCAAAAGTCGCTAGCTCTGCGCGGTTTTTGGGTGCTGTGCTACTCGAGCGGGCGGTGATCCGCAGCAGGCTCAACTGCGCGACTTTGACGAGCGCGACTTTGTGTTTGTGTGACTGACCTTGCACTTGGATCTCATGCCATTGGAACCATCGATCCAAATGTACTCGGCGATGATACGCTTGGGCGACTGCTCAAGGCTCAGGTACTTCTTGAGCTGTGGTAATGGTCAGCGACGCTCTCGAGAAGCACATTGCTGTGCTTCTTCTGAGATATCCTCACAGTCTGGGTGTTGGAGAGATATGCTGAATCCGGCTGCACGCGGTGGTCAGTAAACGTTTCGTCAGAGTAAAAGATCTCGTTGACGGTGACTTACCATGATGACGGTTGTGTATGTGTGTTGACTTGGGAAGTCGATTAAGATAGAGACGAGAAGAATAGATGCACACTGTTGGAGACAAGCTGCAAGCGATCAGATGCAAGTAAAGAAATGGGATGGGATTGAAGAGTGAAAGCGAAGGTCGGAGCAAGGACAAAGGCTGGGGAAGTTATTTGAACCAAGAAACCAAGAGCGAGCAGCTTCTGGGTGTTGACCACGCGAGCTCGGCCTGCGATAAGAGTCCCTGCCTGACAGGTACTTCATTCAGCCGCCCGCTCTCACCTGCCGCGCCGACGACGCCATCACTGCACACTCGCCGAACCACTAAACAATCCCATGCCATATCAGTCTTTTACTGCACCCCTCATCCCCCTCCTTTGCCATATCCTGCTTTCCCTATCTCTGTACAATCCCGCCATTGTCATCTTGTTGCAGCATGTACGTGTACCACGACTCCGGCCGCTTCACATCCTTTGACAGTTTGCATCTCCTAAACAGCCCGTCCAGTACGTATGTCCTGGAGCTGTTCCTCGGCTTTTCGCTTATGACCGGCCTAAAAGGTTGGGACCCTTATCGTGATTCGTTGCTATGTCTATTTCCGTCATGTTTTCGCATCCATTCTCCTGTTTGTCTCGTCCATGCCACTTCCGCCTTGTCTTCTTTGTTCGTATCTGTCTTACGCCTCACTTTTAGATTCTTCTCACTCTTAATTCGCGACCTGGTGTTTCGTATCGCAGAAGGGTTGCCTTGTGCCGCGCAAGTGTTTCCCGACGGCCAAATACTGGAGATAGTGGCTTGCACCGTGTCACCGATCCCCAGATTTGATCCATCCAATAAACTTCTTCCGTCTCTTTGCGGTGGTGACCCGGCGCAGAGGTTCGTGCCTTGTTGTGCCCAGGAAATTCTGGAAGCTCGAGGTCTCAACTTTGTCTCCAGGGTCTTGTTGAGCAACGCCGGCCTGGAACTTGTATCGAGACACATTCGTGTGTTGTAATTCAACAAAGAGAAAGGTGCAATTCCTCTGTAGGCTCAAAGAACCTCGCGACGCCTCTATCGCGCCCTAGTTGTGCTTCGTTGTTAGACCACTCCGCCGCACAACCTATGTCGGCTTGAAGCCGGGTCTAATCAATTGTGCTTATCGCAGCCAATGGGCGGACACACGATTCTATTACAATGACAGTGATCCCCAAGTAACAGTGCGCGCGCCGTTGTCCGAGCACGGAGTGTTTGTCGAGTTTGCCGTCAGCCCGCTCTCCCAACGCCGCTCTCGGCGCGAATCTTGACAGGCTTCTTGAAACTCCCTGCTTGTTCGCCAGCTAGTTCTCTTCTGACCATTTTGAAACAGCTCTTCAACGGTGGTATGAGCATGGGCTCGAAAGAGCACACTATTACTCAATTCTCAGCCATTGTACTGCTACTTGCCCTCTCGTTCTCGATGTTGAGTCATGAAAGCACGGAAAAGCAAACATAATTCACGGAAAACCATGTAAGAGCCGCGGCAACGACGTTATTCTCAGGTAAAAGCGTGATTTTGTCAAGAGCGCCGAGGGTATATTCTCGGAGTTGCGACGGCGACAGCTAATTGAAGAGGCACTACTCCTAGAGTCGAAGTGGACAAGCCACGACGTTCTTCCAGGATACTCATCGTTCACCTGCCTGTCTCTGCCAGCGTGACAGCTTCGATACACTTCTAGCAAAACGTTCGAGAAATATTCGAGAAGGTTGATTATTGCACGTTCAACGACGCATCAATACTCGACCTTCCATCCGTCCGCGATCTTGATTCTCACAAGATTTCAGGGAACTGGCCGACGCATACTTTCCTGGGCTGACGTCCTATTACGAGATAACTATACCAGAACGACGACATCGTTCAACATTTAGAAAAGTTCTTCGGTCAACCTCACAGTTTTGGTATACCGGTCAGGTCCTATTGGATAGTCGTGCTTTCTAGCTAGAACTACGCAAAGAAGCAAAGCGTTCCGGATGCCTGTGCGATAAATATTACGAGATAAAAATATGCTTAGGAACCCCAGCCCCGATCTGTTCATCGATCTTGTAAACGACATCTGCCGACGCATTTGCCTCGATGCTTTGCAACATGCTCTACCGTGACCTGCACCTCTACGAACCAGCCAGATCTCTTTGATGGTTCGTCTTTCACAAGCGCCATGGCAAGAGGATGGGATGCCAAACAAATAAGATGTCCCAAGAGACAAGCTATTGTATGAGCGACGTCCTGATCCGAAAAATTTCAGGATGTCCCAGATGATTTAGATGATGCTACAAGTATAGTCTCTTGCAGGTTTCAGCAGTCTGCCTCTCGGAACTATACCTCATGGCAACGTAGGCGATGCTTCCACAGGCTGACTTGCTACGCCTGTGCAATCTGGACCAGCTCACAGGCAATCGAGAGCTCCGATGTCTGCCTTTACAATGCAAGGGCGATGCGGATGTGCAAGCAAATCGGCATAAGTTTGCTTTGTTGTGGTGAGTCTATCCATTGCCCTTTGAACTCTTTCCGTCAGGCCATAGCGACAGTCGAGGTAAAACGCATGCGTGTGCGTATGTCATTACATGCAGCATCGTTCGTAGGCTACATGTATGATGGATGCTCATATGCTTGACGAGTCCTTGTAGTTGGTCAGGTATGTACAAGCTATGGTCCAAGGGCACGATACTTGCTGGTCTCCACGAACAACTTGTATGATTGCCGGCTTTGGCCATCGTCGCTCCGTCGGAAAGCTGTGTCATGATGATTGCTCGGCCAGCTCGAATGTGAAAGCGGAAGACGCGCAAGACTGGCGGTTGCAACACCGTAGATGTGATTTGTCGTCATTCTCGAACGACGAACTCCGTCGAACCTGCAATCCTGGACCGATGACCGCCTGACAACGTAATGTGTGTCGTACAGACACCCTACTACCATGAGTGTGGCCACTATGGTCCCCCAACTGTGGCACGCAATGGTCGATGTGCACGCGCAGAGCACCTACCTGGACCTTGCTACGAAACAGACGACAACGGTATCAGGACCATCGAGGCAATGTGCCCCACCTGTGAACGCATAACCAACGACACTTCAAGCCATGCTCGCCCCAGCACTACCGACACAGGCCCTGTCAATGTCAGCAAGTTCAATGATCTCGTAAAGCTCCACAAGGATACATTCGCTCACCAGTATTTCTTTCGTTGTCCGTACCGTCAGTTCCATACTGACACCGGACCTAGCGAGAGCGATACAAGCAATCCTTCACCAATTAAGCCTGGCGCACCTCTACCGACAGCAGATGAGCTGGCTTTTCCTGGTCTTAGTACAACAAGCGCAGCATCTGTTGTGTCAACTCCAGTCAGTAAGCTGTCCATGGATGAAGGACCACCCGTTCCCATCGCCAATACTCCTTCTCCACCTCCGACCTCTCGTATACCAGCCTGGAAGAGTGTTGAAGACTGGGCCAAGCACGCTTATGGTGGAGAGTCCAAAAAGCTATGATCGCCTGGATTCAGGCCATGCGAGTCCCTCTGAACGACTTGACGACACTTACGAACAACTTCGACCACGACCTACAACGTCAGCATTAGACTCATCGCAGACGTAGCTTACATCGGCGGGGTAGTTGGCCCTTGGGAACTAGAAGAGCGATCGCTGTCGTCAAGCCTCCGCGGTACTCGCTTTTGCTCGGGAAGAAAGATCAGTCGTAAACACTGCACCATGCTGGAAGCGTACCGGAAGGAGGGAATGCTATACTCATTTTACAGCTTTCTCGTCCTGCCCTTTGCTTTGCTAATACTACACCGAGCCACTCTACTTTGGTTTTCCTTGAGCCCTCATTGGAACTCTAGCAAACACTCATCTGTTGACGATAAGTTCCGTGCCTCTTGATAGCCGTTTGATGACTGGAAGCTGAGCTCGGCATCATCTCTTCGTTTCACGTCTCTCATTCTCTTCTGCAGGTCTTGCTTCAGTACGAGGGGCCGTCGATGCGGGTAAGACCGCGGCTGTTTTCTTTGGAGCTTGCGTTAGTGTAAGTCGAAAATGCTGAATTGAATCACTGACTTCTCATCTGGGCGATCGCAGCTTGGGCAGTGGAGGGAGCCGGCTCGGGCATCTGACGTTCCATGTGCAGACTTCCAGGATGATCGTGGACCGAGTTGGCAGGAACATTCTGGTACTGGACACTGCTGGAGTTATCGTCGGTCGAGATACCAGGATCATAACGCTGAGCGTTGCTAGAGTTGTACGCGATGTTTCTTGAGTCAGGCCGGGCTACGGATGGGAGCTGGTTGCCATCACGGTTGAGGGCCACTGCAGGTAAGATTTTGTGATAGACTTTGGTATAATTGGTTGGGGTGTCGTAGGTGTAGCGAAGCTGACTGGCAGGAACTTTTGGAGCGATCTGGGACAGCTGCGATGCATGATAGTTGGAGGTGTCCGAGCCTGAAGGTGGGCGCGGAAGAAGAAGTCTGAAAGAGCGCGGTTTCTTCTCGGGCACTTGACAGAGAGGTTTGATAACGACATCGGATTGTTCGCTGACTTCAGAAGCTTGAGTGGTGGACTCGTGCGAGCCAGCTGAGGACATGTCTGTGGATGGAGCGGAACTTGAGAGCTCATTGCCGTTGCTCTCAGAGCTGACGTTACTCAAGCCGTCATGAGTACTTCTCTGCTCGACACCGACGTTGAGCGTCTTTGGTCTCCGCTTGCCAGATGCTCTCTTCTTGACTTTGTTTGAGCTACCGAGAGGACTTCCCTGCTTGACTCTGGTGTCAAATTGTTCCGTTCCGATCTGGCTGGAACCCTTGTTCTTCGTGCTGGGAGCTCTGATTTTGCTGCGGCCGAAATCCAGCTTCCTGGTTTTCTTGTCCAGTTTGGAGCCACGCTCCCACGGCTTATGGACGTCGCTCGAGAAAGGGCCAACGGTCTGCACGGTCTCGGGCTCAGATACAGGTGCAGGTCCATCGCAGGTGGTGATGGGGGGTGGTGCTGCCTGTCCGAAGGGAGCATAGCAAGGTGCACGCGAAGGTCCGTCGAGCGGATCAGGCAGTGACCACAGAGTGCACTGAGCATACTTGCTATAGAAGACTGCGTTGACTCGCATGCTGTAAACGCGGTCGCCGGCGGCCATGGCTTCTGCGAGCATGTTGCTGGTTTCTTCATCCATTTTGTTGACGTTGGGCACAGATTTGGGGGTGGAAACTGGATGCGAAAGAAGAGATGATGCTAACGAAAAGTGGTGATGGAAGCTTCTGTACACGCGTTGACGCGATGCGGTATGGCTTCGGTGGTTGTCTTTGTGAGACTTACTCGTTGTCAAAGACGAGTGAAGTCCGCACGACTCCAAGACAAACGAGACAAACGACTCAAAAGAGACAGCTCGAGACAGACCAAAACAAACCCCCCGGGAAAGCCTCCAATGTCTTGTTGCTGCATCGCAGGCCATCATCTGCTTGCATATATTTCACTCATCCGTTCATGGCCTCCCAACCTTCAAGGCCATGGTCCCACCTATCATCCTCCCACATGCCAGTCTGACCGGCAGAGTCAAGTCTGTACATCATCTTTGGTCCTTGCTGGCTCCACTGCACATCGTCTCCGTTCACAAACCGAGCAAAGGTAGCATTGAACTCCTTGAGGATCGTCTTCTCATCTGCAGTTAATCCTTGGCCTAACCCAGCACCCCAGAACCAGATGGCGCGATCGGTCGAGTGCGTCACCTTCCACTCAGGCGGAGCAATCAGATCGGCACACTTCGCACGCCAATCGATACGGTAGCGGAGTAGGTCTTTGCCAATCGTCAATCCGCCTTTGTCGAGAAGATTTGCGAAACCTCGCTCAAGGTCGTGTACTTGAACTTCTGCATATAGGCGACCAAAAAGATCAGGCCAATCTTCGGCGAACGCAGGTAATCTCTTGCCGGGCACACGAAGATCCATGAGCTTCTTCACCCTGGAGTCGGGATAGTCTGCCACGAGACGCTCGTATACCGCATCATAGCTCCAGTCGGGAGTACGCCATGCCTTTCACATTGTCAGTCGATGAGTCAAGATATACAAGGTGCTGACGCTTACTCCGTACAGGTAGTGCTCTGAGCACACTTCCCCGTTCATTATCTTTATACCTCGATCCTGTAGTTGCTTTGCAAACGAGCCGTCATTGATACTCTCAATCAAGTTTTCGCTGATGAAGGAGCCATCAGTTACCGGTCTGAATTCATGGAACTTCATACTGCTCTGGACTGCTACCAACTGTCGAGCCGGAACGTTACGCAACTGCGACAGCTTCTCTGCTGGGCTCAGCAAAAGGGGAATGTCAAGCCAGCCGAGGAGTTCATCAAACTGCTCCTGACGAGCGGCAGTCGAGCGTGGCTGGAGGCCTGGTCCGTTGGACAGCATACAGACTACAAGATTGTCAATACTGCGCAGGAAACTCTCGCAACAGGCTGCAAACCTCTCTTGATGATTGAAGATCTTGACGGAAGATACATGTCGTAGGCAAGCTGCTGGAAGGTCGAATACGAGCCAGCTGAATATCCGCCTACGGTAATGTTGTCCTTGTTGCCACCAAACGCAGCAATACGATCATGTGTCCACTCCAAAGCAGTACGTTGGTCCCAGAACCCGTAGTTTGAGTATGCTTCTCCGTTCGACCTTGCCTCGTCCTCTAGCTCCTTACTTGCAAGGAAGCCAAAAGCATTTACTCTGTACCCAGGCATAACCACGATGGCCTTGAATGCAGATTCGCTCAGCAGCTCTGCTAGTGCTTCAGGAGCCATGTTCGGGTCCTGCAGTGTTAGTCAGTCTCAATAGAATTATCAATTTCGCAATATGACGAGACAATCGTACTCCGAATTGTAACCACCCGCCAAACAGATAGAAGAAGACAGGCCATCCTTCCGCAGGGGTATCGCCCGAAGGAATCCAGACGTTGAGCTGATGGCAATCCTCGTTCCAGATGCTAGGATTCGGCAAACCGATGAATCCCGATTGTGGACAGACTCCGACCTGACCAACAAACTGTGCAGGCTTATCTTTACTACCATATCGGTGTGACAGAGGAAGATGGCGAGGCGCGCGAAATCTCTCGACAGGGTATGCATACGGTATGCCTCCAAAATAGTGGCAAAGAGTGCTTGATGATTTGCCGGTCACGCTCAGACCTTCTACGAAGCCCAATTGTCCCAGATCTAGCTGATATGGAGAAGTGCTGAACTTGGTCATGTTGTGCAGAAGTTGGTGAGGCAAAGTATGTTCTCAGAGATGCAGTCGCAGCCTGGTCTTGTGCTCTGGTAATGGCCGCCGGCTAAGCAAACGATGAGCGTATATGCAAATTTGTGTCCTATCTATTTCTCGGCCAGTGGGACTGCTCTACTCGATGAGGTTGAAGCCTTGCCCGGTTGGCCACTGAGGGCAATCCGAGCGGCAGTATTTCCGCTGCTTGAGTTGAGGCAACTCGAACCGAGTGTTTCCTGTTTTACCGCCTTCTGCTAGGCCGCCATGATTACTCTCTCCACTCTCACCACACACTGTCTGGTGGGAAGACATCACATCAGAGCGTATATATGTTGATTTCATTCGTCTGGATGGCGGATGCGTAACTCTTGAGCTCATTCGGTCGAAGGGCTCATTCCAAATAATTACCATCTACAGAGAAGCACGCGCTTCTCGACAAAAAACCTAGCGTCTAGAGCCAGATTGATCCTGGCCTCACTCTGTGAGACTTGACAATCAGATGGCCAAGATGCTAGGATCGAAGATTGACTGGCACCCTCTAGATGCCGCACGTCGAGAGGCCGTCAGACATCGCGATGCTGAGACGCGCCTTCCCCAACAGCATCAGAACTTCTGAACAGGACTGTCAACATACATAAGCTCTTTGAAGACCGCAGAGTCACCGACGAAATTCTCACTGCTGCACATATATATATATACGTACATACCGCGACAAGAACTCTGGCTGTGCAGACAATCACGATTGCAGACACGCGATCATCCGCTGCAAAGCAGGACTCTTCTCCCAACGTCTATCAGCACATCACATGCATACCAATGGCCTCTGATTTATCATGCTCGTCCTCGAAATTTACGTGTGTTCACCGTGCCAATTCAAGCTTGTGAACTGCTTGCTGGCAGAACTGACAGCATGAATCGCGACGAGCAGCACCTCTAAAACTTGATATATGAGACCATCACATGCACACGATCAGTCCTACGTAGGCTGATCATGGGCCATATAATATCACTCCTCACCCTTCACTGACTTTCTCTCTGCCACACTCATTCTTCTATAATAATTCAGCATCCTCCACAAACCGCTATATCGACATTCACACCAAGCAACAATGTCTCCATCACGAGCTCCTCAAGACATTCAACCTGTCACACCAACTCCCCTGTCCGGCAGAAAAATGGCAACACGATTGACACCTTCGAGTTCTCTGAAGTTGAACGAACAGGTGTCGACCAGAGTCATCGACAGCGGACATGAAGAAACCGACGAGGACCCATCGCCTCATACCCAGCCTCCCGCCTCAACTCCCTACACCGAGCCAGAGTCTGAAGTCCAGTACATGAGTGACGACGATCTCATCGAGGAGAATTACCGCGGGACTCAGGGATACTCCAAGCTAACAGCTACTGAGAGAAGAGTTTGGGAGACCGATCGAGCAAAGCTTCTGTGCAGAGAGGGTCACGCAAAACATTTCGAGTGTTCAATACACCTACTGGGTGAAGCTCCGTGTTCTACGCTCCAAGGTTACCTCCCATCAAGAATGGCAGCTCGTCCTGTTGTCTCCTGCTTCTTCGGTCACAACAAGAATGAGTGGAACCAGATCAACAAATCTGTACGCTTGTTCCTGTGCAGAAAGTGCTATCAGCGTCGTGGACACAAGCTCGGATCGCATCTTGCCTCCATACAGCTCCCGTTCTGTCGTGAGATGGTTGAGAGACTGAAGATCTGGCGACCTGATTGTCTCTTCACAATCAAACTTACCAAAGCTATGGTAGAAAAGGTCCAGAGGTTCGAAAAGGTTGTCGCCGTCGAGGGCTCAGTCAGACAAGAGGCTGCCGCAGAGGTCGATTCCGACGATCCCGAGAGTCGAGGTGCCAATATCAGAAGAGCCAACCACACACCCGTACTCGTCGCTATCGAGCTCGAGAATCGCTTCGGCGGAAGGAACAAGACAGCAGAAGAGCTCAGCGCCCTCTTCGACTGGCTCGAATCGAAGATGGTCGATGGTACTATTGAGGATATCCCAGCATTTGAGGCTCTCCTCAACATTAGTCCAGAGAACGAGGAACAGCTACATACTCAGCAAAAGCGTCGCGCTACGTTGAAGGACTCACTGCACATAAAATTGGCAGCAAAGCGCCAATCTCGCAAAGGTATACCGGTATCAGCCTCTACTCAGAGAACTACCGAGCCGGAAGTAACTACCACGCTTAATCCTCCTCAGGTGGTGTCAGTCGCAAAATTCCCTGCTGCGCCTACCTTCAGAGCTATCAACGCCAAACCTTCCACAGCTTCTCAATCTGAAGTTTCGGTAGCTTCTGGAGTCTCTGCGTCTGGTCTGGAATTGCTATGTGCTGCAGCTGACCTGGCTACCGCTGATCAGTCACAAGCTGGCCCGATCGTTGATGTCGCTCACGGCGATCCTTTCGTCTCACGACCTCTTCCTGTTGCTACCAGGATCATGCTCAAGTTCAACAAAGGCAAGGCTCCCGCCGAAGCCGGACCTGCCACCGAAGATTCGCAGCCGCACACACTAAAGAAGAGAAAGCGTGTCAATGCTTCGACACGCGAAGACGATGCCGAGGAAGAGGGAGTTGTGGCCATCGAAAGAGTCAAACGTGTCAAACCCATCACTGGCACTCAGGTCGAGAAGGACTTCCCTGTTGACGCTCCGGAAGACGTACAAATGTCTGGTACTCTGAGCGATATGACTCCGCAGCTGTCAGGAGCCGTTGAAGGTCATCAAATTGATATCAAGAACGGAAGCTCGACGTTGGCAACTTTGAGATTCGAGGGTACGAAAGTCGTCATCGACTTTGCCCCTTCCTCTTGAGAATTCCACTGAAGAAAACGCGGGTGTGTCTTTCTCTTGTCTGCCCTTGTGTTTTTTGACTTGTTGATGGAGATGTTGGCGGAGAATGTTCTGTCTTTTACTTACGGTATCTGTTTTGAGTTGTGTTTCGGAAGCGTCAATGGCTCTGAATGGAGACGGGTTGATAGGATTTGATTTGATCGAGAATGCCACGATACAATGGCTCTGTGAAATTATGTACATCTACTATATTTTGCCCAACCTCTCAGCTTCCATGATGAGTCTTTATATTGCGCGCCATTTCGTGAAATCTCCAACTGGGTAGTGAGCCAATCAGACCCCTGCATATGATCTCCTGTCGCGACGGTGTCTGTAATATTGGGTGTAGGGGAATGGTTGCTTGCTACCTGGCCCTTTTTTGCTCCGTGAAGTCCATGGTTCAAATCAATCTCTCTCTGCCGCTTCTTTTTGCACTCTTTACGTAGATGATCTGGAGGTATTGTAGATTGGTCAAAATTTAAATTTGAAGTCACCGTAGGCTGGCTATGTTTGGCATTCTCACTGGAAAAAGGCTTATTAAGCAATCAAGGATAACTCATGAACTGTTAATAAGCTAAAGCTCATCATGTAGTCAGTTTCTGACCATCTCATTACATGCAGTATTCAGGCGAGCAAACTCTCGAGACACTCCTCGTTCTAACCTGCAGCCATCCTTGCTAGCACATCAAGTTGTCCATCTTCCCTGGCCCTCATCTCAGCATGATCGCCAAGATGTTACAAGACCCCCAAGCTCGAGTGTTCAGCATTTGTCTTCAGCGTCTCCACCATGTTCAGCTTTCCAGGTCTTGACCACATCTTGCATATGCTCGACCGCAGCCTTTGCCTCTTGTTTGGTCCTTTGATCTGCTTCTTGTTCACCGTTGACAAATTCGTTGAAGCGACTCTGCCAGAAGTCCCAGCGATCCTTACACATGTTGTCGTAGGTTAGACTCATGTTAACCCCTCTAGAGGTCACAAGACTGTCCCTCTCGACTCCCTCCACAGCATCTTCGTAGAGTCTTTTCCCCGTTGCGCGAATCCAATGAGCAGCGGCGGGGATCTGCATCTCTGGAAACACTCTTTCGTAGAGATGCACGGTATCGTTGAACTCAACCTTTTGCTCGAGCGCACGAATGATGTTGTAGTAAGCGACGTCGGTCTTGAAGAATCCGTCAGCGGTCAGCTGGGCCCAGATATCATGTCTCTTTATGTATGCTGCAATGTCGCAAGCTTTGTTTTCGGGGTGCCGAGTGAATCCCTCGACCACATCACCAGGCTGTTCCCAGCAGACATCATTGAGCCAGATCGACGCGAAGAAGTAAAGTTCTCTCCACTCTCTTTGCTCCGTGCCGAAGGTCAAGTCCTTGCTAGGTCCGTCGCTCAAGCTTTTGATTGCGTGAAGTAGAGCGATAAGGTCTGAGGTACGTGCAAGAGGCCACTCGTCGAGAGCTGAAGCGAGCAAAGACATAAGAACATGGCTCTCGTCTCTTGCTAGCTGTGTTCTCGTCACCGGGATAGAGCCATTTGTCAAGGGTCGGGTAATTGCCATGAACTGGCGATAGCAGGGGGGTGTGTAGTCGAGCCTTCTTCACCACATCAACCGTTCACCTACAAGTAGTCGACACCTTTTTGCAAAGAGATATCGTCCGTTACACAATTTCAGCAGAGCGCTCAGGCCCGACATCACCATGCCTTTCAGAGCTACCACAGCAACACTTCTTGTCCTAAGTCTCCTGTTAGCCTTCGTGGGAGCAGCTCCAACAAATTCAACTCTGGGACGACTTGAAATGATGGACCCTATCAAGATCATCGGATGACCGATCTCGATTGGGCTGTCGTGTGCTGTAAGCTCTTTCTGACTCACTTTGACGGTGTTTCGCTAACAAATATAGTGGGCGTCATCGTCAGAAGTCAGCCACGATACATTGCCCTGACTACCGCTACCGAGCTGGTGGATTCTGGTGAGAGGTTGAGCAGTGAGTGTCATAGCCATTCCGATTTCAACTTCGTGTCTGACCTCTTAGTAGCTCAAAAGTACCCTCATCGGTATCTCAACAAAGACGAATACGGTAAGACTCTATTCAAATGGCTGCGGGAGGACTGCAACGAAGCAGATGGCTAATACGTCTGGGAGTACCCTACCCTTACCAAAGATTTGGCCTATGCTGGCGGAGACCTCGGAGTTTACCACACGTCATCTTTCGCTATGACCACGTTGATGGGGTTTGGAGGACTACATACTGTGGACTGATTGCTCATGCCGAAGGCGACGGCGTGAGAGGCACCTTCCACGGATGCGATGTCGAGTACATCTAATTCAACGGTGAATTGATGGGATGAGAACGCGGCTGGTACAGGGGGGGTGTTCCTGGGCGCACGTTCGGGAATTAGGTCTCAAGTGACCTTTGCTGTTTGCCCTGCAGAATGATGCTGGGATGGTTGTTTGTGAGAATGATTCTGGTATCTACTGCTTGATGATCAGGGACATTGTTGCTGAAAACCATATTGTTTAAGTCGCTTCCTGATTCATTTTGACAAAACTTGGTGAATAACTTAAAAGCAATCATTGACCAATCAACTTGTCTTCGTGACTGATCAGCTAGATTGTGAGAAGACTGGGAGCAGAAGAGGCAAGAGAGTCGCGCTTTTCGCGAGATTTCTTGTCCCTTCTGCCAGTCAGGAACATCCGTCAGAGCGCACAGCCGATTTCAGAAAACAGGGCAACTCCATCGGGAGCTTGGGGGCTCGCTCTGCGCGCGAGCCGGCGAGACAAGTGTCGTGACTCCTTTGTCTAGCGTTCAGGCTCTTCATTTGCAATACAAAACGGAGCACGTCCACCAGAGCGCATAGGTAAGTTATGTTCTTTCAGTCTGGACCGCGCGAGCGAGACGGATGCGAAATGTCACCGGATATTGTTCGGCTTTTCCGGCAATAAGACCTTTCCTTTTTAGGTTCGAGCAGATCCAGGGTTTTCCTCGGGGCTCGAGCACGTGCGGGCTCGTCTGTAGGGTTCTCGGTCATACCTTACGTCGTCCCGTATACAGAGTTCCCTCTGTCTCGAAACGTCCTGACATGCGTCAAAATCAAGAGTCCTGGGGCGAGAAGCGAGCGACCAGACGAGACCAACCAACCTTGCACAAGAACGCTTTTTGCCCTCGCTTCCATGAAGACACTTAGAAATTCTTTCCTCGTATGCAGGGACATTTGCGCACTTCGTTGAGCGGCAGGAGAGTCACTCATTCCCCTGGTTCTGAACGTCTTGCGTCTACCCACCAACTGTCGGGATCCTGCAGGAGACAAAGAGAAATTCGATAAAATTGTATATCGGAACAAAGTCGCTGAATGTCAGCTCGCTGTGAGCAAGCCACCATCTCTTATAGGAAGCATGAGAGCGAGGGCTTTTCGAGAAGCCGCTAGCTGTTCGCTCCCCTGAGACAACGTTGGGCTTGTCTATAACGGCCTACATTGGCATTGTACATTGATAGGGAATTCTGTCGATCAACACGGCTGCTGCTCTTGCTATCTGCATGGCTCCGAATGCGCTCTGCATTCAGAGAGCGACAGGGCCAAGTGCGCGATTTTTGGGATGGACAGAGCTGTTGTGTGGGATAAGTTCATAGAAAATGGTATAGGATTTAGAGATCTAGGTAAAAGCCGGAGTAAGATCCGTAGCTGTCAATGACAAAGTGGTATCAAGGGGGAAACGAGCAGCGACAACATGTCCACAAAGATTCAACATCGCACCAGAACTCCAAGCGCTGTGTAAATAGTTCCAAACAAACAAAAGAAAGTCCAGTTGCCGTCAACAATAATCAGACAGCAGTAGCAAAGAGGTAGGGATTGCCTTGCTCATCCATCCATGAGCCCTTTTCTTCTTCAGTCGCTTCGAGAAGACCCTCAGCTCTTCGCAGAGTCTGAACATCTAGACTAGTGACCCAGTTCCTGCCGGACAGGGGCTCGCGCACTTGGTTGTCCATGCCGAGCATCAAGTCATCCTTCCAGAGTCGGCGAGGGCCATCGAACACACACAATACTCTTTTCTTCATCCTCATCTTCTCGGGAGCTGCGTTCCAGGCAGGAGGGTAGTTCTTGCGACGCTTGTTGTTCTTTGTCATGGAGTGGAGGGAGACGCCGCCCTTTGAGTATGTCATGCCCTGGCGAGGTGCATCCCTGACATTGCTGTTCGAGAGCACAGGAGATACGATCTCATTCTTAATGTATTCCTCGTGGTCATCTTCATCCTCGTCATCGTCATCGAAGACGGCGGATCCCGAGAACCCTGAGGTGTTGCTCAGAGAGTGTCTCTCTAGAGTTTCCCTGACTGACTTGTCATCGATCATCGAGCCAAGTATTCTCTCGTTGATGGCCTCACAAGGATCTCCACGTTGGATGACGCGAAGGACACATTCGTCGAGATGCTCGTAGAAGTCCTGGACATTGGCGAAAGCCACGCCACAAGTCGAGCACATACCAGTGATGCCAGTCTTGTGGAGAGAACTCTTGGAGCCTGAGCTTCCACCACTGCGTCTGCGGGCATTGGGCGCCGTCTGTTCAACGCCATGCACTGAGGTAAGATGCCTCTTGAAGACGTCGGCACGGTTGAAGCTCTTCTCCGATGAGCTGCCACTTCCAGGGCAAAAGCCACACACCATTGTGCCCTTGTAATGGGTCAGAGTGTGTCTGTTCTTGTCGTACTTGCGGGCGAAACCCTTGATGTGATACTCGCATGAAGTTATTGGGCACTTCTCTGGACGTTCATTCTTGTGGGTAAGCAGATGTGCCTTGAGGTCCTTGATGTGCCTACCGCAAGACGCGATGGGGCAGACGCCCTTATTCCCCTCGGAGTCCGAGGACGATTGGCTCTGCCGGGAGTGATGCGAGTGGGCTGATGAGATGGAATGGCGCCGCGACGATGAAGACGTGGGATACGGGTTCCATGTCTGAGAAGGGATGTAAGGGGACGTCGGTCGGTTTGATCGCACGGAGCTGGTCCTGAGCACGCCTGAACTTCTGTTCGAGTGTGCTGAAGAAGGAGTTGGAGATGGTGGGTGAGGGAACAGATGCTTAGAATCAGAGTGCATTTGTGTTGTCGGTGGTGTAGGTGAAAGAGGCTGAATGAGAGTGGGGTCTATCGAGTCGCTATTAGAGATTGATCAAGCTTTGAAGAAGAGGTGCTTTTCTTACCAACACAACCAGGCTTTTGGGGCAGCGAGAGGGCCGAGTAGTTGAACGTGTCATTCACGAGTATCTCTTGTTCGTAGTGGCCTTGGTGAAGGGCATTGTGCCCAAGTCCATGTAACGGGGTCCAGTCAGAGTGTGGGTTGAGCATCAAGGGGGACCCTCTAGACGAAGAGAGTATTGAAGCTGCAGATTCAGACTTGATTGAACGAGCGTTGGGTCGAAGGTCGAAGTAGTTAGCAGAGGTGTTGGTAGGTGAGTAGAGAGGTGTCGATAGCTGAAGACTGTGCTTTGTGTATTTCGAAGAGTCTTGCGATTGCAAAACGTAGTTGGAATGTGCTTCGGCGACGTTGTTCGGCTCGATGTTGTACGCGCTGAAGTTGTTGATGGGTTGCTGCATCTGGAAGTGTACAGCAGGGTAAGTCGATGTGTGTGGCGGCAGTCCAGAGAATGCGTAAAGAGGGTATTCCTCTTCTTGTGTGGAGGCCATGTTGATAGGGCAAGGACTGAAAGCAATCATGTCGATGATTTTTTCGAATGATTGTTATCCCAGCAGCAAAGTGGTATCAATAATAGCGAAGTGCCACAAGACGTCAAGTGATTCCTAAGAAGGAAGGGGTAAGCCTTTGTTTAAGTGGAGGCTTCGACCATGTGCAGGGACTTACTGCGCAAGAGGAAAAAGAAATGGAATCGAGTTCCCGAATCAAGAAACCGTACAGGGATCTGCTCCAGGTGATAGGGTGCAGATATGCGAGGATAGGACGAATGCAGCGATGGCTCGGAAGATCTTCGAGAGACAGATGATTGCTACGGACACTTTACCAATCAAGGCAAGGCGGGACGTGGTTAGCGGAGCGGTTGTCAGAAGCTCAAGCTCGTTCCTGTTCGAGACTGCAAGAACACAGCTGAGCTCGTATATAGGCGGGAAATGTTAAGAAGACTGGACTGCAATCGTCCCGCATGAGGGGGACCAGCAAGAGCTTTATCATTTTCGCATTGGGCTCAATGGATGGCATGTGGATGTCTTCGCGCCTCCAGAAACGGAACCGCAGCACATGAACCAAATGCAGTTTTTGACTCGGTCAGTAGACCCTTGTCATGGCTCATGGTGTAGGTTGCAAGCCTCGTCAAACCGCAGGGCAGAACCGACGGCGCCCACTCCTTCACAATGGCGTCGCTGCGGAAAGTTTACTGGGTCATGTACACTATGGCTGCAGATCTGCCCTTCAGCCAACCAGCAAAGTGACGGTATACCGGCGCCAGATCTGTTGATCTTGGTTCACCCTCTCCGCATTATTGTCCGACTTCACTCAACCCAGTCAGGTATCTCGGAGATGGTCATTTCGACAGCAGTCAATGTACAGCATGATACGTGCAAGTACAGTACACATCAGGATGTGCCCTCTCGAACCATGCAACAGCAATTTCCTTCCGGTGCTTGCTTGTCGCGCCGGCAGTGTGCATGGTCTCCCCGACCGTTTGGTGTCGGACATGTCCTAGTGCCATGGCAGCAATTGGCAGGAGTCACCGAAGGGAGCTTTCCCACGTTTGTAAGCATGCCGCGAAGTGCAGGATACCCAAACTGCTGGGACACCGTGGCAGCCAATGAATACCGAATGGCGCCATGGCTAGCCATTGGCGAACGCCACGTTCCGGACATCTGCGTGTCTAGGCACGTTCGGGGAGATTCCCCACCATCACTAGAGGGGGCCGTGCGCAGGGCGACCATTCCACTTCCAGGTAAAGGTGAAGATCTTCTCCTTAGAAGGCAGTAGATGTCCAACGCAGACCGTTCTTCTTCAGGCCATGTGAGGACGTCGTTCGAAAACCCCAGGATTGCTTTAGGTTCAGCAAACGCACGCGATATAGAAGCCAAAATTGGTATAATTAATGGCTCGGAATACTTCGAGTCCGGTGCAGACTGACTAGCCGCGAGACAGCCAGACTTATCAAAGCGCGCCGTTGGTATGCTGGGCATGACAAGATAAGACGGCCGGTCCCTGTCGAGCGCATGGACTCTCACAGTCTCGCTTGCTTCTTGAACTCGTCTCGTAATAGACGAGGAGCTGCCTCTTGATTCTGACCATCATCTTGCACGTGGGTGTGACGAGGGCTATGGGATGTTTTGGGCGACGCCATCGCAATCTCAACCGAATCTGGGTCCAGAGCTGCAGGCATGTGGCTCGCTTGGGCAAGTCTCGTAGGGCTTGTGCATGAGGAGAAGCAAAGCAACTCCTCATTATAAGGTTGGCTCTGTGTTATCAGCGGAAGGATTCAGAATTGCAAGACACTGCGTGAGTACTTAGAAGTATCCTATAGTGTCGAAGTGTCCGAATCAAGCTCAACGATGGCCATACACGGCACAGGCCTGCAATGAGAATGTCACAGCAGTATTGCGAGAGGCCTGCAAAAATAGACTCGGAGATATGTTGATGTTCCTGCATATGTGGGTGGTTACCTCAAGTCCTTGATCTCCAACGCGACTTGCTGCAACCCCCTTGGAAGCACATTTGCAAAGCCGAAGTCGGAAGTAGCCAGTACGTCAGCTCAGGGATTGCAACCTTGACAGGCACCAGATATTCTTTCAGCATGAACTAAAGAACGGGAGGTGCCTGGGTTCACAGGCTGGCAGACTGTGTTGAGGGGTCGGAGGATTTGTCAAGTTACAAGGGCGGTACATGTATCGTGCTTGGTTGGACAGGTACTAACTCAGGACGAGCACGAAGCGATGTGCCCAGTCCGAGTCAAGTTCGGGTAGTCGGTGACTCGGTGCAGTGTGCGGGATGGATCGCCTGGCGTGACCTGAAGACCTGTGCATGAAGTTTGGTCAAGTTTGGTCGACTTTTGCTTACCCGATACCCAATCACAGCTGGTATGCATCTGAAGATCTGCCCTGAGAGTTACCGAGGGCTTTTGATCTGGGGATGGTTGACATCAGATCGAGGCTCAAAAAGGACGGCAAAGGCTCAGCTAAGCAGGCAGCGAATACGACGGCGCTTCTGTCAAACCAGAAGACAGATCAGGACGTACGTGGCTTTACTTGATAGTATAGCGTGTTCCCCGTATCGTTCGGCAAGAGGCGGGGCTTTGGAGAGACAGCGCACCTTGAGACTGAGCCTGAGCCTGAGCCTGTAGGATAGATGATAGACATGTCATGGACGAGGAGGGCTCGGGTTGAGAGCTAGACGAAATGTCCACGCGTCAAGTGAATTGTCACGTTCTATCGAATGACGTATACCTAGCATGCTTCTCCCAGACATGAAATCCGATCAGAATCAGAATGACATGGTGAGTGGTGGTTGTGAAGGGTAAGGTAGGTACCTAGTAATTGTTATAGTAGCGAAAGATGAAGCGGCATCCCCGCCAAAAGTCAGCGCGACTGACCGCGCACGCGAAACGCGAAGTGCTCGGTGCTCTCTGCATGTCCAGCCTGTTCATATCAATAATCACTTTTTGCGCTCTCTCACACCCTCCCCACTCCATCTTCAAAGTACCTCCACAACACTTCTACCGCCTCGACTGACGAGGAGCTCACTTTCATCTGCGCCGCAACACCCCGCGCATCCGTGCGAAGCTCTGTTCGCCGCCCTCCTGCTCGCTCCTTTAACACAACGCGCACCCATCTCTTTCGCCGCGACATACCAATCCTAGTCGCCCACCATGTGAGTTCACATGTTGCATTATCGAGACCGCCTTCTGCCACGCTCTCCGATATCTCATTGCAGGCGCTGATGCATGCGCTACAGGGAGACTTTTGACAACATCTACCTCGATCTATCAAAGCAGACTGGCAAATGTCGCTTTGCCGAGTCTGGTTTGGGTTGGAAGCCCTCCGGTCCTGGCGACACTTTCACCCTCGACAAGGCCGAGATCATCTCGTCACAATGGAGCAGGGCCGCCAGAGGCTTCGAGGTCAAGATCTACTCAAGGAATTCAGGCGTCATTCAGTTGGACGGCTTCATGCTCGATGTAATGCGCTTCGCGACGACGATTGAGAAGATCAAACACTGACTCTTGACAGGACTATGACCGTTTGTCACGGTGCTTCAAGCTGTGGTACAGCATCAACCTCGAACAGAAAGAGCATGCCCTGCGCGGCTGGAACTGGGGAAAGGCTGACTTCGGCAAGGCTGAACTGGCCTTCAACGTACGCAACCAACCCGCTTTCGAGATCCCCTACACCGAAATCTCAAACACCAATCTGGCCGGCAAGAACGAAGTCGCAGTCGAGTTCTCCCTGCCCGGCAACGGCGAAGAGACGGGCACGAATGGCGCGCTTGGAGGTGCCAGAGGAAGAGGCAAGAAGGCAGGTGGTTCGGTCGACCAAATGGTCGAAATGCGCTTCTACATCCCAGGAACAGCAACTCGCAAGGAAAAGAAGGAATCGGGCGACGAAGATGGCAGCGAAGCCGACGGCGAGGATGACCAACAGAACGCCGCCAACCTCTTTTACGAGATGCTCATGGACAAAGCAGAGATTGGCGAAGTCGCCGGCGCTACCTTCGCTACCTTCCTCGATATTCTGCACCTGACCCCCCGTGGTCGTTTCGACATTGACCTCTATGAGAGCTCTCTCCGTCTTCGCGGCAAGACCTACGACTACAAGATCCAGTACGATTCCATCAAGAAGTTCTTCCTTCTCCCCAAGCCCGACGATGTTCACCAGCTCATCTGTATCGGACTCGACCCTCCGCTACGTCAAGGTCAGACTCGCTACCCATTCTTGGTCATGCAGTTCAAGCGTGAAGAAGACATTGTTCTCGACTTGAACATGACCGAAGAAGACCTCGAGAACAAGTACAAGAACAAGCTTCAGCCGAGATACGAGGCACCTATCGCCACCGTCATCTCAAAGATCTTCTTGGGCTTGACGGGCAAGAAGATTCTGCAGCCCAGTCGTGACTACAACTCGCACCACCAGCAGTCGGGTGTAAAGTGCTCAGTCAAGGCCAACGAGGGTCACCTCTTCTGTCTGGAACGCGCTTTCCTCTTCGTACCCAAGCCTGCTACTTACATCGCTTTCGAGAACGTCTCCGCAATTACCATGTCCAGAGTGGGCGGCGCCGTCAGCGCTTCCCGTACCTTCGATATCGCCGTGTCGCTCAAGGGTGGTGGTGAGCACCAATTCTCGAACATTAACCGTGAGGAGCAAAAGTCTTTGGAGAACTTTTTCCAGCTGAAGGGCATCAAAACTAAGAATGAGATGGAAGAAGAGGGCGCCATGATGGCAGCCGTGCTTCAAGCAGGCGACCTTGACTCTTCGGATGATGAGGTTGTTGCAGCTCGTGGCTCCGCTGACGAGGATGATGAGTCTGTCGACGAAGACTTCCACACCGAGTCAGAATCCGATGTTGCCGAGGAGTACGACAGTGCTCACGATAGCAGTGGTGATGACGATGAGGAGATGGCTGATGCTGGAGGAAGCGACACTGAGAAGAAAGTGGAGCCTCCTAAGAAGAAGTCTAAGACGGCAAAGTAGCTGCTGCATGGCACTCTCACTTGAAACCCTGATTCCTGGAGCTCGGCATGGCGTAGGCGTTTTGGAGATGAGGGCGTGATTGGCAGACGGCTCGTGTCACAAAGAGAGGCAGACATTACTGCCACATAACGATTGTATCCTTGATGCGCTATCAAAAGACCGAAATGAGAACAACAACAAAGTATACCTGTGTGTTCATTATGCAATGTGTCCAATTTGTGGTAGATTGTTGCTGCTTCGTTGGCGTGAGCACTTAGTAGGGGACCCGGTTGTGACTGTGAAGCTTGTAACAATCTGGTATCTCGATTTCTACACGACAAGACAGCCTCGGCACTCACAAATACGCGTGAACACGCCTGTCCCACTGTAAAAAGTATAGTGGGATTATAATTACTCGACAAATCGCTAATTGAGGAGCTGTAATGTGATTTCAGAAGAATGAAGAGTTCGAAAACCAGGCTGACAGGCTGACCCTGACCGACCCAACCCCAGCCCCATCCCCACTTGCTCAACCGCCTCTACCTCTGGACGCGTAAAAACCTACAACAATGGTCGTTGAACCCAGAAGCGCACGATGCGATCAAGAACTGGATGGTGAGTAGTTTGAAGCCTTTTTGCAAAAGGCTAGGAATATGTGGCTGATGTAAATTATGTAGTTTAACATGTCGCAATCGCAAGGTAGACTTTACGCGCCCCAGCCACGCTCTTCTAGTACAGTATCACTAACAATTTCACAGCTCAAGTGTGACGAGCAGAAACCCAGTAGGTATCACAAATAATCCCATCTTGGTCTTTTTGATTATACGTGTGCGCTCGCCTGTATCAATTCTGCCATCCCCACACAGCAAGGGATGGCAGCAGGCTGTATACGCTTGCGATATGATAGCTCAGGAAGACACGACTGACAAAAGCTCATCACAGTTTGTGGACAATGTACGAAAGCCAGCCGTCAATGTGTGCCCAGTCCAGGCGTTGTTTTTAGACATCAGCAAAATGCGTCAATGAACGGATCAGGCACGACTGGTGTCGAGGGTGGTCTGAAAAGCTTCTATGGATACAAGGAAACTTTTGGAAAAGACAGCATTTGGGTGGAAGTTCCGCGCAATCGTGTGTCCTCGATTCTCAAAGGCAGGAAAATCACCACTGATACCGTGTAGTCACATTTGTGCATACTACCAATCCTTATGACGAGCCGGACACAACACATTTTCATCCAATACCACAGACCAGTGGTCCAGAAACACAGTTGGAGCATACCTGGAATAGCAGTGCTCAGTATCCATATCCTTTTATGCCGAGTTCAACGCATGGTCTAGAAGCACTTTCTGCAGCAGCTTCGGCCGACCATTATTTCCACAACAATGCTCGGCGCATTGATGTGCCAGGCTCTTTCTCGCCACCCATAGATCCGAGGCTTGATACTGAGCTTTCAGAGACTTGTTTGAATATGTTCCAGCCTCAGCCGGATACTGGATCAATCGACTTCGATCCCAAACACGACGAAGATGTGCCTTACCTGCTACGTTATTTCTCTGAGGGACCAGGAGAATGGATGGACTTGTTTGATTTAGGATCATTCTTTGCAGTAGATGTACCCCTAAAAGCAGCGTCCAGTCCATTGTTGTTATACGCATCAATCGCGTTGTCAGCCAAGGCTCTAGGAAGAATCAGGATATCAGCACAGCAGCCGAAGGGATTCGGCTCCAAACGTACGCCAGCAGAGTGGTCACACAAGGCTCGCTACTATTACGATCAAGCAATCACACTACTTCGGCAGGCTCTCGAGAATGAGACTAGACAAGCATCCGCTGGCCAGCAATCACCGAGTACAGCGATAGTATCTTTAGATGCTGTCGAAGAGTTTGGAGTAGATCACCATTCGGCATCTCCGCCAGTGCTATCTCGGACGGACTCTGATGAGCTTATTGCCACAACAGCCATATTGTGTGTATTCGAGTTCCTCGATGCCTCGGGCACAGAATGGTCAAGACATCTAGATGGTGCGAAAAGTCTGTTCGACATTGCCAAAGATGGCGCGATGCCTCTTTCCAATACTTCCAGTCCCATACTATCACCCAGGCCGACTACGTCCACGAAGGGGCGCAGAGCTGTATTCTGGAACATTTGTCGTCAGGAGATGTTGAATGCCTGTGAGTCTAAGCCCGAGCCATTGACTGTTTGACCGTGCACACACTGACGAATCATTCAGTCATTAATAACACCAATACGAGGTTGGACACAGAGGACTATGAGATGTGGCGATCTGCTGGATTGCACATATCTCAGGCGGGTCTTATCTTACCATCGAATGATCCGGCAGTACAAGAGCCAATGGCTGACGACATGATATCAAACGCTTTGATCTGGCTCATGATGAAACTTGTCAACTTTATCTCGGCTGGCGATGAGTTTCCTCATGAAATGGACCTGGGTGTCCGCCAAAGAGCACTGTTGGAATATTGGGAGGGTCTAGAACGACAACTGGACAAATGGTTTGAGGTAACTTTTGCGTGACCGAAAGCAAGCTACGCGTGCTAATGCAATATCTACACAGGGCCTGCCACATAGCTTCAGACCAAGCGCTACAGAGTGGCCCGACAAGAGCAACGTGAGTCGCAGAAGATCATTATTATTCCACGTGCTGACACTTCCTCTCACCAGAACAATGTAAGAAGTGCGACCAAGATCCCACTGAGATGGTTCGCTCGACCGATGTGTGCGTCGACAATGCAATCATTTCACTTTGCAAAGATTCAATTGCTCCTCAACAAGCCGCATGAATCCACAGGCATAAAGCACATCAAACCATCGGGTACCAACAGCAGAGGTAATACATGGTCATTAGCTCAGCGGCACGCATCCTACGCGTCCATCTTGCGACAAAGCAGAAAACACGCCGAGGAGATTGTCAGCATTGGTCTGGGACTGAAGAACGATAGTGCAAGAATCCACAGTGTCCAGCCTTTATATACAGCTGGACAGGTGCTGGGAATGTGGGAGTCCAATCCCAAGACAACTCAAGTCGACGAAGGAAATTCGCCAGATGAGGTTGATGCTATGCGCGGCTGCGTTTTGAATTTGCTGCAGAGCATTCAGCGAGAGACAGGATGGGCGACAGAGTATCGCATGCAACAGCTGCTCGAAGAGTGGGGCTTGCCAAATGGACAGGACTAGGACAAGGATAAAGACAGTACAAAATATTAGTACGCAGGCTTGGGTGTCGTGACCGGGATGTGGTGTTACTCCAGCCTCAAAGGTACTCATGAGCTCGTACTTCGAAGGATTGCAGATCCCCGTAATAGCGGCACGGATGTGTGTATTATCAGACCGTTGCCAGAGCTTTCCTATTCGCTAGGGAGGCATGCTTGGATAAGCTATACTATGTAGAGTTATGATGCTGCTAAATTGCTAGCCATCCCAAAGACTGAAGAGCAGAGGAAGTTAAAGATCAGGGCTGGGTTAATAAGGATGGCTGGCGGGCTCTAGGGAAGTTCGGTACTGGTACGGAGAAGACCGATGCGGCAGATGTACCGAATATAGGAAGATGACCCGCAGACTGATCTCGAGAAGGAGCGAGAAGGATGCGACAAGATCAAATCGCAACGCGAGTGATGGACAGATGCACAGCGTAGCAGAGAATGGGATGTGGGTAAAGACGTTATTTGAGACAATAGACAGCTTTGCGCCTTGATGACTGCTCAATACTGCAGCGGTTCTTCAGATGAACGACTGTGGGAGGCGCGAGCACGGATACTTGGCGTGCATGACGAATTCGCGAGGGGAAGTTGGACGAGCGGGAAGTTGGAAGGCATAGAGGACTCGGACAGTGGGTTGTATCAGGCCTCGAGTCTTTGAACTGGATGCTGTGGATAGCTTGTAGAGACAAAGGAAAGCAAAGCAAGAGTAGCAGAGTGGAACGACTGTCGAGGGTTGAAGCAGAGAATATTGGCAAATTTGGCTTCTGTGGTTTGAGGAGTCCCAAGACAACTCCCCACAGCGAACCAGGAAGGCACCGCTGCGCAACCGCACGCGCATCGCTGCTGCCCCGTACAGGCCGCCGGACGCCGTTCGCTCTTGACAGACACACGACCTGCATACCCTTTTGCAACGCGCTCGACTCGCTGCTGACCGACCGACCGACCGACCTCTTGATTTTTGCCTCGATATATCCATTGTTCTTTGCGACACACAGCCACTCGGTGCACGCACACGGTCCGCCGCCCGTCGCCGCACGAACTGACAGCGCGTCTCCCGCCCAGTAGAGCAGCTCCCGGACACACAATGCCCTGCACATGCCGAACTGGCCCCTGTTACTATTAGCGACTCCGGAATCTGCTTGACCACTTGCTGAGTCCATTCTGACACTCGCCCACGATCGTTCATCGCCCTTCACGCCCCTCCCCCGCCCACCCCGCGAAGCCGCTTCGCACCACCGACCACAACGTCAAAGTCATGGATCAAGATCCAAACCCGCACGTCGTCCAGGACACGGACATGTCCATGTGGGATGACCCTTCCTTCTCCAACCTCTACGATAATCTGGGAACCGCTGCCGAGTCGCCTTTCGATGGCGCTCGACTCTTCGACATGTCCGCCGCGACCGTGCAAGCCGACAGTCCCAGCTACCACATCAAGACAGACGACCCTCAGCACGCACACTCCCACCAACCCTACAATTCGCGATCGCTAGTTTCGTCGCGCTCGGCTGAAAGCTCATCGCAAGACTCGTCTTCCGAGACGAGTGGTAGAAAGCGCAAGAACACTTCGGCCACTTCCGAGTCTCCGCCCGGAAACTTCGAGGCCATCAAACGGGAACAGCAGCAGCAGTCTATGATGCACTCGCACGCCGGCAGCACTACCAACATGGCCTCGCTGCATTCGCTACACAACCTCTCTCTGGAGCAGGACTTTGCCAATCATTTTGGCAGCGCCGCCAGTAGTCCTGGGGGCCAGCCCATGGACTTGGTCGACCGCACATATTCCCATCACATGCACATCAAGCCCGAAGCACCGGTATCACTAGACTCCTCACTCCGCAATACAGACAGTACTAACTCGCGAGCAGGCTGGAACCGTCGAGCCGTCAAACTTCTTCTTTGGCTCGAGTACCGCATCGCCGGCTTCGGTCAAGGCTTCACAGGCGCAAGAAGCCTCACCTGGTGCCATGTTCAACAACCCAACCCCCTCATCCGACGGCACCGACATGTTCAACGCCAACCAGATGTGGAACAATTCGGCGCAGAACCCCGCATGGAATAACGACTACGCGCATGCCTTCGCCTCGCCTGGCGCTCTCGCAATGACACCTTCGCCGGTACTTAACGCCCCGAAGCCAGAGCTTCCAAAGGCCCCTACAGCGCAAGGTGATCGCATCCCTTTGCACATTGCCCCGATTCCAGCGAAATCTCGAGTCGAAACGCAGATCAACATCCGCCTCACGATGGACTATCTGCCGCCACGTGTGAAGATGCTGCACTTGCCTACCCACACGATCGCCAAAGCAAAATTGTTGGCCAAGGAAGTCCACCTGGCAGAGGACACACTCGAGTTACACACTATGCTCGTATGTACCAGCGCCATGAATACGCCACACCTACGCGAAAAGGCCATGAATCAAGCAGCCCAGCAGGACAACGCCCAGATTCAAGTAAGAGGTCAGAATGCGGGCAAAAAGGGAGGCGAGGAAGATGTGGACGAACACGACAAGCCAGCCAATGGCGGAGAAGTGCGCATATGCAGTAACTGCATCAATCGTGAGCGTAAAAGAGCCGCACGCAAGAAGCTGAAGAAAGAGGAAGAACAAGCACACTGGGAGAAGTATGAAACGGAGCGAGTCATTGTCTTCAACACAAACGAATACAAGCCGTGGCAGGACTGGCAGCAGTCCCCAGCTCCCAAGGACAACAGCGTCACAGTAACCGACTACTTCCGTCCGCCAGAGACAGCAATGCAGGTAGTGGCTCCCATGCGTATTGCCTGCTATTGCCGCCACCAGAACGAGAAGGATGGTTTCCAGGTCATCTTCACCATCAAGGACTATCAGGGCAACGTCGTGGCCCAAGACATATCCGATTCTATCCTCATCACCGATGATCACAAGACTCATCCAATGTCGAGCGTACCTGGCCAGGTTTGGTACGACAACCAATTCCCAGCCCAGGCACCCTTCACCTCACACTCAATGGTTGATCTACACTCTCACATGCCCGCCATGTCGGTTTCCAAGTCGACGGGCAATTTGCAAAGCCTCGGCTATGGAAGCCAACAGTTCAACCAACCGCACAATATGCATATGCAAAACTTCCCACAATCAGGAGCTACCACTCCCGGAACTATGACTCCACGCAATCTTTCACGTCCCGGATCTCCGAACAGTGCGGGCCAAGCGGGCCCCAGCAAGAAACGCAAATCGTCATCCGCCCATCGAAGGATACCTAGCACTCTGACCATGACCAAGATGGAGTCGAATCAGCAAATGGCTCAACCCACAGCTCAAGCTCCCTTCTCACCCACCAATGCTGGATTCATGGGAGGCAACAATGATCCATCATACATTACGATGCCTCACTCAGCATCACGTTCTCACTTTCACACAGGACCTTCGACGCCGATCGAAACGACCACCTTCCCCTTTGCTGCGTTGAACAGAACAAACAGTATGGACGGTAACGCGTATCAGGCTTTCTATTCTGCCCCGAGCTCTGCTCATCAAAGTCGTGCACCAAGTCCGGTGCTTGTTGGCCCAAACTTGGCTGCCTTCCAACGGCAACAAGCGCACGGCGGAGCTAATGCGATGCCGAATCGTCAGAATCCTTTCGCCATGTCGAATCCTACTATGCCTAACTCGATGACCGAGCCAGATAGACCGCAGCCTATCATCAATAAGGTGACACCGTCCGAGGGTCCGCCAAGCGGTGGCACTGAGGTTTCTGTCTACGGCAGTGGGTTTGCTCCTGGAATGGAAGTCATGTTTGGTGACCAGGTTGCGACTGCTACGACTTACTGGGGCGAAAAGGCGCTTTGCTGCGTGCTTCCTCCAGGTCAGAATGGCATTGTACCTGTAGCGATCGCACCCTCGCCCATGCGACAATACTCGGCGCCTCCGCCAGGCCAGACTCAAGTCTTCAACTACGTGGGAAAGACGTCAGAGATGCAGATGATGGAGATGGCTTTGCGTTTCTACAGCCAAAAGGAAACAGGTCGTGCCGATCAGTGGCAAGCACTGGCACAAGGAGCTGCCAGTGCTTGGATGTCTCAAGGCTCAGCTGCGGCATCACGTCTCCAGACAGGCCAGGGAGCGCCTTTCGACGGCCCCATGGCAGATATGCGATATGCGTGAGCTCATCTTGGGTATCGACCATCACACCAGGCAATGTTCCTAGCAAACCATCTCGACATTACGATCGATCGACACAAGGATGCGGACTCGTACATATGGGACACGCTCCTTCCGCGTCGTAGCCTCGACTCACACGTGAGCATGGCATCTCTACTCGATCATCACTTTCCCGTTTTCACGACGGAGTTATTGGTAACGGTGACGAATGAACCATCTATATCATGAACAAACTGGATGGAACACGGAGAACATTGGGAATATGAGTCTTGTTCTCCAAGAACACGAGGTCTTTTCGAAGGGCGTTCTCTTTTCTTTACATTTCTTCTTTTCTTCTTTTATTTAAATCTTCCGATATTATAGGGTGAAGACAGCTACCCTCTCTTGCATGTTTCCTTTTTACGAACCCCACCAGGCAAAAGGTATATGAGAGGACTTTGTCATGTATCTTTTGTCCCCCTTCCCTCCCTGTCTCTATATATCGATCTCTATATTCTTCACTTTCTTTTGTTCAATCTAAGTATCGACTCGAAATAGTCAATAACCTTGTTGTGTCCAATGTTTCCAGTTGTGTATGACAGGTGTGTTTCTCTCGAACTGACAGGAAAAAACCGCGACCACTTTTGGGCACAAATAGTTTGTCGTCTGTCTAGCATGATGAACAAGGCCTGTTCTCTCTTACCTCTTGTGACAACGTTTCGGAAGTTTCGCCTTGTCCTCAAGCATAAGTGCCCGCCTACATGATGAGGATGAAGTATTACGTGTTGCACCAGCACACCTCTTGATGTTGCAGTTCGTGTCACTGTGCGTGCCGAGGTGATTTCAATTCATCATCTTTGAAAACTGTCGCACCAGTATAAGATGAGAGAGTGGAAATCAACTTCTCGATTGGCGAAGAAGGCACGCGTATGGTGAAGAGAAAGGAGAGTTGAGTAGGGCAGTGGGCGGAGGATATAGAGAAGCTGTTGCCCCTGGATGGCATGATCAGGGTCTCAGGGCTCGAGTGCTGCAGATTTACATGATGATGAGCGGTTCAATGTTATGCAAGCCATGCATTAAGGTAAAGCAATATTCTGACGATCCACTAACCAACAGTCCTCGACATGGCTAGTTCGGATGGCGACGAGGCTGAATATGCATCTAGATACTTGGGAACAAAAAATTTATGTCCTCGTAAGCTCATTTCTTATGTGAATGACCAGTATGTCTTTTCCCTGCGGACCGACAAGAAAATAGCTCATGTGTATGATCGAGGTATGGACGTTGCTCCTAAAGCAAGCGCCTGAATGGAGAGGGTGTCGTGTACTACGCTTCTTTGCTGCACGAAATATTGGTTTCCTGCGTCTGCCGACGCGGCTACATGGGAAGTACAGGTCAGGTCGCGAAGTTGCCAACCTCTCAGAACAGACAGCAGAGCAGACGCTATATCCTCAACCTCTCAAGCGAAGCGATGGCATTTCCAGACGCATGTGATGTTGAGGGCAGAAAGGTGTGTAGCGCTTTGATCTTTTAGTCTGGCATGGTGGGTTCGAGGAACGCATTCTCGTTGGCTGAAATATTCTTTACCCTTTTTTAGAGTTGCAGGTGACAGGAGACAGGGACCTGGTCGGAGGTTTGGGGACGGGCGGGACAAGAGAACGAAAAGAAGGAAAGATCAACTATTTCCGTGTTTACAACCTTTTTCGTCATTTCCCAGAGACGTTACTCGATAGTCGTTGGTGTAGTTGAGCAAAAATGTCAGAAGACAAGAGTCAGCAGGGGGGGTTCTCGCCTGCAATATCGTCTGCATTCGTCTTCGTGCATGAAATGGTTATTGGAGAAAGAGGACCCTCAACTCGCCAACTTACTGCGCAGGTTGATAAACTGTGCATGGTGTCCGCCTATCTTTAAGAAATTCTACGTCAATCACAATTTCTCGCGGCTTGCATGTGTAGCTTGGTGCTAGCTTCTTTTCTGTTGATCCAACAATGAGAAGCGAGACTGGAGGCTGGGCTTCCAATCATGCGGGTTGTCCTCGAGAGACTTGAGCGGGCTGTAACATATGGTGATTTGCGGACATGTCTCAAGACAAAGAGACAGACTTCTGTGACAGCCCCCGCTCTTTCAAGTGGAGCTGCGGGCGAGCCCGGCCGTGGTACAACTCATAGAGCAAAGGTTTCAAGAGAATGCGATGTGAGCATGTCGACAGCTTCTGGCCCCACAAAACCATGAGATCCTCAACCTGTTGGCCGTGCAGTGCGAATAAAGACCGGACATTAGAAAGTGTGCCGACTCCACGCTGTCGTATGCATGAGGGCACTGCGGGCGGTACGGATATCAAGTGTGCATTTTTGTTCCTCCATCTAAACGATGGCCATCTTCGCATGCTGTATGCGAGCAAGAGCCCCTTTTCTTGGTGCGGAACAACAAGATCCCGTTTCTCCTTGTTGGGAAAGCATTGGAATGAAGGCTTGCCTCTGGTGGATGACTATCTAACCCAGCCACTTTTTTTTGAAGCGTGTCAGCTTTTCTCGGGGTTTGTGTCGATTGGACCAAATCCCGGTCGCCACTTGTGAATGTTGTGCGGGCCTGCATCGCAAACGCATAGTACGACACCCTCGTCCTTACTCACCCAAGGTCGGCCTGCAAGACATGCTCCGACATGCATTTCGCATACAACAGCAAGCCTCTTGTCAGATCGTATGAGATGGCGTGCTATACACAGACAACTTCACAAGAGGCGTTATATCGCAAGTCGCGGACTAGGACAAAGCGGATACCTACCTATTAGTCTGATGTGTTGGCATTTCTTAGACCATCATACGTGGTAACTTTTACCATGATTGCCGCGGGAGCCGAGCGGTGTCTGTTGCAGCTATGCTCAAAAGAGGTTTTGGTGCATCAAGTTTCCTCCGCCTATCTAGAAACCTTGTAAGCGATACAACGACACGAAAGCTCGCCTGTCTTTCTTACCACTCAAGCTCTCTGTCTCTGCTTGACACGATCTTGTACTTACTGACGTGTTTCTTCCCTGCATGCACCTTGTTCTGCGCGTCCAACGGTCAACATCTACGAGAGATGCTCAGGGCAGCGCGAAGTAAATGCGACAGTGTCGGAAGCGCTCATGGAAGCGCCAACCGGGTAAAGCTGCTTACATTTATATTGCATCGCTTGGCCTAAAGCAAAGCCAAAGCCCACAAGTTACCTATCAGATATTGATAACGCTCCACGTGTATCTCTGGCTGATTACGATGGAGAGCGACAATCTTAATAGGCGAGCTTATAGACAAACGACAATGGATGTGAAACCACATACCAGTTGGGGAGGACCACAGCGGGAATACTGACACGACGCCGGTTACCGGATTCCTGCGTGATGGTAGTGCAGACGTTACTGCATGATGGAGCGCCGGTCGATCAGAGGGCTGCGGACATGGCAAAGCAAACATTGGGAAACCCCCGAAGGGCCCACAACGGAACGGTGCGCAGTGGGGAGCAGCCTACAGACAATGAGGCGCGAGAACCGCCCGTTAGCCTACCACACAAACCGGATGCCCTGCAGGAAGAACATGGAGTAGAGATTCAACAACAACGATCAACAGCGAACTGAGCGAGACAACTTGCCGCACTACTCACGCGACAAAGCTCTAAGAGACCATTGATACCGAGAGAGATACAGATTGCAGCAGCTGGGAATGGGTGATGTGTAAGCCATCCCGAACGTGAGGAAAAAAGGAAAGCCGATCCAGACCCTCGTCTGCACCTAAAAGCGTTAAATTTAGGGCAAAGGAGGGAGGCTCGCTTGCGTATTGTACGGCGTGCGGCAAGACGCTCAGGCCTCCGATGACCTGACTCGTCTGTTCCCTTGTACCTGCCTTTTCCTTCGCGACTCCCACCTTCTTTTACTCTTCAGATCCGAATTCCTGGGTTAAAGCCTCTTTTCTGTCTGGAGGAAAGACTGTCGTCCTTCGTTTCTGTACTCACCGTTCTTTGACCTCGAAAGAGTCGATCAAAGCATCTCACAGGCTTCCAACCTTGACCGCTGTGCTTGTTTCTTCGCCCAAGCAAGCGTTTATTTCGGGCATCATTGATTGCGAGTCAATCAGACATCCCATCCCTTTCGCATAAACCAGCAAGGGTTCGTCTTGACATTCTTTCTTTCCTTGCGTCTTGTTTTCGTGCGAGCGTCATGGCCACGCCGATGCGATGGTAGCTCGTTTCCAGCCAGACATCTGGCTGCTCAGGCTCCCCCAAACCTTCTTTCCTTCTCCAACCCACTGTCACGGAACCTAATCCAACGTCGCTGACCACCCATAATCAGACAACACAGTCTTTGCTGCACAATCGTTGCACCTCTGTTTCCTTATCCAGTCGTCATCGCCAACACACCATGGAGCCCAGAATTATTGCAGTCCCCAATGAGACGATAGCCTCTTTCTCGCGTACCACGTGTGATGGAAGACACTTGCTCTACAAGCTCAAAGTTCTTCAACAGCCCGAACGTGCCCGCGCCTGCGGTTCTGGCGCCAAGTGTGCGTGGCTCTCACGAACTCGACGCTGACCATCATACTGACGCGATATCAGCATCTGCCGACCGCCGTCCCGTTGACCCTCCACCAATTGTCGAGCTTCGCATCTATGATGGCGAGGAATCCAAGGATAATGACATCACCTTTGCCATGAACGCCAACTACTTCCTCTTCGCAACTCTGGAACAGGCGCGACCTATCGCTCAAGGTCGTGTTCCGAACAATGACCCTGCCCGTTTGACTGTTTTGACTGGCACTCCAGTAGCCGGTATGGTGTACCTGGATCGCCCGGACCAAGCTGGATACTTCATCTTCCCTGATCTTTCCGTCCGCCATGAAGGAAAGTACAGACTAGGCTTCAGTCTGTACGAGGAGTTGAAGGATCCCAAGGATGCAGACCAACTGGACGAAGCAGCTGCAGCCGCAGCTGCTCAGGGAGAGGCCCAGATTACCCACCGTTTGGAGGTCAAGTCCCAGCCATTCACTGTCTACAGTGCTAAGAAGTTCCCTGGACTGGCTTCGAGCACCCAGCTCAGCCGTACTGTCGCCGACCAGGGATGCCGTGTTCGTATCAGACGTGAGGTCCGTATGCGTAGACGTGAAAAGGGTAAGGATTATGACGGGTACTCGGACCGTGGTAGACACTCGGCCACCCCTGATGCCTACCAGTCTCATATGGCCGTGGCTCATCCCGGAGCCGAAGCCGCCGACCGCGAGAGATCGGCCAGTATCGTCAGCCACGCATCGCTTGCAGCTGCTCCAGCCTCGCGTCGTCCTTCCGGACATGAGATGATCCAGGCATACCCTCAGCCGTCTTACGCTCCTCAGGCTCTTATTCAACACCCGGCTCCCGCACAACCTCAGTACTCGCAGCCTCCTGCTCACCAATACGCCCCGCAATATGCGCAGCAACATCCCCAAATGCAGCCTCCTGCTATGCAGCCACCTCAGCCCCAGATGCACTATGGCCATTACCAATATCCTCAGGCTGCAACTCCCGCTCCTGCTCAACACGCATACTATGGTTATGGACATCCGGCTCAGCACGCTCAGTACGAGGAGCCTGCGGCTGCAAGAACCATGAGCGTTGACTATTCACATGGAGCACCTGCTCCTGTACCTGCCGATCTTCGCCGTCACTCGATGATCCAAACATCCTCGTACCCTCACAATGGCCAGCCTCAGCATCAGGCGTACTCATCTCACTATCAGAAGCCTGCTTCGTACCAGACTCAGCAGACGCCCAAGATGAGACAGATGAGTCAGACTTCGGCTTCTGGTGCATCGGCAATCCCGCCCCATGTTTTGCCCCCGATCAATACATCGCTGGTTCCCCAGCCCAAGCTTGAGGTATCTCCGCCAAGCAGTGCAGTGTCTCAGAGTCACTACTATGATATGGCCAGAACCTCAGAGACTGGACAGGTCAACGGCAAGCGCTCGTATGACCGCGTTTTCGACACGCGCCATTTGAACGGACCTCTGAGACAGGGAGCTAGACCCTCAGTGTCTGGATATGGCCACCTGGTGGCAGATGATGGAAATGACAGCGAGCTCGCAGAGTTGGAGAGCTTGAAAATGAGCTACAGACGTGCAGATGGACGTGAGATTGCTCGTCCTCTGCCTCCCAGTCACGATTGAACGACCCACAGCCGATAGAAGTAGCACAGGGAGATTCTGAGATTTTTGTTTCATTTGTACACAGGGTGGAACAGCGACTTTTCTCCTTTGTGCGAGTAATAGCGATCGAGCGGGACATATAATGGCGGAATAGAAATGTCACGGTGAATCAGTGAAGACGAAATTACCCCAACGAAAGCAACGACAGATATGATAGACAATGGAAGAAATTGACACAAAATTGCAGACGAGGTTACGGACGTTGAAGAGGGCACGAGTCGCGGCGCATCGAGTGACAATGGTTCATGTATTTCAGACGAGCGGTAGCACCCAGCGACTAAGTGTTCGGTAAGCGCGGGGACTTCAGTGTGGGAGCTCTTTGTGAGACGTGCTTGGACGCACGCGCCGAAGTCTCACTCCGCAGAAAAACGGCGCCTCTGTTGTGTTTGGGAGCGGTAGTGTCGGGACAACCGACGTCAAATCGCTTTCACGAGCAGCACATCCTTCACTGCGGTACGGAGATTATAAGACTGCTCGGAGCACGACTTGGATTGGTCACCAGCAGAGATCTCCAGCGACCCAACAAATGCAGGGCTGGAGCTAAAGTCGACGGTAAGTGCGGAAGAAGAAGACGCCCAGGGAGTAAACAAAGACCACGGTTGACGGGATTGGAGTGATTGCAACGGCGCACAATCACCTCTTCCCAGCAAAGGCGTAGAAACAGAGCGGCTGACCATCGGATTGTAGCAGTTCAGCAAACAACATGTCAGACGACGTAGGAATGCACGGCGAGTTCGGCCAACCCTTGTCGCCGGTTGCTAGCGGGAGCAAGCGAAAGCGTACAATGGAATGGGCCATGGAGGTGCCTGAGGCAGATGTGCGCCTGCCCCTCGATCAACACTCGTCCAATCCCGACCAAGGACAACATGACCAAGACAACAACCTAGACAGACATGAGCGCCACACACCCAAGCGCAGCCGACCATCGCCGTCGCCCACATCTAAACAACAGCCTCGCAGCATCCGCCGCAAAGACGCCCGCTACGGCCTGTCGTCACTCAACAGGCGCCATGCCGAAGCAGAGGCAGAGGCTGAGCTAGAAGCAGTTGATGTGCACATCACAGACAGCACTCGTCCTTCTCGCTTCCAAGAGGGCAGCATGTCAGACAAGCCCAGCGCGCAGCCCCCGAGCGTCTTTACTCGCGACCACTCGAACCCCGGCATGCCCGCTCTGGCCAATGTCGACCACCTCATGACCCAGTACCACGAAGAGAACTCGACTCCCTCAGCATACCATACTCTCAAGCCCTCCGTGAGCTACCCTCTCCAGCGCACCGTCGGCATTTCTCCTCAACACACGGCCAGCCATCCCCTTCAGCACGACTCGATCGATCCTCCTCGACCCGTACCGACCAGCGTCCCTACCTTCGACTCGATCGCTCCCTCGACGACCGCATCTGTCAAGCCGGCCGGTGGTTTCTTCCGCTTCGGCAAAATGGTTGCATCCACCTTCAACCCAGCAAACGTATGGGAGTCGTTCTCCCGCACCTGGAAAGAGTCCAAGGAAGATCTGACTGTTAGAAACATTGAAGAGAACCGCAAGCTTGCCCAGAGTCAGAGTGTACAGGACGACAAGGCCATGTACGAACAGGCTTATCAGGAACTTAAGAAGTCCGGCCAATTCAACTTCACCGTCGTGCCTAACAAGGCTCTTACATCTCCACGTATCGGTGCTAACAGCCAATTCAACTCGCCCATACGTCAGCCCTTGACTTCTCCTCGTCACGCCGCTGCCTACGCTCATCTACGTCCGGACGCAGATTTCCCGCAGTCTCGCGACAATTCGCTTGATCTTGCTGACGATTCTGCTGCCCCACCTCAACTGGCTACCCTGTTCAAACGAGACAGTAACCTTACTGTAGAGCCGAAGTCACCAACCCATCTGTCACCTGAGAAGCCGTTGAGCAAACGCAAGTCATTCTTCACTCTTCGAGGTGCTTCTCTTCGTGCCCCTTCCTTGACTTCTCTGAAGCGTGGTCGTTCTGTGGCCAATCTCAGCGACACCTTTGGACGTACATCCGAAGACAAACGCACGCCTTCCGCCTCACCAGAAAAGCCTGCCGTGCACAATCTTCTCACTCTCCAGTCCCTGCCTCGGTCTCAAACGAAGCGAGACCTCAACAAGACCGTCAAGCTAAACAAGCGTGTCAGCGACCTCGAGTCCAAGCTTGCCGACGCTCGTCGTGAGCTGAACCAAGCCATTACAAACGCCTCACCACTTCCAGTTCTACCTTCTCGTTTCGAAAGATTCACTCCTACTTCAAAATCATCCAAATTTGGTAGAGCTAGATTTGGTCTAAGCAGTAGTAGGCTTCCATCTCTACCCTCGGAAAGCCTTCTCCAAGCAGAGACGATTGCTCAGGCTCAGGACACCCCATCGCTTGTCAGACCAAGACCTGCTCACTCTCAGTCGTTCGACCTTACCCACCTTCGCGATTCTGCTCAACAAAGAGACTCTGTCATTATTGTCGATACACCACGCTCGGAGATTCAGTCCTTCCTACCCATCGACTTCTACGATTCAGCTCCCATGGATCCCGCCGCTATCGCCTCTTCCGAGGTCGGCAATCAAAGTGAGACCGAGGATCGTCCTAGTCTGGATGCCAAACTCAGCGCCCTGGAGGCTAGCCACAAACAAAACGTCAAGAAGACACCTTCCAAGAAGCGCAAGAGTGCCGCAAAGGATGACGGTATCTACAAGCCTCCCGCAGATGAGGAGGAAGACGAGCTAGAGATCGTCAAGGAAAAGCTAAAGAAGAAGCGTAAGTCCACCAGCAAAAAGGCAGCCACTGTCAAGCCAGCAAATGATCAGCCTGAGACCGACGTCGGCCATGGTAAGAAGAACAAGACCAACACCAAGAAGCAGGAAAGCAGTAAGCAGCACGCTACTGAGCAGGTACAAGACGTCGCTCCCATCGGCCGCTCCAGTCTGGACACCCTCGATCCCATCAACGAAGAAGACAACATTGTCTTTGCCCCGCGTGTCGATTCTACCATGTCCCTCGTTCCTTCCCAGCATGACTCTGCCATCTCCGCTACCGACGCCGAAGCCATCCACGTCCGCACCGATCCTTTGAAGTCGATTCTTGTCAACAAGTACGAGACCGCTCGCCCTACCTCCAGAGGCTCAAACAAGCGTCGCTCGTCCTCGCAACACCGATCCTCATCTCCTCCATTCGCCGCCTACCAAAAACCTTCGCTAGTCGCCATCGAAAAGCACCACATCGTGACCGCCACCCCTGGTGTCGGCTCAGTCCCCGCGTTGCCTACTTCTGCGCTCGAGAAGGCGACTGAACAGGAAGCTGGCGCTGGCATTACAAAGGAACAGTACGAGTGGCCCGAGGATGTCTTCTGATCGCGATCAAGCACCGTAGCTCAGACACAGCCTTGACCTGCACATACAACGATTGAGTCGAGATAGCGACATATCAATCTCCCGACAGTACATACGACACGGCCGCAACGATCCTGGGAGGCATTCGGTCCTCCTGCAAATTGTTTCCCTCCTAAGTTTTTCTGCTTTTCTTGCTTTCTTGCCTCTAATGACTGCTTTTTCTCTTTCCAGCTTTTCTCCCTCTGCACATTCTTGTACCTTTTGACACTTTGCATTTTCCCCATTCACGAGGTCTTACGAAAGCAGTCACGAAGTCACCAGTTTTTATGATTCGCAAAGCATAATTCTATCCTCGATGAGAGGTAGCCACAAAGGCAGTGGAGGCATCAGACCTTTTTTTTTTCTACGAGACAGGAGCGGTTTCCAGGATGGCTCCTTCTGCTTGCACATTTGCATATTTGCACTTTTGCATATTTGCACTTTCTCGTTTTTGCTTTCACGTATTGCGTATAGGAAGGACTTGAGCATGGAAATGTGCACAAGGGGATCCTTCCTTTCTTTTACTTTCTACGATTTCAGAAAATGCAAATAATTTGTTTATTCTCATGCCGAAATGTCTTGATATTGTGACGTCGTGCTGCCTTTCTGAGTGAGTAGACTTTGAACACAACGGTCATTGGAGAAGAGACGGACAAATCCCAGGATGTATGGTAATGTCAATGAGCTTCCAAAGGATATGGTTCAAACCTCTCTCTGAGCTCTGACGTCCGAGGAGAGCACATGGTCGGTGGAATACATGGGTCTGGTGAAATCCCTCTTCCGGTGGCAGGAGATGCGTGTCGGTATTGGTCGCAAAGGTGCCTAGTGAATGGTCTCTGCATTGGCATGGCTGTCCTTCCTGTCCACTAGCTTTCGAGTCCTCCGGGATACGAAGCCGTATCGCAACGACTCAACCTCCTTCTTGACTTTGTGCCCAGATGAACGGGCGAGGGAGCTTGAGGCAAAAAACAAGCTTTGATCACTAACGCGCTGCTTTCACGTCTGATGAATTCACTAGTCGTGATGCGGAAGGAGGAAGTACCACTGCCTCATAGATTCGAGAATGTCAGAGTAGGAGCGCGGAAAAGATGCAAAACGTACAGCAGCAGGGATTCCCACGTGGTCACCCACCGTAGTACTAATCTGCCGTTCAACTGCTTATGTATGGCAGAGCGGACGGGATGCCCAGTTTTCAGCTGACTGTGGCCGTACGTGCTCACGCAGTTATTTGGTCGCATTATGAATGCAGCGCAAACGTTAGTCCGTATCGCGAGAATACTCTGGCGCAGCTCCAATAGCCATGGACGTTTGTCCTGTCCTTGATCAGAGCCAGCTCGGATCGATCTTTCGGTCTCGTTCGAGACACGGCTGCTGCGTTCTGTCGTGGTCAGTCTGAGGATGGAGTTGTCCTGATGGTTCATGTAGATGGTCAATCTGCTCCTGGTTTGTAACTGTCAAAATCCATTTTTGATCTATACCCTAGCTATGAAGATGGCCTGAGAAAGGAATCGGCTCATCACAAGCGCCAGCCCATGCATGTGGATATCGAAAACAAGAAAGCCGTAAATTCAACTCATACAAAGAAGCCTGTATTTGGCCGTCTACACGGGCAAGTTGAACTTCTTGCCTTGGAAGACCCTAGTTTGAGCGTCAGCATACACATCTTCATAAGAGTACGAGTAGGGCGTACTTTGTGTAATAGATGTAGAAGAAATCAGAATACAGAACGGTCTGAACAAGACCTGCGATGACAGAGATGGGCTCGAAGTGGCGCTCGGTCGCATAGCGGTAGATCCAATTAGGAATGTAGAGGGCTCTGTAGGCACCCAGTGCGAAAAGATAGTGGGTGGTAATGGTCTCTGCCTCGCCGGTCCTCTGAAGCATGAACAACTGAGGGAGAATGGCGACGGCTTCCAACCAGATGGAGAAGGCCCAAAGCATCTGTTTTGTGTCAGCATCCTTCTATAATGTCCACCAAACAAGACTGAGGTGCGTCGTACCTCGGCAGGCTCGTATTTGTAAGGGAAGAGGATGCCCAGCACGGCACTTCCTGCGACCAAGTATTGAACTCTGAAGGTATCGAGGTTGGGATCGTGGGTGGGCTTGTAGTCGTTGAGCATCAGGTAAATGATGTAGGCCGAAGTTCCAATGAAGACGAGTTTGAAAGTAGTGTTCCACAAGCTCCTGAAGGGGTCTGTCCAAAGAAGGTCTGCAGAAGGTGTCTCAGCAGGTGATCTGTATTTTTCTCAGAGCAGGATAGCGTACCAAGGTATCGAGTAACGTATACGACGAGATAGAGGAATTGCGACTTGAACGAGATGCCTGATGCGCTCTTTGGCAATAGTTAGGACTCGAGAGGTTCAATTACGGTGGATGATGATGTTAGAGGCGTACGCTGGATGTCTTCATCTTGTGCAGCAGAATCAGGACGGAGAACAGATGCGACAAGTCGCCTGAGCACTTTGGTCAGCACACTGAATTGGCATTCGGCTGTTGGCTATACTGAACCTACCCAAGATACGAAAGATGTTCATCATTGCTGCGACCAAAACCGGTTGACGCGCCTTGTACTAGCAGGATTTGAACGAGGGTTGCCTAGAGGCTATCGCTGCGCTTCTCGAAGGTGTGCGACACGGAGCAGAAAGAGGATTTCAGCAAAAACAGCAAAGGAGGGAGTTGCAACTTGCTACATGGCACTTAACGAACAGCTTTCGACACGTTGTTCAGACGCGTCCGTGCGTCATCGTTCTTTCCCCCTTCCACCGCTTCATGAGCTCTCAGCTCCGAGACCTGTCAATCAGCCTCAACAGACACCTCATTGTACACGTAATTCCACGCCGTCGTGGATCCGAGATCCATTTGCTCCTCTTTGGAGACCGTGGCTTTGACATCTTCCATACTATAAGACATCTCACTCCTCCCTGTGTACGAAATATTGTCACATTTAGAGTTGCCTCAAAGCACAACACTTTCTTAACCTGCAACGATATTATTGAGATAACTCGTTGACGACTCCCTGCGCTAGGTGTACCGACACAAGGTATAATTGCGCCTTGCTACAGCTCGTTATGGCCTGCTTTGATCAACAGGGAGAGGGTGTGACCGTATTTGCACGTGGGGAGGCTGCGATACATGTCTATGCTCCATGCCAGCTCTCCATAGACCCCTGCCGACGCCGCTTCCGCAACCTGCCACTGTACGCACATATCACCTTACCATCAAATCCAACCCCTTTGATCTGAATTTTCGATTCGTCATCGAGATCTTGAAGCAAAAAATCCAGCGCATATGCTCTCCCTACTTCTGCACCATTTACGTCAATGATGAAAAAGCTAAAAGGTCCTGTCATGTTGCTGTGTGGAAGCCCATCACCATCGCGGCTTGCGTGACTTACATCATGCACTTCTTCTCCGTCGTCAAACTTCCACGACAAGCATGATGTAACCTCGTCAATTTCCTGCAGTACCACCTCGGACAGTGTGTAGCTTCTGGCGGCGTGATATTCCTGCCTCACACATATTTGCATGATGTCTGCCAGGAGCAGGGTATCACCGACAGCAACTTTGACATTGTCATAAAATAAAAGAGACAATCCCGTGAGATGCGTTCTGCCAGATCCGTCTGCCTGTATTTGTTCGATAACTGTATTCTGCTCATGTGATCGGCCCACGATAGGTATCCGTATGTCTAGCCCATCAAGACGAAGCCATAGATCGGCTGCCGCAAACTTTTGATAGGTGATTGACACGAGAAGACGTTCTGAGACCAGTATACTAAGACGAAAAAGGCTCAATTCCCTGGGTTTGGTGTATTCTGCTTGTGGCGTGCGCGCATACAGAGACAATCTGCTCGGGCATGACTCCAATCGACCAAATATGTCATCCCGATCGCGGGCGCGTGAAATACATCGAGGTGTTATGGACTGAGACGCGAGGCTCGCACGGAGCCCGTTAATTGAGCCCCTCAACTCGTGGCCGCTCTGAATCGTGAATGCTTGTGTGAAATCAGTATAGAAGAATGTTTTCGAACCAGCTGGATGTTCCCGGGCCCTCTCGAGTATGGGATGGGCTCTGTATCCTTCGACGAAATGGCGTCTTTTCGACGCGCATTCACAGTCCAGAGATTTTGGCAGAGCAGAACCTGTCCACATGGATCTATCCACATCCTGAGAGTCCGACAAGGAAGCAAAGTGCTCGTATGGCCACGCCGGGGCAAAGATACCAGCACCAAGCCCAACTTCAGCAAGTTTCGAGACACCAAGACCTGTGCCTGTTCCACCACCTATGTCCTTAGGATACGTCTTTCTGCGTGAACATTCCGAGCCTTGCGCCCATACATCAATGCCACAGAGAACGTTGGCGGGATCAATATCATGTCGTAACGCAGCAATCCTGGATTTAGTAGCCGTGTCTTCTGTCCAAACGTAGTTAGTGAGCACAGAGCCAGCGGCTTTTGCAAGAATGATATTCTGCTCAGTCAAAGCATTTTGGTATTCTATTCTGTTCTTGACCGTGAGAGAATCATACCAGATGACGCAGCCAGGATCAGATGATGCACTGAGTTGCTTCAGAAAGCCCTCGAGCTTGGAGAAGTTCCAATCAGCGATAGGAAATGTCTTCTCAACGTTAATCAACCAGCCGTCAAAACCATAGAAGTCGGCAATGCGGGACAACTGGCTTGCCAGGGTATATCCTGAGTTTGAGGGAGACTGCTGCAGTATCCTTGACATTCCTGCTGATTGCGGTTCTACAAGCAATGTACCGAGTGACTTGACCCCATTACGATGCAACGTATTTGTCCAAGAGGGAGGCGGTACACACACAAGCTTGGAGTGTCTGAGCCAGATAACACTGATTGATAGTCTTGATTGCAAACCTTGTGGGAAAAGTAGATAAAGGTGTCTATTGCTTGCAGATAGTCACAACTGTATGATGGTCGATCTACCCCGGGCCAATGTACGTCTTCATAGTCATGGTAATTGCCAGAAAAGTCGTGTATTAGAGTAACTCTGGCTCGACCGTCGACTGTGTTTGGGCAAGACCTGAGAAGCAAAGGGGTGTTTGCCCGCTGAAAAGAGTATGCTTGATCAGGTCGCCAGTTATCAACGTCTTGGAAGCTATCAAAGTAGGTGAAGCCTTTGAGAGCATCCTGTCCGCAACGAATATCCTTCTCCGGATCACGGCGCGGCGGCTTTGATGGCAGATTGTCTCGTAAGCCGTCTCTTATCGGACGAAGGATATCTTTCCAGCCCATGGTTTACGAAGGCGATTGCGCGATGTACGATGGATGACTGACTACAGATAGAAATGGACGATGTTCGCAGCACATGGTCCGGGCGTCGGATCGCGCTCGATGACGATGAACCGCGAATTTCATTGCCTCCAACCACGTCGACTTCACTTTGGCTCGAACACTTCATCCACCTTCACACTGGCGTGCATCACAACACTTACGCTACCCCTCCGACCTCGCTCTTGTCATCTCCTTCACCGCGTTCCTTTGCTTTGATACCTCGTGCAGCCTCTGAGTTTGCCACGCTTCACCTCCGCCTTCACCTTGACTTGCTCGCACGTACCAGGCTAAACCCACTCGCCTTCGTCGCGCTTCTACCCACCACCATCCACCCAACATGGCCGACTTGCAAGAACTGTTCAGCCGCCTGAAGAGCCCCGCTGCTTCTTCAAACGACCAACAGAACCAGCAACACCAGTCTCATCCCTCCATCTGGGCCCAGCCCCAAGTCCACTCCTACCAGCAGCCTTCGGTCTCGTCACCTCTGTTCTCGCCGCCAATCCACACCCCCAATCCTCAGCACTCTTCGGCAATCATGAGCCCTAGTCTCACACCTGCCCCCGGTGACTCCAAATCCAACGATCTCTTGAATTTGCTCAAGTTCAACTCGAACCAGATGGCTTCCGGCATGAGCCCTCTTGCCTCTCTGCAGAACATCGCCGCACAGAGCCCTTCTCCCCAGCTACACTCTGCGCAGCAACAGTCCCGTTCAGTCTCGTCTCAAGACATGGTTGCTTCGTTCCAGCAGAAGCCTCTGAACGCTTCTTCTCTGCGTATCTCCATGACCTCGCCCCAGCCCGAGCAGAAGTCACAGCAGCCTCTCGGAGACGCTCAGAACTTCCTGCTCGGCCTTCTGAACCGCCCCAAGAACGCTGCCGCCGTAGATCCTCAATCCCCGGCTATGCAGCCCGCTCAAGCCCCCGAGCCCGTCATCAACGAGCCCGCCTATGCGGCTGACGCAGTCGACCCTCAGGATCCTTCGGTCCGTCTGTTCGGTAGCGCCGGATCTCGCGAGACAACTCCATTTGAAGGCCCTTCTCACGCAAAGAAGCCCGTCTTCACATACATCAACCCCTTCGAGCAGATGACCGCTTCATCGCCCAACCCCGCTCTCATGGCCGAGGGACCCAAGCACCAGCGTGACATCTCGCAACCCGAAGACGCCGTCAACGGTCCTCCTAACGCAAAGAACCGTAAGATCGCGTCTTCCCTCCCTTCGCCCTCTCCTTCTCCTCGTCCCGCTCAGACTTCGACCGATGCTCAGCAGAGCGTGTCCGAGGCTCTCAGCGGTGTTGGCGAGAAGGTCGACAAGCAAGTTGAAAAAGCACTTGCCCAAGCCGACGGCGCCAAGTCATCTGCCTCGAAAGAGCAGACCAAGGCGACCGAGGAGGTTGCCGATAGTTGGGAGAGCGCCGACGCCGATGAGTCGGGCAAGGACAGCAAGGCTTATGCCGTTCGCGTTTACAACTTCCCCATGAGACCTTTCGTCTCTATCACCATCAACAAGGATGGTCAAGCCACACCTCTGCGTGCTGATTCGCTCATGGACATCGCTCGCCTGAAGAAGGAATTCGAGCAGATCGATCGTGCGCTTGTCACCGCATCGCCCAACCACATTGTCTATGCTATGAGCAAGAGCGGCGGTTTCCGCGTGATCCGTCAGGACTCTGGTAAGGACAAGCAGGTGTTCCGTGCCACGGCAGAGCGTGTCTTCAACGTTCAGGTCTGCACTGCTAGCGGCGCTCACAAGGACATTGAGACTGTTCTCGCGACCGGAGTCAACGGCTCCGTCTTCTGGACCAGTATCAACAAAGTCGAGGGCGACTCCTTCGATGACCTGGACCTTGAATCGCAGGGCTTCGTTCTGCCTCCCGTCCCTGTTCAAGACGACAACACCTCTGGCAGCCCTGTTAAGACCAGAGCTAAGATGAGCTCGCGTAACGCAGACTTCTTTGCTATCTCGAGAGGCAAGTCCATCTACATCATCTCACCCTTTGCCGCTCGCCAGAGCCAATACACGGACAAGAAGACTCGCGTTGTCGACAATGACAAGTACCTCCAAGAGCGCTGCTTGAAAATCTCAACCGGCAAGGCTGGCAAGGACTTTGCATTCAGCGGCGACGACAGCCTGTTGGCCTCGCTGGACAAGAGCGGACGTATCAAGTTCTGGGACATTCGCGACATGGCCCAACAGGCTCGCGAGACTACTCCCTCTGGCAAGCGTCCTGCGCTCGAGCGCAAGGACCCATTGCTCACTCTCACCACCACTCTCCCTGCCGAAAAGGCCACACCCTCATCCATCATGTTCGTTGACAAAGAGAGACCTTGCGTTAAGGGCGTTGCTCTCCGCTACCTGCTCGTGGGCTTGAAGCAGAACCACATCCTTCAGCTTTGGGACCTTGGCCTCAACAAGCCTGTACAGGAGCTCTACTTCCCTCACGACAAGGACTCGGATGCCATCTGCAGCATCTCTTACCACCCCAAGACTGGTATCATTGCTCTCGGTCACCCTACACGCAACTCGATCTACTTTATCCACCTGTCTGCTCCTCGCTACAACATCCCTAGCATGGACCAGGCTAGATACACAACCATGCTTGCTGAGCAGGACCCCAACCTGCCTCGTCCTGAATCGACTGCTATTATGAGCGGCATCCGTGAGCTGTCCTTTGCTTCCAAGGGGCAGCTGCGCAGCGTTGACATGCTTCACACACCTGTCGCTTCGGAAACTTCCGCCGACGTTCTCTTCGAGCTGTATGCTATGCACTCCAAGGGTGTTACATGCATGAACATCAAGCACGAGGACCTGGGATGGTCTCGTGACAACAAAGTTCTCCACCCTGTTGATGCCGAGACTTCAGGTCTCATCTCAGTTGCCAGCATCTCTCCAAATGCTGCTACTGCAGAAGCCCCTGCCAAGTCTGCAAAGGCTGCTGCACCTCCCTCGCCCCAGAAGCCCGAGCCTGCTAAGCCTGCCGCTGCTGCCGCAAAACCCGTCGCCAAGCAGGAGCCTGTGGTCAATGGAACCCCCAAGGTTGAGAAATTGAAGAAGGCTGCTCCTGAACAGAACACCATCGAGACTGCGACCAACCCTGCCATCCTGACCCCCGCTTCGTATGCTCTCGCTGCTCGTCCTAAGGCATCTGCCGCTGAGGTTGCACCTTCCGTCAAGGAAACCGCATCCGCTGCAGCTGCACCTTCAACTGCTCCCGTCGAGAAGTCTACGAAGGCTGCTGAGGTTTCCGCCCCTGTTGATACCGAAACTATCAACAAGGCAGTCAGCGAGGTCCTGTCTAGAGAGATCGAGTTGCTCTACCGCAGACTTGATGATGACAAGCGTATCCAAGACGCTGCTGCTGCCGCCAAGCAGGATGCAGTGCTCCGCCTTGTCTCGAGCACTCTTACCGACAACGTCGAGAAGACGCTGAACAAGATCATCGCTACCAACATCACCGGCACCGTTGTTCCTGCCATTGTGCAGACCAGCTCGACTTTGCTGAACGAGAAGCTTACCCTTGCAGTTTCACAGCACGTTGCAAAGATCGTGCCTGGCGAGCTCAAGGCTTCTCTTGCACCTGCTATTGCAGCTGCTCTGCAAGAGAAGGAACTCCAGCGCGTCATCTCCGAGCAGACCGCTTCCAAGCTTGCACCTCAGATCGAGCAGTCATTCGCCACTATCTTGCGCAATTCGATTGTTCCTAACTTCACCAACCTCGCCCAGACATCAACCAAGAAGGCAGTTGCCGACGTTGAGCGTCGTTTCGCCGAGCAGCTTCGCGACGCCGAAGTCAAGCGCGAGAAGGACAACGCCAGGATCGAGCAGCTTTCAGACCTGGTTCTTGGACTTTCGAACACAATTCACGAGATGGCTGCTGGACAGTCGGCCTTCCAAGAGCAGATCCTCAAGCTCCAGCGCCAGATTGCCGGTGAGAACTCGGCACCCTCCGCTGTCTCTGAAGCCGATGTTGTTCAATCCATCGAAGACCCCGAACTGGAAGGCATAACAGCCATGATGACCCAGGGCAAATACGAGGAAGGTACCATCCAATGGCTTCAGTCTGAACGCCAAGGCGACCTCTTCGACAAGCTCTTTGTCCGCATCAACCCACAGTACCTCCAGAGGCTTAGCCCATTGGTGTCGCTGTCTGTGTCAGCTGCTCTGACTTCGTCGTTTGAGCAGAATGTTGACGAGCGTCTGTCTTGGCTCAGCACTGTCTTATCGACCATCAACCTCAATGACCCTGAGATCAGAGAGGTAGCACCTAAGATCATGGATGTTCTCCAGCAGCGTATGCAGGGAGCATACATGTCGATTGCCGAGAACAACGCCCAGGACCCTGCCCTCCGCATCGTCTCAGGCCTCTCTCGCCAAATCAACGACATCAAGAATCAGAGCCTCACTCGTTGAGCTTGACTCCTGAACAGTTCTTTGATGAACTTGTAACAATGACACCAAAACTCGAGGCCCGGTGCTGAAACACGCCCGGTTCCTTGCTTGATTCAGCACGACGCCTCATGGCTTCGATCTCTGATGACATTACGGATGATGATACTTTGGCCAGGCGGAGGCTCATTGCGCATAGCGGCCTCGCGGCATTTCGTGGGTGGGACACCTGGCTATGAAGGATGCCTGATGGCAATGTTTCAACAAGGAACGACAATAAGCATAGCCTGGTTCACAACGATAGGAGGAATAGGGGAAAGGGGTAGATACACGAAGCTGCTCTGATAATTAAAAGTAATGGAATGTAATTTATGACGAACCTGCTTGACTGTGCCCATGCCTGACTTTGCTTGACTATGTCTACTCCTGTATGATATCTCGCAGTACGACGACATGGTAACACACCAAAACACATTCTGTGCATCAAGCTCCAGTCCTGCTAGAAGCTTAAGATGCTTGATGTTGTCTGATTTTCTTCAGGTCAAAAGTGAGTGAATGGTTAAACGATGACATAGCGCATGTTGACGGAGGTGTGGGGCAAGCACATGTCAAAACAATCCATCTTTGTCGGAAACCAGACCACAAAAACAACACAACACAACACATATATGTGCAAAAATGTTGTCACTACCACTTCTCGCGCCTCAAAATGTGAGAGACTGAGAGTAGAAACCATAACAACTACTTGAAGGCTAACCATCTTGGTCACTAGGAATACTCCTTCTTCCTCTCCCCCCACCTACGCCCACCACCTACCCCAAATGATCGTTCCTCGCACACGACAGACAACGATGCAGCTCAGCAATCCCGCCGTCAGAATCATCTTCAGTCCTCTGCGCCGACACGGCAATCTCTAGCCCAACTCCTCGCAGATGAACATGCCATCAGTAGTCGCAAACACAATATCCGTCGCTTTGGCGCTGGTTGGATAAAGCCGCCAGGAGTTGCAAAGACACTACAAGCAGAGACCGAGGAAAAAATTGAGAGGGAGGAGCAAGAGGCACAGCAGAGGAGGGAGCAAATGATGATGGATATGCAAGCCCAACAAGAAGTTGAAGAGGCGAGGAATAGAGCAAATGCTACTGCTGAAGAGGAGAATGGCGGGGAAGAAGAGCAAGAGGAGAGGGATCTGGACGAGGAGATTCCCGATGCTGATGTTGAGGATGAGGAAAGCGAGGGTGACGATATGACTGATTCTGACGAGGAAGAGGAGGAACTGCAGAGTGAGATGCAGAGCGAAATGCTGTCACAGATACACAGCGAGATTCCCATTGCTGAAGACATAACTTTCAACGAGGAGAGTATGTTTGCGGATACGAGTATGGCTGCTCTGGATGAAGAGTCACGGGAACAAGAGAGGTATCGTCATCTGCAAGAGGCAGAGCTGACGGGTGTGGCTCAAGACGAACTCGATCTGGGCATTGAGAGGGACTTGGACGATAGTGTGCCCGAGGCCGGCAGTTATCAACATACCGATAGCGAACTTGACGATTCTGACGACGACGAGGAGGACGAATCAGAGGGAGAGGGAGAGCAGAGTCAATTGCAACAGCATGAAGATGAGCAGAGCGAAATGATTGGAGCAGTCATGCAGCGCAGTCGCAGCAGTCTGTTGAGCAGAGACGTGAGCTCTCTACTCGACAGCTCCTTTGTCACCAGCAGTCCTGCTCCTGTCGGTCGTCTGAGGTCCACTGGGCACAGAGGAAACCAGAGTCAGGTTCCGAGATGATTTGTTTCTGTCTTTCATGACCTCGTTTTGCATTTCCTACCCACTACAGCAGAGATACCCATTATCATCATATTACAAGTCTTTCCATCCTCCCCCTTTCGAATTAACCATCATTTGCATGACTGTACAAAACAAGCTCCCAAGAAAGACGCCTTCGCTAAAACAAAAACGCATGCATATCCACATGAAACGCGTGACCAATATGCTCTGTCGAAGAGTTGCGACCTAGAACAGCCAGACATACCAGAACAGAGCAATGACAAAGGCAAAGAAGATGAGCCACACCTTCCATCCCACACCAGTACTCTGCGCCATGCGCAACATACGATTCATAGTTCCCTTGAGCTTATTACTCGTATTCGAAAACTGATCATTCATCTTTTCCGCCAAAGCAGTCGAATCGCGAATTTCGTCGCCAATTCTCATTGTAAGCTGTGAGAACCATGTCGTCAGCAAGTCATCGCTGTTACACATCTCTGCACAGCAGAGGAGCAGGGTAGAGGCAAACTCACATCCTTCAACATGCCAACCTTTTTGCTCATCTCAGAGACCTGCTCGTCATTTTGACTTTCGAGTTCAGAGAGTACGGCATCGCTATAAGCACCCCTTTTATCCGGTGTCGCGGAGCGGAAGCTTGCGCCCGAACTAGCTCTTTCTGTGCCTAGTTGTGCATTGTTGCCTGGGTATGCTGCGAATGTGTTGTTGGAAGATGAAGGAATGTTGTAGCCGTTGCTTGCAGTATACGGGTTTGGCGATGTAGAGGTTGGACGGGATCGTTGATCGTAGCCTGAGAAGAGGGAGGAGCGGTTGTTGTCGCGTTGGTGGAATCTTGGAGGGGGACTTGTTAGTCGGGTGGTGCACTTTTTGTGTTTGGTATGGGAAGATACCTGGATGCCATTGTGATGGGTGATATGAGGATGCGCGATGGGCTATTGTGCCATGGGGATATATGGTGGCGCTAAAGACTTCGACTGTAGAAGAGACGTTGCTTGTTCATCCGCGGATGACTAGAGTTCTGTGATTGTTGTGACTCTGCTGGTGACGTCGAACTGGATCGCAGCTGCCCTCACTTCACAGCCTCGGCTTGATGTTGTCAAAAGTGTTATATGCTATTTTTTGACGACGTTTCACAAGCTGCTGTAGCTCAGTGGTAGAGCGTGGGATTGCAGATCTGCAATTATCCTAAGGTCCGTTGTTCGACCCAGCGTAGCAGCTTTCACTTTTGCCTATTCTTGACAAAGAAATGGCCGCATTTTCCTTTTTGGCAGACAAAAGCTCGACACAAAGCAGACCCAGTCTCGGCCGTTCGCTCGACTGCCCACTAGGTCGCGTCACATTTTTGTTGTTGAGCCTTGCTTGATACGCGAGCCAAAATGCCGTTCACGCATAACTCCTCACATCACAGAAAGCAAAACTGGCGTGATGAGCAACATGCATGAGTGTGGAGCAACTCGTAAAGCAGTGATTAAGCTAGAGCTAGTGTGTATCGCTCCATCGTGGCAGCCATTTTCCGTTTCCCATTTCCGTCCAGCAAGCCCATAGTGGTATCTTGAGTAGCAATTTCAGTCCTTGAATCCCTTCCAATACGCCGTGTAAATCAGTTGTTGAGCAGCCGAGCATGAGACTACCATGCATATTCGTCTCCTTCGACTTCAGCGCCTTCAGTCCACTCCTCATCACCACTGGCCTCCGAGTCCAGAAAATGCGACTCGTTGAATTGCTCTTCACGTGGTCGCTGGTTGTCGATACGAACATCGACAACACTGCAAAGCCCTTGCACATAACGTTCGGGTGTGTTTCGCCAGTCTTCGCCCTCTCCAGGGGTATCCTCAGATGCCAAAGAGACGGCATCTGACTCCCGGCGACCCTTATGCGCAGGTGGTGGAGTGGGAATTGGTGGTGGGCTAGCAGGCTTCACAACACGCTTGCTGCGACGCTTGGCTAGCGGTTCGTCATCTGAAGCTTGGGAAGCTTGGGATTCCAACATAGGTTTACGCATAATAACCTCGACATGGCTTGGCTGGCGACGTGTCTGTGCATTTTTCCACAGTCTGAAGGCTTTGAGTGAGGCAAGCTTCGGATCGGGGATCTTTGGGTAACGTCGGTAGACCCGGCGCAAACGCTCTATCCACTGATCTCTGAAAGCTGCTCTGTCTCGCCACGAAATGTTGATGTGAGCTTGTAGGACTAGCCTCCTGAGCTCCGGTAGAGACTCGGCAGACTCGACAAGCGAACGGAAGAGATTCTGTGCAGCGTTGGCACCCCTTTGACACGTGTTAGCCGTTCGCAGCGTAGATAAAGTAGCATTTGTCTACTCACCATTTCTGCAAATGGACGAGTTCCAAAATCTGGAGGGTAGAAGGCCAGGTTGGAATTTCGTCTTCGAGCAACAGACTTTCGTACTTTGGCTCTCCAAAGTGGCGGAAGTAATTCTCTCTGTGGTCATACAAGTCCATCTTCAATGATTGCAGTTGCGGACATGTCGTGCGCAGGTCCATGAAGAACGCAAGGTCGAGAAATGGGTTGTGATCAAGGACAAGCTCCTGGATTCTATTATAAGCCCGTCAGCCATGGCTCTTCTCACGTTTGTGGTGCGGGTGAACATACGTATGTCCATGACTAGTCAAGAACTCGCTCAGCATGTCCGAGTTAAGAGGCATGCAGTTGATAAACTTGATGGTCTTCAATGTCTTTGGAAGTTGAAGTAACATCTGGATTGAAAGACGATCACAACATTCGAAAGACAAGGTCTCTAGGTTGGGTAAGTCGTTGAAGATTTTGCCAAAGGCAATATCGGCAGCCTCTTCTTCCGGATTCATTGCTTCTAAAGCAATCAAGGGAAGGTGAGAGATGGTGAGGTGACGTAAGCTCTGGAAAGAAGGTCTTGTATGGACTTCGGCCATACATTCAGTCAGCCTGGAGGCGTGTTAGTCTAGGTTTACCGTTCACGTCCTTGGATCAACCTACCCTTGGAACTCCGTTTTGCCTTCGGCTTGATCGATGAGATGTGCGTTCCATCTCCAACATGTAAGATGGATGTTACTTGCATCGAGAGCATCAAAGAGATCCTGCGAGTACTTCCATCGAGGAAGTCGGCCTTGGTACTCATAGGGTGGCTCGTCCAACTGATGCGTGACGATCAATGATGAAAGTCGAGGCAGCTTCGATGCAGTCTCAGCAAAAGACATTCCAGGAAGTCTAGCAAAAGATTCCAAGTTGCGAGCTGACACTTCTATACTGGTGACTTTCATGTTATAAGAGTACAGTTGCTGGTCATTGGGTTGCTTTATGATTGTGGAGAAGTCCTCGAGCCATCGCGCCGCCAGAAGATTGGGCGCTCTGTAGAAAGCTGTCAAGGCTGGTTCCGAGAAGGCTCGACACACTTTTCGTGCAGTTCTCATGATCCAAGTATTAGGATGGTTGACTCTTCGGCTTGCAACACCACCTGTTTCGTGCTCAAGCTCAGCAGCAAAAGCATAACTGAAGATCTGCGATAATATCTCATAGGGAAGGGTCTGCCACCTAGGAATTATCCCATCACTCGGAATCGGAGCTGCAGTAGGTACGACTTTAGTCGGTTTCGAAGCATGTTTAGTTTTGCGCTTGGGTGGCGACTTTTTGTGTACAGGTTTCTTCGTCGCCGACCTAGTTTCTCTTGGAGATGGTTTGCTTGTTCGTCTTTTTGGTGTTCTTTGTCGCTTCGGCTCATGCTCTGGAGACAGGTTGTGCTCGCTGACAGAATCCTGAGCGTCGGCAATGTCGAAGTCGTCATCCGTGTCCGGGTCCATGTACAAGCTCCGTTTTCGAGTTATAGCCTGGCGCACCGAGCGGCGCTTGGAAGCTTCGGACTCCATTTGGATTAAACTGTCTCATTCGCCCATCTAATGGCCGGGGACGATGGAAAGTGTGCGTTTATCAACGATTTTCTGAAAGTTGGTGATTCTAAAGGCTTCATCATCTCATCGGCAGTCGCAAGACCCTGTCCATCAACCGGTGGTCCAAGCGCCATCGTCATCGTTTCTCTGCTGGGTCCAATTCTTGTCACTCCATCTCACCCTCCTCTGACACCCACAACACAGAGAACCTTTACTCAACTACTCTTCCTCTTCGACTTCGCGCGTCAAGCCGGCTCTTTTGTTGACCTCAGGCACCCTGGGAATGGAATCGGAAATGGCTTCAACAAACAATAAGTTCCGTCATGCTTTAGGATGGCTTCAGTACGATACACATGTTCACATTCCTCATGACACGCTGTGCCACGTTCCTTGACACTTCACTTCACCATGACAACCTTCTTATATGACTGAAATGTGGAACATAGTAAGAAGAGAAAAACGCCCATCCGTGATGCATTCGTTCATTGGCAGCTATCAGTCAGGAAAAAAAAGGTGTGTACAAGAAAGAAACGAAGGAGCCTTTTCCCATGCATTCTTGACCCTTGATCTCATGTCGTCTTTGATCGATCATTGTCATTCAAACCGATCTAGCGACCGGTTCTGTAGGCGGCCCACATTTTGGCCATTCTCTTATTCTGACCGGGAGTGAAGCCAGTGTAACAGGCGTCGTCGGAATAATCCATGTAGTTGTGGATGGGATCGACACCAGAGCTCTGGGGACAACTGTCCTTTGCCAGCTTGGATGGGCAGCCGTCGGTGCTGGTGCTCTGCATGGGTGTATCAGAGACGAAGTCGCCGTTGCCAGTGCAGCTGTAGCCTTCAAAGGTGTGCAAGAGACCCATCCAGTGGCCAACTTCATGAACAGTGGTCATACCCTGGTTGAAGCCGTAGATATTACCGCCGGGCATGGTGTTGGCTTGGATCATACAACCATCGCCGATGTAGGTGCTGGGAGCTGGGGTACCAGGACCGATGTCTGATGGCAAACTGCACGTACCAAGGATGCTTCCAGTGAGATCGCTCATGAAGTAGACGTTGAGTGTACGGTAAGTGCCATTGCGCAGTGCGGTCTTCATGGCAGTAGCGTCAGAGCCGGCGCCGACAGCCCAGGCATCATTGACAGTGAAGGTGGTAGCGATACGATTGAACTGGACGTTGCTAGCAGCGTAGGCCTTGCTCAGGGCGGCAAACTGATCATCGGCCATCTTCTGGGTGATGTCCGCAGCCTTGGTGGCCGTGGTGACAACGTGAAGAGCGACATCAACAACAATGGGTGCGGCAGCACGTGAAACAATGCCGGCGATCTGGGTGCCGCTGTGTGCTTTGAAGACACCCTGATGCATGAGACGGATGGTCTGGTTGAAGTGCGCACTGGCACGACTGATGTCGACGCCGCAGTCGAAGTGCTTGTATTCCGTGGTGTTGGCGGGTTTGGCGCTGGCTGAGGCCAGGAGGCCGGCAAGACCAAAGACGATGCTGGAGAGGTGCATGTTGTTGTTTGGGTGGGCGTGAAAAACGAAGGATGAAGAATGTGGTATGTACAAGGAACGATGACGATCGAAGAGATTGAGATATGTACAGTTGCCTCGTCCGTCGAAGAGGATTCACAATGAGATTCAACTCTTGTGAATGTACAAGGACCCAGATACTGGGGACCAGGGAGTTATTTATGTGGCTGATTGCAGAAGTGATCGGCACCGAGTGAAGTTGTTGGACTTGCTAGTCATTTCAAGCATCGACAGTCAGAGTAGACGTTTGCGGATAATTTCGAGTCCAGGCTCGGTTCACAAAGAATACATCAAGCAAGACGAAGCGACGCTACCATTGGCGTCGGGCCCATAACAATGGATTACGCGCCACATGTACAAGAGGAAGACTAGGCAGGACGAGACAGTCCCGAAGATGGAGTACGAAGGTAACCTTTTACAGGGTGAAGAAGCGACAGCGGCTAAAGATGTAATGGACATGGCCGTATAGGAGTGTTTGGGGGCAAAGTGTGCTCGTCAGGCGCCTGTGAATCACAAAGCCGACGGCAATGAACGTCAGTTACACGCAAAAGATCAGTCCAGATCGGAGTAACGAGAGCAGTTGATTCGAGTCGATTTTCTCGGGATGAACAAAACAAGTGAAGATCCGGCCTACCAGGTTGCCTCCAAAACGCCATTTACAGTAAAAGAAACAGCTCAACGGCGTACACACATAAATAACGTCAAAGAGAGCGGACCAGTACTACGCTCTTCCAGTAGTGGTGCCAGTGCTAGGCTGATCGTTGTTCCAGCTCAAGTAGGTGTGGTCACCGAGTTTCCTGTTTCACAGTCAGTATACAAATACGAGGTGGTGTGAAGGAAACAACGTACCTGGGCCTGATCAAATGGGTTGCAGTAAACAAGGCACCGAGGACAATGCAGACACCAGCGACAACGATGTACGCAATGCCCAAGAAGGGGTTGCGACCACCCATGATGGTGCGAGTACTCAAGAGGATTGATTTTGAGCCACCATAAATGGTGACGGGGAAATCTGAGAGTACATGGTTAGATCGGTAGGTCCCAGACATGATGGCTAGCTACTCACAGTCGTAGATATCCATCTCATACTGGCCACTTTGCATAGTGGTGGTATCGTTACGCAGAGCCAATTTGCTGAACGAGGGCAGACCGGCGGTACGCATCCATACGTGGAACTCCTCCCACTCGTGGATGTTTGGGATGGGAATGTCGTCGCTGTATTCCGGGTACATGATGCGCCAGTTGGGCGGAGGGCTGACTTGATCGGCTGTGTATGCGGTCTTCTTGTATAGCTCGCCGTCACTGTCCCAGGCGATACCTTTGTTGGTCATAGTGTAGTTGACAGGGTCGGCATCGTTGCGGTCGTTCAGCAGGCGCGGGGTGATGAAGGTGTCGTTGAACAGGGAGTTTGCGATCAGGCCGCAAGGATAGTAGGCCTTGCCATTGTCATCGAGTCGAAGGGGGTCGCAGTCGCTGCCATCGATGGTGCTGTTGTCAACAAAGTTGCCCTTCAGCTGATCGGCATCAAGAGACTTGACATAGCGACGGTGGTTCTGGTAGAAGTTTGTGAGTTGATAGTAGAAGAGGACAGGCGGGGCCAGGTCGTCAGGGATCCAGAAGCGCATCTGGCACACCGGAGTCTCGATCTGGACGGCGCCGTTGTGGTATGCGACGGTCTGGTTGAAGGTACGCCATTGCGGTGCTTGCGAAGGCGTCGTTGCGTTCTTGAAGTGGCTCGATACCAGGTTCGAGGGGACGGTAGTAAAGACATCGGTGGCATCGCGTGTGCAATGCTGGTATTCGATGGACAGTTCCTGGACGCGCGAGCTCGCCCATAGCAGCAATCCTCCTAGCGGGGCGAAGATGACTCCGACGGCGAAGAACAGCGGGAGGACCGTCTTTGGTGTAAGGATGGGTTGCCAGGCCTTCAGGCGCTGCTGTCGGAACGCCGTGTCTATGTTGTCATGGTCAGTGTATGGGAACTCCGACGACTCCCATCTCGGCACCTACTTGGTGGTCTCCTGCTCTTCTCCTTCTTGCCCTCCTGCCCGCCCTGCGGCTCCTGCGAGTGTATCGAATCCTGATCCATTTGTGATTGCGCAAAGTGCGGGTGCGATGATGCTTCGAACTGCAATAATTCAGTTTAGCCTCTCCGTCGGCGTCCACGACACAAGGGTCGCGTCGCCCATCATCCCTCGTCCGTGCCCACCTCTCGTCGGCTTCTGTTAGAGCCGCGCCGCGCTCTTCCGGCTCCGCCCCCTATTTTTGGCCATCAAGCATGACAGAGCGACGCCGAATCCGATCCCGTCACCCACATCATCTGTTCAACATTCATGAAACCTTGGTGTACATTCAACTTGAAGCTGCATTGCTTGTATTGCTATCTAAAGTCCTTCGTCCGAATATCCTGATGGTATCATTGGAACGCCTTATAGTGAGTAGAGTGATCATGAAAGAATCCGATTCAAAAAGCCAAATCCCCTTGGGTGCTTGTTCGCCCATGCCCATAACAAACGCCTGTCCGTTCATCGATCGCCTGATCCCATATCGTCAAAGTACATAAACGTTCGTAAGGTCAGAAAAAATAAGTGAAAAATCGAGCAAAGGAAGGGTAGCAATCAAGGCCGAAGAGTGGGAGACGGAAGCAAGTGACAGAGTCAACAACTGCAGCTCAACATGAGTAGCCGAAAATAAAGAAAGGGAAGAACTGTGGTGGGTGGCCGGAGAGTAGACGAAACCAAAAGACTGTCGCTGGAAGGATGACTTCAAAGGAAACGCTTCATGTGCTTCTCGTCGAGCCAACCCACGCGATCAAAAGCCTTGTGGAGCCTGCTGGTCTTGTTGACATCAATGCCAGTTATGCCGTGCTCATCTGCTCCTTTGCAGGCGAGCTGAGCAGCATTGATGTTGAAAGGCTGGCGTTTCTTTGCATAACCGAGACGATTGGCGAAGAAGCGACGCTTGATATAGATATAATCCGAGGGAGTCAGGACAAGCTTCGATACGATCTGGATCTCCTTGGGGTGTAGCAGATGGCAATCTTCATGGTTGGTCACATCTTGTGGTGTTGCCTTCCATTCAATGTTTGGGAAGTTGACTTGATCACTGTCCAGAGTTGACAATGGAGGGCAGTAGTCGGGGTAGATTGAAAAGTCGCGAGCAACCTTATCTGCCGGTGCTCTCGCTTTGGTTGCATCATTCGTACGACGTCGGAACTTCTTCTCGGGAGCATCAAGAGGTGCCTCACGAGGCGACACCGAAGGTTTCAAAGGCTTGCTAGCAGACACCTTCCTTGTACGCTTTGGTGGGGGCATATCGACCACACTATCGGCTTTGCGCTTGTCGTGCTGGTCTCTTCGTCCCGATGATATTGCGTGCCTTGCGGCAAATGTGGCTGCATCGGCCGGAGACACTCGCTTCAGCTCGTCGAAGACACCTGCTGGTGTCGCGATGGGAAAAGTCGGCTGGGGTAGAGCGGCTTTTGTGGCTTCAAAAACCGTGTGCCAATCCTGAAGAAGCGGAAGAACGTAAGTGGCGGGCTCAGCAATCTGCCTCGCCCAGAAATCGTTCCTTCCGTACCTAGGGTCGCTCGGTGAGACTGGTGCTCTCATCTGAATGTCGTAGGCGGTCTGTCGTTGTTTTGGTCTCCTGCCAGGAAGATGCGTAGCTCTGTCGCGTGAACTGTGCTTAGAGCCGCCGAGACCAGGAGAGGCATGTGTGAATCTACGCAACGGATCTGACTGCTGGGGTTGAGGAATAGGCCTGAAGGTAGAGGCAAGTGTCAAAGGTTGGAGGGAAGCACCAGATTGAGATGGCGACCTTGCAAGGTGATTCACACTCGAATTCTCAAGAGGAGCAAGCCTCTGCTGGTCAAGCTCGGGCAGAGTGGCAAGCTTAGTTGGATAAGTAGATCCTCCAAAGAGAGGTTGCGGTCTTGCGACATCGTTGGAAGCCATTGGTCTATCTGGGAACAATGGAGCGTCCTGACTTCTGCTGAACTTGATTGGAGATTTTAGGAAAGCGTCAGCAGGACTGCGGTAGGACGCGATAGCCAATTGTGGAGAAGAAGACGGCGACGGCATCTGATTCACAAGACTGCTTATCGGTGGTAGTGTAATCCTGTCTCTGCGGACTAATGGAGCAATCTGTTGCTCATTGAAGACCGGCGAAGATGGTGCAGAAAAGGTGTTGATAACTTCGTCCGCTGGAGACGGATAGACACTGGTGGCGGGTGCCTTGCCTTTCATCGCATTTGAGGCCATTGCGTCGGATTTGTTAGTTGTGGTTTCATGCATCTCCCTCAAGTAAGAGTAACGCGAGTTGGGCACAGCAGAACCCATTGTGTTGGTATTAGAAGCCAATGTCGAGTGTAGTTGGATGGTGTTTCTACTTTCAAGTGGATGTAAGATGATCCAAATAGAAAGAAGGTGAGGGGATGATAGAACAGTAGTGGCGAAGGTGAGTATATGTCCTCGGAGCAAGATGAGTTTAAATCCGACGCAATTGACTGCAATTTAAACTTCGCGCCTAAAAGTCGCTGCCTGCTGAGTCAATGGCTCGAGGACAGGCTGACGAGTTTTATCAAGAGATATTGAGGCAGGACACCACACTATGATGACCAATGGCGAAGCAATGGTAAAGATGCGCCCGTGGATGATACGGAAGGGTTGCAGAGTAGCAAGTCTTGTGAAGATATGGAGAAGGGGGGGTGAATCCGAATGATATGTTCGGGTGAGACATGATCATGCAAGAGCGAACAGGCAGCAGTACCTACCTAGGGTCTGCTGACGAATAGATGCGGCAAAGGAATAACGCGGAGCATCGAAGCTGCTCGAATTAGAGAAGGCGAATGCCCAGCGAGAGCCATTGGCCAATGGATAAGCGGCCACGCTAAGTTGGTATTTACGAGTGCACCGAGGCCACCGAATCAATCACCGCCCACCTGGCTGTGGCCTGTGATGCTGTTCTGTCAGGTCCGGTCTGTTGCTACTTTTTGCGGCGTAAAGCGTTGGTTGTGTTGTCGTGATTCCAAGTTTGAGTCATTCTCTTGGTCTCGGCCGATGGCTACCGTACTCCGCCTCTGGACCCTGCACCTTGCCTCTTCCGTCCCAGTGCGGCTCTGTGAATCTCATTCACCGACGATGATGCTACGATTGCTGTTGAACCTCCTCTCCCTATCACTACGCTGGTTCAACTCGAAACCCCCTCTCTTACCGCTGATTTCAATCTTTCGCTGATGTTGGCAAGCATTGACAGCACCTGAAACCATTTGGGGTATGACAAAATGGCGTCAGGTATCAGCCCCATTGATCCCGCAAATTGGGCAACAATCCGCCTAAAGAAGCATGCGCTACAGTGTTCGGTAAGAGAAGAACTACACGCGATTGAGCGCACCGCCTCGACGCCTCCCCTCCTCCTTCGCTCGATCGACATTGGTGGAGAGAGGAGCAAGCGCATCTTCTTGTTTGTAGCGCTTATCAGGTGGGCCCCCGAGGGAGATATCCTGATCACGCATATGCCCGGTGGGATTCTGCCATGTCGGGCGAGACCAACATAATCCTCCTCCATTGAACCCCCTTCATAATGCCTGATTGTATTCCTACTTCGGCTCGGGTCAGCAAGTCAATACCCTGATCGAGGCTTTCGAGCAGGTGTGTGTTATCATCCGTTGCCAATTGACCCTCCATCAGCAAGCAATGCCAGTGTCGAGTCGCCAACTGACCCAAGTCATTCTGTCGAGCGATTGACATGTGAAAGCCCTCTCGAATTGACTTTGGTTTCCGCCGCTTTCTTGACGGTGTGGCGGACCCTTGGCTCAGACCCCCCACGCCCGAGAAGACCTCAAAGTACCCCTCATTTGCGGCTACCCGCCTCCGTATCTCTTGTGAGCAAATGGTCACACGGCGCTTGCTGTCTACAGGAAACGATTCGCATTTGAGATTCACGACCTTCCTGTCGATACGTGCGTACGTACGCGGACTGTCTTCTTGACAATGGCACCAAGACAAATAGGGTCCATCTAGTCTGGGCAGTATCAAGGTATAATATACGACTTGTATCCACAGCATATGTTTGAGGATCCTTCGCTGGGTCAATCGATCATAGGCTAGGCCCTCAACCGACAAACACGTCTCATGAAACAACCTCGTGCCGGCGAGTGCTCGTTCACGGGATTCAGGGAAGGATATCCAACCGATGCGTGACTTCTGCTATATTACGCTGCTTCGATTGTAATCACGGTCCAGTCGTGATCATCTGCACGGTTCTTTGCAGCAAGCAGCAGGAACTTCATGCAGGTCTTCGGCTCATGACCGCAGCGGCTGCGAGTAATCCTCGGATAATGGTGTCTGATCATACTCCAGTGTGGGATGCGACAGCGAGCGCTGCCAGAGAAGAGGAAGAAGCAAACCCAGCTTTCGACTCCTGCAATTGACCTTGTCCAACACCAATGCCGTCAAAGAAGAAATAATGATCACAATCTTCAATTGACATGTCGTTCTGTCGCTGCAGATCATGCAGATCCGGTCGATGCCCTGCGCCGGGCGGGCCGCATACTTTTATCGTGGACCTCGTGTGCATGTACAGCGACGAACCACTGTTGTAGCATGTGTTTCTCGCCTGTCATCTGGACGTTACTCGGTTACATGCTAACCTTGTATCGCATTACCCAGCAATAGCAATCTATCAGCCGGTGTATCTCTTGACCAAGCTGTAGAGTATCGCATAGGGTCTTGGTGACCGGTTGCATATCTTCTTTTGCTCAGATGATCTTCTAACGACTATACGGAGTACATTGTAGTAGAAGCAATTTCCTGAGGGACGATAAGCATCGGTGATCAGCATGACGAATGCTCTGAGCAACTTCGCTGCAGAGGGCGTGTCTGCTGTTATTCTTGTTTGCGTCTTTGCAACATCTCATGGCATAGCTCGAGTCAAAGCTGATCACTTGCGTGTTTGTCAAAACACATTTTAAGCCATTCCGAATGTTTGTTGTTCTGCATACTCTGTGTTTGAGAGCAGTGAGGACTCGGAACCAGCATCCGTGTTGATGTCATTTCTAACGTATATCAACTGCACAGTAGACGAATTGCGCGACAATTCGTTACCAGACTTTTGGTCTACTTTTGCGGCTTGGAGCAGCTAGCGCAATAACATTGAATTGTACTCGCTGAGGGGAGCACCCTGATCTCTGCAATGCATGAGTTTTGAGACCCGCCTCATCGTGTATAACAACACCTACTATGATCTATCACTGTTTGTCTGAGAGGTACTGTCGTGATATGTCATCTATCCCTTCCTAAGTAGTTTTTGCACAGTGGTCGACCTCGTGTACAATTTCTCAACTTGATCAACCAGAAGACCCGACCGTATCATCATCATCCCACTTCAAAATAGACCAACTCGAACTGCATCACCGACCGAACCAAGGAGGGATCAATCACCATAGAATCAGGCATCCTAAGCATTATGACACTTCCAGAGTCTCGCGCCTTCATAACTTCCCTCATCACATCTCTGCAAACAGAACCACCAAGCCCAACCACTCCACCATCCAATCCTCTAAAACAAGCAACACCAGCGGATCGATCAATCCTCTTGACCCTCCATGTCTTATATCCCAATGAGCTCCTCTCAGCACTAGATCTTCTAGACCGAGAACTAGTAGTGCGATTACTCCCGATCCCTCAAACCAAGGACCCGCCACCAGCACCTGAGACGGTGGTAGATGCAACAAATGTCGAGCATGGAACAAGCACTGCTCTCAACGAGATTGTAGAAAACATCAAGAGAGCAGACAAAGGTTACACCAATGCTGTCTACTACGTCCGCTCAGCACAACAAACATCATCAAATTCACGCTTCAGGGATCCAGTGGCATCGAGTACGCATCATGAGGTCAGAACGTCGAGTTGGAGTTGTTCGTGTCCTGCATTCGCATTCTCTGCTTTTCCTGCAAACCTGCCGGAAGACGAGGGAGGGGATCATGTTGAGCCTGTGACCGAGGGGGAGGAGCAAGAGTGGATGGTTGGTGGCTTGTCTTTAGGGAAGGATGTCCCAATGTGTAAGCATCTACTCGCTTGCGTGTTGGCTGAGAGAGGAGGGTTGTTTGGAGCATATGTCAAGACGAGGGAGGTTAGTGTGGAAGAACTTGCTGGATGGGCTGCGGGATGGGGCGGTTAAAGCATCGAAGACTTGAGCGAGACGTCACATGTATAGGAGGACATCACGAAACGGTGAACCGTTGGCGTAGTTACTTTTCATATCATGTTATATGAGGCCTTGCGACAAGAAAGACGCCCGAGTTTGCTTCTCGGTCAGCGTCTGATGCGTCCTCTGATAGTATCCCTCCTTCCGCCGTATATTACAAACGCCTGATGCATGCACCATGTCGATGCTGGCTCTTTAGTGTCGAGTCGAGCGTAGCGACGTGTAGTGAGAAAAACACGTCATGTTTCATAACCTGGAAGTGCCTCCATGTCCTTCATCCCTTCTTCTTGTCATCCTTGGTGCTCTTGTCTTCCTTTTCTTGCTGCTCGGCCGGTGCGTCGCCGTTCAGCATGAGCTCCTCGGTCTTCTTGATAGTCTCTTTCGTCTTGTCCTCTTCCTTCTTTTGCTCCTTGTCATCGGCCTGTTGCTTGTTCTGAACCTTGTTCTCGATGAGGTCGTGGAAGGCAGTAATGGCGCGAACCAAACTTCCAAGGTAGATGGACATGAGTTGATCGTTGGTCTTGATGTTCATGGCACGGGCAAGCTCTGAATCGCCAGCTGCTTGTGGGCCAGCGAGACCAATGGCGCCTGCGGTCTTGGGAGTCGAGAGGTTGGGCAACAAGTTGAAGACGTCCTGAAGGTTGCCGAGGATTGCGTGGTTGACAGGGAGCTCTTCGTCGACGACCTTGTCGAGATATCTGCCAATGTCTTGCAGGCGGTGATGCAGACCTTGCAGCGACTGCAATTGCGATGTCACGCGAGTTGACAGAGTTCCAACAGCAACATCACGGATATCGCGGAGCAAGTGCTCTACTCCAATCTCTTCTGCCTCTTCTGCTTCGATGGTCGAGGGTGTGTGTACAAATGTCTTTGCGGTCGTGGTTCCGTCCTGCGAGGTGCGTAAGTACAATGTAAAGAGTTGTTGGTGTTGATTGCAAACATACGTCCTTGATCTCATCGACGGCAAAGTAAGCATCGGTTGGCACGCCGACATCCTTGGGCAGGACGTCGATGATGACGAGCAGAGGGTTGGGCGTGTAGCGCTTGAACAGCTCGTTGATCTCCAGATCCGAGGCGCGCAACTTGGGGCCAGTGTGGTACCATCCGACGAGCTTCTCGCGAGCGTTGATCTTCTTGAACATATCGTTCATTGATTCGACATAGTTGTGGTCAAGGAACCACACTGACGGGTCCTTCTCGTCCTCCTCGAATGGCACTGAGAGGCGACTGTCAGTCGGAGTCGGAGATGCGCATGATAAAGCAGTGGCAACCTACCAGCAAAACTGTTTGATACTCTCACGTTCTTTCCATCGTTTTGACCCAGCAGCACACCGACTACTCGCTTGCGTGTGCCCTTTGCTGAACGGGCGTAGTGATCTGTCGCCGAGAGCAGCACTAACGGTGCTACCGACACGTTCCTGTTGACGAGGGAGAGCGTTTCTGCAGTGGTTGACGGCATGGCGATTTGGATGTGCGATGTCGTCAGGAATGCTTTCGAGATGGATCAAGGTCGATGCGAGTTGGAGAGGGAATGCGAAAGTGAATGTTCAGTTGCGATGACGATGGCCATCTCGCCGTCTAGGACGAGCTCCCATCTCCGGAGACTTGGCGTTTGTTTGCCCGCCGAAGCTCCCAACTTCTTGAATCTTCTTCACTCGAAATCAGCAAGGTACTCTTGAAAACTTCGTTATCATTGAATGTTCATAGCTGAAGCCCGATAGCTGCCTCTGCCGTATCACTACTAACTACTCATGGAATGGGGTATCTGATATAGACCATGGCTCCAAAGACGCCTCCTTTTTCCGTGCCCGACGCCGTCCTGTGCAGTTTAGATCTGCATAGATGTCTCCTCGTCCCACCATTGTCTGAAGACCTGTAGTCGCTGGGTCCTCTCTCTGGCCAGCTCGCGTCCAGAATGTGTCTATTGTTTGTCAGCAGCGTGTCGTGAATAGTGGATGCGTTTCACCACTAACCTTCATCATGTTCTCCAGTCTTTCGAGCTTCTCAGCAAAGTGCTCTATGCTTCCGTCTAGTCCTCTGTCTGGTTGCTTGACCGCGCCGAAAGCAAAGCACCTGCCAATACCCACTGCACCTATCGCATCCAGTCTGTCGGCATCCTGCACGATGGCCAATTCTGGATGCTGATCCAGCACCGCCTTCATCATTCGAGGGTTCTTGACCTCATTGGAGAAGGACACATTCTTAGCGATGAGTTGTACCTTCATCGCGAGGTCTGGACTTGCTCCATGCTCTAGGAGGTGCTCTGCAATCTGGTTTTCTGGGTTCTCTCCTGGCTTGTGATACTTGTGATCGCCTACGTCGTGCAACATAGCTGCAAGAAGAACTGCCTGTGGATCGTACGTGACTCCTTGGAAAGACTGTGACTCTGCATCCAGGATGCGTCTTGATAGGGCAAAGACTCGTGTGACATGATTGAAGTCGTGCGAGGCGTCGTAGCGGGACATGTACTCCTGCACAAACTGCTTGGTAGGCCAGAAAAGGTTTTGCTCCAGGGGGAAGATCCCTTCCAAGTCGGCAAAGGCTGGAGGTTCCAAAGGTAGTTGGTCGTCAACGTTGATTGGCGTCGGCTCAGGGTTGTTTGGACCTCTGACAATACCTGGTATCGGCGGCCTTGTCACCTTACCAGGCAAGTTGTAGCGCATACGGTATTGATCGAGCCAGTCTCTGTCAAGGTTTGGCGGAGACTTTCCGCGATACTGTGGCATCTCAGCATACATTGCCAGTGCCCTGGCTTTGAGTGTGTTTCCGTGCACCGCTTCGCCCCTTGCAATCTCGGCCATGTGCCAATCATGCAGAGCATCCTCCAGTTCGGGCATTTTCGAAGCAGTCAGTGTCACCTTGGCTCTGTAGGCACCATGGTTGTGTTTATGGTCCTTGATGACGGTGACCCATTCGTCGGAGAAGCGTCGCTTGGAGATGAGAATCTTCATTGGACATCCAGTCTTTCGGCTCATGCGGTTGCGCACTCTTGTTCCTGGATTCTTCTTGAAGTGATCGCGGAAATAGCCACCCATTTCGCAAGTCAACAGGACTTTGTTCGTTTCGCCGTTCTAGGAGCTCAAGTTAGTCCACTGTATGAGCGTACTTGACACATTCAAAACAATACCGCAGCAAACTAAAGCAGGGCAAATAGTGTCAGAACACGTCAAGCCGAGGACGAATAACATGGATCACTAGTGAAATGCAATATTGCTCACCTTGTCCTTGTATGAATGGCCAATGACCAGGACATAGCCATGATCTTTTGCAAAGTTCTTCACCGCCTGCCCAGTCGTCAGTATATCCCCGATAACATGGTGAACATAGGTCTCACGTCAATGCCTTCTTGCTTAGTAGCATGCACTTCTGGTGGTGGAGGAGGCAATTCGGTGCGACTCAAGTCGGCCTCCCAGCGTGCACGTAGTTCGGCAACACCGTCAGGTGTGTTGCTAAGAAGTATTAACAAGATGCCTCAGGATGGTTCTCAGATTCGCTGACCTGTACACTTTCTGCCATTCTGCTTCGGTCCAAGTAGTAGTGGAGCGTTCATTGGACGCGGTTGGCGAAGATTGATGCACCGGGCTTTGTGTGATTTGATTGTTTGAGTTGGCAGGCCTGGTCACGAATTACTTTTGCTGATTTTATAAACGCGTGAATTGTATAGACTTACGTCAGGAACGGTCTCTGAGCAGTCGCTGGGGAAGGGTTTTGTTGATGAGCAGGACCAGGACCGGGATGCTGCTGCAAATTCGGGAATGACGAAAGTACGAATTGCATGAAATTGGGGGTCGAGCTAGCAGGATTATCGGATGGATTTTGAGCCGAAGACTCGTCAAAAGACGAGTACATGTTTTGGTAGTCCATGAACGACGGTGTCTCGATCAGTTAACGCGTCGGTATGGGTTTGTAAAGGACAGGGAGGGATCTGCTTCGAGAACAGCTTCGGTGGTTACGTGAATCAACAGCCTTGGCAGAGGCCGGGGCAGCCGAGGCTTCTCCACAAGTCTCACGAGCATCATCGAGTCGGATGCTCCCTGCTTTTCTCCTGACATTATTTCCACAGCAGCGTGTTTTGCTCTATGGCCATGGAGCTTTACAAGCATGTGTCGCATACGGCACAGGATGCTCTTGCCCTTCCACCCAAGTATCTGCGCATGTATGGCGACTTTGTGACAAAGAATGCCAGTGCAGTCAGCCAGATCGAGGGTGCATTGCGCTCGTTGACTTATATTCTACCAGGTACTGATCTTGCTCCTCCGCATATACCTATCTCTCTGACATGTGCCAGGCCGCTTCCGCGATACAGAAATCGCATCAGAATCTTGTAAGGACCACGACTCATCACTCTCATCCCACTGAGCTGAACCGAGTGCATAGTACATTCGAGCGTACAACTACTTTCCATCTACCATGACTCCCTCCTTGCGCGTGCGATACAGCGATTGCCGGCACTACAACGTCCTCACCCATCACCACATACCCGCTACACTCGATTTTGGACTCAGAAGTCTCCAGCCTACCGACGACTTGCCACGTTTCTGCAAGTAGTCCAATACACGGAACTTCTGTGCGAAATGGCTGCGAAGAGAAGGGGAGAAAAGGCAAGGTGGAAGGCTGTCGTAATCCTTGAGAGTATCAAAGCCTTGTGTCGACTGCTCCTCATGCGTCTAACAAACTCCCGGCCTCTATTGAATCCGCCGCTACCCGAGCGTGAGGCAGATCCAAGCACTCTGGAAGAGAAAGATGCAAGTGGGCTGGAATCGCCGCCATCCGAGAAATCTGAAGACACTCAATGGACTATGCCGAGGACTGGTCTCTCGCTGCCTACTCTGCCTTCTTCCTCCGACATCTCGGGCTATCTGCTTTCTAAAGCTCTGACGGCAGATGATATCAAACCGCCAAAGGCTCTGCTACATCGTGTTAATGGCATGGGTGAGCTGGCCGAGGTCCTCTACATTCTAAGACCCGTCATTTATGCTGCAGCAATGCACTACTGGGCTACGAAGAACAAGAAGAGCTGGCAACCTTGGGTATTGGGCGTCACGATAGAGTATGGTGCACGTCAACTGGCAAAGAAGGATCTCCAAGAGAGAAGAGCAGGCGGTCTCCGGGCATTGACAGCACTTGAGAGAGACGAGTTGAAGAGGAGAGGTTGGAGCCTGGGATGGTGGCTCATGAGAGGCGCATTCTACGAAACCTTCACCAAGTAAGTCCGCATTGCTTTATTGCTCGTGAAAATGGCTTTGCTGACATGTGCAATCAGGGCGTGGATTCATTCGGTGACCAACAAGCTACGAAACAAACCGCTGCTGGACATGGCCGGCGGCATAATCGAGGACTATGAGTTCCTGTGGGATCAGTACTATTTCCCAACTGCAACCATGTAATCGACTCGGAACTTTGAACCGGTATTAGCTTTCTCATTAAGGAGTTTATTGGAGGAAGGCTAAGTGAAGGCTATCTGACGGGTTTCATGGCGTTGTGGTGCATGATTGAGGGTAAACAGATGATACCTATACCTATGAGGCTATGACTAGTCAGCCCAACAGGATCGCGTGATTTTCTCGTTCATCAGTCCCTCTGCACAACACTTGCTCACACGTGCCTTTGTTCTCACTCGCCCGTCCTTGCGAGTCGTTCTTTCACTTGGCCTGTGCCTTTGTGTTGTAGATAAGAAACACGGAGCTTGACGACGCTTGTGACCGCGCCGTTCGTGTTGTCTGTGCTCCACCCCGCATTGGTCATCGCAGCCAGCGCCTGACTATCCCTCCTCCTTCCCTTCTCCATCGACAACCAACACCACCTTTGCAACCTAACGACCTCACATCGACTCAACTTCCTTCAACCACCTCCTCACCACAAACGAAACATCACAAACCGTCAGAATGCGCAGCAAGTTCAAGGACGAGCACCCGTAAGTTGTTGCCTAGCGTCAAGGCGGTCAAGGAACGTCGGACTAACACCATGTCGCAGGTTCGAGAAGCGCAAGGTGCGTTGATACGCCTTCCACGGCCTCCAAACCATTGCGGTACTGACTGTGTGTAGGCTGAGGCCGAGCGCATCCGTCAAAAGTACACCGACCGCATCCCTGTAAGCCCTGGTCGACCATCCGTCGCGACGCTGAACATAACACTGACGGTGTGGCAACACAGGTCATCTGCGAGAAGGTCGAGAAGTCGGACATCGCCACCATCGACAAGAAGAAGTATCTGGTCCCAGCCGATCTTACCGTCGGACAGTTTGTCTACGTGATCCGCAAGCGCATTAAGCTTTCGCCCGAAAAGGCCATCTTCATCTTCGTCGACGAGGTCCTTCCTCCCACCGCCGCCCTGATGAGCAGCATCTACGAGGAGCACAAGGACGAGGACGGCTTCCTCTACATCACGTATGTTGCTTGACATGCATCACAACAAGACATGAGCTCACACTCTTCACAGCTACTCTGGCGAGAACACCTTTGGCGAGGCCGCTTGAAGCATACCCGACTTTCTTTTCTTATTCTAATGCCACACGATATCCTTACACGGATCACCAGGAGTTTCGGAGTCTTTGGGAACTATTGACGGAGAGGGATGATTTGAGGGAGGATGACCGAATGCAGCGACGGAGCAAGCAGGACAAAGCAGCCGCTCGTCATTCTGACGGCGCTCGTCAAGAACCACACCCGCTCAGGCCCTTGTACCCCATTTCGCTGCTTACACAGATGCTTTTAATGAAACCCTTACATATCAATTTGCTCATCCCCTCTGTCTTCGTGATAAGTTCCTATCAAGTAGGTTGTGAAATTCGAGTTGACCTGCGTGGATGGCAGAAACCAGGTCTTTCGCATTTTGTTTCCGAGGCGATCACAACATGACGGGAGAGGGCATACATAACAAGTCGAGGTGGCAGATGTCCATCAGGGTGGCCAGCAAAGTACCTGCCTTATCTGGGTGATATGAGTCTTATCTCCGAGCTCGCGACTTAGCGCGTCACACGACTTTCAACGGCCCGCGGTCCCGAAGCCAGACTTGATGCAGAGATGAACTTTGGGAGCGTCCAACAACTGCAACCAGGAACCTTGCAATCACCGACCTCTGGATCAGACGGTGGAGAGACTATCGCAAGAGTAACTCACGGTCACAGAACAAGCTGTTCGAAATCAATCCGACGACTGTCTCAGTATGTCTGCTCCTCGCTACGCCTACATCATCTCCAAGTCAGTAGCATCAGACCATGGATGCCAGAAGCGAGTGGGTGACTGATGGGACTCGACAGGAACTTGGATCCAGTGTTCGCCCTGTTTATTGGAGGGTCGGCAGCGGTCGTTCGCATCAATCGCGACGAGAAAGAGAAGGGCAAGACCACAGAGCAGACGATGGAGTCGCTCAAGAGAAGACTCGGAAAGGCAACCGGCCTGAGCTCATGAAGACACAAATCAATGAGGAATACTTTCAGATGACTCGCATCTTGCTGCACGAATCATACCTCATGCCTGCACCCAGGAGCCACTGGGCTGATGGTGTCTAGCACTCATGAAGTTTGCGAAGCAAAGATGTGACAGTAGCATATACGCTGCAGCTACCCTTCTGATAGGTAGCCGAACAGGTTATGATAGGAAGAAGTATACTCGGGAGATCAGCTTCTGATCGTGGCAGGCAGACAATGTCGAGTTTGCGAGGGTACAAAACACTTGGTCGAGGAGGAGCAGGTAGGACCGTCTTCGAACAAGACATAGATTCAATTGCAATTTTATGACGATCAAGTCCAATGATTGTACACAGGAGTGACCTATCTTCTAATTTCTGGTGATCAAGATTGATGTGCCTGATAGTGAGCAATTAATAAATGGTACATCGCGTGCGCGTCATGTCTCCACAACGCGTCTTCTCGAACTCACTTCACTTTGATTGAGCAGCGTTCACCCGGACGACGCAAGTTCATGCATGTTCGACATCCACGGCAATGAGCAAGCTCGACACTCTCGACGATTGTTCCGAGGCGACGTCTCTTACACAACAAGCCCGACATGGCGCAACGAGGACGAGTGGTCATCGACCTCAGCGAAGACAGCCCACCACCAGAGCCTCGACGATCACAACTGCGCATACCAGACTCGCGCTTCATAACTCCGTCCGATGAAGACGACGACAACGACGACAGTGACGACTCGGTCGAAGTCCGCTGGACTGTCCGCCAACAGCGACATGATGTGGGCGCCCCGAAGTCTCTCAATGCTGGCCAGCCTACGAAACTTCAGAACCCGCAGCCTGTCGGCCAGTCGATCAAGAAGAATGCCACAGTGTCGTTTCCTGCAAAACACAGGCCTACCCAGCTATACCAGCCCTTGATCCCACAGCCTAGTACGACTCGACCACCGGTGTCGTCCTTTGAACAGTCCGAGACCACTCGACCATCTGCACCGCCAGCTACACAAGCTACGCGCTCACATGCTCCGCCAGCTACCCAGCCTGTCCGATCACGGGTACCGTCTTCTACACAACCTGTGCAGTCACATAGACCGCCTCCCAACACACAGCGACCTGGCCCGCATCCAGACCAGCCACGGCCCACACGCGACGGGCCCGTATCAATAACGAACCCATTGACCAGGCAGTGGTTTGCTACCCTGTCAAAATCGCGGACTGGTACACCACTCAACTCTGGGCTGAGCAGACCGATATTACCACCTAGTGCATCATCGTTACCTCCCAGGCCCTCCGTGTCTTCAGCACAGCATCGGCAATTGAATGCCCTGGCACTACCACGAGCATCTCAAGCACAGACTCCTCATACACATGCTGAGACACTGCTCGTCCCGAAGAGGTCGATAGAATTATCTCACGTCCTACCTACAAATCTATTACACACCTCACCTGCACCATCGACGAGCCTTCCTTCGCGAGAGCTATCGAGGGAGGTCTCAAGAGCAAGCCCGAAGACCGACAATATTGGCCATGGCCATGTTAGAAATGTGCTACCTCCATCAATTGCTCGAGACTCGGGCGCCATCGCACCTTCCCGGCCCAAACTGCCGTCGGAAATGGTCCCAATGTCTCCACGTCCACCGTCTCCAGGAAACGCAATGAATGCACCCGAACCATCTCCTGGCACACTTCCAAACATGACGCTGACCGCAAACCAACAAAATCTATCCGTACAGCCAAACACACAGACCATCGAGGTCATTAAACTTGACATGTCCTCTGATGATGAAAGCTTCGCGACTGCTGTAGACAACTCAAGTTCATCTGCCAATCTCCCTCTGAACTACAATTCACAACGCACTAGTAAGCGAAGGCTGGGAGTTGTCGAATCTGATGGTGAAGTTTTAGTCCCCGTGAAACGAGCTCGTCGCAATCGTCTCTCAGAGAACCATTTGAAAATTCCGGGTTCATCTGTCGAACCGCAAGTGGCTCGAGGGGCCGACATTATCGCTTCTATCGAGACTGGCCTTACATTCACCTTCCCTGATGACATTTCTCAGATTCCACCTTTCCAAAACCGTTTTGGTCAACCCTTTACAGATGAGGAGGACGCACTTGTCCGATACTTGAAAGAAGTAAAGGCTGTTCCCTGGAGAGAATTTGAACGCTTTTTCCCTGGGAGAAAGTGGGCGTCTATGCAGTCAAGATACTCCAAAGTTCTTCGGCCGCGCGCGGCATACCCGGACGCAACAACTTCTTTATCACGACCAATCACGCAGAACCCGACAAGAGAACTCAGGCGCATGGCTCACCCCTATACCGACTCTGAAGATCTGTCCATATCCAGCCCGGGAAAGATGTCTGATGCTACCGCTGACGCGCATCGCTGCAGGCGAAGTATAAGACCACTGAACTATCTCGTAAGACATCGAGAACTTGGGTTGACTAGCGGTCGCGATTGGCCGAGAAGGTTGCACGCTGGTATGCGAGATCTTGTTTACAGTAGCATGGGCGCGCAAGCTTACATGGACGACGCATCGGGCGATGTTTCGACCATTGCATGGTCGCCCAATGGCAAGTCTTTCGCAGCAGGTGCCGTAGCTGTTACAGATCTGCAGTCTGTCGACTACAACAAGCCTCGCAACCTTGTCATCGGTAGGGCTAAATCACAGAAGATCAAAGAGCTGTCAGACCACACCATTAAGCGCTTGTTACCTGACGGACGTCAGAAAGAACTGTTCTCCACAGTCCAGATGGTTGCCTTCAGTCCAGACAGCAATTACATGTACTCTGCAGGGATCGATCAAAATCTGCACAGATACAGAATCAATAGTTCTCTAGAAGACACGGCGCTTGTACATACGCTTCAACATCCGGCATCCGTGGACTTCCTTGCTGTCAGCAACAATGGACTAGTTGCTACCGGCTGTGCTTCTTCAGATGCTGGTGCAGTTCGTGTTCTGTCTTACGACGACGACGACTCGGCCGATATCATCAAGTTCTCAGGAACGATCCAGAGCAAGAAGTATCCATCGGCATTACGTTGGGGCTTAGCTCACGACCATCAGAACTATCTGCTTGCTGGATTCTCACGCGAAGCCGAGGCAGTCTATGCCGAAGACGACAATCGCGACAAGGAAGGAGAGGTCGCACTGTGGGATGTCAACACCCAGCAGAGGATTGATGTTGACGCACCCAACCGAAACGTCTTCGACCTTGCTTGGAATCCCAATCCAAGTGGCAATTCTTCCATCTTTGCGGTAGCCAGCAGACCTTTCGGCCACGTTGGTCATGGAATACATTCGGTGGTCCGACTCTACTCCCCTCGACAGAACCACGCCCAGCATACCATGGAACTAGACTGTTCAGCCTGGGATATCAATGACGTGGTTTATTCTCCTCATGACAGCAACATCATTGCAGTGGGTAGTACAGAAGGAAGAGTTTACATCTGGGACGTCCGTATGACGAAGCAAGGCCAGTCGCCTTTAAGTACCTTGAGGCACGGGGATTCTCTAGCCATCGTGCCGCACGAAAAGAGAAGGTGGGAAGCCGATACAGGCATTCGTTTCCTATCCTGGGGTTCTGAACGCAACCGGCTGTACTCGGGCTCATCTGACGGTGTCGTGGCCTGCTGGGATCCATACCGTAGTGATGCGGACAAACACGTTCGTGATGTGGTACAGCTCAACTCTGCCGTCATGTCAGGGGCGTTCAGTCCGGACTTCTGCCATCTGCTAGTCGGGGAAGACGCCGCAAGGTTGAACATGCTTACTGTTGGTAACGAAGGAGCAACGTTCAACAGAACTACTACAGCACCGTTTGTTGTAGAAAAGGCGCCACTGCAAGAGGAGGCTGCCCGGACGCTCTGGGATTGTGAGCAGATGCATGAGAGCGGAGCACTCGAGATTCAGCCCGCAGGAACCTTGCCGTTCAGACAGGTGGTCCAAGGTCCAAACTACAATGGACCCTACCGCCTTGAGAGCGAGGACGAGGGCGAGGGCGAGGCATCGAAGGCTCGAGAGAATGCCCAGAAATTCCAGGAAAAGGTGCTCAGATCGCTCAGGCGTCGTAACAAGCAGGTCAGAAAATCAGGCGTTGGACAAGCACAGCCGTGTCAGTTGGATTGTGGCTTCATCCCTCTACCGGACGACTACGAGTTCCCCAAGAGATGGTTGTCAGACCAGATTCCGGACAAGATGCGCAAGTGGATGAAGACGACGGAGGCAGGAGGACGCGGAGGCAAGCTTAGTTGTTCTCGTTGTGGACAAGCAGTGACCATGACTGCGAGAGGTCATGCAATCGAGTGTGAGAACTGTAGAGCTGCGTGGTCCGTGGGAGCACTGGGCTACGATCTCATTGAACAAGTCAAGGTCAGTCATGCAAAGAAGGCAGAGGACGGAAGAACTGGCGACGCAGTCGACCTGTGCGACTCGGAAGATGAAAGAGAGCGCTTCGTTCGCGAGGTCACAGACGGACTGAGCGATGATGAGCTTTGAGGTCCTCTATCAACCAAGCATTCTCAGCACAGAACCTGGTACATAGAGAGACAGATAAAGGCAACAATGATCAACATGAAGCATGCTCACGATGACCCTGTCAAACATGTGAAAGGCGCCAAGAATGCGGAGTAGAGTTTGGCGGGCAAAAGAGGCCGAGCAACTTTTTTGGACATTGAAGATTCGGAGAGTCGTTGACCTTGACAGTGCAGCCTTCAACATGGTAAGTGAATCATCCCTTATCGATCTTGTGAGAGGGTTGTGCGCGGGAGTATCTGCTTCACGAAGATGCGCAACACATGCCCCATCACGTGCACCAGCATAGCGAGACACAGACTGACACGCGAGTGGTATAGAAAATAAAGGCCCTCACTCGCACTGCGTCGCAGCAGCAGACGCCGGGCACTTCGGTGCAACGGCAGACACGCAACCTGGATCCGGCTCTGCATCCCTTTGAACGAGCGCGCGAGTACACCAGGGCGCTGAATGCGACAAAGATGGACCGCATGTTCGCCCAGCCCTTCCTGGCCCAGCTCGGCCGCGGTCACGTCGACGGAGTCTACACCATGGCCAAGGACCCCAACTCGCTCGAGAGATTCGCTTCGGGCAGTGGTGACGGTGTGGTCAAGGTGTGGGATCTGACGACGAGAGAAGAGATTTGGCAGGCACAGGCGCACGAGAACATTGTCAAGAGCATGTGCTGGACACACGACAAGAAGCTGCTGTCTTGTGGCAGCGACAGGAGTATCAAGATGTACGATCCTTACAACCAGGCTGGCAATGCCGCTCCGCTGTCAACCTATTTGGGTCCTGCAGCCTTCACCTCCATTACAAAACACCGTACCGAGCCTGTCGTGGCCGCTGCTTCGTCCGTCATCAGCATCTACGACTTGAACAGAGCCAACTCTGCCCCTCTGCAAACGCTACAATGGCCCAACAGCATCGACACCATTACTGCCCTCAAGTTCAACCAGACCGAAACCTCCATCCTCGCCTCCACAGCCACCGACCGCTCCCTCATCTTCTACGACATGCGTACCTCCTCCCCCCTCCACAAGTCCGTCCTCACACTAGCCTCCAACGCAATCTCCTGGAACCCCATGGAGGCCTTCAACCTCGCAGTCGCAAACGAAGACCACAACATCTACATCTTTGACATGCGCAACCTGAAGCGCGCCCTCAACGTCCTCAAAGACCACGTCGCCGCAGTCATGGACGTCGAGTTCTCCCCCACTGGAGAGGAACTGGTCTCGGCATCCTACGACCGCAGCGTCCGTCTCTGGAAGCGCAACGACGGCCACAGCAGAGACGTCTACCACACAAAACGCATGCAACGCGTCTTCTCCGCCGCCTGGACACCAGACAACAACTACATTCTCACCGGCAGCGACGATGGAAACATTCGACTCTGGCGAGCCCGCGCTTCCGAGCGTCAAGGAGTCAAGAGTGCCAGACAGCGTCAACAACTCGAATATGACAGAGCTCTGGTGGAGAGATACAAGCACATGCCTGAGATTAGGAGGATCCACCGTCACAGACATTTGCCCAAGCAGGTCAAGAAGGCTAGTGAGATCAAGGGAGAGGAACTCAAGGCCATCAAGCGTAGAGAGGAGAATGAGAGGAAGCATAGCAGTAAGGGAGATAGCAAGAGAAGGAGCGAGAGAGAAAAGATGGTTCTTCAAACCGAGCAGTAGAATCTCCGTCTCTATCTTCTTGCATCTTTTCTACTAGCATACATGTTTCAAGGAGTGACAGGGATGGCGTACCCGGCGTTCAGATTTGGGGGGGGAAAAGAAATGGAAAAAGCGAATGCCTTCTTACATGATACCAAATATCAACTATCAAAACACAACCCAACTTCAAACATTCCAAGAACCGCATGAGATCATTGACACGACTTGACAAGGGCAAGCACAACTTACTTGTCTGTTCTTCGTTCCCCTCTCGCTGGACCGACACTTCCTTCTCCACTGTTTTCAATCGCTTCCCACCTCGTGTCAGAGATACAAAAATGCTCAGGACCAGCGATCCCATGCCATCTTGGACCCATGGTATCGATTCAGAGCTACGCACAGAAAGAAAAAAAAAAGTCCGAGCACTCTAGGGATCCCGAGTTCGCTGTTTTCAACATCAGCTCTCTCGTCCTTTCCTTCTCGCATGCCCAATGTCCACGGCAAGAGCGACGTGCTCTCTCTTCTCCAATTCTTCTTGACTAAAAGATGAAATAAATAATAGACCAAGGGTATTCCTCCCAACAACAACAGTACACTTGCCTTTGGTAACGTTCTATCAAATTGTCCATGCAGGTCTCTTAATAAATCCGCCTCACCTCTATACACTTCCAGCACTCAATCACAATCATCCAGAAGCGTCCATTGTTATATAAAAGGTGCTCATTTTTCAAATTGGTCAGGGATCCCGCTTGAAACCGAGTGCCACGTTTTCCCTCGAAATCAAATCTGATCCTTTTTATGCTGCAATGATCAGAGGAAAAGAACACGAAGATGATTAATAAAAGCCCTAGTTACTACCCTCAAAACGACAGTGCAAGGAAAGGACTGAGAGAAAGACGCATTTTGCGAGGGTTGGAAAGTAGTCAGATATCCTCATACCTTCTTACTGTTGTTCTGGCCGGATCGAGATCGCATGCTCAAGTCACCTACCTATTACAGCGGTATATCTCACACAAGGTCTAAGTATGCCTTTTCTACTGTTTGTTACTCACCAAAGCTGACATGTCGCGACACAATACTGGAAATATCTGTGAGAAGGTCAGTACAGAATCTTACATCAACGACATGGATGTAGCCATGGTTATTAGTCGTGACGAATGCAAAAGAGCAAATAGCAAACAGCAAAACGAAAAAAACAACCCATGACATTTGATATAACAAAGCAAAGAAAACGATGAAGAGCGTATGAGTAGCAACAGCAAAAAGCAGTGAGTGGAGGTCATGCCAAAAAGTCTCTCGTCCGCCCCAATGGAATTCGCAGCAGACTGTTCCCTTTCGTTTCTCCCAAACAGCCAACCGGCTCTCCACCTGTAGTGAGTTTTCCGACCAGAGGGAGGACCTTCGTTTCGTAAGGGTGGAGAGATTGTGGGCCTTTCGTCGGGGTTGAGGCCGTAGATGATCGTGGTCTGGTCCTCTCAGAACTTTCCTCCATCCTTCTCTCTTTCCCTTTTGGCTCCTCTATTTTTTTCTGGCTCGGACTGTCCGCTTCGTCACGGCTGGCCTTAGAACTGCACAAGAGCAAACCATCACCATGACATGATATAAAAAGGTGAGAATCCGGTGGAGGCATAGAGGAGAGTGAATGCAAAGATAACCGCGCTGTATGTAACGTGCTGCTAGTGGACAGGATCGCCTTTTCTCGTCAAAGTTCCACTATCTGCGTCCGAACCTGCTGCAGGAATTCAAGTCAGCATTTAGAATGTAATGTTAGGGAGGGGTTTGGTGGGGTGATGTGTACTTCTGCTTCTTCTCTGCTGGCTTGAGGATCTGGAATGAGCACAGCAAGCTCTCGTCGACACTCATCATGGCACCGGCGTTGTCAAACTCTCCGCAGTAGTTGGGAGCACTGAACAGGGTTACAAGTTGACGTTTTGAGAAGAACTCGTAACCATCTTCGACGACTTGATGAGCACGGCAAATGAGGTCCATGTCGTGCTTTTGCAGGAAGCGCGATACGACGTCGGGTCCAAAGGTGAATGAAACACCACGGTCGTTCTCGCTCCATCCAGTAATGTCCTTGTCAGGGTCAGACCAGAGGAGATCGCAAAGGAGACCGCAGTCGGGGATCTGAGGATACAGTCAGTAAGGATTGAGAAACAGCGAAAGTCGCGGACATACATCAGTGGGGCGCATGACGCGTCTGATTTGCTCCATGGAGTTAAGATCGGGACTCAAGCCACCGTGCATGGTGAAGATCTTCTCGTCAATGATGGCGGCGATGGGCAGGCAGTTGAAGCAGTCGGTGAAGGTCTTCCACAGCTTGATGTTGTATCTTCTCTTGCACTCATCGTAGAAACCGTAGATGCGGTTGATCGAGGCACACTCGTGGTTGCCGCGGAGGATGAAGAAGTTCTCGGGGTACTTGATCTTGTAGGCGAGGAGCAGGCAGATGGTCTCAAGCGACTGCTTGCCACGGTCGACGTAGTCACCAAGGAAGAGGTAGTTGGCCTCAGGCGGGAAACCACCGTACTCGAACAGACGCAGGAGGTCGTAGTATTGGCCGTGGATATCACCACAGATCTGGACGCGTCAGAAAAGAAGAGTAGAGGATTGGGAGAAGGGGCGATAGCTACCTTGATGGGAGCCTCGAGTTCGAGGAGGATGGGCTGAGAAATGAAAATCTCGCGAGCTCTGGTGCAGAGATAGCGGATCTCAGTTTCAAGGAGCTGGACCTGCTTGCCGGGTCTGCTACCGCGGACCTCGAGCAGTCTGTCGATGATCGAGTCCAAGTCGACGTCTTGTTGGTCTGCCATTACGAAGCCGAGAAAGAAAGAACGAGGGGAAAACTAAAAGTCTCTCACCGAGCGCCGGGGCCCTTGCTAGCGCTCAATCGATGTTCCGATGCTTTGTTGGTAGATGAGGCTACACGTGTGGCACAGATGTAGTTAGAGGCGACCTCGGGTGCAACGAAGGTGCTGGATGGAGCCTTGGTGTTGACAGGTGGGGAGAGGTCGTGTTGGCTTTGAGCGTGTCGGATGACGAAACACGTGGAGCGACGGGCGACGAAGAGTCGGTGTCGAAGAGGAGTCGGGAACAAGGCGCTGGGGGTATGTTTGGCGGTAGACCAGATGTGAGATGGAAACACGCCGTTTACAGCGCTGTGACGAGGGAAAAAGCGCGATGGAAATTATCGACTGTCGAAAGTGGATTGGGTATTTTCGAAGGTGTCGGCGTTTGCAGCGCAGCTGTGTAGAGATGGTGGTCAGCGAGGTGTTGGTTGCAGACGAGGTGGACGTGGACGTGGACGTGAATGAGACGGGGGTCAGGAAGGAGCGCTCGCACAGGCAGCCTGCGACATGGACAAGCGCCCGGCGCAGACGAGCAGAGAAGGCCGTTGCTACAAGAAAAAAAAAAAGAGACTGGGCCGACGTACCTTATGTGGTTGTGAATGGTCGTGACAGCACTGGTGTCGTTGTGTTTGATGCGTAGACAGGCAAGAGAAGTCCCAGCGTTCTGGCAGGGAGAAGTTGAATCCAAGCCCAAGCGTGCCCGCCAGCCAGAGCGGCCGTGCTTTTGCGACCTGCAACTGCCAAAAAAAACAATCTGCTTCATCCGCTCACTTGCGCGTCCTTTTGTCTTGGTCCTAATATCTAGCTATAGCCTGATGCAACCCGTCTCACCTCGATCAAGGCCTCGTATATATCGTGTCACATCCACCATCCACTTAATCTCCACCTTACTTTCACAATGCCTGTTCCAACTGCCATCACGTGGTCATCGCTGGGCTTTGTCAAAACAATACAACAATAATATGGTCATTCGTCCATGAGGTATCTACCTTTTTCCTGTACGCCTTCGCTATGCCTTTGTCCGTGCCCTGAATATCCTTCAGTCGGGCCACGTCCATAAACCAATCATTCGCTATACAACAAGAACGCCTTCGAAACATGTCATGTCAACGGCCGACTTTTGGCCATCACCACATTCCTTTAACCCAATCTTCTACCTCCAACAGTCACTTCTCGACTGTCTGTTCGCTGCCCTCCGATTGAAGGTCTGCCACTATACTCTCTTTCTGTGCCATTCCTCATCTCTTCGCCCAATGCCGTTAGCCAACCATTGCCGAGGTCAGTTTTTAACGTCTCGATCTTTTGTCGATAGACTTCACTGTTCACGCCAATCTCTTCGTCGTCTTCAGTCGGTACTGCAAGTCCTTCTATTGACATGCTCGAAGCTCCAGTGTCCAGTGGTGGTAAGCGAGGCGGCGACGATGTGGCCCGTACAAATCGCTGCTCCTCTGCCGAGACTGTAGCTTTGACAGCTGTGCGAGGTGAGGGCGGTCCATCATTCTGCGTAGATTGCTCGGAACCCATCTCGTGTGATAGCTCAACGATCCTCCTGCGGGTGCCCTTCTTTCTTCTCTGTGACGCTGTAGAGTAGTCACTAATTGACCTTGTCGACCCTTGAGTGTGTTCCGCCGCGGCCTGTCGTGATCGTTCACCTAGGTCGGGCATATTCAATGCATCGTCCGAGCGCTCGTCCTCAGGCACTGGAAGTGGAGTCGGTGCCGACGGCGGTTCTGGGGCACGGTCCACCAATTGCCTACGCTCGCTGTACGACGGAGCGGTAGAATCAATCTTGACGTCTTCGGTGTAGCCTGGTGTTGCCCGGAAGAGATTGAATATAGTGACTCTGTAGTTCGAATGCGTTCGGATAAACGGATTCTTTGCAACATAAATATCTTGCATCTCGGGCATTCTCGTGAGCCTCGCAAGCTCTGTAGGGTCCGTCAATTTATTGTCGCGCAGGTCAACACGCTCAAGAGAAAACAAGCGTTCGATCCCGGCAAGGGAGGTGAGGCGATTGGATCTGAGGTTGAGTGTGGTAATGGCGGGGAGTGGATTACGGAGCAGAGAGTGTAAGCTGTCAATCATGCAGTTGGAGAGGTTGAGTGCTCTCAAATTGGTTAATGAAGCAAGACTTTCGGGGATTTCGGTGAGAAGATTTGATGACAGGTCGAGCGAATGCAATGTTTGTGCTAGTGGGGCAAGGCTGTGAGCTGTAACGAATGTCAAGCTGTTGTCAGAAAGACTGAGGTGACGCAGAAAGCGCCACTTGGATGCAGGGACAATGCCCAGTGCGAGGAGATTGGAAGTACTATTCCGCGGTGTACTAGAATGAATGCTTGAGCCCGAGCTGCCCGACTCGCGTCTAAACTTGGGTGTGTTGCTACGTGGTTGATGTCCATGACCGTAGGATGAATTGTGTCGTGAGCTGGAGGGCCTTGACGGTGAAATGCTTCTCTGCCTCAAGCGGGGGGTCTTTTTGCCATCAGAAGATGCAGTCCGTGTCATGTTCACGGTCGAAAGTTGAGGGCTACCAATGGACGATCGTCTGGCATTTGCCATCGGTGAATTGGGCACTGAAGCAGATGCCAGTTCAGCTGCAGTTCTAACGCTGGGACTTGGCGCAGGCCATGCTACAGCCGGGGAGGAGGGTATAGGTGCTTTGGACGATCTGCGACGGCGCTTGTCCATGTCATCCAGGACGATGTTGATGGTGAGGTCAGCCAGATCGTCGATGCTGGCGCGCTTAACGGTAAGACTTCGTAGCTGCTCAGCCATACGGTCCCAGCCAAAGAGCTGTCGGAAGTCTACATCACAGATTTCCAGGGCACTGACATTCTTGAAAGCGAACAGTGGGACTGCCGTGTCAAAGGGGAACTCCTCGTAGCCAGCGATCAATTTGGAGCGATGGTCTGGGGACAGACGCAGACAGGGTATCTTTGTGAAGGCCGAGTACAAGTATTTCAGATCTTCCATCTCGGCAGCCTTTTGCTTCTCCTCCTTGTTCGACTGCCCGCTGAGGTTGAAGTGTGACCACATACTCGACATGGTGGACATGACACTGCGGACACTGGAGGATGATCGAACCGAGTCGGCATCTGAGCGGCCGCGCGACTTTGGAGCCGAGAGGAAGGAGACGTAGTTTCCAGGGGCGACGTCATTGTGGATGTTTTCGAGGCGGATAGTCATGGGGCCAACATTGATACCCAGTTCGTCGAAGCGGGACAGCAGGTAGAAGAGATGGTGAGGGGTCAAGGTCAACTTGACGGGCTTGACGGTCTGCGAGGTGAAGCTGAGATAAGGGAGCGACAGAGCGGCAGCAAAGGTGCTGGCCGAAGAGGTCGACGACGAGGCAGAAGGAGCGGCGGGCGGGCTCATGGCCGTAGAGGCGATAGGGGAGGTGACATTTTGGGATCCGCGCCTCTGCAATTGCAGCGCGTTGGCCAGGGCCTTTTCATGTGTCCGTACAAAGTAGGCGAGTTGCTACGAGGGCGTGCGTTAGCCTTGGACAGCGACGACGACAGCCATCTGCTGTGTTTACCTTTATGAATTGGTGGCCATCCTCAGTGTCCATGTTTTGGAAAGGCCGGGCTCTCTATGCATGGGAACAGGAGTAACGGCAAGGGTGCAAGCAAGCAAGGAAGAGGGAAGGAAAAGGCTGCGGCGATATGGATAATTGTGCTATCTCCCCAGAGCGCACTATGCAGTCGCAATAGCAGCGCAGAGCCAGACAGACAGATGAACAAGTCCAAGATGGTAGGACGCGGCTCGGTATGACGGTTTGAAACGTTGGAGACTTCGAAACAGTCAAAAGTGGTCGTGTTGGAGGCCGCAGACCACCAAATTTGTTAAACCCTTCGCCTCGTACTCTAGACCGACACCTTTCGTGACCTTGCTGCTGCGCCGGCGACGTGACCTGTCGCCATCAGAAACTAGCCGGCTGCCACCAACACCTTCCAGCAATCACATGCCGTGCTAAGTTACTCCTTTACGTTTACAGCCACCTCTTGTCATTCTCCCTTTTTCTCTGTCTCCAAAGAGTCCGCCTACGCCATACTCCGTAGTCGAGTCCACACACAACGCGGCAAGCTCTCCGAAAGGCTGGGACAACAAGGGTCCCGCACAGACAGACAGCAATCTCCGTCTGCTCGTGGCCCGCCCATCTCAATTCAGGCAATCATGATGGCCATGGTTCACGCGCCGACAAGCCTGACATGGTCTTGTAATTACTTCTCCTCTGACCTGTGCAATCACATCGTCAACATCATTTTTCAGCTTGTATTTCTTCCACGCATCAACGCCGTCTACTTATTGTCATCTGAACATGCAACCAATCAGGATCCGCTACATGCACATCATGAAAGCTCGTGCATCCAGCCTCTCATCCCAAGTCTCCAACAAGGCTGCATGAATTACAGACCCTACTCCCGGCTCATGCCTATTCATCCCTCACAGCGTAGCACTGCTGTACGTAGTCGATTACGTCTTTTCTGAATAGCTTCAATTTGGTTGACTCTCGGTCGGCCCGCTGTGGATAATCTGTCAAATCTGCACCGCCGTTTTCCATTCTGTATTTCCCGTCGGCTTTGCAGTTGAAACAGAGCAGCATCGTGTTTGCTCGGATCAAAGGATGACTCGACGGATTTGAGCTTTGTGCGCTTTCTTGCCGACATACAGCTCGGCCGTAGGTCTGGAAGCCATTGTTGTATGCTGTTCAGGCATCGGTAGCGACTTTGAAATTGACATGCAAGCCCTACATCTCCAGATGGTCGGTCTGCAATGCGCACGGCATATCACATCCCATTGTCGACTGGGCATTGCTTGGCTGATTGCTTTGGGATCGTGTTAATTGGAGGAACACGCAGCGACGGAACACCTTACCGTTTGCATGTCGGAAAAGACCTGTTGTTTTCCTTCAAGCTCCATGGACCATGCCGAGTGATGTTGTCCTTGCACTTGGAAATCACGATAGACTGCATCGAGACTGGAAAGCGTGAGATGATGAAACAAATGAAATGTGATCTTTGTACAAGTACGCTGGAATAGTAAGAAAAAGAGGTACATGGGATCTTTTCTTCGTCGGTTACTTCTAGAAAGCGGGCTCCAATATGACGTGTGACCTTCTCTTCGTCCAGTCGGCATAAGACTACGACGGCGTTGACGGTACGCCCGGTCGGCTCCCTCATAAATGCGGCAAAACACCTTTCGATTGAAAAGGCATTTAGTCCTTCTTGGCAGGCTTGCTCTGGACCATGAAGCCACCCTTGTAGTCCTCGGCAGAGATACCGGTGATAGGCTCGACGTTGTTCTCCTGTAGTTGCCGTTGTCAGCTACTATACTGCCGGTCAGTGCTTGTAAGGGACGAACCTTAAGGTATGCGTCGGAGGCCTCTTGGTACTCCTTGGTCATGGTTCCGGGCGAGCCTCTGGCACCGGCACGGATACCGAAGAACAGAACGGCGGTGACACCGAGACCACCCATGGTGTACCAGAAGACCTGCTTACCCTCACCGGGAGGAGTTTGAGAGCGGGGACCGTGGGGACCGAAAGCGATCCAGTATGCTGCGCGAAATGACGTGTCAGAGCTTATTTCGAGACTCAATTGTGCAAATCACGATCTGATGATCAATTGGCGAGCTCAACAGACTCAGCCGACACGAAGGAGCTCGCCAATTGGACGTGTATGGGCTTCGAGACAAAAAGTCGACATACCGGCCTTCTTCTCTTGCAGGGTCATCTCGGTCCAGTCAACCTTCATGCGGTCTCTGAGGGCCATCCACAGATCGGCCTGCTCCTGAGGAGGCATGGCCTCCCATCTCTTCTCAATGTTTGCGAGGGTAGGGTTGGAGATGGCGTGAGCACGGCGGGTCTGGGTTGCGCGCACCGACGAACGCAGAGCGGCGGCGGCGGTACCAGTGGTGCGGAGCATAGAAGTGCGCATTTTGTCGGTTATGTATCGGGGGAGAGGCGTGAAAGAGGAGATTCGTCTATACAGGGCGGGGCGCGACTGAGGGTGATGATGCTGCAGCAATTCATGAGGCCGGTTGTCGAGAGAAAGCTCTCGGAACCAACCGCTGACCACGCCAAGACCTTTACCCACGATCACCTTTTTCCTTCCATCCTCCCGTTTCCTCCCTGTCATTATACGTCGGGACAGGCTCCCCTTGTCATGGTTCAATCTGACTGGAGCAGGAACTTCCGTACTATGACAGAGACCGGGTGGAATCGACCTTGCAAGACATACCCTCACTTGTTGGTACTATTTGCTTGGTGACTTTAAAGAACCACCCGCAACCTCCATTCCGCGTCTTCCGACCGGGAAGTGAGTGATATTGCATCAATACAACCCCCTTTGGAAGTATAGCCACAATTGCAATGACCCCATAGCAGGCTGCGATCGTTCGTGTAATGCGCTGCTGCTCCATTGAACATAGCCTCATCATAAACAAGCGAGCTATCAGCAGCGCAGCTCATTCGGTAAGACCGCCAAAGACTCTCATATCGTGGTCTTCTCTCCAGGCGCCCTGGGCCGTGTTGGAACCTTGTTCTGTACTCACAGCTTCTGCCGTGTTTCTGGTGACGAGGTTCATGGTGTGCTGTCCGTCTCACTCCAGGGTGTGTAAGTCGTCTCTGTGTGAGCTTTAGTCTTCGACATTGTAGTGTCAAGAACACTTTTAATCTTACGTCGGTGAGTGTCTTCGTCTTCCTCGGCGATCATTTCGGTCTGCATTGGAGCGGCGAAGGAGTAGTTTTCGTTTGCCGAATGTGGATCCTGAGCATATTGGGTGGGTGTCGTTCCTGCATGTTCCATCAGCACCGTTTCTGAGAGTGTCCATATTGCCAAAGGACTTACGAGCACCGACGTCTCGGTTCTCCTTTGGAACGATCTCGGCTGCCTTTGCATCAAAGATGCTCACCCTGATCACATCGGCAACAGCAAGTTGCTGGCCAGTCTGAGAATGGTAGGCAGCATAACGAGAAACACAAAGTCTCGCCAATGTCTCTGGACCTTGCCAGTGATAATCATCATAGTGCGCGTCGCACCACTGCAGCAATACACTTCTCGCGAACGATAGAGCCGTGTCGTGGATGAAAAAAGCAGATTGTGGCATCGGACGCTCCGAGGTCTCGTTGGTCACACGCAACATGACGACGTGAATTGCTTGAGGCCCGTTGTAAGCTGTCTTGTCGGGCTCCGCGCGCCGGAAGCGGTTGGTAGTTTCTAGGAGCTGTGGGTCGATGTGAGTGTCTGGGAGACTGTCGATGTGGTCGGAGTGGTCCTTCTTGCGTTTACGTGCAGAAGGTTCGTCTTGCAAGGAAGCAGATGGGTCGCAACTCATAATGTATGGGTCGTCGATTGAATCTTGCGCACCTGGCATGCCGTCGGTGGGTGTGATGTAGTGTAGTGAAGTGGGTGAGAATGGGTTGTGATAAATTACAACTTGAGGATCGAAGTAGATGTGTGGAATGATGTCCGAACGGATGTGTTGAGTTTATGAAAGATGCGTGGGAGATGTTACCAGTTGGTGGAGAGTGGGCGATATAATAAACTGTTGTAGCAATGAGAAATGCAACATTCAAGGAGTGTTGTTTGCTTCACATTGGACAAGAAAGAGTAGAAATCGGCGCGCCGGAATATGTTGGTGGTGTCTGAGACAGAGCAGAACGAATGTTATATTCGAAAGGCACGTGAAATATCTGTCTCGCGACTTCCCTGCCATGTGTTTGTGAGAGCGCCTGCCTTGTGTGGTCAGGAACTGCTCACTATTTCGGTAATCTATAACGCCTTGTCCATGCAATAACCGTGACCTTTCTTGATGCATGTATTTGAACGCCAATTGCCCTCCACATGCCCAGCGCAAGAAAACAAACACCCATATATTGTGGAACCAACAAGAAGATTAAGCAGCAATCTTTTCCTCCAACCCTCTTCTCAGTACTTCAAAGACTTGCTCAAAGCCTCCAACGACGTCACGGCATTCCCTGGCGCAATACCTTCCTGCAAGTCGTTGATCCCAGTTCTCTTTTTCAATACGCCATTGTGCTTGGTCGGCCAAGTCATTTTCCCGACGCATCTCGGAGACCATTAGTTGAGTGTTCCTCAAGTGACGGGCAGCACTGGCGGTAGTTTGGCGGCCCATTTGCAGCGAGTCCGATAGGGCAGCCAGGGTTTGCATCAAGTCGGTGGTTTCGCGATCGAGGCGTGAGAGATTATGCAAAGCACGAGGGTCGGGGGCGGGTAAGTCTTGGATAACTTGGCTGATTGCAGGCACCACTTCGTCGTCGATGATCTGGAAATCCAAAGGGGCACCAAAGCCAAGAGGCGCGAACAAAGAGGCAGAAAGGGAAGCGAACTGTTTTGTCTGCTGAATGATGTGTGACGACAGACTATTAGTAGATGTGGTAAGGCGCTGGGTGTGGGCTTCTAATAATTGCTGAGGAGGCAGGTTCTGCAGGGCGACGAGGGTACGGGAGATGGTGTCTGGGTTCTGGTGTGAAGCAGGGTTGGCCAGGCGTGAGATGTTGGCCATGGCATCCTCAAGCTCCAGGGAGAAGATGTTTGAGGTATCCAAATCCGCGTCTCTCGAGGTTGGACGGGAGAAGTTGCGATGTGGTAATGCGTCGTTTATCTTTTGGCCGACATGGACTCCACTGTCTCGCGGTCCTTCATCTTCAGCCGCACCGTCTTGCGTTCCTTCATCTGGGATATGCTCCGTTCCAGCGTCTTGCATGGTGCCAGGTTCAGCTTCACCATCATAGTCCCAATCATCCTCATCCGAGTCGGCAAAGTCGAGTTCGTCGGCAAGATTGCCCATGCCAGTTGCGCCGGCCGAGGCGTCCAGATGACTTGCAAAGTCCTGGCTGCCATTGGAGAAGCGTGAGGCCGTCGACAAGCGATTACTCGACGGAGATGTGCTGTTGTGTGAAAAGGACCGCCGCAGCGGCGTAAGGGGTGGCGACGTCATGCTGTGTTTGCGAGAAGGCCTGTCGTGCGAAAGGAATGGGGTCGGTGACGGCCTGCTGCCTTGTACTCCGGGTGCAGGTGGTATGCGCGTGACTATTGCTGCGTTGCTAGATACCTCATCTTCTTGTCCTCGAGAGATGTTGGACAGGAGTCGGCGTGTTGGGGTCCCGCAGAGAGATAGACGGGGCAGTCTTTGGGGTTGTAACTATGGAGAGAGATTGGTGATCGCATACATCAACAGCGTTGGCAGCCGCGACGGCCAAGGTGTTGTCAAAGCTTCCGTCATCTTTAGCTATTCTCGTCACACCCCTGAATCTGGTCCCTGGGTACATGCATGGCTACTTCACATCCTCACGTCTTCGCATCATTTCCTTGGTGAGCTTGTGCGAATCTTGACCGAGTATTAAGTATGATGCTCCTATGTTCTAGAGCTATGTATAGCTGTTTTACGCAGCCTGAACCCGCCATCTTCACTGCTCGCCAGTGCTATCGCTGCATCCTTGCATCCATGCTTGGACCAAGATCAGCGAAAGCTACGAAATAAGAGATTGAGAGCGAGCGTAGAAAGACAAAAAGACGCAAGAAAAGGAAGAAGAAAAGAAGACTGCCCGCCCACTTCTGCCGTAGCATGTCTTGACGAGTCTGTAAATCATAAGGCCATCCCGCGTGAGACAGTGGTATATACCCCCAACGCCTTCAGCACCCCTTCGCCTTTGCAAACCCTCCTTCATACTTCGCAACCGGTTAGGCTTCCATAAAACAAAGGAGATTTTCGGTAATAATGCGGTGCTTGAAGACTCTCACGAATCAGACTCAACTTCGGCGCCGTGACCAGGACTCTTCCATCTCTTCCTCCAGAAGCGTAGTCCTCTCAGTCTGCTTCGGCTGCGACTCTCCCGAATTCCAGAAGGTCGTTGTGACATGCCGCGGTGGTCGTCGCCCTCATCTCCATGCTCTGACGTGATGTGGGATACCGAATTTAGTTTACCTGCACGTACTTCGGGAATGCTCATGATATCAGGTGCCGAGTGCGAGATGCGTTCTCTCCCGTGCAGGTCTGGACTGGAGTTTGGATGTAAAAACGGGTTCTCCGTTGAGAGTACTGGAGGTGGCTGTATTGCTTTGGGGGTCCCTCCCTCCATCTCTTCCACAGAAGAGGGTCGTGTAGAGCCTGGGGATTGCGCGCATGTGGTTGTCGTCGCAGTCGCGTTACTAGTAGCATGACTGCGAGATGCAGGCACAGACGAAGGCACGCCAGGTTGAGCGGGTGCTGGGAACGGCCGTATAGTTTGCCTGTTGGGCGAAGGCGGTGGCTTCATTGGTGAGTCTGGTTCTTGCTTACTTTGTGTCGTCTGACTGCGAACAAGGATCGTTGTCAGAGAAGCGTCGCCGCTGCCACGCCGGCCATTATCGTAGGTCTGGTTCTCAATGCGCGAGAAACTACTGAGTTGACCCAACTGCAACTGTTCTAGCTGCTCGAGCGCGGCATCTTTCGAAGAACGGCGCGAGTTCGTATGCTGGTGGAAGGGAACCGAGTATGGTGCGTGGAAGCTCGAAGTGCTGGTTTTCTTTTTGTTACCCTTGATGGGAGATGCGGATGTCGGACGGACTCTTGTAGCCGATGATGGCGACGCTGGCTCTGCATTCGACCGAATATGGTCAGGTTTCGGTGCATCACTTTGTGACTGCGACGTACGAGATGGTCCGAAAAGCGAATCTCGTTCGGGAGGGATGTCGTCTTCGTTGCTGTCTTCGGGTTCCTCCTCAGGTACGGAGAGAGGTGTCCGTCGAGGTGATGGCTGAGCAATTGGGCTAGCCACAATGGACCCTCTTCTCATCTTCTCGACATGGATCTTCTCCTCCCAGATTGTTCGGTTGGTCTCGATCTCGACGGTCGCGAATTTCATGGCTGGCAGGATGGCTGTTATACCTTCGAAAAGAGGGCCAGCAAATATGCTCATGAAGCCAATCTGAGACTCTGCTAGTTTAACTAAATCTTCTCTGTCAGGCGGACCTCCGAACAGACAAGTCGGCAGATTGAGCTCCTTCTCCATGGCACCTTGGTTAGAAAATTCATCGGTAAGGATTACAGCCCATCGCGCTGCAACGGCGTATTTGCGAGCCTATACAATATTAGCGGATGCCTAAACAGGCATGTTGATCTCGTTACGTACCACGTTGCTGATGTCGGCGCATTTCATCAACAATCCGCAGACGAGATCCCTAGTCTCCTCAAGAGCCTTCGGTGTCCAACCCTCAATGCTGTCGTCATTTGAAGAGAACTTTTCCTGAAGGTTGCCCATATCAATCATGTACTTGAAGTGCAGACCCATGTCGGTAGCCAAGATGGAATTGATCATCAGCTTGCGCATAGGAATGTCAGCGAAAGCTTGAGGCCAGTATCTGCGGAGGATCTGTGAGTAGGCCGCGCAATGGAATGCCTCCAAGACCGAACGATCATTGTACAGCTGAGCAAGTGGCGCATTAAGAGCTACCAAGAAGGCATTGTTCACACCAGGGTGACCAACGTCGTGGCCGATCGCGGAAATGAGCAGTGTCAATGCATCAAAAGGCTGTAGCAAAGACGCCACTGGCGCAAGGTCCTCCCTAGGAGTCTGCTCATTCTGCGAATTTGGATAAGGAGGCAGAATACCGATCTGTAGAAGGAAATAAAAGACAGCCTGCAGAACGTCGACGATGTGACGGAAATTGTGATATAGCACGAAATCGTTGTAGGCGTGTCTGCAAGCAAAAAGAAAGACGGTAAGATCATCTGTGACTCTAAGTCAATCTCAAGGGAATCAAGTCTGGGGCGGCTTCAAACATACCCGTGGAAATACGCCACTTTTCCAGTTCTGGCATCTGCAGGGCGTGTTCTAGGATTGTCAAGGCAGCGTAGAGAAGTTCGTCTGAATCGAAATCATGGGCAGAGAAACTCCACGTCCCCACAGCTTCGGCCACGAGTGCCTTTCTGCTGGGTTCAATCTTGAGCTCGCTAGATATGTGTCAGCAAATCAGCGGATGACTGGAAGGTTCTTGCCACCAACCTTGGATCGATGCACTCGCCCACAGAGTCGGGATTGCAAATGCCGTTCATCAGGCCGGAGACCATGACCTCTCTTAAGTAAGCATAAGGTCGTTCTTCGTCTATTCCAACCCATGACAGCTTTCGGTTTCTTTTCTGGAGTACGAAACCGGCTTCCTCACGTGCAACCTCCTTGTAGGTCCGGTATGCATGGACAGCCAGGCCTTGAACTCTGTCGACTCCGAGCGGGCTCGGAAGTACGTCGATAGCACCGGCATCCAAGAAGCGAGACATGCGCATAGGCTCGGCTAGTAACTGCAGTCGGTCGTCAGACGTCGTTAAGACAGTGACTGATGGCAATGTACTTACGTCGGTCTTGCCAGCAAGAACAGCGATTGGAATTACTAGCCTGGAACGAACACGTTGTTGGATCTCTGAGGCCAAATAGGCTAGCAGATGAACACCATAAACATCACTCGGCTCGTTTCGCTCAACCTTTGGTCGTTTCCCGGCTAACGGCGAAGGAGGGTTTGCGTCCCACGAAGTTCTACGAATCGCAGGTTCATCGTCTTGTGGCATATCGAGGAGTAGGACGATCGGGTTAGGATTGCGCGGTTCGTCGAGTTGTGCAATGGTCGTCAAGCAGGACACGCCGTCAGCGCAGATGTGGGCTATGCGACGTGATCAGAAGAGGGGAATATGGAGCGGCAGTTGCAATGGACCTACCTTGTCCAAAGGCAGACATGATTGTGCGAATATTGTGATCGGTCTCATTAGAGGCATGCTCTTGTTTCCATCCATCAAGATCCTTGCTGCTCAGGAAGCCTGTCATGGGGGCCTTGCGGTCCACGTAGACGACGGTAAAGGCATTGCCCGTCATGGTTGCTCGGTTCGGATCGGCCTTGAGGCCTCTATCGCATTGCGCAGTCGAGTAGAAGTCGCCAAAGTCGGGCAGATCAGCACATTCGGCAGGAAGCAAAGCAGTGTCTCAGAATCGGGGGAGCAGGTCAGACAGTCGGGTGGGAGGTGTAGCTGTCGCGTCGCGGTGGATGGAATTGGAGGAGATTGGCGACGAGTCGTCGGGGGTGTTTGGGCGGCGTGTGTATGCGAGGCAGTCGGCCAGGAATGTGGGAAAAGCCAGGCCGTCGAGGTCAGGGCCTCGTGGTGGTATGCGGGTCGTTTGAGAAGGTAAAGATACAGAAGTCAAGGAAACGAAGAGCGCACTATCAAATGGACATGTCACGCGAGAGAAGGCATCCGGAAAAAGGAGAGGCAGCGAGTATGGCAGTAACGACGAGGTAACGTCGAGGCAACGGTCGAGAGCTGGAAGCGTAAGAGGTGCTTCCCCCACTCGAGGAAGCTGCGCTGCAGCGAGCGAGTCGACTCGGCGAGGGTGATTATCTCACCACGCCGTTGCAACCACCTCCCCAATTGTGGCCCATCCTGAGCTGGACGTTGTCGCTTGACAATCCCGTCGTCCGTCTCCCGCGCAATCGCTCCCGTACGCGCCTCTACACAACTGTTCTATGGTTTTGCGCAGCTGGCCCTCTGTCCTCTTTCCCATCTCGAGGCGCATCGCTTTGGGCAGCCTGCAGCAAAGGCAGGTGCGCGTCAGCGTCAGTGTCAATAATGTCGTGCCAAGGCTTCGATTTGTTCCACGTCGCTTCCATTCCGAACATCTATACCCAACTGGGTCCTCTGAGCGAACGATGACGGTGCCGCTAGACGATCGTATTCCAATAGCTGGCCCTGCCTGTTACTGCTTCAGTTTCCAATACTTCAACAACCCGACACTTTCGCTATCGCGCGCTGCCACCGTTGCGCTGCCCTCGGACGGCCAAAACTGCCGATGTGACTTGCAACACGGCAACGCGCTGCCTGTTCATCGCGCTTAGACCGCTTGCAATCGCGCCGCTCGCCGTCCGATGTGTCGCTTGGTCAGGAGTCCGGACAACGGCCATGTATGTATCGGTAAGGTTAATCCCACGCCTAAGCCAAACAGACTTTGGCTTAGCTATCCCATGTCAACCTCAGGCAGCGCCACACGTAACGTCTTCCTCCATATTTACCCATATGCACGTAAGGCTTGATGGCGTTGGATATGACCATCGTATTGAATGCAACCGTCTTTCTGGAAGACAGCTGTGTCTTCGGCCGTTGCGTACATCGTAGAGCAAGGATTTGGCTGTCACGACACGGTTGTGATTGATGGGCTCTCCCTGACACTACTCGGGCCTAATTGTGGATGCGCCTGGCCTTCTCCATAGTCGCAAGTCTGTCAATCCAAGACGCGGGTCACCGAAAGCCTTCAACGTTCAGGTACCAGGAGCAAGAGCAAGAGCATGTCGCTGGAATGGCTGTATAAGTATGACCATGCCTCTTGATTCAATTACCCAAGCAAGTAGGGTAGAATTCTTGCTCAGTTGGCAATCTTCGCGTGCCAACCTAGATGCTAGCCTGTTGACAGGCCTCGTCTGTGAACCACGACCAAGGATTCGCCATTGTCATGATTGATTGCTTCGCTTACCTGCCCGACCCAAAGGCTTTTCGATTGTCTTTGTTTTCCAGTTGAGGCCTCAGAAGAACTGTCTGATGTTCACAGCTGCCACGTGTGAAGGGGTACCTGGTATACGAGCTGAAACAGTGGGATGTAATTAGACAAGAAGCGTTCTCTGACTCGCCTGTCAGACATGTAGGTAGGCAGATCTTCTTGGAAATATAGCAAAGCAAGCAGAAAGCCGTTACAGGTTTAGACTGATACAGTATTCAGAAGACATCTCCATGACGAACAGGATCAGAATGACAGGCGCTCGTGAGAAGCGTATTCATGTCGGTCACATTGTGGCTTGTGTAATCAGGTGCATGTTCGAGGTTGTTGGTAGAGCTAATGCGAGATCAAGGTGCGGGGACGTGACGCTGCTCCCCACTTCCGAATGCATCGATTAAACACGGTCAACATAGACCGCTTCTCTCAACACGACCTGTCCACCTCTTTATTCGCCTCATACACATCTCGAATCTTCTCGGACAGTCTATGCGACTGTCCTATTTCCACACTCCGCCCAAGACAGCATCTCCTTGTTGGCCAAACAGGCTTCGGGTTTGACCGATAGCAGCGTCACGTACACCCTGCAGGCGGCAGCACCACCCGGCCTTCACTCCTGCTGCACCAGTGTCGCAGTCTCGCTTGAACTCGTGCGGCCTCCGACGTACTGCGTCTGAGACACGTACTCACCGCATCTCCAGCGACGCCTGCCGCAACAGCTCCTATCTTCGTCACCGCCGTCTTTCGTCCGCCTCACACCCCTTAACGCCGTCTCGTCCACTTGCCGACTCTGTCTGCGAGTGGTCTACCAGCATCCTCGCGAGCTCCTCATATGCCATCATCCAATGACGACGCGTTCCATGCTGAAGATACGCCGGACGAGGTAAAAGGAAACAAAGCAAGTCGCAAGAAGCAGAAGAAGAAGGCGGCCAAGCAGAGACTCGAAGCTGAGGATGACTCTTCCAACAAGGACTCGTCGTCCGAGGGCCCTCACTTCTCGCCAGATCTGTATGTATCGACGAGCTAGTTGTGTGAATATGGCTGACAAGTTCTTCCAGAGCCCCGACCCTCAACCCCATCGCTCCCTCACCTCCCCCATCTCGTTCGCCAAGTCCCCCTCTTGACTCCTGCCCGTCTGCGCCCACCGACGGCTTCTCACCTCCCAACAAGACCGCCTCCTACTTGTCCAAGGTCTCTACACTACAGTCTACCACACATCAACCACATCAATTCGCACCAACCTCGGAGCCCTCCCCTCCACAAGATGGTGTCATGTTGGGACAAGACGCCTCAAAACTGCCCTCCCGTCTATCTGGTGCCGGTAGTCCGCTCCACGCTGCTTCCCTGTCTTCGTCCCCTCAAGGCGGTATCCGTTTGCCTCAGGCCTTCACGTCAAGAGGCTTCCCAGATCCAGGAAACACTCCCTACACCACACCTGCTACCCAGCCCATGAATTTTGCCGCCTACAAGACTCCGAAAGTCGCATATGATTCTCCACCTCCACACATGCCACAACGTCATTTCTCGAGGCTCGCTGAGTTCGACTTTAGTAGGCCGGCTCACAACGATAAATTCTTGCAAGCTGGTTCCAGGGGTTACTATTGTGGTTTCGATACGTGGCAGACTCCCAAAGGCTCCCCGACCACGGGCACAAGCTCGGTTGTTGTTGTCGGCTTTGAAGGCGGTCTGGAAGTTCACAGAGTCAACAGGCACAAAAGTGAGATGCTTGCTCGTCTGGAAGGTTTGCAAGGTGGGGTCATTGATGCAAAGATCCTCCCATGTACAGTCCGGGACGATCATTTGGATCACCTACGCCCTCTCGTCGCTTGTGTTATTCATGGCCCTGTGCTGGTCCCCGAGTCAGAGCAGTCGTCCTCTGGCGCTGACATCAAAGAGTATCACACCTTCGTTGAGATATACTCCATGCGGACGTGGCAACGCGTCAGCAGACTCTATCAGACTCAACCCGAGAGAACTCACCAGTCAGTCACCACGAAAGGCTTCACACCTCCTCCACCTATTGGAAATCTAAGCATCGCAGCTGAAGGACGCTTCATTCTTGTAACGTCTGGTGTCAGCGGCGAGATCTATGTCTTTGCTGCTCGAAGCAATCTGCCTGCTGACCAGCCATTCTATTGTCTGGGCAAGTACTGGTCATGCCTTAAAGCAAGAGTACCCTCCTCGGACGATCGGTATGCTTCCAAGTCTAGTGACCCTGCACTCGCCTGGCAAAAGAGTGCGAAAAGGGCTGTGTATGCATTGAGTGATCGTTGGCTAGCCATCAAGCCACCCCTCTCTTCGTCCTCGCAAACAACCTTGAAAGGCACTACAGGACCGATAAGTCAGATTGATTCCATGAGCATTGCAAGTCACATCTCGCCAGCCTCACCTCTGATCAATTGTGAGGTCGATGCGCCCTTCAACGACAGTCTCATCAGCCGCGTAGCAAAGACTACAACTCGAGAAATTTATAAGGGCGCCCAACAAGGCTTCCAAGCACTAAAGACATACATCAATCGACCAGCAAATCCCAATGTTGACCCGACATATTATGGATCACCTCAATCGCCGCAATCCGAGCAAACTATCTTCCCACCGACGCATGCTCACAGTAACGAGCCTCAAACATCTCCACTAGAGCCAGCGCATGTGTCGATCATTGATCTCGAGAAATTGCTCGAACGAGGAGAGCGTGAGGTCAAGACAACTCAGGTCATCCCCCTGACGTTCCAGCTCAACGATGGGTGCTCTTTCCTTTCCTTTTCTCCTAGTGGATTATCTCTACTTGCAACGAATCAAACCGGTAACGAGTCAAGAGTCTGGGACCTGACTCGTATCAATGATAGCAGAGCAGTTGTCGCAGATCCGTCTTCCATCGGAACTGTCCGGTTAGTTTCGAGGTTCCCCAGAGTATCGTCCTCGGTAGTCACTGATGCAGTCTGGACCGTGTGCGGCAACCGGATCGCGATGGTCACTGAAAAGGGAACCGTACATCTTTACGGGTTACAATCTTTGGAATATAAGCCAGCGGTAATGCTTCATTCGAGCCTGCCTTCGCCCGGCTCGTCTCCACGCGACGAGCTTCAGGCACCAACTGGAGGCTTCATGAGCAACGTGCGTGCAGGCTGGCAGAGTATTCATGGTCTGGCCACCAGACCTCGAACTGGCTCTAGCGGTATCGTAAGCACCATTGGGAACGCGTCAATAGCTGCCAGATATGCTGGCGGAAGAGCTGTTCGTCAAGGTCTGTCCAAGGGCTTGGGCATGGCCGCTGAAGGCGCTCACCACTTCCGACACGCCGAAGACAACAAGATCCGTCTGACGTCCGGTCAACAAAATATCACACCAAATTGTGTCCAGTGGCAGCATGGAAAGGACAAAGAGATTATTGCCACTCTCTGTAACGGCATCCTGACGTTATGGGCTGTCAAGAATGTCAGCCATACTCAGCACAAGAAAACGATAATCACTCCAGCGGTAGACAAAACGCCACTGTGGATACATGCTCTACCTACCATGTCCAGCGACGTATTACCACCCGCCGTTCTTGGACTACTCGAGCCAGATGGAAAACATGGTGCGTGTGCCCGGGAGGGTCCGCATGGATTCTGTGTCTGGGACGTATCTCCGGCGCACAAAAATGCCCAAAGACGGTCTTCTAGCGTCAGTTTAGGCAAAAGAATTACGCCCGTCCCGCATCAGGACAAGGACACGAACCCGCCTTATATGCCTTACCATCGTCTGCCTACAGTGAACCTCTTCACATATTCTTCAGCAAAGAGTCAGACAGACGAAGTAGACGACGCTTGGGTATTCGGACTGCCTTTGCCGGCCAGTAGTAGAGTTAGCAGTCAGCAAGACGACATAGACGAAAGGTACGATGGAGGCATTACTGAAGGAGACATGGAAGGCTTCGTTGGCCAGATGGACGAAACTCTGCGTGCTCAAGAATCTTCGAAGAAGCACAATGATGAGTTTGAGGAAGAGAAATCAGTCGATATGTAAGGGAATCGCGAACGGCATCCAAGCAACTTGGTGGTTTGATGACAACATGATGGTTATAGGCGTTATTGGAGGGAGGCTATGATTATTAGACGACTAGATATCACTTTACTATCAGCACAATGGAAATGCCCAATTCAATGAAGAGTCGTGGTGTACACGAGGCACAACAAGCAAGTGATGGTGAGCACCAAATGACAGGATGCACAGAAAGGTTGCAGAAAGATGAGACAGGGTGCCCCTCCGGAATGCTTTGTTCCGAGAAGAGCGAGCAAGCGCAAGACAACCTTTCTAAAAGCCGCGACTCTTTCCCAGAGCATATTTGCGCCAACAACCACCATGTCTTCAGTACGACCCATGACACCAGCGGACCTGCTGAAGTTCAACCCTTGCAACCTGGACCACCTGACGGAAACCTACAACATTGGCTTCTACCTCGACTATTTTTCAAAATGGCCCGAACTGTGCATGGTGATTGAAGGACGTCATGGCGAGATTGAAGGGTACAGTGAGTCTCGTGCTCCCCCTTCCTTCCTTTCACTCTTCTCTTTCTCTCTCTCTCTCTCTCTCTCTCCCTATCCTGGTCTTGGATGAGAAGCACTACAACTGACCCTGCCATTCCACAGTCCTCGGCAAAGTAGAAGCATCCCCCTACGCCGCACCACACACGCCCTACAACCCCGCCCACCCAGCCTACACGACCCAATACCCAAACTACCTCCCCTGGCACGCCCACATAACCTGCCTAACCGTCTCCCCATCCTCCCGCCGTCTCGGCCACGCAACCGCCCTATCCTCCTCCCTCGAAGCCATCGGAAACCGTGAAAACGCCTGGTTTGTCGACCTCTTCGTGCGAGTGGAAAACACGGCTGCCATTGAGCTTTACAAGAAAATGGGGTATTCGGTATATAGAAGGATTGTGGATTATTATAACGATGGGAGTGATGCTTTTGATATGAGGAAGCCGTTGTTGAGGGATGTGGAGGGCAAGACTGTTAGGGAGGGTGGGGAGGAGATTAGAGTTGATCCTGGTGAGGTGTGGTGAAGGATGGAGAAGAGAAAGAGAAAGAGAAAAAGCGAAGAATAAGAGCTTTGGAGTCGCCTATACGACATGGTGAGGAAGGAGCTGGCAGACATGACTTGCTTCGAGCATGAGAAAGAGAGCAAAACAGGGACACAGCATGGGCTCAAGCTGGCACTTGGCCTTGCCCCTCATGATATCCTGAAGAGCAGTGTGGTACGACATGGCTTGCTTAATGACAAGCAATGTAGAAGAGTCCATACGCTCGCTCCAGGTTTCGACGGCCTCTGTGACACGCAGACGGCACGTCCCGGCCAGGTCGATGGCATAAGACAAATCACACGCTACCAGGCATGTGAAGACTGCTTTCTTGAGGTGCTTTTGATACACTCTCGTCATCTGGCGGAACCACCGATATACTGCACCGCAAGGAAGACATGGCGGTGATCATAAAAGCATACATCAATTCGGGGTATCATAGCTTCACATATCTACATCATCTTCATGTCTCTCCTCGGGTTGCCCTTTCTTGCAATCATCTAAACGCGAAAGAGCCATCGGTCCCAATACTCCCCTGACCGCTAAATCTTCTACTCGTTTGCCTCGACGTCTCGGGCCGCAGAGCGAAGCCACTGCTAGGTCGCTCTCCATCGACGATCAGATCAATCCTTGACCTCTCTGCTTCTTCTTTTTCCTTTACAGCTCTCGGGTCGTATTCCTTGCCTCCAATGATCTGACTTACGGGTGGCGCAGCTCGGAATCGTCGTTTGCTTTGACTGCCCTCTTCGTCAACGAGAATGACCATCCATACACCTACAGCACCACCGTGTCCGAGCAAAGGTGTGCAGTGGATCCAGCGACTACGACCTTCGTCCTCACCATCATCCTCTATGCGTGTCAACCATCGAATTTTGGCTGTCACACCACGACCTTCGGTGAATGCTTGAGCGAGTTCTGATCGTACGCGAGGAGAGCCACCGATACGGGAAAGGAAGGGACTCTGTAGGATTCCTGGTACGCGTAGCGATGGCGAGGTGAAGAGGATGCGTAGGGAAGGGGCCGGACGGATAAGTAGATAGTGTTGATAGACACCCTCTAGTTTGCCGTTCTCGGGCATACGTTGCACTCCACCTGGACCAGATGATGGGCCGTTGGCCGGCTGGGTCGACTGATTTAGTAACTCCTCGGAAGAGGCATCTCTGACCAGGAGGCGTGGTCGGGGCTGCACGCCGTCTTCTCGTTCATCGTCAATCTGCTCACGATGAATACGGCCACCGCATTGTCTTACTGTCTCCAGCTCAGTGGTATTGAACATCTCGCTCAGACTTTCGAACTCGTCGCTCTGATGCGGTTGACCATTTGTCTCGTGTCCCTGGTTTTGATTGTATTCTAACATCTTTTCAAGTGCCTCCATACCCGTCATCTCTTTCATTAGCCCAGATACGTCGACTTGAGCTCCGATGAAGTACCTCAAGGTGCCCTTCGAGTCGAATAGCGGTGCTGTCATGAGCAGGTTGATGAAGGGACTTCCGTCGCGTCGATAATTGACAAAGACCTCACTGTTCTCCCTCTGTGTTTTACAAGCTTCGGCCAACCGACGTATAGAGTGTGGATTGGTCTTTGGTCCTTGGAGGAATCGGCAATTGCGTCCAATCGAGTACCCCATGCCATATTGCGTTGTACGAGCGAACTCTTCCGAGGCAAATACGATCGGATTGTCTCGTCTCGAAGGGTCAGTCAGGCAAAACACTTCTGCCAGTCCTTCGGATGCTTCTCGCAGATGCGGTGCTAGCGTTCCTGTAATGCGTCTCTGGATGCTTGTGCTAACAATGGAGATCCAAGTGTAGGTTACATATGCTGGTTGATCCTCTCTGACCAGCAAGTCGAAGGCTTCATCTGCCTTTCTCTGCAGCTCGTCATTCTGTATAGCCTGGGGTGGTGTGGAAGTAAAATCCAAACCCGAGACAGGACTCAAAGCTGAAGAAACAGCGTTTGCATACTTGATCGCTCGCAAAGCCTTCAAAGCATCCATGTAGAAGACGAGTATGGGTATACTCTGAGGTCGATAAGCGTTGAGAAAGCTGGTGAACTTCAAAAGTGTCTTGCGGTCGGCGAAGATTGCTTGTAGATGGTCTCGCGAAAAGAGTTGCTCGGCATGTTCATCTAATCTGTAAGAGCCTTGGAGTTCTTCCGGTGGTGCGGCTATGAGATCAAAATTCGCTGGGTCATCTTCGAGCAGAGGCTGCATGCGATCTGTTTCGTCGACAGGTCCTAGTGCTTGTAAAGGAGGTAGAGTGCGTATTGAGGGCGCCATCGAAGGTGCCACTGAAGGCGCCTTTGTAGAAAAGCCCTTGAACGACGGTGCCATTGACTCACCCGAATGTCTCTTGTTGTTCTGAAAGTACTCCGTGTCTATCGACATTCGATCGCGATCAGGTGAATTTGGCTGAGAAGTTCCAATGTATGATCCAGAGTCTCTGGCCTTGCGTTGGTGGCTGTTGCGAAAGATTGGCATGTGCGGAGGAAGTGTCGGTGGAAGTAAAGGGTTGACTCTTGGGACGTCAATCATCCTTGCGCGTCCAGCGCTTGCACGTCTAGAGAAGTCTGGTGGAGCCGTGTCATCACTGTCGTCCATATCTGCATAGGAGAAAGTGGGTGAGCTGGGCATATCTCCGTGGGCAGACGACACTCTAAGGGGTATGGGAAGGCGAGCGGGAATCGATCGGGTTGGTGACATCGACTGCATGCTACGCGTATGGAAGTCTTCGACCAAAGGCTCGTGCCCTGCATACTGTCTAGTCGATGAGGCAGGGCTCTCCACCAAGTCCGTCGATCTCGGATTCGGGATCCTGATCCTGGTTTCGACTGAAGAGGCTCTGGAATTCTCCTTTGTGTTTTGGACATCTGCCGAACCTCTTTTGTTCATGATGCGATGCTGAGACTATCAGTGAGAAACCATCGTTGTACTTGTCGTCAACACGAACCTTCCGCAAGGCAGCAAATATGGGAGGACTCATCTCAGCTGTATGCCGTCTCGGTCGTTCTTCCCCTACAGCAATTCGGCAAGCACGAGACTGACCCTGCGGGCCAACGCGACCGGCTAGCCATCTGATTATGTACCCAGGATGATGATTCAACCAAGGGCCCTTTTCTGTTCCTGGCGCAAACCATCGAGAGCCGTCATCGTCATACTCGAGGTCACTTCCCCGGGCGCCGAGACCAGCATGCGGTGCGATCTAAGGATGAACGTTGGCTCGATCTGCAATTAGCAAACCTTCCTTTCCAGATCGGACCCGCGGCTCCGAAACCACGGACGATACCATCAACTCTACAGAGCTCTCATTGGCCGTGTATTATGAAGTAGGACAACACCTCGGTTCAATGGACGTAAACATGGGCGAAGGACTGTAGAAAAGTAGAACGCATGTAGATGTTGTGGTCGTTCCGACACCAGAATGACGAAGCCTCCACAGTAAATCGGATCACCCAAACATCGAGAGATCTCTCGTGCATGATGCATGCGCGGCCAAAGCTTACTACGCTAATCTATGCTTTTCCGCATGCTCGGGAATCCCTCATCTGCTCTGGCTTGGACAGAGGAAGACAATCAAGTCTGGTCATGGCCCAAGAGGTCAAGCTGTTCGGAGAATTGATGTTGTGCAGCTCGGAAGCGTGCTCGTGCGACAATGCGGTGTTCGGCTCCGTAGGCCCTCTCACACAAGATATCGACTAACGAAATCGGATGAGTGCTATGTAAATTCAACCCGGCACGATTATCAGAGGGTGCTCCTACTAGCCGGACTTTCTACAGCATGGCGTGTAGGCAATCACCAACCAAGTCGAGTGAGGTCCTCAACCCAGGAGAGGTCTCGTCGCATCTTCCTCCTCATCTTCTGCAGGTAGTTCAGCGCCTTTGTACAAGATATAATGCTGTGCGAAGAAGACCATGTCAAAGCCAAGACTAAACACTGCCAGGAACAATTTGGCAGGATTGCCGGTGATACCACTCCAATCTGCCTGTAGCGCGCTGTCTATGATCAGTTGGAGAAGAGACATGATACCACCAATGAAGTCGAGCCAGATCATATCGATAGCCCAACCTGCTGTTGACTTGATTTTGTAGTTGTACCTGTGCAACGGTATTAGGAACAGGGATGTTTAAATCGATAATCGCTGCATACCAAGCTTGCGGGGCATATTTGCTAAGTGTGATGATGAGTTTCACATACGAGAATGCGTATATCTGCAAAAGCCGTAGTTTAGCAAGAAATCTCACAGAGTTTTGACGGCATTAACGCACAATGTCAATGTCCGCCCAAGAGTCAGCAGTGTCCCTTCCACCTTTAAGTAATGATACGAGCAATACGGTGATAGCGACACCGATGATCGATCCATAGAATATACCCAGCGCAGTTGAACTGGCACGTTGCCCTTTGACAATCTCAAAATTCCACAGCCTTGGGTAGAATTGACTGTAGAAAACGAAGCATACAATGGTGCCATGAAGAGCAAATACTAGATCGTTGAGGCGGACTGTGGGCTCGGGAGCAAGCGGATGCCGGACTGCATATTGCTGTCGAATCCCAGGCGAGAAGAGGAATGCCGTAGTCGATATGAAGTAACTCGTGAAACCGACAATGTTCAACAGAGGGAAGTCAACGGTTATACCACGAGTAGACCGGCGTTTCCAGCAGCGAAGCGGTTGCGGGTAGAATGACAGCGACCATGATGTGAAATATGACCACCCAAGTAACCACGAGATGGCGCGAGCGAAATTCTCTCCTGTGACTTCGTACATGAAGAATAGTTTGTACGGCGCGATGAGGGTTGCAAAACAGGCGGAGCAAGCAGACATCAATCTCAAGCGTCAAAGAGTGGCGCCAGCAAAGGGGACACAGAAACCGAAGGAGTTCCGCAGTGTTGAGTATCCCAAAACAGGTACAAAGACAGGAGCACGAACGACAAAAAGAAAGTATGTGCCTGATTGCGCCATATTGATAGAGAAGGAGCGTTGCACATGATCTTGAAACTGCCAAGGCTGTCAGGTCGGAGTTAGCGGAGTTCCCCAGAACCTAACAGGAGCGCGACTTCAACGACGAGCAACAACGACAAGCATCAGAAGCATCAGACTAGGCGCTGTCGCTGTGAGCTGGACAAGTGAACGCGTTTGTGGATATTGCAAACTTGATGCGACAACACACAAGCACATCGCAGTGCCGCAACTGCCGCGTCGAATAAAAATGGCAGCCCCCGAACCGTCACCTCGCAGGCCGACACGCACCCCTGCTAGACCACGCGCTGCCTCGTCACAGAACCTGGACTCGGAACCGCCCTCAAAACGACGACGATACATTCCCGGTGGCCCTGGAGGTGGTGGACGATGGGTTGATGATCAAGGCAACGAAACAACCGCCCCTACCTCTGTGCGCCGGCACCGATCTGATATCACTGGGGATGACAACGACGAGGACACATCGAGCCCGAGAAGCATTCGCAGACCGCCCCCTTCTACGCGCCCGCGCAGAGATCGAGATCGAAACCGCGATCGCAGATCAAATGCGATCCCCCGACCCCGTTACAGCAGCGCGGCCGCAGCAGCCGCCGCAAGTCAAGCAAGTGATGGATACAAACCGCGAGAGGAACGAAGCTGGGAAGAGTTCCATCCAAACCTCGATGTGGACCAAGGTCTCAGCCTGTTCTCGGCCGACGACGTTGATGGGCGCAATGCTGATAGCCCCATGGTGGAGAGCGATGCGCCTCCTACCGTGGCTTCTTTTGTGCCCATGGAGACTCCCATCAAGCGCAAGCCTGGACGACCCCCGAAACGACCCGAGAGCATGCTATCTGGCCTGGGTTCTCCTCCCGCTCCTCGCATATTGCCTCTGCCCACCCACAATCCAAAGGAACGCCTCAACCTGCCCAAACCAGCATACCGCAACATCGAGACATTTGCTCAGTACGAGCAGCATGGCTCCAATCAGAAGAACTACGTCGATAAATCTATGGCTCACGTTGGCTATCAAGAGGGGGATCGCTTTGACATACCCAAACACACCCTGATTCGTCACGTCGAAGGCCCCTACGACGATGACACCATCAGTGGTCTTGTTGTCAAGTCCGACAAGAACGATGAAGCCCGTCCACCCGTCGTCTTCAACGTTGAGTACGACATGGACGAACAAGACGAGCGTTGGTTGGACATGCACAATGCGAAACGCAAGGAAGAACAGGCCGAGCCAATCAAGCCCGCTTTGTTTGAGATTACCATGACTCAGATCGAGCGCGAGTACTATTCCCTCGAGAAGAAAATCCCAAAGCCAAACCCAAGACATGCTCAAATTACCAGACCCCGCTCGAGCTCGGCTGCAGCTGTCAATGGAGAACCTAGTGGGCCCGCTGATGAGCCCGACACAAAGTGCGCTGTTTGCGACGACGGCGATTGCGAGAATGCCAACGCCATCATCTTTTGTGACGGCTGCGACCTCGCCGTTCATCAAGAATGTTACGGCGTCCCCTTCATCCCTGAGGGCCAGTGGTTCTGCCGCAGATGCAAGGAGATCGGCCGTGGAACTCCCACCTGTATCTTCTGTCCCAACGTGGAGGGTGCCTTCAAGCAAACGAATACATTGCGCTGGTCACATCTTCTTTGTGCTCTTTGGATCCCGGAAATCACAATCGCCAACATGACATTCATGGAACCCATCACAGATGTCGAGAAGGTACCTCAGAGTCGCTGGAGACTCAAGTGCTATCTTTGCCAACAGAATATGGGTGCTTGCATACAATGTGGCAATAAGTCATGTTACTCGGCATTCCATGTAACTTGTGCAAGGAGGGCAAAATTGTTTCTCAGGATGAAGTCCACCCATGCTGGAGGTATCGATGCTTCTGTTCTCAAGGCTTTCTGCGACAAGCATGTTCCACAGGACTGGCGCATCGAGCATGACGTCCAAAGTGCCGTCGACGAGACCAAGAGATACTACAGACACACTATGAAGAATCGCAAGTGGGCTGATAGCTCGAGCACCGCACTCGTCATCGCTCCCGCACCTCGGCCAGATTCAACGGTGGAACATGCAGATGAACTAGGACACACCGATGATACCATTGTCGTTGCCGCAAACAAGCGCAAGAAAGCCCAGCCCCAGAAGGCAGGATGGCGCCTTCCATCGGGTGCACCTGTTGTGCCTGCAGTCGTGTTCGGTACAGTAGACAACTCGCTCGCTCGGTTCTCGCTCAGGAAGCGGAAGGAGTTTGTCACCGAGGCTTGCAAGTACTGGACTCTAAAGAGAGAAGCTCGTAAAGGTGCGGCTTTGCTGAAGCGTCTACAATTGTCACTGGAATCATTTTCTCCTATGGAAATCACGCGTCGCAACTTCTCGGGCATGGGCGCTGCGGGCAGACCCCGTTTGCTCAGAAGAATCGAGTTTGGTGATATCCTTAGTGAGGATGTGGGCAAGTTGGAGGGTCTTGTGGCTGGCATTCGTCAGCGCGAAGAATTCGGCCTCGCCGATATTGAAGTCCTCCAAAGCCTCCTCGAGAATGTGTACTTCCCAATCATCCCTCTGCTTCGGCCAATACTGCAGAAAGCACAAAAGTAAGTTTGAGATGACTCCCACAATTGTACGAATACTGACTCAGACTAGACTCGATGACAAGAGCGGATTGTTTAGAGAAGGATTTGACATCCTCAATCAAAAGTTATCGGAGCGGAGCTACACATCCGTCGCTGAATTCTCTGGAGACATTTTGGCCGTGCTCGCTAACGACAACACAAGATCCAACATCAACAAGGCGGAAGTCCAAGATGAAGCAAGAATCCAAATGCAGATCGATGCAGCGCCTGTCGGTACTGCAGAGCATCGGGCATTGACAGCTGAACAAAAGGAACTTAAGAAGGTCCGGAAGCGAATTTCCAAGCCCGTTAGAGAAATGCTGGACGATGCAATTAAGCAGGAGGCCCAGCTGAAAGACATACCAGTGGAAGAGAATCCCAGGTGGGCTGAGTTTGATGCACTACTGGAGGCCTCTGATCAGACGAATGGTGCATTGCCGACAACGGAGAACGACGAAAACGTTACTTCAGATACTTCAGCTGTTGAAGGCGCAGCTCCTGATCACATCGACGACCGTCCCGATGGGGACGTCGACATGATCGACGCTGCAAATTCTGCTAGTGAGGCTGACGATGGAGACGAGTCTGATGCGGACGGCGAATCCGATCCTGAAGTCGAGCGTCCTGCACCTCCGACAGTCGGCACAGAGGCTGTACAAGCCAAGGGACCAGCATTCAGACCAATCACACAACCACTCTCACCGCCAAACTCTACATCAAGCGTTGCTAACCATAATGTTGAGGCTACGACAGTGCCTCAGATCCAGGAGTTCACGCCGCCTGAGACGATCACTCATGATCCATGGGCTCGTGGCGGTGTTCCCTGGTATCTCGAGCGTTTCGACATTGACGGCACAACGATACACGAAGAGCGGTGGTCGGGTCGCGACGCAATGTCCGAGGATCTCACCGACCTTGACGAAGAAGAAGTGGCTGTGCTATGCGAGAAACCTGGTTCATCTGCTGAGGCCGACGATAATACCAAGAGCCGAACGAGAAGCTCAGCACGAATCAAGCGAGCCGAGGAAAATAGCACTACGTCAAATGATGAAGAGAACGTTCCAAAGGAACCAGAAATGACAGAGGAGCAAAGGAAAGACAGGGAGAAGAAGGATAGGGCGAATGCAAGACGCAGAGCCGCCAGAAAGAAAAGATGGTAATAGCTGTGTATTTTCTCATCTCCATTCAAAGGTGTTCATGGCGTTGGTTGGAAAGTATTCCTTTGAGCTACGGCTAGGGATGGAGCAGGACAAGTGTTTTGGGGAACAGTCGCCTTCTCCTTTTTGTTTTCTTCATGTGAGATGATGGGTTAGTCAAGTTTTCTACGTTGTTGTTATGGAGAGGATGGACCTATGAGAAACAAGCAATCGCTCACAGTAGCAACTACTCCATAATTTTTCCGAGAGATTGATATAGCAAAAGAAGCCTCCTTGGCAAACGCAGGGTCTGCCATCGTCACTGCAGCAGTATGAAGAATCATCAATGACATAGCTCCACTTGACTTGGTTCTTCCCACTCACCCCAAATGACGACCTCCTGCAATGCCCAAAAGCGACATACCGAAGCCCACAAGGATCCACAGATTCATCATCACACTCATGACAACACACAGGCAGATCACACGAAAATTGTAATGGCCATAGCTATCATAGTAAAAGCAGATCTGCCAACCCCACACACATCTCTGACTCTCACACTGCTTATCATCTTGGCCATAAAAAGATGCCTTTACCTATACAGTCCAATGCACTTTTACAGCAAGATCTTCTCTCTACTTTGTCATTGCTCTCTTGTGCAGATCTTCGAGTGGAGCGGATCTCCGAAGATCACAGAATCCGTAGATCTAGATGATGAGGCTGCCAAAGCCACTGCCGATCTCTATGACGCCCGCGTCTGGGCAGAGCAGCCAGCACAACACCTTGAGGTTTCTCCTGAGACTTTGAGTGTTGTTGTCTCTTCCTACAGGATTGATCAACATAAGCCACTTATGTGAATTGTTGCATGCTGTTATAACGTATTTAAAGGGTCTTGGAAGACCCTGATTCAGAAGTTGGATGCCGTCTTGAAGCCACTGATGTTGTTGTCGCATTATCGCTATAACGTCCTGCAGGACCCTGATTCAGGATTCACTGCTAGACTGAAGCCACTGATGTTCGTGTCGCGGGTCGCTGTAACGGTCTTTGGGGACCCTGATTCAAGAGTCACATGCCTGGATTGATACTCAGGATAGCCAATCTGAAGGAGTTGCAGGTGTGTGGGTTAGAGGATGGAAGTAATAGAGAGTGGGAAGAGTGCGACGCAAGAAAGAAAAGTGGTATCATAATTTGGGTACTATCATAACGATCGTTAATGCTTCCAAAGCACCCCGTCCATCTATACAGATGCTGAAACTCCAATAAGCCATACCAGTACATTAATTCAACATGCTCATAGCGTCAAAAATGTCAACTGTACTTTCCACTCCTCTCTCGACCACAAACTCTTTGCTGTATTTTCTGAAGGCCAAGACGCCGTGCTCGGGTACCTGCTCGGGCACCAACAAGTCATATGAGTGGCCTTGCTGTTTTCCAAGTGATCCTGTGGCCGAACGAAAAGATGTTCTATCACTTGACGGGCCCCACCAAGCGGGCAACTGCGCAGCTTGTTGCTGACTCTGATGTTGCATAGTCAGGCTGGCATGAGAGTTGAGCAAGTTCGCGGTCGCAGCAGCGGCAGAAGAGGCAGTCAAGGTGGATAGACCAGAGACAGGGCTGTTAACTCCAGAGTAGCTGCAGCTGGAGCCACTGAATTTGCGATAGCTGTTGCTGTCACTGCATATGCTTTCATGATCCATGTTATGGACTCCCGCACTGCTACGACGGTCATACCACCCTGATGCATCCATTTCGTCGCCACTCGCGCTTTGGGAACTGCTATCCCACATGTGACTCGATGCTGAAGCTGGTGACGTGGTGGAAGAGGTAAAGCTCGAGGGGGTTGATGGCCCCTCAGGAACTGAGAAGGCGTCTAGCATGAAGACGTCGAAAGTAGGCGTGCGAGCTTCAGAGAAATGGTTTGCCAATGCAAACTCTGACTCCTGGGGGTTGAGATAGTCGAAGTTGTCTTCTTCGCTGATGGCGAAAGAGTACGCAGAAAAGCGTTTGCTGATGGGAGATCCGCCAGATGGAGAAGAAGCAGACTGATCGGTCGGGTTGGTCTGAACACTGCTTGACATAGCAGGAGATTTGACTGACGTGCGTCGAGCGGGGAAAGTAAAGTTAGAGGTCAGGCTTCTGTGTAAGCTTCTGATCGAATTGTTTCGGTTCAAAGAACTCGACGTGTTGATGCGCAGTGGTTGAGGTCGAAGAGAAGAATGCGAGTCACATCGCTTGGGCACATCCTTGTGGGAAAAGTAGTTGTTGTCCTCGCAATCTGGACGGATGGTGAATGCGGACTCTTCGTTGCTCTTGCTCTCTTCCTTGACTGGGACTGCCTGCAAAGAAGAAGAAGAACTGGTGACCTTTGTAGTCTCCTCGTTCCATGGTGGCATGCCTGTAGTCAACAGGCAAAGATGGTACGGCACAGCATCTGCGTTGTTAACTTCTTTCGGGGCTCGTATCGCGTTGGTAAGCATCTGCAGAATGCTGTAGATTGCAATCCATCGAACTTTTCTGGCGTCCCCGACTGACAATTTCTCCTCGGGTCTGGAGGTCAGCTCACTCTCGAAATAGATATAGTTTCTGACGAGAGCCGAGCTGGAGGAGAGTTTGTTTGTCGCTTTAGTCAGTGCAGCTCGCGCTGTCATGCACTGTTCAGCCTTGCTAGACTTCGATGTCAGTCTCAAAGACTTGAGACCCTTCTGCGACGATGTCCTGTACTCAAGACTGTGGTATTCAGGCAGTAACGGCGAAGGGTGCGGAAGCGGCTCGTAGTTGTGGCGAGTGTTGAACGCGTCGACATTCTGCAATACACAAATACCTCCACTGGGAAGCCTAGATAGGCTTCCGGAAGTTGAGTCGGCGTCCACCAAATAATCGTAGAGCAAGTGGAACTCTTGATGCATACTTCGTAGAAGGCCTTTGTCCATTATGGGGCTTGTCTCTGGGGGCCAGTATCCAAATTTGTTGACATAGTAAGAATGCATGAATGATCGGAACCGATCGAGATGAGTTCGGGCGGGTGCTGGTAGCCCCAGATGTGTGGGTGCGAGCTCATCTTCCAGAAAGTTCTTGAGAGCTTTGCTCACTCGGCCGAGGTGGAGGTCCATCTCCAGATAAGATCGCGTAATCAAGGCTCTGGTGACCTTGCTTACATCGTCGAATTCCGGGCTCAAATCCAGTTGGTCATTCATGCCAACGCAATGTGCAAATGCATCAATCCAAAGGTCTTTCAGTTTGAGCTTCTCAGCAAAGTTGAGAAATGCCAGTGTGTAATCCGGTCGGTTGACAAACTTTGTATAGCCTTGCCGTTGAGCATATGATAGTATGCCCTGGGTGTTGGTGGCCTTGTCTGGGCAGAACGATTCGATGCGTTCCGACAAGTCCATGAATGCCTTTCCTAGTTTCGATCCGACCAACGGCTTGTTGGTAATATACGCGAAGAAATTGCGAGTCGTAATGTGCCAGCTGTATGCGTCTTCTCTAGAAACATCATCTGGAGCGGGGATATACAATTCATACTCAGCAGATGTGGATGATGTGCTAGGTGCTGTATCATTGAGACTCCCCGAACAAGACGACGAGTCTGATGCCGTATACGTGTTGAGAAAAGCGTCACTTGTAGCCGCCTCAATCGAACTGTAAGACAATTTTAAAGAGGCGCCTCTCTTGGACTTTCCCTGCCCATAAAAGTGGACAAGGCAGTCTCCGTCTTGTTGCCAAAGTTCTTGATCCTATAGAATCAGTCAGTTTCTGATGATTCTAAATTGAATAGTGCGCGACATACCCGTCGGAGACCGTCCCAGTCAGTGGTTTTGTGAGTTTTGGCATCCCATCGCTTCACACTTGATACTTTAGAAGGATTCCTCATGGTTGCTTGTTCGGGCTTCTTTCTCTTCTTTGCTGGTGATGCAGAACCTTGGGCTCGTATTGTCAATACTCTCGAAAAGTTTGGCACATTTGCGCTTCGAAGCCTTGAAGACGGTGGACCAGGCAAGAGGACCTTTTGTGTGTCTCTTATGTCGAGGGATGCAGAAGATGGCAAGCCATGACGATTCATGTCGATCGTATGTACCGTTTGAAGTCAAATCGGAATAGGACAAGATGTACCTGTTGTACTTGCAATGTGAGACCTTGGAGTTGTAGAACGGTCTCTAGTGGAGCCCGGGGGTCATCTAGGGTTATAGCTCGAGTCGTGCCAGGGGCACGGCTCTAGTATTCGGAAGCACACTGTCTGGATCTTCGAACATTCCATGGCACACTAATTGCTTGGTGCGCTGGTGTCAACTCTTTGCAAATGATCTGCGTAGTGCCATCGGCCGGGATGGGGGAAGCGACGCAGACAAAGATGAGGCGGCGCGGGAAGCACATGGCCGCTCGGACTTCGCCAGACCCGATACTTGCAAGCTGAGAGGGTCAGCTCCAAGCCTAGACAGCGCCCATTCACACCAAGCTGAGCAATCATGGTAAGCGACGACAGCATTTTCCTTTCGCTGACCTTTCAGCTACATGTTAACTATTTCTCAGCTCAAGCTCTGACATCTGGAGTGTCTCAATCTCTGACAGCTTCGACAGGAACTGTGTTATGGTTCTCGCGATAACATCTTTCGCGGCAAGATTGAAATCATGACGCCGCCTCCGGACTTCACCCTGGTCATTACCATCGCATTCTCCGAGGTCAACCAATTCCTGCGTCACCCACATTATACCTAACTTTACTCCACCGCGCTCACCCAAGCGGTGTAAGGTGCTTCAGATCAGCGATTTCATTATCGTGCTCTTGCAGTCTGACCTCTTACCTTTTTTTCTATTGGGAGTGAGCCATGGTATTTTCCGTCAGCCCCAACGCGTCGAGGCGCGGCCCGAAAGCGTTACAAAGCTGAGCCGCTCGCCTGACTCCTGACGCGCTTTGCGCGAACGAGTTGCTTTCTTCTGCCTTTCCCTACGGCCTGCCGCACTGGCCGTGTGGCTTCTCTTCGCAAGACCCTGCCTCGAAGATCAACGCTATCTGCTACTGTATCTCACAGATGATGAACGCGATCCGCTCTTCCAACGGCATCAGACCCGACGATCGAATGGTGTGCATTCCTATCTCTAATCTTCATGCGTGTTTTGAATGATGACGCGGAGCCACATGGGTCACAGTAGCACACCATGCGTTGTCCTACCTTGTTCATGCTGGTCGCACATGCCAAGAAGCGCGATATCCGCTGAGTCGAAGAGTCAAAAATCACTCGGCCGGAGCACGAAATCGTGGCTCTGAAGCTACCTTGACGAAATGGAACTATGCATACAATGATTGCTGGAAGAGAATAATAAATTCCGCAGCTAGGTGTCCCCAAACTTTGCCTTTTGCTCTTCCTGCTTCCTGCGCTCTTCGGCGGCTTTCGCGTCCGCCGCTTGCGACTCCTGGTCCTTGGCTGCTTTCTGTTGCATTTTTTGCTGCAGTTTCGTCCTGGCCTGTTTGACTGCCTCGATGAGGGCGTTAAGATCACTCTTGTTCCAGTTCGGTTGCACTATCAAAGCCTTCAGATCTGTAGCCTTCTCCTCTACTGCAACGACTTCTGGAACTGAAGATGCATCCTGCCCAATCACATCTTTCTCCGCGGCGAATATGGCATCGTGTGCTTCTTTCATGAGCAGCTTATTGGCAGTCTCCATAACATTCTTAAGTGGCGTGAGGCTCTGAACGGAGGCGTGTCAGCGTGGCGATTGAGTATAAGGTATCTCGTACTAACCATTTCCAGCGATCCTATCTCGGACTCCACCGAGGCCAATTCCAGCGCATCTCCCTGCTCAAGCACCTTCCTGAGAGCAGTCTCTCGGTCGAGGATGGACGCAGCATCGCCTTGTACAAGACGATCTTGATACTCTGACATCTTCGACTCTGTTTGTGTAAGCAACTCATTCGCCTTGCGTCTCGCCTCGGCAACTTCTGCCTGTTTAGCTGCGCGTTCTCCGGCCTTCAGGTTCCAGAAGTCTTTAACTTCTGCGGGGTAGGATGTGTGCTGTACCTCCATCTCCCAGTCCGGTAAATGCTGCTCGGCACGATCAAGCCAGAACAAGATTCTCTCGTCTCGATTTATGACACCAGCAAAGTGCACCAGGAAGTCTCCTCGGCGGACCTGATAGGGTGCCAAGGTCTCGTTGTGCTCGCCTTGGTAAGCGTTGAACCACCTCTGAGGAGCTTCGACCGTGTGAGCTGCAAACTTCTTGTCTCTCAAGAGTGTATCCATTGCACTTTGGTCTCGAAACGTCAAGTCCTGATCAGGCTTATAGTATCTGGAAGAGATTATGGCCGAAAAGAGTTCTACGGCCCACTGGTTCACTCGGACTGGAAACACGCCATTGTTTAGACCGTTCCAATCGTTAGTCACCAGGAGATGTATGTCGTCGAATTGAGGTGAAGGAGGCAGGAATATCTCCAGAGGCACATACGGGTTCAACATGATAGTGTCCGCATCGACCCAGAGAAGCCATTCCAGACGCTCCTCTTGGGGTTTGGCCAACTCTCGCAGCAGAAGCGACAGTATGTATGCTGGCTTCGACCAGACATCATCCATGATGGACTGCCGGAGTACATAAAGCGGATAACCATGAAGTCGGTCGTGCAGAGCATGAGTCTTGACTGTTCTCTCGTATATCGAGGACCCATACAGTATAATGGTACATTTCCCAACTCTGGTCTTATGGCCCCATTGCTCTGACTCTTGCTTCAGGACTTCTTCGGATTTGAGTGGTGATAAGGTTGGTGTGGTAATTAGGGTTGCAGTCGCGTTCAAAGCAGTAGTTGCGTTCGCCTCCAACTTCGTGTTGAGTTCCAGCTCCGAGTCCCAGGTTTTCCAGTATGAGACCTTATCTGAGACTGCGTGGTGTAGATCTTTCAGTGCACCTTTGATCGATGGTCTTTGGGATGGCTGATGGTCGATCTCTTCTTCTACATGATTGGCTTTAATGCGACTGGTGGATCTGTCCTTTCCAGAAGATTTATCTATCAGCCGATCTGCGCCTAGATAACTATCAGGCCCATCCAAGATACCGCCTGCGCCAATATCGTAGTCACCTCGGTAGTCTGTAGAATCGTATTGGTCTGTGGGATTAAACGTCGAAGTAACGAGATAACCGAGGAACATCGTCGTAAGAGCGATGAGCGTGAGCTTGAGACGTCCATGGCCGAACAGCGCAGTGCTTGAGGACGGGAAAGTTGCCCACGACGATGGTTCTTGCATTTTCTCAAGAGATCAGATCCTGGAAAACCCAATCATTGTCACGGCGGAGATCGCGTCGGGGTCGCTCCTTCACTTTACTGCCTTTCGGCTCATCCCTTTCTAGCAGGTTGAATCCGCCACGGAAGCAAGGTAGTCTCAAAATGGAATGCGACATCACATTCCAGTGTTCGACAATTCTCAAGACTTTGTGCAAGGTTCTGGAACGGCTCAATCTACAGCATTGAAGAATCTACCCGAAAATGTATGTTAATCCCCTATCAAACTTACAACATGCAGGGGATCGTTTCTTGTGCGCGCCCAAAAGATGAAGAAGTCTGCAAACCACACTGTCATGCAAGCCTCCGCCGCTTGTCGGAGGGGCTTGCAGCGGCAGTGACCATGCTGCTGTGTAACGGATGGCTGCAGACGTCAACACCACCGTGCACACACTGAGCCGCAAGCTCCAGAATGTTGATGGGTGAACTTTTCATGAGCTTTTCACGGCAAGTACAGGCTTCTAACATTATCTCCATGCCGCAGAGTCAACTTGTAGAATTTTGACAGGTTAGCGGTACGGCTCCCTGAGTACTGAGTGTCTTCATGCAAGTAAAGACACTGATAGTAGTGCTTGGTCGGCCAATATGTCCAATTATACGTCACATCATGTGAAGACCTGCGAATCCTACAAGAAGTAGTTCGCTACCGGCTTCCTACTCTCTGTCATGGCGTGATTGGTTGGTACCTGCTTGACATGAAGGTCCAAGTGCGGCAGTGTACCGGAGTTGACATGTTTGAACGCCCGGTTATCCACATGGCAGCCGTCAAACGTCGCTGCACCGCGAATCCTGATCTTCATTTGGAGAGCATCTTCATCCATCTGCAAGATGAGTCTAGGCGACTGAACATGGCATGCACTCAGTCATTGAAACTACTACATCATGAGCAGCTGTATCTAGTCCAGTATCGATTGACTGAGCAGGCTCACAACCAGGACTGCCTCTTCTGGAATGTCTTTGACTCAAACAGCAGTGATATTAGTTCCGTAGGGTCTGAGAGATGCTTCCAACCTCACTCGCTTGATCATCTCTTCAAGGGCGACGGGAAGCAGGCGTTGCTCGGATGCTTCCCGTCTCTAATATCCTCCACACACTCAAACGGCATGTGTATCTCTTGCTCTGATGACGGCCCGGGAGCATCAGGGCAGGGTTTTGAAATCAACGCTCATTTATACATGGTCGGCCGCCTTGGTGGCCATGTCTTACATACTCCTACTTTGAGTCAGCGACCCTCTCACCATCCTCGGTGTATCATTGTGTTCAATTTTGTTGCAGTTGCCCGTCCAGTGGTAATAATATCGTGTTGAAGACTTTTGGTCCTATTGTAGACGTTCATGTACACAAGGCGAGTTACCTTTGAACAACGGCGTGGTCTCATACCTGACGACGGACAGATCTCTTATCAGACCCTCGCTTTGCAACGCTCTGGGAACATATTCATCGTGATCTTCTTTACCCCGATATCAATCACGTTGTCGAGCTTCCGGAACATTCACTGCCGAGTGCTCGCCCCACCAACCTGATAATAACCACTGCACTGCTGCAGGGCTGCAAGTAGCTGCACGAATCCGTGACGACATCTGTGGCTACGACACGGTCTGGGAAGGAAAGACTTTGCTACAACGCATATCAACATACCGCTTCGATGAACATGATGGCGGTGAGAACTAGGGGTGAGCAGGGCGCGAATAAGTACTACTACGGAGGTCGTTCTCGCTTCGATCAACGGACAATTCATCATCACTGACGAACCGCGCAGATTTCTTTCACAGACCTCTCCCAGTCTATCGCGCGCCTCCTCTTCTGCACTCACGACCCACCCACCTGGCGTATCCGCAAGCAAACGTGAGTCTGATAGTTAACGCAGAGCGATAAGAAGCCACCCTGACAATGTCACAGTACTCGCTTGCAGGATTCTACGGCTACCAACAACCACTTACTGTCTCCAACAACATGTCAACTTTGTTCGATCAAGATACGAAGGACTGCTTCTTCAATCAAGAGTGTCCTGAGCTGACGGGTAGTGAATCTTCGGAGAGCCCCACTGCCTCTTCGTTCACCAGCGGGGGCTCCTGCACGGCTCCTTCTCCGTCTAGGGATACAAAAGACCTGACCTTGAGTGAGAGTAGAGTTGCCATGTACTCACCTGTATCCTATATGTCACCTTTGTCGAGCTTCGGTGACAATTACCTCAACACGGAGTCTTCCTGGTCCGAGCAGCAAATCATCTCAACCTTTGATACGTCGACACAGTACAACCATGGCATCTGGTCGTGCTCACAAGACTTCCCAACCCAGCTGCTCGCTGGTGTCACTGAGCGCACTCCGAGCATGCCCATCCAGTCTCACTTGGATGGACTGTTTCCTCACCCGACTTTTCAGGAGATGCCCCCGATGTCCATCTCCCAGCCATCTTTGGAGCACAACATCGCTACAGGTTTTATCGATTACGGAGCAGATGGACTGGTTGCGCCTGGGCACCTCTTCAACACCGCACTGGACCGATACGCTTTCGCGGGTCCAAATCCCGTGCTGTTCTCTGCACAGCCCATGGTTGGAGGCGCTCTTCCTCTCGCATCTTCCGTTAACAGCAGCGACGCTGAGATGTCGTCCGTGTCGGCCGGACAAGGAGATAGAGACACTCCCGATACAGTGCGTAATAACAGAGACGAGTACCTCCAAGAGGCACGCCGACGTGGTCTGTCCTACAAAGAGATCAAGCGCCGTGGAGGCTTCACCGAAGCAGAGTCGACTCTGCGTGGCCGTGTCCGCATCCTCTCCAAACCTAAGGAAATGCGTGTGAGGAAGCCACACTGGAACCGCTCGGACGTAAGTCGATATGTCGAGAACGTTATCATATTCCATTTAACACGATAATTGCAGGTCATGCTCCTCGTTGAAGCCGTCGAGCATTTTGCCGAAACGTCGCAGGGACCTTCCTCTCGTAAGGCCAACATGCGTCAGAAAGCCAACACGAGCAAGTTGCCTTGGAAGAAGGTCGCTGAGTGGATGCTCTCTCATGGTGCATCATACCCCTTTGCCGGTGCAACATGTGCCAAGAAGTGGGAGCAGATTCGTGAGATGTCCTTCTAGGCCATCGAGAGCGTCTTCAAGAGTGGTCAGAAGATGACAGACTCTCCTTAACGAACCAGTCGCAAGACTTTCCTTTTCCTGCATGTTAGGAATAGAGTTGCGTTCATTCCTCGTTGGCCCTGAGCGAAGCGGCAGTCGGTCACAGCGTCGGCAGGCTTCCTGGTAAAAAAGGATTGGTCATGCACTCGTTACCTGTATCTCGTAAATCAGATAGTGGCTCACAGCCTTGAGAAATGCGCATCTTTTCTGTACTCTTTTGTACCTACTCCATGGTGAGATGGCGCCTTTGTGCCGGCTTGTTCGGGCAACCTTGGCGTTAGGCAGTGACGACATCAATTTCTCTACACCGCGACGCGACTATCTCGGCCTCGGCTCCAAGCCAGCTACGCAACAACAAACCAGCATGCAATTGGGTCTAGAGGAAGCATTGCCATCTTTGGTGAAGGCCAAGTTCAGTACTGCAAAGGCCAATCAAGCCTTGATCTTCTCGTCCACTGAGCTCTCCATACTGCGGACCAAATCCGGTGCACCTGTAAGTCATCGACTTTCGTCACAACAAAGCTGCCAACTTGGAAGAAGGTATAGAGTTGTCGATGCTCTTTGATCTCTGACCAGTCGCCAGTTTCAGCTTCGATACTGCCCTGCGTTGGCGAAGAAGCCTACCGATAATGGCGATAAGCAAGCCAAAGGTCCAAAGCCGGACCCATTCGACAACCCCTCATCAGACTTGTTGATCGCGGACATCCCCAAATCCAGTGCTAGTCATTTGCTCGTACTGAACAAGTATCCCGTCATTCCTCAACATTTCATTATTGCGACAAAGCTCAATAAGCAGCAAAAACACATGCTTGAGTCAGACGATCTTGCAGCAACACATGCTTGTCTGAAAGCGTGGGAAGAGAGCAAGCAGAATGGAAAGCTATTTGCCTTCTTCAATTCTGGAGACCACAGCGGGGCTAGTCAGGCGCATCGTCATCTTCAATTCCTCAGCGTTGACGAGATGAAGCGTGATCAGCAGGAAAGTGCGAGTTGGAATCCACTCGTCGAAAGCATGTTAGATGCTCCTGCTAGGGAAGACCAGGGTAGGTCTCCATTGTCCGGTGTTGGTTTTTCAAGTAACTCGATGCTCATGGTATCTCGTGTCTAGGACTAAGGACTAATCCTGGCCTGTCTTTCACCCACTTTGCCCTTGAGCTCCCTAAGGATCCTAGTCTCGAGACACTATACTCAGCCTACGACAAGTTGTACGCCGCAGCTGCCACCGCTGTCAGATCCTACATCGCATCCAACCAGAACTCGGATCTGAAGCTTCATCCATCCGAAGGAGGATCATCGGCCATCAGTTATAATCTCGCTATGACGACTTCAGCCATGGCTATAGTCCCGCGCAGAAACGAAGGTGCGGCTATCAAGAACAAACAAGGCAGCGAAGTGGGAAGTGTTGCTTTGAACGGCACATTGCTGGCTGGTACCTTGATGGTCAAGCTGGAAGACGAATGGAATGCTTTGCGAGACGATGAATTGCAATTAGATGATATCTTGATAGCAATTGGCATCCCAAGGTAGGATTCTGCCCTGAAAGCCGCCACATTAGAGCCAATGCATGTTTTATCGGCAGCTGCCTAAAGCTGCCGATGACGACTTGTTGATCATCAATTCAGAGTTCGTGTCAGCGCGTGGCGCAGATGAAAGCGTACCCAGTCAGCGTAGTGCTGACTGTCAAGCATCATCAATTTGACATCAGTGGCTGAGACTCGTAAACAATCAATACCAAAGCTGACGCCTGTATAGACGACACTCGAGCAGGGATGGGGGTCAAGTAATGCTATAGCGACCGACCCAACACAATTTCCATGCGACAATAAGTGGCGAGTCTCTATTGTTGTCTCTAATGTGTCCTTTAAGACACTGTCGCTATTGTCTAGGTCAATAATTCAACACGAATGAGACAGTTCTAAAATCACTGAACACCCTTACTGTTCTTCTCACACCACTCTGCAGACACGTCTCACCTTCGAATTTGACCATATATTAACCACCAAACTTTCCAATGTACCAAATCGACACCACTCTGCTCTATCTCACTCAACATGCGCAGCAAGAACAGTATCCAGAACTATACTCCTCATGACAGTGACGCTATGGATCAATACGTTGTCCTACTTCTTAGGGAGGAAGAGATGATCGAGGCTATGCGAACTGTCAACCTCGAAAGAGCACCTGAACTGGCCAACAAGCTGGACAGAAATCTTTGGGGACCTTGGGATTATCTCAACAAATCCAACATGATATCTCCAGAGAAAAGGCTCGAATCTTTACAAAGACTCAAGAGGGGAGTTAAAGAAGCCGAGGAGCTCACTGAGATTCGCGATCAGAGAGGAAAGGTATTGGAAGCCGCTTCTGATGCCCTCCGGGTCCGGAAGGACTCTTGCAACGAAGATGGTGCCGAAATTATCACCACTACCAATAACACAAAGGATGCCAGGGATTTCAAGCCCAAAACAGTCACCACGGTCACCAGAAATCAATCAATACGGACCCCAAGTTACAACGGTACATACAGCTGGTCCAGGGAGTTCTGCCGCATCAAACAACAACACAAAAACGTCGAACTGTACAAAGGGCAAGATCAGGTTAGAGCCTGGAACCAGGTCCTGATTTACGGGACATATATCAAGCACAAAATCCCTGAGCAGCAATTTCGTCGTCACAACATGAAGAGAGAGAAGCACAACATCCGCCATCTTCCTGATACACTTGTTTATCAGCCTTTTAATGCTGTGACTCTTCACAATTTCAATTGTGAATACTATCTCAGGAGGAAGGCAGCAAAGGCTATCCGTATCATCGTCACGCAGCATTGAGAAAAGCTCCTTCTCTCGTCACGGAATCTGTGTCACAAAGCACTTGGACCGAGGATGATGATGACAAGGCGTTCTGGCACTAATTGATGCTCGATATGGGGCAACTGGTTGTCAACAATAACCTTACGCATCTACATTGAACTTCTCAAGCACCGCTCATGATCAAATTGGCAATCTTCATCTTACGTGGTCACGAGAAGCTGACTAGCGAATATTTTGGTCCACATGAGTGTATTGGACGGACATGGGCGACTCTGGACTCAGTATCGCTCGGGGGTCGTACTTTCTTGCATTACGATATTATCTTTCCTTATCTCAGCAAATATACTTCGTCAGCCCGATTACTCTTACATCCCCTTCGTGATATCAACGCCGTGCTGCTGCCTTGATACATATTATTTTCCACTAAAATGGTCCCTTCGTAATTTGGTCTGTGTTGCCATGGTACTGCTTTCTCCATATCGAACCAAGCTTACCTAACATCGCATCTTCCAATGAACATGCAGGAAGACTTCTCTAAATCAAGATGGCAGCTAAAGTGACTGACGAATTTATCCGTCAGTTTTGTTTGCTACCTATGCCCATTTCAATATAGCAAACAACCCCTACGCTCTTCCCTTGAATGTCAAAAGCTGACGTCCTCATTTGTATCCTCATCCATATTCCTCCATTTCTCGAACTCATTCTCCTTGAGTGCAAAAACTTCTCAAAGATGGACTCGGAGATCACACTCCCAACAAATACACTCTACAACATCTCCATTCACCTCAGTATCAACATACCAGTCCAAGCTAGCGATACATCAAGCTTCACCTTCGCACATATCGTCGCCCTCTTCGTCCTCGTCACAATGGGCATGTTTCTAGCATTATGGCTCTTTCTGCATGTTTTCGCGCGCGACGACGAACCGTCAAAGTCTATATACAGTGGTGACGATTCGTTTCGCAGCGACGATAATTTTGGGAGACCCAATCGCCGTGATCGGTCGGCTAGCACCAGCATATCCGAGGTCAGTGTACATTCTGATCGTCATGTCAGGTTCCATCGGGCTGAGACCTGGTAGACGATTTGCTGCTTGTGAGTTGCAACTCCGCATGTGAGTGCGTTGAAGCTCAGACTGACATGGGCATCATAAGATCCGGCATGGTGGTAGACACTTTGCACTCTTTGCTGCAGGCATGAATGAGGATGAGACGTATTGAGAGATGAAGAGATATATGATATGATGATGTTGTGGGTAAATGAAAATGGTATCAATGATTACGAGAGACATTACGCGCTTAGGCGCTTGAAAATGGAAAAATGTGCAACTTTTGTCGTTCCTTGTAGCCTCAATGAAGCAGTCTAGATCGAATTGGTCTCAAGCCGAAGACATGCTTAGAACAGCTTGTTGAGGAACCCACTCTTGGTCGAGGCTTGCACAACACCAGCCTCACTTGAGGTCTCGGATACGGTCTTCTCGGCAGTAGGGAGAGATTGCTCCTTGCCGAGACGAGGGTTGCGGAGACATAGCGAGAAGACGATCAAAGGAACGCAAAGGCAGATACCAGTGATGCACAACAGGCGCTGGATATGTCTGTATGAGACAATGACAGCGTCGCGCTCAGGAGTGCCGACGGGGTAGTCGAGAATGAAGAACAGAGGATTGCTGTATGCGTAGACAGCAACGGTAGCGTTGTTGGTGACAGCAGCCAAGTTGCGCTCAAGCTCTCCAGGGAGAACCTGAGTCCACAGGGCACCAGAAACTGTTGAGCCAAATGCCGATCCGATATTGTAGGTTGCAAGGTAGAGACCAGTGACCAGAGCAAGATGCTCGTGCTGAGTGGCTGCTTGGATGAGGGTCTGGACGGGGTAAGGGAAAAGACCGCCAGCGAAACCTAATACAACCTCGGCTGCGATGACTCCAGCGTAAGAGCTTTGGCTAAGTCCACCTCTGAATCTGAGCAAGATGCCAAAGGCAACCATGAACATCAAAGTACCGAAAACGATGAAGGGCTTCAGGTAGGGGACGCGGACACGCTTGCCAGGAAGAGGGATGCCAAATCGGACGAGAAGACCGAGACAAACTCCAGTCAGAACTGAGACGAAACTGTAGAGGGAGGTGATGCGAGTGGCGGACTTGACGCTCTGGTCAAAGGCAACAACCACAACAGTGTAGAGGTAGCCTCCTTGCATGTACCAGATGAAGTTGAGCATCCAAGCAACTCCAAGAGCACCCCAAACACTGCGGTCCTTCAAAAGATGGAAGGGTACGAGAGGGTGAGGAGCGCGTCTTTCATAGATGGCGAAGACTGGAATAAGGCAAATACCAATGACCAAAGGAGCGATGACGTGAGCGGTTCCCCAAGTGTCCGAAAGACCACCAGCAATGGTGAAGGGCACGAGAATGAGGGCAAACATGGCGATCATCAAAATGATACCGATGACATCGAGTTGCCAGAACAGAGCAACGAGAGTGCTACCGAAACCGTTGCGCTGGAAAGGAGACTGGTAGTTGTTCAGGGCGCCAGCCTTCTTCGCACGACCAGAGGCGATGAAGAGAGCTGCAACGAGGGGCATGGCGCAGATGGGGTAGATGATGGCCCACATTCCAATACCCCAGCGCCAGGTGGTGTCCTTCAATACGGCAGAAGTAATGTCTCCAGAAACCCAGGTGTTGATCAAGAAGGGCAGGGCAGGAATGTATGACCAGGCCAGACGAGATCTCAAAGAAGTAATATCTGCCACGATGACCTCGACGAGCAGAGTAACAACCGTGTAACCGATTTGGTACAGAATGGCACCTGCGGCGAAAGTACCAACGTTGTGTGCAGCAGCCTCAATAACGGTACCCAGTAGGTAGAAGAAGATGGAGAGGTAGACGAGCTCGACACGACCGAAGACATCGGCAATCTTGGCAGCTGTAGGCTGAGCTGCGGCAGCAATGACGGTGCGTACGATGTTGACGGTCGAAAGCAGGGAGTGCTCTCCAATCGAGGACAAGGCAGTGCTCTGGTTACACATTAGTCCCATGGGGCATTTGTTGTGTTGTTCGAGTTAATCACCTGATACGTGTATCTGACGGTACCGTCCAGACCATAGGCGTATGCAATCAAGAAGACACCAATACCAAGGAACCAGCGATCGAAAGAGGTGAGGTGGGCATTGATTGCTTCAATGCGGGCAACACCAGGACTCATCTTGCCCATGAGTACGACTTGCTCACTGGGGGCATCTTGTGACCTCTTAAATCTGACTTCAGTCTCAGTCTCGACCTTGGTGGTCGAGGGAGTGTTTGAGTCAATCGACGACATCGTAATGTGAAAGACCCAAGACGAGGTGTCGACTCAAAGGGCCAGTATTGGGTGATTGACTGGGTAGTGAAAGTGATCGACGAGGGAGCAGACTAGCATCTGCAGAAGGGAAACGCCATTTTATGTAGAGGCTGCCAAGTCAGAGGGAAGCCGCGGTCTGCGCAGCTGCGAAAGCGCCTCCGAGCAAAATGACGGACAAGCCAGGCAAGATTGGGTGATGGATTAGATAATCCCTCGTAGTCCAGAGTCAATTTTTATCTGATCCTGCAGGGTCTAGCGATGCGAGGCCGTCTATTGGATCGTTTGTCGAATGGCCGTTGCCCAGTAAACCTGTACAGCTGCGTGCAATCCCGTGTCGCTTTACCACGCGAAAAAGTACTTTGCCCTCCACCTTGTCATCTGTACACTCACTCCGATCTCAATTGAGCCATCACGCAGTCACATTCTGTCAGCGTCACCATGAGTATGTGGCGCTTCGCCACATGAGAACGTCGACTCGTTGAGAGTACAGAGAGAGCCGAGTTTGCAAGCCGAGCAAATCTTCGAACTACCGTGATGGTTCGATAAAATTTCATCTTATCAGATGCTTCAACGCTAACTTCTCGCGCTTTGGGCCGCCAGTGGCTTTCGAGGCGGCCGAGGTGTGTTTAGCTTGTGAGGTGTCGGCTCCGGACAGGTGAGGTCGGCCATCATAGACTTGGATTTCTCTTGGCTTTCAAATATACTAGGACAGCTGTCGATGACTGTGTACGAATCCTATCAGATTTGCAAGCGAATAACTTGCACGCCCAGTAGCAAAGAACGTTGCTTTCCAGAATTCAAACCCCTACCATTTTCGCTTCTGGTTTATTTACGCGTAGAGGACCGAATTCCCCTCTGGTGAAATCTGCGAAAGGGTCTTCGAAACGCACTGTCTCACATGCGATTAATGGAGCAGAAGAAGTGCCGAAGATTTGGAGTGTTCGAGAAGTCTTTTTCAAGATGCAGGCCACTCTTGGTGTCGCAATAGGAGCACTTGGCCATGATATCACAACACTGGCAACCAAAATCGGGAGGTATGCAACTCATAGATGTGAAGAAGTGGCATATCATCGTGCCATTGAAATTCATGGATGTATTATTCGTATAAAACTTTTCCTGCAGAAGTGGCCAGCACTCTTGCCTCAAACCTTCTCCTGGAAGTTGACATCGTCTGTCTTGCTGTAAGGCACCTCCTCGGGAGCCATCATGGGCTTGTACTTGGCGTACTTGACAGTGCCCAATACTGAAGGGCTGTCTTTGAAGATGGTGTCGAGCTCTTCCAGCGAGCGTCCCTTGGTTTCGGGATCTAACAGGGTTACAATTAGCATGGTGACAGAAAGTGTGCAACAAGTGCGACTTACAAAGGAAGTAAACAGTGACGGGAATGCATGCACCGATGCAAGCGTAGACAATGTAGTACTTGTAGCCAATGTTGTTGATGGCTACTGGAGTGATCATGGCCACTGCAAAGTTCCACAGCCAATGGTTGGCAGTGGAGATAGATGCCATGGCGACACGCAGTCTGATGGGTGCGACCTCGGTACAGTACAGGAAGTTGGCACCGAGGAAACCGATGGGAGTGAAGAAGCAGAAAAGGTAGACGAAGAAGGCGGCTGCGACGGATGCGCCGTAGTTGTCGTGAGGGAAAGATGTTGCGACAGCGAGAGCGACCATGCACAAAGCCATGCCACCACCGGAGACCATGAAACAGACGCGACGGCCGAAACGATCGATGCAGAAGAAGGCAACGAAACATGACAGGAACTTCCAGGTCAGAGTACCGGCAGACAATAGCTTAGAATTGTAGCTGCTCATGCCGAGACCCTGCTGGAAAATGGTGGAAGCATAGACAGAGATGAGGTTGGTTCCGGACATCTGCTGAAAGAATTGAAGCAGGATACAGAGACCGAAACGGTAAGCGAGCTTGTCTTCGCCCATGCTGAACAGGTCCTTGAATGAAGCTGCCTTGTTGGACGAATCTTCAAGAGAGAGTTCGATACCGACACACTCTGCTTCGATCTCTGGGGAGTCGACCGGCAGGCCCTTGAGAGCAGCCAAATTTTCACGAGCTTCCGAACCACGGTTCTGTGCAAGAAGCCAACGAGGAGACTCGGGGAACAAGAAGATCGAGAAGAGAACGATGAGCGAGAAGAGTAAAGCAATAGCGATCGGAGGACGCCAGGTGACGGATCCAGTCTTGAGCGTGTAGAAACCAAAATCGATCCAGGATTCGAGCGTATAACCGAACGAAATGAACATACCGTCAAGGACAACGTGCTTTCCACGGTTCTTGGCAGACGAACATTCCGATTGCCAAACAGGGACGGTAGCAGAAAGTTGTCCGACACCAAGACCGATAATGACACGGCCAACAATGAGCTGACCGAGTTCGAAGGCAGAACACTCGATGGCCTCTCCAATAAGTGTACAGAGAGCACCGATGAAGATAACCCATCGTCTTCCGAGGAGAGTACCAGTGTAACTACAGCTCAATGCGCCGATCAGCGCACCAAGTGTGAATGTTGCGATAACGAGACCCTGGAGAGTTGCGTGATGGGCCTTGACCTCGCCTTTGTAGTCGACCGTGTTGATGAGAGGGAATTGATGTCTCCAGTTGTCTTCAGAGAGCAACGGACCAAGACCAGACTGATTGTAACCGAACAGAATGAACGATGGTGCAACCACCAGCGCGATCTGAGCAATCGACAGGGCCTTGCCTGTGACTCCAAAGAAACTGACCATTATGGTGGGAATCAGCGACCTGTAGCCGACGATTTATGCACGCTTGTGCTGCAAGGAAGCCAAGTAAGAACAAGAATGGGCGTTGAACTTTCTACAGAAAGCCAAGAGTAGTCAAGCCTTTGGTGAAGTTTTGGCGTGTGATGAGCGCTGAAATCAGACAGTAGTGCAGACTGCAGAGAGCAGATCGCTCTGTCTTTATACTCTGCCAATTTCAAATCCGACCTCGCACTTTCCTCCTGGTGCACCGTCTACTCCACATACTCCATATTCGCAGTGGGTCCATTGGGGGCATGGGGATACGATAGCATGGTCAGCAAATGTTTCGACCGGCATCGACGGCACCTAGGCCAAGCTGGTCGGTGTGTCTCTCAATTCTGGTTCTTCTCGAACCGCTAATGTGTGGCCAACGTCGTCAAGATTGGTTAATCCCGCGTTGAACATGCATGTCTTCCGGCCCTTTCACGGTCCTTCTCCTGTTTTCCCCGAGGCGTACTGAGTCGGATAGGCCCAAACAGGCGGCCACCGCAGCAAAATTGCATCATTCAGAGGCCGGGGGCATGGTGGGGACGTCTGGAGATTCAACAATCTCCCCACGGAGCACCATCGAGAGGTGATGTGTTTGGGTTCCGAGCACGAAAAAGATGCGGAGCGTGGACGAGAAGATGCGGAGCAAAGACATATCAAACGTGGAAGTCGCGTCTGCGATTTATAAATCTCGGTAGGAAAGCCGAAAGAAAGTTCGAACGCGAGCGCCGACTCGTGTTTGGCGAGCCTGAAAAACAACATCTCGGTTGAGGTTGCATCGACTTCTTCCCCATGTTTGTTGAAATCATCTGCTCCACCTTGGAAAGGCCTGCACTCTACGCCCTAACGCGCGACTGATTCGAATTTTACTTGCGACTGTGCGCTCAGCATGTGCATAACTTCTGTTCAACCGGCAAGCCTCGCCATGAAAGTGGTAAAGATATGCCGGGCAAGTATGTTTGAACTGCAGAAAAGTGTTTCCACCTTGATCTTCTAGGATCAACATATGACGATCTCGGCCGATATTGTGCTAGAACCGGACCGCAGACCTCATCCGATTCTGGCTCCTTGTTTTGCTCTTCCGGAAGGCGGGACTTTGCATGGCCGAGTCCACATCTGTCAGGATCTCAAGCAACGTCAGGAGACGACAGAGAACAGGCTAAAAGCCCACGAGCGTTCCATGTGGACAACGGAAGGCCGTCGGATTCCTAATTCAGTTGAGAACAGCAGTGACGCACTTACAATCAATCTCGCAGAGGGACGCCTTGGCCGTCTCGTCTGCTTCGATTCAACATTTTCGGCTAGCACTCTGATCGGCTTGTTGATCTCTTAGAAAAATCTTCATACAGCTATTTCTCCTTCATGAGCTTTTGAGAGATACAGGATGCCTCTTGTCTGTAAAGAATCTCAACCAATTCGAGCGCATTAGCTGAACAGATAAAAAGTCAAACGACGGAGCCGCCAGACAAACGGGCCGTTTTTGTGAAGCCTGACGCTGTCGCATTCGGCATTGTCGGTAACAGAGATAAGGATTTCGAAGGCAGGGGCCGACCGAGTGCTTATGCAATTCAAATATCAACATATATGCCTACCGAAATCGCTTCATTATCTGAAGCTACTGAGGATCCTCTGATGACCAACTTCAACAAGCAACAAGGCTGACAGACACAACTCCGGGCGACGAGGCCGAATTTCGGTACGGACAGACCACATCGGCATCTAGCATGCTTGCTCTTTGCCGAACTCACCGCGATTGTGTTTGATTAACAATTATCCAATCTTCGGTTTTGCTCGACGCCTTGTTCACTAGGCTCTTACGCTGACTGCAGACTGTAGCAGACAGAGTAAGAAGTCAGGCCAATCTGAGCACATCTTTACTCGAACCTGATGCGAACGATCCATGTGTTGTGGTCCAGCGATACTGCGTGGTGTTGCCATCATCTCAGAAACCGTTGTGTACGATGGTGCTATCGGATACTTCGTGATGCCAACAAGCGACTTCCGATGCGAAAACGCAGACAGGGTCGGGACCTCAGCAAGCATTTGACGGACTATCGACGGCACTGCTCGTCAGTTCGTCATGATGTGTTACTTTCGTCTGCTACGATACTCAACTTATGTATCTCCGCGTATGCTCGTAGTTTTTGGTGACGCTGAGACGTTGTTGGGAGTGTATGTGGAGCGTAACAGTTTTGTGACATCTTGTCGGGTTAATATGACTTCGAACTGCACGCAGTCACATGAACAACAACCATCGAATATCCAGGTTTCGACAAGTCAAAGAAGATAGAATGGTCTACTACCATAGACACACACAGTGACCCAGTAAGCATCAAAATCATTATTACTGTACAAGAGCTGCGGCGTCGCTCGAGCAAAGAAGGACCACCGCAAATCTTTCCCATACCAGCTTTAGTTCCTCTCCAAATGCTCAAAGCGGGCTGGCAAAACACAGAAGTACATTGCGGCCATTGCTTCTGCAGAACCAAGCCTAAGTTAGAAAAGATTCGGCGCAAATTCTTTGACAAAACGAACAAACATACAGCAGCAGGGATTCCCACGTGGTCACCCACCGTAGTACTAATCTGCCGTTCAACTGCTTATGTATGGCAGAGCGGACGGGATGCCCAGTTTTCAGCTGACTGTGGCCGTATGTGCTTAAACTACCTTTGTGTAACAATATATCCATGCGATATCGTGCATAGCGCTGGTCTACACGAATCTGCATGTCGAACTAAATGACTGCAAGACCGGTCAACTGCTTGTTGTGAGTAACGCTTGCAATTATCATGAGCCACGAAAAGCGTGCCTTATTTCCAAAATCCCAATGCAATGGATTGTAGCGCTGTTGAGCACGACTTGTGCACTATAGCGCCCATTCCTGATCTCCTCCACAAGCTTCCATGTCCCGCACGAAAGCATCAATTCGATCTAGGATCCAACCAGACTGCAATATCGTCCCAGCAGGCTCTTGAAACGGCCGTCCTAATTTAACATCGGAAGAGACATGACAGCTCTTCTCTTTGACAGAAAACTGTAGACATTCTTCTCTCCTCATACACTCATCCTTGCAAGCTTCGAACAAGTCTACGCCGGCTTGCAAATCGACATGTTCTGCACTCAGATTGTCCCAATCATCTTTGGAAGGCTGCAGGTACGGTAGGACGAAGCGTTCGAAAACATCCTTATATTTCAACGAGCACGACTCGTTACGCCCGAGCAATTGTTGTTCAAATTGCCAGACAGGTTCGATCTCTTCGGGTGCCATGTGATGGTAGCTGACCGCTCTGTGACACCATAGTCTTTTAGAGTAACCGTTCGCCGTATATTTGACAGAGGATATTGGTGCATTCTGCAGGTTCGGCCACGTCCATGTCAAAGAGATGCCGGCGTCCTTTAACAATTTTCCCAGTACGCAGTCGCCTGCCCAGTGATTGGCAGTGAACTCTTCATACTCATCGCGATTGTTTCGGAACTTCTCAGCAGCGGCTTGCATGGCGGGTTTGGAAATTGCGAATCCAGAGCCACCGTGACCGAACACTACGTCTCCAATCTGTTGTTGATTTCCTAGGTAGTATGGTTGAGTCTTGTCAAACTTGGCAAGCCATTCTGCAAGATTTAACCAAAGTATGGCAGTGTCTGCTTCCATAAAGAAGTACCAGTTGGCGTCCGGTCGGTATTGAAGAGCTTTCTCGATGAGCGGCAGCAACTTCCACTTGTCCAATTTCCAAGCTGGATTGTTAATCATGCCTGCTCCCGAGTTTTGCACAGAAGACCATTGCTGTAGCTCTTGGAGATCATAAGATGCTCTGTCATCTTTCTTCAAACGGTTGTACAGTTCAAAGTCAGAATTGTTGACCTGATACACGTCGCTCACTGTATCCAAGGCATCCACGACAGAATGACCGTCGACACTCTCTTCGATATCAGAGTAGACCACATAGTGTGGCATACATTTGAGTGTTGTTCTGAAGTGTACAGGAAGTTTGGTCAGTGATTCGGTGGCTCCTGTTCTCAAAATCACCAAAATATCTTCCAGACCAGGTATCGGTATGCATTTGTGATGACGCTTGGAAGACCACTTTGCCATAATTGTATCGGAGACAGAACCTCTACCATGATCATACCAGGAAAAGAGAAGCAAAGTCGATGAGATGATGGTAGCGCGGATGAGGTTGCGCAACGAGAATACATTCAGGGTAGACATGAGATTGAATGTATGACTTGGTGGGAAACCAGATTTTTGCCAACATGAATTCTGGTCGTCCCTCCCTAATAAATAGAAGTATTCATGGTGCCTGCGACCAAGGCTATGAACATGTTGCGGCACAGCAGCGGGTAGACTTGTGATATGTGGTTGCGGCGCTTAAAAAGCAGTGGGTGAGGTGTCCTCTCCTCACCGGGCCACTTCCCACTCAGAAAGCGATTAGTCCTGAGATCAGCATGAGGCTGTGGATTCCCTCTACAGGGAGAACAGTATCGAGAATGTTTTACAATAGCAACATTAAACACACGTGTCGGAGTGAAGTGTCGAGGACGAACGAAATCTGTTTCCCGGTTTCAGCATTGCGGCGGAGAACAGCGGCAGCTCCGTCGACGTGAACACCAGGGAGCGCGCATCCTTATACAGACCGACTTCCATGTTACTGTCGGGCCAGAAAATTGACCTGCCTTTCGGTTCGATGTAGGGAGTACAATATGACGACGCGAAAAGGTGGCTGGGAAGCGACCAACCTCCTGCAAAGGGTACGCGTCATGATCGTCATATAGCACTCCTTCCTTCTTTTGATCAACACCAAGGTTCAACAACATGCTGCATCGCGGCTGTCGCTGTCGCTGAATACCACAGATATGGTAATCGCGATCTTCTGACCGTGGAGTTGGCAGCCGTCTACCTCACCAATTCACACGCGTTCCAACCAAAACGTCAACTACGTGCAGAGGAATAGAAAAGAGACTATCCAGTCATAAAACTGCTTACACCTTATTTCTTCGTCACCGCTTAATTTCTAATCATCAGCTGCAAAGATCTCAGACGTACAATGTGAAAATCACGGCAAGATGACAACAGTCAGAGCCATGCGGTCAAGGTATTACAGCATTTACCAATGCGAACTGCCGACCACCCAAGCCTTACATCGTTAAATAAGCGGTAGATTCTGGTGCAACCCCATCTGCATGTCTCGAGTAAACTCCGTGTAACACCAAACGAAAATAGAGATTGGACAATGAGGAGTTCAAGTACAACAGCAACACATATATGCATCACAATGGCATTGTGCTTCTCCTCACAACTCTACTACATATATGCCCAAGTGGATATTTTCAATCGAAGACACTTCAAAATGGCTTACACAATGACAAAAGACAGCGACACATTTTCAGACACCTTTTCCGACACCAGTACCCTGAGAAGCGGCATAGCAACCACAGACTTCGCACCCCAAACCACCAAAAACACCGAGTTCGTCGCTCTCCAAACCCTTCTCGAGACGCCAGAATTAGGTCCTTCGACATCATCAAGCACCAATGAAACAATCGTCGAATCACAATCTATTTTACGCAGAAACAAGAGAAGGAAGACCTACTGGGTAATTGGATTGACAGTGTTTGGGAGTGTTATAGTATTGACGGCTATACTTTCTGTGGTGCTTGGACCGAAACGTGTGTCTGAATAGGCATATGCTTGGTGAGTGGTTTTTGATTGCTGATCGAGCTTGTGATAACTGACGACTCGGTAGAAAATCTTTGAGCTCCAAAAACCAGGATTGAGACGCAGTCCGACAATTACATATGCGACTTGATGGCTCCGTGTTCTCTCGTGAGCTCGTCGCTCTTCACACACCTCACTGCTACGGATCACTGGCTAGAAGAGTGGCCTCTCATTAGTAGCTGGATGATATTTCCTGAATAAGCCTCGTCGTACATCTTGCGATGAGCACAGATAAAACGCACATATCACTGAGATGACAGAGAAACCGTCCTGGGTCTATGACAGGGAGGTGAATTCTCGGAGTGGTGGCAAATCTACTCAGGACCAGCAAGGGACAACCTATGGCCGACCGCAAGGGCGGCACTTCTTACGACGCGAATGGCAACGTGTCACGGACACCTCTATTCTATTTCTGTGTCTTTATGGCGAGAGAGTGCGGCCAGGAGGAGTGCAGCCTGTGGACAGTCAAGCCACAAGCCGAGACGATATACGGACCACGACCATGATGAGACATGAGTTGAACATGCAAGAAAATTTCTGTGGCTTTCAAACCAACCAGTGGTATATGAGCTGAGTATGCAAATATGCGTTCAAAGACAAAAACAAAAAACAAGCAGCATGTAGAATCCATACTCCGACAGCGACGAGAAAGACCTTCAGAAGTGTCGTGCCTTTCCAAATACAATCTTTTTATGCAAATGCAAAAACATGGGCATGAACGTTAAAAATATTCTATCTGCGTGCGAAACAGCACAGCAGACCAGACTTGGCAAGGAACCAACAGCAACCGCAGAAACGGACAAGCGCAACGACGGCGTTTGCCCACAGCAGAGCCTGGAAGAATCTTGCAGTACGCTTGCTAGCACCACTAGTGAAGCCAAACTTGTCGACATTGTCGCTGGTGATTGCGACAGCAAGAAGTGCGTTACTGAAGATCCAGAAAGTTACTAGACGAGTACGGAAACTCTTGTACGAGTCCTCGAGAGTCTTGGCCTCTTTCTCCTTGGGGGCAACGTATGGTGTCAAGGCACGTTTTACAGTCGTCTCGAACTGTGAGTCGATATCCGCTTGCGCGAGATCGACTTCCTCTATGACCGTCGCTTTACCGTCTTGTGCCTTTTCTGTCTTGGCTGATGGCAATGCGTCGGCCTTGTCGGCACCCTTGGTTCCCCATGATACATCATGCCAATTGCTAAAGGCGTAGACGTTGAGGATGTTGATGTACGAACTCATAATCAGAAGATATTGAGGGAATGAGGTGAACATGTGCCAAGGGTCGAGGTACATGAAGGAAGCGACGAAGTAGAGACCAAAGGTCGCAGCCAAGGCGATGACGATGATACCAGGACCCGTGGAGGAGAAGAAGGACTTTACAAAGTCGCTGGCACTATCTGTATCGAAGCCCGGTCCTCCTGTAAACGCATGGACGACTAGATATAGCGCATCGACAGTAATGTAAAGTTGTACAAGACCGAACCAGCAGAATGAGACGATGTAAGACCATTTCGAACCTTTGGGTCTGTTTCCTAAGGCCAGGATGAATTGTAGAAGGACGAATGCGAGGTAGATGTACTTGACGATGGTGTTGATGATGGGAGTTGCGTCGTTACCGAAGGGGAAAGCATGATTGTTGTTCGAGGAGCTGGGACTACCGACAAGGTCCATAATGACGGTAGTAGTCAACCAGTATGATGCAAGAGAGAACCAAGTGAGGATTTGCTGGGCGATGTTGTAGATGAGTTGAATATGCAGGAAGAACATGCGGACAATGTTGTGACCACTCTTGTACATGCGACCGAAGTGCATCAGAGAGTAGATGGAGGCAGCGAAAGAACCGTTCAGCCAACGACGGCGCTGACCGATAAATTCTGGAGCACTGTCAGGCACATCGGTTTCACCCTTGGAGGCCTTGACGTAGGTAAGATGCCATTTGGAGCCAGCCTTTGCGACCAGCTCGAAGCAGAGAATGCGATCCTCGGCCAAGAACATGTTCTTCTTGAAAATGTTCATGCCTTCGATACCCTTCTTGCCGAGCTGCTTGGACAAAGTGTGATCACCGTGGAAGTATTGCTCCAGAGGACGGCCCATGATGGCGCGGAAACGGTAGGCAGAGAAAGCACCGGGCAAGACACTGACGTATCCAAAGGAACTTTCCAGCGGTTTGTCGAGAATGTTGGAGATCTTGTACTCGAAGTTTTGGGCTGCAATCAGGGGGTTGACCAAGTTCTTCCAACGAGGGCCCAACATGGCGTGAATCTCACCACAAGCACCCCCAAGATCCTTGTCGTTGTAGAAAGCTTCCCACAGAGCGAGCAGAGACTTATGGCCAGGCTTTGTTCCGGCGTCGAGGAGAATACAGACTTCGGGGTTCAGGATGCGACCAAAGGCGGTGAACAGCCATCTGTGCGAGTTGATCTTCTTGCTGTTCTTCTGCTTGAGACAGAACATCATCTGCACTGGAGGCAGAGTGGTCGGACCATCGTCCAGCGGGCGGATGAGCTGCTGATTGGCGGTAACGGAGAGCTGGGTTGTGTATTCGAACTGCAGGGTGTTAGTATTTGACATGGCACGAGTTGCATAGTCATGTCAACGCACAATGTGAGCAATCGTCTCGTTGCCGTCAATGTCCTTCTTCATGATACCGTCCTGGAAGACACCAATGGTTGCCAGGACGTCCAGAGTACCCTTGTCGCAGGGGTCGATACCGTCGAAGACCAAACAAACGACAATCTTCTGCCATGCCGGGCCTCCTTTGTTCCAGAACTCGGACTTCTTGAGATTGACGATTTCTCGGATGTTTTGCATGACACCGTGCAGAGTGCGGGCAGTGAGGACCTTGTCTTCGTTGTAGTACGTGACTGCAATCAGAAGCTCCGTGTGACGGTTGTACATGGCCGGACGGAGATTGTAGCCGTTCTTGAGGGTGAAGTCGTTGGGATCGCATGTTGCCGCAGTGTCTGTCCTGGGGGTCAGCGCTGCACTCTCTCGGCTCCTGGCTGCTTCGTGACTTACAGCGCATGTGGGTAAACTCCTCGCTACCACTCTCGAGGTCGTTTCTGTATTTGGCCTGAACGGCGTTCTGGATAGCACTGGGCACGGGATAATCGGCACTCAGGACATTGCCCTGCACCAGCTTGACCTTACGTGTGGCATTGCGCTTCAGACCACCGCCGCCAGCAGCCGGTCCGCCGATGGCAGCTCTTGCTTCCCATGCTTCGGTCGATGTTGTAGCAGCGCGAGACACAGGAGAGCCTGCAGGCTGGTATCCTGGGTCCTCGAGATTGGTGCCTCGGTACTCGTCGTAGCTGTCGTACGGCGGCACGTGGTGTGTGTTGTCGGCGTACGACTCGGTCAAGCTGTAGCCGTGGTCTTGAGCCACTGGCGTGTGCGAGTGCGTGTCGTCGAAGGGACCTTGGTAGGCTCCGGTGGGGTTGGTATGGAGCAGTGAGCGCTCCACTTCCTCGTCCGACTCGTGCTGGTTGTGGTACTGCGGTTGCCGCCTGTCAGTCATCTTCTTATCCATCTTTGACATGTGAGGAGGAAGTTCGCACGTCGTTGTTCAAGGCATCGTGGTCGTAGCCGCCTGGGACGCCATGGTAGGCCATGCTGGGCAAACTCTTGGGCAATTACCCCTTACTGACGACTGAAGCTTGGTACGGTACACTCTAAGGAATGCAATGAAACAAAGCCTGTTGCCGCGCCTAGCAGGTATCAGATCTGTGACCGAAGGGATGGATGTTGGAAGTCAGGAAAGAAGAGGTTGAAACGACAACAAAATGCTTCACCGTCAGGGCGTCCGATGCGAACGAAACTCGGACAAAGGAAACCTTGGAAGTCACTGTTGGTCCCTGAGCCTCCAACAAATTGCGGAGTTGCTGCGACCTGTCGAGCTGAAACAAGTCCAGCGCTTCGAAACACACGACTCCTGGCCCAATCACCTTTCTCGGAATCGGTCAACTTTTCTCGCCCATCGAGGATCCTGTCGCCTGTGTCATCTTATTTTCTCCTTTCTCATCTCCATCGTCCTCTTCTCTTCCATCACAATTTCTGCATTTCCACAGTAACCCTTCGTGAGTCGTGTTCCAAATATAGCACCATCTTGCTGTTGACGCGCTCCCCGTCTGGAGCTGTGACCTCCTCAACTTGGCAACGGCACGATCGGTGTGAACATGAGACAGGTCTTCGAGCCACTCCAACTTGCATCTGCAGACTGCCATCTCACCTCCTGCAGCCATTCATTGCACAGAATTCCACCTCCCGCAACGTAAGTGGCATTGCAGTCACCTGACTCGCGGAAGAAGTACTCGGTACCTCTCACGAATACTCCTTTTTCTTGACGCTCGTTTTGCGCTTTGACCGCCGTCACTGGCGTATGTACTTTACGGAGTACACTCAGCCAACTGCGCCTCACTTTTCCATTCTCGTTGCCGTCCGTAGGGGACGCTGAACATCATGGGCGAATTGATTGTAGTGTGTTGCCATGCCATTTGCACAGATTCCTTGTAAGGCTTCCATTATCTGCTGTCTATCTTAGGTATTCATTGTCTTCTTCCTGAACAGGAATCCACACGAGGAACAAAGTTGGCTGCTGAAGCCTTTCCAAAAGTCTGATCCGACTACCGGAAAGCCAGGTGAACACGAGACCTTCTTGCTGCATATCCAAGCCGGAGCAAGTGCACTCCGTAGAGCTGGCACCGTTCTCGTCTTCTCGGGCGCGAAGACAGAACGAGACGCTCCTTTGAGCGAAGCCGACAGCTACCGAAATGTCCTTACGCAATGCCTCGGCGAGTCCAATGTCGTGCAACAAGCCCTGGCGAATGGTAGGATAGTGTGCGAGGACGCTGCAACAGACAGCTACCAAAATCTGCTCTTCTCTCTCATCAAGTATTACGAGGTTGAAGGCAAGTGGCCACAAATGATTACCGTAATCACACATAGTTTCAAAGAAGCTCGCTTTCTTGTCAGTGGTACGCAATTCGACACTACGGACGTGAGTGCTAACGACCACAGGAATGCCACGCGGACGCAATTTGCTGGCCTCGTAAGATGATTCGTGTGCAGGGCATCAACCCTCCTTTTCCTCTATCGGAACTACGAGATGTACAACGACTAGAGAGAGAGACTTTGGATCTCTTTAGAGCAGATCCTCATGGCGTATATGCTCCTTTGTCTTCAAAGAGAGCAGCAAGACAATGGTCCGAAGATACTGACCTACTCCGAGGAATCTCAGACGCGTCTGTAAGGCATTCTTTACAAGAGCTCTTAGAGACTCGTGAGCGGACTATGTTCTCGCAACAGTTGCCATGGACAGAATTTGGCTCTTGAACAACCAAATCGATAGGGTTACAAAAAGAAGAAAAGAAAGATCATAGCAGTGTGATGGTTGTGACGATGCCAAGACGAGTCGGAGAAGCATGTGAAATCGCCGGAGCAAGAAGGCATCTGGTCAACAAGTTTTCTCGACATGCGCCCCGTGATACGAACATTCTCGACATGTCTGCGACAGCTGCCGCGGCCTTTATCGCTTCGTGGCATCCGACTGCAAACCACAGGTGAGACGAGAGCGTATGACTAATGCTCAAGAGGGCGCAATACTGATCGATCGCAGCGGCGGCGGCTGATGGAGTCCTCTCGCCCGCCCTCCTCTCACGAGCTCGGTCAATGGCACAGGAACACAAAAACATTACAGCACAACTTGCCGAAGGCTTCGATACGAAAGCAGCAAAGAAACTGGGACAATTGACATCGGTCAACAACGCATTGAAAGAGTGGGAAAGGGCAAACGATTCCTTGTCGGAATTACGAACACTTCTATCCGACCCGAAGACAGACAAAGATCTCGTTGAGCTGGCAGAAGAAGATCTGGCATCCTCGCAGACCGAGTTCTCACAAGCTTCGGACGCGCTCAAGATTGCACTCGTGCCTCGCCATCCATTCGCCGATTTGCCATGCCTGATCGAGATCAGACCTGGTGCAGGTGGTGGAGAGGCGGCTTTATTTGCTGGTGACCTGCTCCGCATGTACACCTCTTACTGCAACCGCCTAGGACTCCGGACGTCCCTGCTCAAATTCGAAGACGCCGATGGTCACGCAGACCCCAAAGGCTCGGATGCGCCTCTCCAAGAAGCAGTGCTTGAAGTTGAGACTCCGGGCGCATACGGCTCCCTGAGGTGCGAGGCTGGAGTCCACAGAGTACAACGTGTTCCAGCGACAGAGAGCAAAGGACGCACACATACCAGTGCTGCGTCCGTTCTGGTGCTTCCATCATTCCCTGCAGAACCATCGCAGGAGCTAGGAGAGGCCAGCTTCGATGATCCGACCAGTGACTACTACGTCGACCCCAAGGATGTTCGCACCGATGTCATGCGCGCAAGAGGAGCAGGTGGACAGCACGTCAACACAACCGACAGTGCTGTCCGGTTGACCCATATACCTACTGGAACCGTCGTCGCCATTCAAGACTCCCGTTCGCAACCCAAGAACAGGGAAAAGGCTTGGAAACTACTTAGAAGTCGGCTCGCCCAGTCAAGGCGTGAGAAAAGAGAAGAGGAGATGATTGCCTTGCGCCGAAGTGTTGTTGGTATCGCGAAGATGGGCCGAGAGAACAAGATCAGGACATACAATTGGGGTCAACAGAGAGTGACGGATCACCGCAGTGGCATCAGTGTGCACGGCCTGGACGATGTACTTGAAGGAGGCATTGAGCTCGAGCGTGTCATGGAGAGCGTCCGCGGATGGCTCAGCGAGCAAGAAGTGCTGGGTCTGGCTGCCGAGGAGGAGCTGATTGCGAAGAAGGACTCTTGAGCTGTACCATTAGCAAAACCATATCACTGTATAACACAGCTTGCGATAGCATCAAAGTCGGACGTTTCCGCGCAGCTTGTACAGATCGCTCACGTAAAGTCCAACGCTCGATAGCCGGCCGAGGTAGGAGATGGTGTTCGCCGCTCTATGACGGAAATGGAAGGTGGGATGCTGGACCGGCCAACCATGCCCCGCCTCTTATATGTTTGTGACTGCCGAACAAGAACAATTATCGGGCTGCTTGCCGTCCCTGTGTCATCTGTTGAATATAGGCCGTTCCTTCTCTCCGTTCTTGTAGTGCATAGGTTCCTTCTTGAATCTTTTTAATTTATCTTGTCCGTTAAATTCGAACATCCCCACAGCCCTCGAGCTTTCCCCAGTCTTACAAGATGCCTCTCAATGCTCAAGCCATTTATCCTGCCTCGGACCCAGAGTTCCTCGCATTCCCTAGCCGCAGAAGTGTAGTACACAGCACAAAAGGTATTGTGTCAAGTTCACAGCCCTTGGCTTCAAACTGTGGCCTTAAAGTCTTGCAACAAGGTGGAAACTGTGCAGTAAGTCGAGCAGCTATATATGAGATAGGCAATGACTGACGCGCTACTCAGGATGCCGCCGTCGCAGTTGCCGCGGGTCTGAACATGACCGAGCCTGGTAGCACAGGTATCGGTGGTGATATGTTCTGTCTGTTCTACGACGCAAAGACCAAGCAGGTACACGCCTTGAACGGTTCAGGCCGCGCTCCATCAAACGCAACATGCGAGAAAGTACGAGAGTCACTCGGCATCAAAGATGGTCAGTATGGTACTATTCCCATGCATAGCGCACATGGAGTCACTGTACCGGGAGCGCCAGCCGGTTGGGTTGATGTGGTAGAGAAGTTTGGCAGCGGAAAGGTCAGCATGGAACAGATCCTGACACCTGCCATTGAGTTGGGAGAGAACGGCTTCCCTGTTTCAGAAGTCATGGGTTACTACGTGAGTACTTGGCCTACATACTTGAGGATGACACTCTCCTAACAGCTTGTACAGTGGTCGAAAGCCGAACAATCGATCCGAGATGCATCGCCCAACTTCGCCGAAATGTTGAAGAAGGACCCCAGCGCAAAGGACGGATGCCGCGCACCCAAGCCTGGTGAGATCATGCGTAACCCTACGCTGGCTCAGACCTTCCGCGAAGTTGCCAAACATGGAAAGGCTGGCTACTACACTGGAAGAATCGCAGAAGAGTTGGTTAAGGTTGTGCAAGATCTTGGAGGTTTTATCTCTCTGGATGATCTGAAGAACCACATGGAGAAGGGGAGCGAAGAGGTCGACCCAATCAAGCTCAATTTCCGTGGACAAGGTATCGACAAGTCGCACGGCGAGACTATGCACGACAAGAGCTCGGAGGGCGTCGATGTCTGGGAGCACCCTCCCAACGGACAGGGCATTGTCGCTCTGATGGCCTTGGGTATGCTGCAAGAGTTGGAGAAGAACGGCAAGATCCCCACCTTTTCTGAAAAGGGCCACAACTCTGCAGAGTACATTCATGCCGTCGTCGAGACTCTCCGTATCGCATTTGCCGATGCCAGCTGGTGGGTCGCCGACCCTAACGTCGTCAAGGTTCCTTCCCAAGAGCTCATCTCTGAGAAGTACCTTGCTGAGCGTGCTAAGTTGTTCGATCCCAAGAAGGCTGGTGACATTCCTGACCATGGCTCCCCTGCACACAACCACTCTGACACTGTCTACTTTGCTGCAACTGATAGCGAAGGTAACGGTATCTCCTTCATCAACTCCAATTACGCTGGTTTCGGTACTGCAATCATCCCCAAGGGTTGTGGTTTCACCCTCCAGAATCGTGCCTGCAACTTCATGCTGCAACCTGCTGATCACCCCAACATCTACGCACCCAACAAGCGTCCGTACCACACCATTATCCCCGCTCTGATCACCAACAAGGCAGACCAGAGCTTGCACTCTGTCTACGGTGTCATGGGTGGTTTCATGCAGCCTCAAGGACATGTACAGGTGCTGATGAACATGCTCGTCTTTAAGATGACTCCACAAGCAGCTCTTGACGCACCCCGTATCTGCATTGGCGCTGGCATGCCTGATAGCGGCGACGTCTTTGATAAGACTGTCTACCTGGAAGATGGTATCACAGAAGAAACTGCCGACAAGTTGCGTGCCATGGGACACAATGTCGAGATCATCAAGGGCCATGGTAGAGGTCTCTTCGGCAGAGGACAGGTCATCAGATGGCACGTTGATCCCATCGAGGACCGTGGTGTCTGGAGTGCCGGCAGCGACTCCAGAGCTGACGGCCATGCTCTGCCCTGGATGTAAGACGCGAAAAGTTATAACTAAATTATGAGATATGTAATGTGCTTCTTTCCTCCTTCTTCTTAATCACGACTTGAGTCCTTTGATTCTGCTCTCTTGTTGCTACTAAGCCTTCTCGTCTTTCATATCTCATTCTAGTCGTCTTGCCCATGATGACGTCTCTGCAGCCCCTGATCTTCTCCTTGTTTGAGAACACGAGCATGCCTTTCAGTTTTCTCGTACACCTGTCGATCAAAATGGAACATCCCTACAAACTTCACAACCTCCCCAAGCTCTCTCCGAGCTTTGCACACCTGCCATGTCTTGCGGATAAATGGTTTAGAGTCAAAGAGATTTGGTTGCCGTTGACCATGAGCGTCCAATTTTAGAAGCAAGACCCTGGGAGCCGTTGCACGTGGCGCGCGTCAGTTTTTCGAGATCTGTCAGTGATTTTTGCTATTTTTATTCTGACCTTCTTTGCCAACCACAGACTGAACAGTGATGGCATTACCTGGACAAAACATGGCCAAATTTGTGATTCAAGGATGCAGCTCGATAAGTGCTAGCGACCATGAATCAAATGAGTCCGCGACTGACATGCGGCGGGCAAGCAATCTCGAGAGTCAGCTAGAAGTCTCGGACGCCTGGACAATCTGTGGCAACGTTTATGCTTAACCATAAGCCTTGAACTCTAACACAGAATACCCACCGCCACTGACGAGCAAAGTGATGGTCGAGGCGGTGCCTGGCCCTAGGTCTCCATGCTGTCGTCCTGAGAGACGACAGGGCGCTGCTACCTTCAATGTAGGTCTTCATCAACGGTTGCTCGTATTGCTCCACAATCTCTTTGCCCTTCCATCAATTATAATTTTGGTGCACAGAGCCAGTCGAATGATGATCTCTGTGCTTTCTTTGGAACACAGCAACGTCACAGTATCAACAGGCTGATCAATGTGGCCAGGGAACGCAGATATATAAGAAGGCAGGAAGTTCAAGAATAAGTCTTCTCACCCCATCAACCAAACATCTGTTCTCATTCCATCACCACACTTTTACCACAACCAATCTCAATTATCTACCACATATCCAACCCAACCAATACCGCAAACATGAACTCCTTCAAGACCGCCGCAATCTTCACCTTCCTCGCCGCTTCTCAGGCCATGGCTCTTCCTGCATACTCAGGTCCTTGCAACCCTGCCCACAGCTACCCCGACGGCGTTCAATGCGTCTCCACCAACGGAGCCCTCTCTCTCGTCACACCCACACCTTCTGCCACCGGTGGTTTCAACTGCAATCCCGCACATTCGTACCCCGAAGGTGTCAAGTGTGTCTTCACAAACGGCGCTCTCTCGCTCGTCACCCCTGCTCCCTCAGCAAAGCAGACCAGCAGCTTCTTCTGCAACCCAGCTCACAGCTACCCTGCTGGCGCCGTCTGCACTGAGGTCTCTGGCTCCTTGACCCTGGTCACTCCCTCGCCGTCCGCCACAAACTCATTCGCCTGCAACCCTGCTCATCAATACCCTGAGGGCGTCCGTTGCGTTTCTACAAACGGCGGATTGGCCCTTGTTACACCTACCCCTACTCCAGAGTTCAAGTGCAACCCTGCTCATCAGTACCCCGAGGGTGTCAAGTGTGTTTCGACCAACGGAGCATTGAGCCTTGTCACTCCTGCTCCCTCTGCTACCGGAGTCTACAACTGCAACCCTGCTCACAGCTACCCTGAGGGTGTCAAGTGTGTCTCTACCAATGGCGGTTTGAGCCTTGTTACCCCTACTCCTGCTCCTACTACTTACTAAGCTGGCTTATGAGAGACTAGAAGCTGGCTTCTTCATTGTACATATACCCATCATATCGACTGTCTTCATCAGCGAACTAGAATAGATCATACTGCACCATAGCCTTAGGAAATACAACATTGATTTCTTAGATTCGAATCTCATCCAGGAGTTCAAGTTCTATGTGACACACGATTGTTGAGACCGAAATGCTCGGACATCACGTCTTTGCCCAGCGGCATGAAGACCTACCGATGAATGGAGTTTAGGCGCCAGTCCCAATGCTTATGTTTTCGCAAGACAGTCCAGAAATGTAAGTTGGTGACCGAGTTCATGGGTTTCGAATCAATCCGTATACCGAACGCCACGCACGGTTGTGGGGCATCTCTACAGTGACGCAGCTCATAAGACCTCCCCAAACCATGGAGTAATGGTTAGTCCGAGCACACATGGATTGACGTGATGCATTGTATACGCACCGCGGTCAAGTAAGTTCATGATTGAATATGGTGTTGTAGTGGCAACTTCCCCACAATACGGAGAGCTGAGCCTCATCGCGTACAGCGTACATCGTATACGTCGCTATATCGTCATACTGGTCAAGCTGCCAGGCAGTCGTTGATGCAATTTTGCATACGTTTCCTAGAACATATGGGGATGGAAGGTAATGGTAGCCTCATCATGACATCGTGATCGTAGGTCCAAGACCCGAGTGCCAGAGCTGAAGAGAAGGTATATAAGTCTGGTTGTCTGTACACTCGGTGATCTTTCTATCCCTCGTCAATCAACTACTTTCCAATTCAGTAATCAATCGATTCACACACCAATCTACAATCATGCCTCAAGGAACTGATCAGTCTCACGCCGTCGGTGGCTCCAAGGGTACGCTCCACTCTTCCACACTTGCATCAACCACCAACTAATCAACTATACAGTCCCAGCAGCAGCTCAAGAGAAGCTCCCCCAGTCTGTCGAGGAGAACGTACCAAACGAGATCCACGACACTGGCTCGACCGGCAGCAAGTCTCACGCCACTGGCCCCTCCAAGGTCCCTCAGATCATCCAGGTAAGCTACAAATGCTACATCCGTATGTTTCTGCTTTTACTAATGATTTCGCAGGACGCAGCACCAAAGAAGCTTGAGGAGGCTCTGCCTGAGAAGATCCACCCTACCAAGTAATGTTGGAGGAATGAATGTCATGTGTATTATGAGAACAGAGCAGCCGCAGTCGGCGTTTTAATGTGAAGTTTCAGCCATCGTACCATTGAATGGTCCTTTGTATCGTGTTTGTCGTTGTTCTTGTGGACTTTGGTATCATCGCGATATTGGAGTTGAAAGTGTAATGACGTGTAATAGGCAGGTAGGTGCTTAGGACGCGTTATAGAACGCAAGATTGCCTAGTGACTGCGTTCCATAACAGAGTCCAGTCGCGCTTTGCGCAAACTCACCGAGCAGCCATTTCTGCTCAAACACGACCTTGACACAAACCGTTCGCACAGCGCGATCTTAGCCACTGTTGAGAAGCCGACACGAGTCAATTGCAGTCTGCTGTCTACATCCCAATGATCTCCCGATGAATGAGAGGAGAGCGACGCACGTGCGCCAGCGAGCTCGGAAGGTCCAAGAGATGCCCAGCACTGCACAGCCCTGGTCGGGTCTGATAGGCAAACGTCCGCCTATTCATGACTGGCCGACATTATCCAATCGTCCTAAAAATTCTCGAGTTTGGTGCTTTAAGCCGACTGATGCTTGTAGTAGAGATAGCAGCCGTCGCGACAATATACCTCACGGTCCTCACTGCCACCAATGCGAGCTTATCTCTTATCCGGAGATCGGAACTGCATGCTAAACAGCACATCAATATCGCGCTTATCACTAGCCTTACGATCCCGCCGACGATTACACTCGAGTACTAGGGACTGTTGGAGTAGTCAAGGCAGAGAGTCGGGGTAAGAGTTTGTATGAGCTCGCAAGAGGTGACTAATCGTTATCCCTCGTGGCCGCCATGCCTGTGAGTCTATGTCAACCTTGTTCGGCCGATCACAAGGTGCAGTGATATAAAAGACTAGCCAGGTCGCTGTTGTAGAGAAAGGTAAGGAAGTCTCTCGTTTGGGTCCTCAATACTAAACATGGTCGCTCGCTGCTACCTGCCTGTCGCTTCTGCGCTGCTACTACTTTCCCAATTCACCAGTACAACCTTCGCTTTCAAGTTTACTCCTACTGGCCAGACAGTTCAGTTAGATGGATCGTCCTACTATGTTCCTCCGGATGTTGTGTCTACCATCACCGTTTCGAAGCACTTGAAAAAGGCTCTAGACAGTGCTGGTGGATTACTTCCTTTCACCGTTGTCAACGCTGGGTCCTTTACTTATGGAGAGAAGGACTTCAGCCAGGATATTGCAGCCTACACCGCCAGAGACGATGTCTTCAGCAAAGGCTTCATGGAGGCTGTCTATGTCCAGTACTCTAACGTGTCAAACCAAAGAGGCTTTTCGGCACCTAGACTATCAAGCAACAGCAGTGTGAGTGTGGTCACCACCGGATTTGCCTCGAACACCTCCACCATTCCTACTGGACCATACTTTGTGACATCTACTGGTGCCGTCCACGAAGCCTGGAAGCTCTTCAGCGATGTCCAAGGCGCCTTCTTGGAGACTACCATCACAAACAAGGATGGCACTTTCTCCGTCTTGCCTGCCAATGTCGAGGGCCAGTCCTTGGCAATTGCAGTACCTTCTCGTCTATACTTCACCAAAACAGAGGAAAAGCCGCTAGCAGGCGTCCGTCTCGGTATCAAGGATATCTACGATATTGCTGGTTTGAGAACTTCTAATGGAAACCGAGCATGGTACCATTTCTACCCGGCGGCCAACGAGACAGCTGTCACAGTTCAGAGATTGATCAATGCTGGCGCTGTTATTGTTGGAAAGATGAAGACCTCTCAGTTTGCCAACGGTGAAGTTGCCACCGCAGATTGGGTGGATTATCACGAGCCTTTCAACCCCCGTGGTGACGGTTACCAGGATACCTCTTCATCTTCCAGTGGACCTGGTGCAGGTGCCGCAGCATACGATTGGCTTGATCTGACTCTTGGCTCTGACACCGGCGGCAGTATCAGAAACCCATCTCAAGTGCAAGGTCTTTTCGGTAATAGACCTTCATGGGGACTTGCTCCACTTGACGGTATTATGCCAATGGCTCCTCAGCTCGACACTCCAGGTTTTTTGACCAGACATCCTGATATCTGGATTGCCGCCTCCAAGGTCCTATACAGCGACAATATCACAATGTCGCACAGCTACCCTTCAAAGATCCAGACCATCAATTGGCCTACCACCAACGACTCCGTCGCCGATGGTCTCCTCCTCAACTTCCTCGACAAAGTCACAACTATGCTCAACGCCTCCACCACAACTCTCAATCTAACCGAGAAATGGAGTCAAACTCACCCTGTCAACGTGACCTCCTCAGTCCTCGACCTCATGAACCTCACCTACGCCGTCCTGATCGGCCAACAAACAACCTCCCTCCGCGACCCCTTCTACGCCGCCTACTCAGCCGCAAACGCCGGCCGCGTCCCCTTTATCAACCCCGTCCCCATGACCCGCTGGGCATGGGCAGACAGTCTGCCCAAATCCTACCTCCCCGCCGCCATTGCAAACAAAACAATCTTTGAAATCTGGATCTCTGAAAACGTCCTCGTCGCCGATGACAAAACTTGCAGTGACTCTCTAGCTTTCTATGTGGGTGGAAAAGGCAGCACGAATTACAGAAATGCTTATCGCAAGGCTCCTGGTATCCCTACAGGGTTCGACACCAGCAGAGTTTCGAACATGGGAAGTGGACCTGATTTTGTGATTCCTATTGGAGAAGCACCGTATTTCTCGAACATCACATTAAGAACAGAGTACTTGCCTGTTAGTGTGGATATCTTGGCTGCAAAGGGTTGTGATGGTATGATCTTTGGGTTGGTGCAGGATTTGGTAAAGGCTGGAGTTGTCAAGGGCACGAGGGCTGGGTATAGTGGTGTTACGGGTGAGCAGATTCTGTTTTAGATGGAAGGATAGTTTTGTGTGTAGCGTAACTTGTAATGATCAATGAACCTTTAGACTTCTACTTCATGCACGTTCACTCCATGTAACGACATTGAAGGGGAATGTACGATCGAGACGAAGAGAGGTTAGAGTTGAGTCGCTATAAAGCGATGGAAGTCACGTAAATCAAGAAAGCACGAGCGGAAGATGGACAACTCAGTGTCGTGATCTCAATTGTGACTTCTACTTGCTTGGACACAATTTCTCTTGACCGCGGTGCCACTCTATGTGGCCTCGTGGTTCATGCTGACGACCACTTGGGTATATCGTCTCCACGGCGCTGGGATGTCTGGATCCTGCGTGCAGTCGTGTCGCATACGACGGCTAGCGAAACAGGTTCCTGGCCGTAACAAGCTTGCAGTAATCTTGACAAGACTCGCCGTCACGAATGTGCCGATGATTCAATGTCGATAGGTGGTGGATCTATTCGACGACTGGTCATTCAGCCGGAGCCTCTCAATGCCATGTCGACGATAAGTCTTCCTCTTTCTCCACCCAAGAAGCCAGCGCCTTCTTCAGCCTCATCCTGCTCGAGATCGAGACTAGCGTCGTATGATCTGCGTACCATCTCTTCATCAACCTTGACGCCATTCTCAGCCAGCGCTCTGATACAGCCAGCGACTCTTGCGATCTCTCTTCTTGTGTCCGGACTGATGTCGTCGTTCTGGCTCGAGTACATGGTGGTGCTGACTTGTTCCTCGATTCTGGTAATGCTGACATCCTTGCTCTTGTCTGCCTCGATGTGCTTGGAGATCCAGATGTAGCCGTTGACTCCGAGGACAACATCGACCTCGCCGCCTCTGCTAGAGGTCTGCAGGGTGAAGATTTGTCTCTTTGCTCTTACAACGCCAGCGCCACCTCCGACACCTGACACAGCCATGAAGTAACCGTTGCGCAACTTGCCGTACTTCAAACTGCGGGTATGTAATGAAGCCGAGCCATCTTGGAACAGACTCTGCACCTCGGCGACCAATAGCTCTCCCTCTTCGAAGAATGTGCGAATGTTCAACTCATCGACGCTGGTTCTCTTGCGCAGAATACCACCAGGCAAGTTGATACTGCTCAAGGGTAGAGCAGCAGTCAAAGCGCCGGCAACATCAACCTTCCACCTCCTCGACTGAACCTCAATGATCCTTCCAATCACCAAGTCTCCAATTTCTGGCGTGTAGCGGGCGCGTAACGGTACGACGGAGAGTAGCTTGTTGGTCTTTTGCAGTGTACCAGCGAGGGTTGAGCGAATGATGGGCGCTAGGTCGCCATTGTCGTTGATATATGTGCCGTGACCGCGCATCCATTGAGGATCTGAGGTGATGACCTCGCCGGGCGTGATGATGTTTTTTGTTCTCTTCGACGAGCGCGCTGCGTGATCTTCGTTGTCCAGGTCCATCTCGTCGTCTGAATCATCGCGCTGCTGTGCCGGCGCAGGCGCTGCTGGCGAAGGTGCAAATATTTGGATCGGCATTTTGTATAGGTGTGTATCTGATTATTGCGAATTGAGACCGCGAACAATTTCTAGACGAAGCTCGAGATGGTGATGCAATGCTATGCCAAGCGCTATGACTTTGTACAGTTTATGAAACTTGCATATTATGTGCATGATGCCTCCGCCTCAGATTCTGTACAACCATATCCCCCCAAAACTCCAGGTAAACCATCCGACCCAGTATATCCATTCCTCATTCAAAGCTGAACCTGCTGTTTGGTCGTGAATTTGCTTCGCCATCGTCTCGGATTTCACTCCGCAGCACCACCTCTTCTGGCTGCACACCTCTTCGTTCCGTCGGTCCTGTCGTTGGACTCACCGGGTTGCTTCGATCGACACCATTGTAGACCTCTTCGCGCCGCCTCATCATCTCCTTTTCTGTGATCGTTCTGCCATCTGCTTGTGCTATATCAGGCATGTCGCCAGGCATTTCGTAGATCTCCAGGCCGCCTGCCTCACTTGTAGGTGACATTGGATCCGCCTGTGTCGATGACCAAGTACTACCTCCCCACCCTAGAGTCGAAGGGCTTGCCAAACTTGACTCGGGACGAAGCGATGGCTTGGGTTCTTCGTGCACTGTCGAGCCTTCCAATTCCGCTTTCGGGAAGACTGTGGTGCCCTTCTCTCCATCGCCAATTGTGGTGTGTGATACCGAATCTCGTGAAGGTGATGATTCATCGCCCGTTTCTTCTTCTTCTGACAATGCCTTCTTCTTCCTTTCGCGACGAACGTACCACGCGACAAAGCCTATGAGTGCAATGACACCGACGACGCTTCCTGCAACAATCCCACCAATCGCACCACCACTCAAGCCTGAAGAAGATCCTGCAGCATCTGAAGTCGTTGTGGCCGTGCTTCCAGAAGTAGCTCCTGAGTATCCACCGTTCTCGGATGCGGGAGCTGGTTCGATGATAACAATCTCGCTAGCGTTCCCAATGTTTTGCGGCCAAACACACTGCGACACGTTGAACTTTGCACGTTCGTAATCAACAGTGATGTATGCTTCCTGCATGAATGTTCGACCAAGCGTATACTGAGTGCTATTTGCTGCTCGTCTGAGTGGGAAGTAGCTCGATTCGGTCGCTAGTCCTTGGTATGGTGATTGTGCTGTCTGATCGAACGCAGAGTAGGGTAAGGAGATTGTGGTCGTCTGCCCTCCTGCAGCTTTGGTGCCAATTGTAAAATTGACACGAGCATCGCGAGCTAGAAGGGATGCGTGAAGTGTGAAGTTGACGAGGTACAAGTTATAAGTGGGGTCCCAGACCAACCCAAATTCGCGTTCAAATGCCTGGCATGCATCTAGAGGGAGCCAGATCTGGCTCACAGTGGAGTCAATCAAGGCGAATATCGGCGCTGGCAAGAGTTCAACGTTTGAAGATGAGTTGAGTGCGAAAGTCTCGATGGACTGGATCGCGATGAGTGTATCTTTGGCAACATCGGAAGAAAACTCGAACTCGACGTTGTTGGCTTCAAATCGGCTCTGATCGTATCCGCCTAGGGTCAATGACCCTGGCACACCGGAGAAGCGATAAGGAGCTCCAGCTGTGTATCCAAACGAGATGCTGGGGATTTTGGATTCGTTCTTGAGCTTCGTCATGAGACTGAGTCCTTGAGCATCGTCTGACCAGTTAGTAGGCTTCGGATTCAGTCCTAAGTTACCAAGCCAAAACTCTGATACTGCAAATGCACCGACTGTCGTGGTTTGAATAGTGGTTTGAGCCGAGTCATCCAGGACGATATTGTCGTAGCCAAAGTACGCATTTCCGGCGAGTCCCAAGTTCTGTTCGATACCGAACTCATAAGTGCCGACCTGTGTCCAGCTTGAGGATTGACTCAAATTGAAGACTTCGCCTCTGGATTCAACGCAATCGTTGTAGTTGGAGTATGCTGAACACCCTTCAGGACCCACAACCCACGTTTGATAGGACTGCCATGACGGAAGGACGCGAACCTTTTGCGCTGGTGTTCCTATACTCAGATCGAATGAGGACCATGCGCCATCGAGACCATCCCTTGAGAGTTGTTAGTATATGGGCTGACCGTTCGACCAAGAATATCCGCATACCAGGATTCGTTCGGAGGCACTACTACTGGTTGGACACTACTACGACAAGAAACTTTCGCAAGAGTTGTCGCCAGAAGAAAGCCCAGTCCGGCGGGACGACCAAAGAAGGACGGCGCCATGGTGGTGATTTGCCAGTTGACAGAGAAGCCGAAACCAGAGAGTCCAAGCCTACATGAGAACCTGCGTGCGCGTCGAGCGTCTCTACAATTCCTCAAGTCGCAAGGGTTGCGCTGCCTGACTGGAATTACTGTAGCAGTTAGTCGTGCAGGGAAGAATCAGACAAGGACCTCGTCAGCATCAGATCGTAAAATCATCAACCGTCGGTTAGAGCGAGAGCTAGAGAATCGAAATGCGCCAATCACATGGAGTTAGGCGGATTGCATGAACGCGAGTACCACCCCATGTCGCTACCGCATGTGGCTGACCCTTGGTAGATCACAAGCGAAAAAGGTCTTGTAGAGTATCTGGTCCCTGCCCGATGCTACAGCACAAAAGTATAACGGTGCACCCCGCACCAACCAAGATGCTCCCTTTCGAATTTTCATCCTAGACATCTCATTGCTCTGAGGCTGTAAGGAGGCAAGGAGGATTCAGAACCCGTAAAAAGCCCTGCTTGGCAAGATGCACACTCCGCTAGCCTTTCGTGCATCGCGCGAACCCCGCGGAGTGGGCAGTGACCAACTCTCTCTTCCTTGTCGCATCCTTTCCAAAACGCGAGTGAACAGATCCCACTCCCGCGCCGCTGGGCTGACCAGGCTCTGCAATGCTTCTCGGACTTGACACCACTGCGTGTCAAAGGTACTTGTAGTCATGTCAGATACCCAATCCTTGCTGACTGCTGAGCTTGCTACGAATGGAGAGTCCGATTTGAAGACGATTATCGCGGTGGGCTTGCGAGATCCCCGCAGGTCTTGCAGCTCCATGCGCGACTATTTCGGGAAAGGCTGATGTTGTGTCACCCTCGGTAACGACAGTCGCTCATCTTGCCTTTGCAATTGAAGAGTCAAGTCAACGGGCAGACGGTGTATTTTAAGATCGCTCCATTCCTCACTGAGTAACAAGCCCGTATAGCGCACTGACAGCGAACGTGATGGCTGCGCTTCGGCTTCTCAAAGCTGCTTCGGAGTCGAGTAAGCTTTGGGGCTGATCCTGCATACGCACGGCCGGACTGGAGCCAGTCAGCAGGTGTCTGCCGCCTGTTCGAAAAAGAGAGGTTGAATCAAAACTAATGGGAAGACGCGTTAGGCTTGGCAAAGGCACTGTTCGTCATCCCATCTTCCGCTGAAGTCTTTCTTGCATCTTGTGTGGATCAGAACCCGGCCAACTCACACTTCCATCCTTGTATGTAACGGATCAGCCTTGGCGTAAGATGTTCTTGCATCTTTTCCTTCAACGGGCCCTGAAGTAGCAGAACACTGTGACATTGAACCTTCAAGGTCGTCGCCTTCGATCTCTTCTTTTCCTCGTTTGATAGTTTCCTTGCAGTCTCTCGTTAACAAGGCTTTATCCGTCATGAGATTCATTCTTGCATGAGGAACACACTCGTATTGGGGTAACGGCGAAATGTCGTTTTATACTGTCGCTCTAATTGCCCTTCTCTCTGGAGGCGGATCCTGTGCGGACACACAAAGGTCTTATGGTGCGTTTGTGTAAACATCATAGCGTGTGTCTAAATTGACTCGGAGCAGGATGGAACATCACTTCTTCAGCAAGCACGACTTCCTCGACTTCTTCCACACATTCAGACACTGTTAGCCCAAGCGCATTCACAACTCCTAGTAGTCTTCCGCTCTTTGTTTCGACATCAACAGTTCCGCAGAATAGCACTGAGGTAGCATTGGTGACAACATCACAACAGGCTGGATCAGCATCATCGTCCTCGATACTAAGCAGTCAACAATTTTCCGAGATCTTTCATACATCGCAACTTTACACCCTTCACAGCGATGCATCGTCAACTTCAGCAACGTATGACTTCAGCACCGGTAGGTTGCCAGCCAATGTCCAATCGCTGGCTTCCGAATCAAGGTCAGCCCTCAGCTCATCGAGTATGGTAACTTCCAGCTCGACAATATTGTCACATGGTCCTTCGGCACCGTCATCAGGAATTATCGCGTCGGAATCGGCCTTTCCGACCCCCCAAGCAGCTGCGGAGGCCGAGTCAAAATCTCCATCACCGCCTGACCCAGTAGACGCAGCGACCGCAGAAACCGCTTCGGTAGCTCCTCAGTCCGAGACGCAAGTTACGTCCAGTACATGGCAAGTCGGCATCTCACCATCCGCGTATGCGGCAAGCGCTTCTGTATACTCAACGCCAGGGCAAGACGAGCCACAGCCAACAGGTAACTCTGGCTTTGGCGGTCTGGGCTCTCTAATATGGTCAGGACTCTCCGGGTCTCTTCCGACGGACAACGTTGGTGCTGCAGACCATGTCGCTGGACGCCCTCCGGCTACTTCTGGGCCGCCATCCTTAGGCGACTCTGCTCCTGGTGTCTCCAACCCTGTCATTGTGCCAGGACAATCGGGATCAGCTGCTATCACGGGCTATACCGAAACGGCACTCGTGGTTATAGTTCCAAGTGATGGTCCTGGCACTGGCGACCATGTCGTCTCGAACACAGGGCCTCTCTACTCAGAAGCGACCCCGACCTCCTCCAATCAGGGACCTCCAAGTGACGGTGGATCAAGTGTGTTCTATTCACCCAAATACTCGTTCAGCTGGAAGTTCAATACCAGTACTACACGTCAGTCCTCGAGGACTGACAGCAAAGTTTCCACCGAGACCCTATCCCACCTTACAGCTCCTCGACCTTCTCCCCATAATACTGTCGACAAGAGTAACGCAACTTGTGGAGGCATTACTGTCAACGTTCCCGATGCATCTTTAGATTATTGGTACACCACAGCACTGGACTACGCGGCCGCCACGTTCTCTATTCAATTTGACAGTAATGATTCCGCCACTGGATGGTCGCTTTTACCGGCCAGTACCACCTTTAATGTTACGGATGCGCTACAGTACCCAATAACTCTTCTGGTCGCTTCGACAACCACGACGAACACCTACGGTCTGTCTGTCACGTATCTCACAACGGTGCACGTAAGCCCAACTCCTGTCTATGCATCTACAGTGGTCGTCACCCAAACAGCCACCAACGCAATCAACTCTACTACTGGTAGAGGTAAGATACCTTCGGATGCCGTGATCACACCGCCGCCTGCAAGTACTGTGCTATCTGCTGGGCCTGGCAAGCCGTCTCTGACCGCTTTGACAAACACTCATTTCGTGTACTTCTCACAGTATGCTCTTGATACCGAGCACACCACTACGCATCAAAATGGTACGCCGGCCTGCGTCACCTCTAGGGAAATCAAGAACCTTGGGCATAACTTTGCTATGGCATACTTTGGAGACAATCCTGATGGCCAGCCTCTAGTCACCGGTGCTTTGTCCGACGACTTTCTAGAGCTTCTTCCTCAAAACGCCAAACTTGCAGCGGGAGCTTTTACCGCCGAGCCTACTCTGATCGTTCCAGTCCAGATAGACTACGTTGCAGAAGGTGTTCTCGCTGTTGAACAGAGTGCAACTTCTGCGGCGAAGGGGTACCCTACATATCCCCTGGCATACTCCAGTGCGTTCGCGGCCACCTCATATCAGGTTGTTCCGGCTTACAGTCAATCGCCTGCTCCCGTTTTCGCTCCAACAACACGTAAACCAGCCACTCCATTGATCTTCTTGAAGCCCACTGGTACTTCGAGCATAGCTGTCACTGACTCACAGCTCGCTACAAATTTCTACATCGTTTCTCCTACTAGTGCCAGTGCTTTCGTGGAAATCACGCAACCCTCACTTTACCTAGGACCGACTCCTGGACCTACCAAGCTCTCTGTAGGCGGAAAGCCTGGAGCTAAGGGCGATGGAGATTCGAGCTCTGGAAGTACTGGCTCAACTGGACAAGGTAGTAACGGTAACAGTGGATCTGGCTCGAATGGTGGATCTGGCTCGAATGGTGGATCTGGCTCGAATGGTGGATCTGGCTCGAATGGTGGATCTGGCTCGAATGGTGGNGATCTGGCTCGAATGGTGGATCTGGCTCGAATGGTGGATCTGGCTCGAATGGTGGATCTGGCTCGAATGGTGGATCTGGCTCGAATGGTGGATCTAACGAAGCTGGCTCGAGTGGCTCAACAGGAAACAATGGCTCAGGTAACTCAGGCTCGAATTCAGGAGGCAGTGGTTCTCCTGGCAACAACGCCGACTCTGGATCCAATGGCGGAGCTCAATTTGGATCTGGCAGCGGGTCGAGTGGCAGAATTGTCGTACCAATTCCCGTTATAATCACCATCGGCTCCACGAAGGCGACTGTGAATCCCGGATCTACTGTCACCATTGGTTCCCAAACGATAGAACCACAGAAAGCAGCAGTGACCATCGATGGTACGCGCGTGTCAATAGGTCCTACAGCCGTAGTCGTAGGAGCCGAGACTCACGCTTTCCAGGCGTCTACTTACCAAGGATCGGAACCAGCCAGCCCGACTGTTATAACCTACGGAGACGCTGTCATCACACAAGCACCTGTGCCTGTGTACAACATTGGTGGGACAAATGTTCATGCAGGGGAAATTGCGACCATCTCAGGTACCCTCGTATCTGCGGCAAGTCGTGGCGGCATCCTGGTGATCGGGTCAGAGACTATTTCAATCGGCACGCCAGAAACTCCAATCACGCTCAATACTGCAGGCAGACAAGTCATTGTCAATCCGACTCCCGCGTTCGTTGTTGGCGGTCAGACTCTGGCAGCTGGAGGACAAGCCGTGACCGTAGATGGCACTCGATTATCACTGGCTTCATCGGCAACAGCAATAGTAGTCGGTTCCGTAACATCCCAAATCGTGGCGTCGCCCAATCCGACTCGAGGCGCGCTTTTGACAATTGGCTCAAAGACCTTCACCGCGGATGCTTCAACACGCTTTTCGCTCTCGCCCGATGTTACTTTGGCTCCTGGCGGCTCCGCTACCATCGACGGCAAAACTGTTCATCTAGGTCCATCTGGCTTTTTAGCATCTCTTGCGGTGGTGGACGGTATAACTCAGACTCTGTCGCCACCACTTATCACTCCCGCGCCTGCGTTCTACATGGGCGGAAATGCTTATGGAACAAATGACGGAGCGGCATTCGTGGTTGAAGGTCAGGTTCTGACACCTGGCGGAATAATCATAGTATCCGGCACCACTATATCATTTGTGAAGGAGGGCACCGCTGTTGTTGTTGGTGGCTTTACTCAGAAGCTTCTACAAACCCAGGCAGCGAGAGCCCCAGTGCTGGAGTTTGGTGGCCAGTCTTATACTGCTCAGCCTGATTCGGCTTTCATCCTAGACGGGAAGACACTGACGCGCGGAGGCATCATCACACTCTCTGGAACTGAAATCTCATATGCTAGCGAAGGCACAGCTGTGGTTGTCCACGGCGTCACTCAAGTCCTTGCCCAAGCAGGTCAAACTTCGGCTCCAGTGCTGACCATCGGAGGTCAGACCTACACAGCTCGCACTGGAGCAAACTTCGTCATCAACGGCGCTGCACTGATAGCTGGTGGTCAAATTACCGTCGATGGCACAACCATCTCACTTATGGACGGAGGAACCGCTGCCGTTGTGAACGGAGCCACTCAAACCTTTTCACAAGCGACACCAGCCTTATTGACAATTGGGAGTCGGACCTACACCGCCAAGAGCGGACCTAACTTCGTGATTGGAGGTCAAACTCTGATTCCCGACGAGACTGTCACCTTCGATGGAACAACAGTGTATCTCGCGAGTGGCGGTACTGCTGCGGTTGTGAATGGCGTTACACAAATACTGTCGATAGCGACATCAACAGCAGGCTCGGCGGTCCTGACTATCGGTGGTCGCACTTATACCGCCCACACGGGAGCTTCATATGTGATTGGAGGGCAAACACTATTTGCTGGAGGTGTTGTGACCGTCGATGGTACGACCATATCACTAGATGCTGGAGGCGCTACTGCTGTCATTGATGGATTCGCTCAAGTACTTCCGAGCGCAACAACAGCGGCCGTACTGAACATTGGTGGCAAAAGCTATACTGCTCAATCTGGCGTCTTCGTTGTCGAAGGCAAATCGCTGACACCAGGAGCTGCGTTCACTGTCGACGGCACAACGATATCTCTTGGTGCTGATGAAACCATGGCGGTGATCAATGGAGCGACGAAAACATTGTCTCAGGTCACAGTAACTGCAGCATTGACTTTCGGTGGTCGCACCTATGCAGCTCAGACTGGATCATCATATGTCGTCGATGGAGAGACATTGGTGCCAGGAGGAGTCGTGACATTGGCAGATGGGACCACGGTATCTCTTGCCCCTTCTGGTGCTTTTATCGTGATCAACGGCGTCACGTCGACAATTCCTGGTATGGCAGGAGCGACTCCCATATCAGTCTTGACGGTTGGTGGAAAGATCTTTACGGCGTCATCTGGTGACTACGTAATTGATGGACAGACTCTGTCTTCTGGCGGAGTCATTACTCTTGTGGGTGGCACGACTTTGTCCCTTGGTGCTTCTGTGCTAGTGATCAACGGACAGACGTCAACTTTGCCAGCCCAGTCGATTTCTCCAGGCGTCATCACGATTGGCGATCAGATATTCACTTCACTGACGGGCAATACAGCGGCACCAAGCTATGTCATTGCTGGACAGACTCTGCGCCCGTCAGGCTCTGAAATCACAGCCACCATGTCAGGAATAACATACATCATTTCCCTCGGCGTCGGGGCCTCGACCGTGGAGATACAAGTCCTGGGTTCCGGAGGAAAAGTCATGTCCACAATCTACGAGACATTGAGAGGCAGCAGTATCGGCGCTAGCACCGTGACCGCGACAGAAAACATACAAGATGGTGGTGCTTCACAAACTGTAACACCCGGCTTGACAGCTATACCCACTAAAGGGGGTGCCAGTCTACAAAACACAGCACACCGAGATGAAGCAATTGGCTTCAGTATTGCTCTCGCAGCATTGGCAGCAGGAGCTCTGGCCGTCTTGCTGTGAGCAAGAGGAGGTAATAACCCAGGACTGTTTAATGAAATGTATGAATCCAGGCATCTATATGGCAGAGTGGCCATTTTCTCAGTTCAAAGCGCGATTAGCAGGCGTTCAGGAGGATATGGGATGTAATATGGCTGGCTCTCTGAGGACGGATGTCGCCGACAAAAGAATATGTGGCTGATGGGGGCTTTGATCTCTTCTTCGCTTCAATTGCTGTTTTGCTTATCACCGGTAGCAGTATATAGCTTTAATACACGGATTATTTCATTCATCATGCCGTGTGTCCGTGTTCTTTCATCATTGTGTTTATCATATCCATTCGTTACAGCCGTGGCAGTCATTTGACAGGCACCTCGACAACCTGATCCAAGCCCTCATACGGCGGAATATCCAACTCATATTTCTCCGCCATGTCCTTTGTCAAAAACCTTCCACCCACAAAATGCCTTCCCTCAAACCATTTGACCAATGGCTTCGGCGCCGTCAAGCTTATCAACGCATCAGGGTTGTATCCTTTCCCCGGCCCTTCATCTGGCGGCCCTGTTTCAATATTCCAACTACTGGGCGCATCCACAGCGAGGACCGGAATTTTCGAATCACAAAGGGCGGTAATGACGGAGGGAAAAGGTTCGCGTACTTCGCCCGAGAAGCTGAAGCCGAAGATTGAATCGATGATGTAGTCGGTGGATGAGAGTTGTGCAGAGAAGTCTTCGGTAAAAGGGATACGTAGATCGCGGAGCTGTTGTGCCAGACGCTGTTCAGACACTCTTTCGTCAGCATCTGCTCTTTGATTTTATGTTGGGGTACTCGAGGTGTTGTAGAACGTACTCGATACAATTCATTCTTTGGCTGTTTGGGGTAGTAGATGGTGGGCTTGTAGCCGTAATGCCAGAGGTGTCTTGCAGCGACTAGACCGTCGCCGCCGTTGTTTCCAGGACCGACGGCAATCAGAATACGAGGTCCGTTGTTCGGTGGGTGGAGTTTGAACAGGGCTTGGGAGACGGAGAGGCCGGCGAGTTCCATCAATTGATCGAGGGAGAAGGCGCCGGTGCTCATGAGCTCTTGGTCGAGCGCTGCTGCTGCTTTGGCGCCCAGGGTACGGAGAGCCATGGCTTTGAGCGTGTCGTCTGTTGCGATGACGAGTGTCGAGTTTCTGAGGGATGCGCTGCTGAAAGGGTACCGTGGTGTCGAGAAATGATCATCAATGTACATTGGCGATTGCGTCATAGTACTCGAGTGGAGTTCACGTCAGGGTCGACCTTCTAACCTGCCTTTTTTCAAATAAACATCTCTTGCCTGTCCTTGCAGCGTCAAGCATGCTATTGATTGACCGAGTATTGGACGCTCGACTAAAGACGATAGTGGAACCAACGAATTGTCAAAATGTAGGGTAATCATATTCGTCATGATCAAAAAGCATTTTCTGACCCGGGTCGCGCGTGAAAAATTTCCAAACGACTACCTGCCCATTTCGTCAAAACCTCATCCTATGTACAATCTCTTGCTGTGTCCAATTGGTCATTTAATGCCATGTCTAGCTGTATCTTTCAAGTGTACGTCCATCACTTCTTTGACACACTACGGCTCGACTCCTTTCGCTCGTGCAACCACTTCTTGACGGGGTTACTGTCCTTCTGGAGCGGCGCCGGTGGTGTGTGGTCATGTTTGACGTTGGTTGGCGCATTCTCTTCGTATGATACTCGTTGACAGCAGTCCATCCTACGGACCACGTCTGATGCGAGCGCTTCGGCGATAGTAATGCGTTTTTCTGGGTTGGGGTGAAGCATTCTCAAAACCAAGCGTTCGAGAGAATTGCTGTTGAGAAGGTGGAAGAGTTTGCCGCAATCTGGGTAATCGTCTGACCCGGGTTCGATGTTTCCGTCAGGATGGGTTTTGAGCCATCTGTTCCAACCATTGAGGTATTTCTTGTAGTTCGTGTTATCGGGTGTGGCCTTTACCCATGGGTGTACGCCGAAGACCATGCTCAAAAAGTTGATACCGCATGACCAGACGTCGAGACCTCTCGGATCATATGCATCCTTTGCGTCCATAACTTCAGGAGAGATGTAAGGTTGAGAGCCGAAAATGGCCGGCTGCGAGTACCTAACACGATCAACCTTGAATGCCTCCACGTCCATGCCAATTCGGAAACTGGGATGGGGACCACTAAAGATCTCGCTCAATCCAAAGTCGATGATCTTGACACATCCATCCCTAGTAAGCATGATGTTTTCGGGTTTCAGATCTCTGTGAGCTATCCCATGGTTGTGGAGGTAGTCGACACCACGTAGCAGCTGCTTGAAGAAACAATATTTGTCGTTGATAGTGAGGTATTTCTTCTCAAGAAGTCCGAAAAGCTCTCCATTATGACAATACTCCATGACTTCGCTCCAGATACCGTGAGAGAAGCAGAGGCGGACTGGCTCGATGATGTTGGGATGGTGGCAAGATTTGGCGATACAGTACTCGGACTTGACCTTTTTCACATAATCGTCCTCGGTCTCCCACGAGTCACGTCCCCGGAATTGCTTGACAGCGTAGAGATGGTCTGGTGTCTCACCTCGTCGTCTCATGAGTTTGACGCACGCATAACCGCCTTCGCCAATCTGCTTTGGTCGTCTAAGTGGCATTCGAGAGGATGTTTTGAACTCCTTTTCCAGAGGACAGCATTCAATAGGGAATTCGTTAGGGATGTTGGTTGAAAGTCTGCGGGACCTCGTTCCCATACCCTGATCGGCGGATTGAGTGAAAGAAGGCAATAGACCAGGGGCGTCGTCCTGGAAAGTTTGTGATCTCTTGACCTGGCTGCGCGGCATTTCTGTGCTTCCAGATCGACGTGAGCTGAAGGATTCATTACGAGTGTGCCTGGGATGTTGACGGTATTGGAACTCGACTGTGCTAGGGTTTCGTCCAGCAGCCTCCAGGTCGGTAGCAGACCTGAATTTGATTCGCCTGTCTCCCGGGTCTTCTTCTTCATCCTCGACGGCTAGATGTCCTTGCTTCGAGGATTGTGTGGACATGGCATTAGGGGTAGAAGCTCCAGTATTAGACTCGCTTGCATCGAGAATGGAGAAAATCGCATCACCGCTAGATTTGGATTTGGACCTCTCGGGAGCAGTCGCTGCTGAGTCTACTGATGATGATGCACTGTCATCACTGACGTCTCCAGACTTTGATGCCCCGGCTGTAGTGGAAGGCGCCTTAAGATGCTGATCATCGGCTAAGTCGGTTCCACGAGCTGCGTTAGGGTCCTCCATATCGCTCTCCGAGAAGCTCTTTGGAAGAGATGGCGCAAACAGTTGTGACTCTGGAGCGACAGCAGCAAAGTCTGCTGTCCCCACACGCCCAGCAGAAGCAGAAGCGTCGCTGACCATCAGGATTTGGAACTTGTGGAGGGCCGATATCGACCTTTCGGATAAGATGCCGCGGGAGGATGCAGACTCGATGTGTTACGCGTTACCACAGTCTTCGACGGCGGAAAAGACGCGCGCGAAGACAGGGAAGGGAGAGCGACCAGCAGGCGCTTATGGCGCGATTAAGTAGATGAGCTAGAAATCATTTTCGCATGGATGCTGGCGTATCTTGCGTCCGGCGAAGGAGCCAGCCTGAGTTTGTCAGTGGCTTGCTTGGCACCGTGCACGCCCATCGGCATTCGCGGGGCTCGCGATTCACTTCATTGGTTGGACGACGCCTTTTCACCCGGCTGTCGGCCATAATAAGCGTTGGACTTGAAGACATTGTCGAGCAGGAACACGTTCACTATTATCGCTGAAGTAGAGACAAGTTACTACAATGGAACCCAAACTCCGCGCTGCGCAACTAACGCTGTCAGAATCAATCAAAATCGTCATCACTGCGTCCTCTTCGATCGCGTGGTCTTTGCTTTACGCTTTGTCGTTTTTGTCGTTGGCGCAGTTTCCCTGCCTTGAACGTCCTCCTTGTCCAGCCACCCTTCATTAAGGGCAAGCACAACCAGGTCGCTGGCAGACCTCAAGCCTGTCTGAGGCATCTCCTCGGGATCCAATAGCTGATTTACTCTGAGCAAAGCAGCCTCGAGCTCTTCTGCTCGCTGTGCAGCTTGACTGTCTTGAATGTGGGTACCCGAGCTGGGCCACTCAATCTGTTCGGCGAGCTTGTGCAGAACAAAATGTAGCCATACAAGATTTGTCTGAGGGTGGTATCCTTTCCAAGTTCTTCCCGACTCTTCGGCTTCGTCCCACCTCTCCCAAAGATCACCAAGAGGCTCGCCGAGATACATGGCAGAGCGCATGTACCGGTAGATCTCATACTGATACTCGACTTCGGCGTCGCCTTCAAACAGTGACAGATCTCTTTCGAGGTCGAGATATGCCACGTCTTCTTCGTCTTCTGAGACGCCCATCTCCGCTCGCGAGATGGTATAGTCGATGAGCGTCGTTTCGATGCCGGTGAAGTCGAGTTTTTTGCTTGACCGCGCTGGAACGTAGTCTGCTTCGCGGAAGTGCGCGTTGTTGTTGAGACCAGATACACAAATATTACCCATGTGCAGATCTCTGTGCTCAAATCTGGCCGCTTCTTCTCCTTTGCCAAGCGCTAGTACGACTCCCCAAAATATGTCCCAAGCAAGCCAGACATTCGCAACTTTGGTGTTTTCGAGATCTGTTCCAGCATCTTGCATCTCGATGACAGCCCATAGCTGATCTTCCGAGTAGCTCGCTTTCTTGCTAGGGTCGGGGAACACGCTGGCCTCCTTGTCCTTCGCCTTCTGGGAATCGTTCCATGAAGACCAGGCTGCCGCAAAAGCATCTCCAGGACGTCCTTGTAACACGCAGATTTCGCGGAAGTTGGTGAAGCCGGGTGTACATGTCATGCGCTGCATCAGGCGCACTTCCGCAGCGACATCTTCAGGATCGCTCATCATTTCTGTCCTCTTTTTCGCAGCCTTGCTCATTTTTCTCTTTGCAGCAGTTGGTGGCTTAAGAGCGATGATCTTGAGTACAGACTCATCTGTCTTACCCAGAGCTGTATGCGACTTGAGAAGAGAAAGACGATACACTTCGCCGAACGATGCTTCAGCAATTTTGGTGACTGCAAAGTGCGAGGCGAGCTGGTCCGACCAGGTAGAGAAGGACGTCAGATCTTGGGAGGAAAGAGATAACAGTGATGCTGCGTGCTGCGTGAAGACGTTGGAGATTCGAGGTTTGGTTATCTCCAAGGCAGCCAAGTCAGCTTCGACTGACTCTATTGAGATTGGTACTGCAGCTTTTGTCGGCGAAGGAAGTGCGGCCGGTTCAGGTTCCTCTGGAGCAGATCTGGTCGACATATCTGATGCTGCAAGTTGTGGCTCGTTGTGGACTGAATTTAACTGTTGCTTGTCTGTTTGTGACTTTTTGAGCTTTCCATTCTTTGTTTTTCGCTCTCTTGGAGAGACTGATCCAGTGCTAGTGACAGATTCGCTGCTAGTGGTTCTATGCCGAGACAATTTGACAGGTCTCTCGGTGTTCACAATCCTCTCGCAAAGCGCTTCTCGCGCAGGCGAGCACTCATCGTCATCGGTAGTCGTAAATTTCGTTTGCACAGTTAGCCGGGACAGTTCTTCAGCAACTTCAATGACCTGGAAGGACGTCGGGGCTTGTTTTCGTTGTCTGACGGGGCTCTGGAAGCTGCTAAAGCTTGAGTATAGATGGGAAGGCTTCCCGTAGACTGCTTTGCGAGGCATTAAGACGAGATACTGTTTGGTGAAGAACGAGTGTTGAATACAAAAACTGGCAATGGCTTGCAGGCTTGCAGACTTGTTGTGCTTTGCAAACAAACGACGTTGTCAGGGCAAACTCAAATTGGCCGTGCTTCTCCTCCACCAAGACCATGACTCGGGCTTCATATATTCCACACACATCTCGACTCTCGAAACAAGTCAGGATAATTCAGAAGGTCGTCTGGAGCCGGTCTCCATCAACATTTGACTTCCTTTCACCTGTACATATTTCACTTGACCATGGCGCCCAAGGATTCTCCATCACCAATTGTCGCGGCCAAAGGGCCCGAAACAGACCCTGTCACCTACGTCTTGCGGGCCATGTGCATGCTGGAACTGGCTGCCATATACTCGCCCTTGTCACAACTTACCTTAGCTCCTGTGTATGGATCGATACCTTCATCTGTCTACCACCATGAGTTGACTGCTGTCATCGTCCTGTTGGCTCTTACTCGCACTACTTTATTGTCACGCTACATGCCTGCGAAGATTGAATACTACATACCGATTCTAGCCTCTAGTATTCCCTCGATGCAGACATATCTCTTCAAATACAGCAGCAAACTCGGCGTAGAGATTGGACCTCTTCTCACCGAAGGTCTGACCTACTACCCGCTGCTGCTGATGAGCACTTACTCTGCAGCTCGCCTTCTCTTAGATGCTAAAATTGACCAACAACTGCATGCCTCTATGGGATCTACTATCCTTGGTCTGTCTACTTATGGCTTCTTCGTTCTTGTCCGGTCAAAGGCTGGTTTCCTGATCTCGCAGTTCTTTGCGTTCTCTGCCATGATTACTAGAGTATCCCTCCAGTGTATCGTGGGCGCAGTGTTCACTGTCTTGTCGCCGTCAAAATTGAGCCTGCTTGCCATACCTGCCATGATCCACACCATGTGGCTCAATCCTCATTTTGTGTCACCACACACCGACGCACTGGCCAACTCGACCTTGCAGACAGATCAGTGGAATCTGCTAGAGCGCGCAGAGTCGAACACTGGTTACATATCGGTGTTAGAGAACCTGAACGCCGGGTATCGTGTTCTCAGATGCGACCACTCGTTGTTGGGCGGAGAGTGGCTGGTCACGGAAGAGAGAAGAAGACAAGGCATCACCACGCCTGAGCCCATCTATTCAGTCTTTGAGATTCTGGAAGCCGTACGTCTGGTTGAGACTCCTCGTAGTGCTACTCCAGATAACGAGAAGAGTGCGCTTGTAGTGTAAGATCAACGTTTCGCGATGCTTACAACGGTCACTGACTTTGTTTTCTAGAGGACTCGGCATAGGCACTGCGCCTAAAGCTCTCATCGCCCACGGGATCAACACAACCATTGTGGAACTTGACGCCAAGGTTCATGAGTATGCTACCAAGTATTTCGATCTGCCCAGTGACCACACTGCGGTTTTGGAGGATGCTGTAAACTGGGTCCAGACCGAGTCGACGAACGCTACCACGCAATACGACTATATCATCCACGATGTCTTCACTGGCGGTGCAGAACCCCTTCCCTTATTTACCGACAACTTCCTGGGCAATCTGCGCTCTCTCCTGAAACCTGACGGCGTCATTGCTGTTAATTACGCTGGTGACCTTGACGACTCCTCGACAAAGCAAATAGTCAACACCATCAACCTCGCTTTCGACCGTCAGTGCCGTATGTTCCGTGACTCTGAGTCATCCTCAGAGACGGGTCAGACAGATTTCCTCAACATGGTCATTTTCTGCAAGAATGCTGCCGACGGCAGATTGGAGTTCCGAACACCCGTCGAAGCTGATTATCTGGGCACGGTATCGCGTAAACACTATCTTGTCCCAAAGGAGAAGCTCGAGTTACAGTTCCCGACCGAGGAAGAACTCCAAGAAGAGACGGAACAGACTTTGACGGTCGATAAACTCAGTGAATTCGAAAAGAAGCAGGTCGAATCTGCCAAGAGACATTGGAAGATCATGAGACTGGTTGTGCCGGATGTTGTTTGGGAGCTATGGTGATGTTACTCACCCGCGCTTTGCGATGTGGTGGCGATTGCTCAGTACAACGATGAGTGCGCTCTATGTGACTTCGCCGAGAGCAAATTGTGTACACAGGTCGAGTTTTGCTCCAACGCCCTCAATCAAGCTCAGCTTCTCCAAACCAGCGCTGATGCAAGCTTCCAAACAGAATAGGTGTCATTCGAAGCTTGAAAGAGTCATCAAGCTTCACGGCTGCCTAGATCACATCTCCCCATAACCTTTTCCATTTCCATTTGTGAATAATATATTGACATACCAACAAAGAATGTGCCCAACCACAAAGCACCAAATCAACATGGCCTCTATTTACCCTTTCACCAAAGAAGAACTAGATAAAGTACACCCCGATTCTTTACTTTGCCGAATGCTATCAACCAAAGCAACCCTGCCCATTTCCGAAAATTCTACGCAGCCGGCCCTGAACGGCACCCAAATCGGCAAAGGACAATGCGGTGAAGTGCACATCAACGATACGACCAAGGTCAAGAAGACACCCAACCTGCCTGAGAAGATAGTCGAACTGCGAAGAGACTACCACTGCCACACTGCAGTCGTCGAGGCCTGGAGAGATGCTCCTAGCAGTCTGGGTCACAATATCAGTACCCCTGAGGTATAAAATCTTTCGCGTCCACCTCATGATGACAATGGACTCGGCTTTTGGGTAAGACATCCTGAGACCAGAGAGATCGAGTACGACTCAGTCTACAACTATGATTTATTCTCCGAACGCATTCTCCCTCTTCAAGCGCCTATACCGGAGATGCTGTTGCGGTCAGTGTATCCCAAATCTACAAAGATACAGCGAGCAGCTTGTCTGAATATGCCCGAGAACAACAACTGTTTGGTGCGCCTATATCTTGGCCGTCGTGGAGTGGATAGAAGCAAGTCAAGCGTGGAAAACATGACTCTTCGCAACTTTCCCCTTCATGTCGATGAGATGGAACGTCTCAATCTTCCTGTCCCGATGTACGTCGAAGCAATCGCAGAAGCATTAGCACTTATGCACTGGAGCGCCAACATCGATGCAAACGATGTCGAATTTATACTCGGAAGCTCTCGACAAGATCTGTCATCAAGTCAAGATCAAGGCCACTCGGCTTCAATATGGCTACTGGACTTCAACCAATGTCGGAAGTTCAATGAGGATAAGGCTGGACTGAAGCTATTGGTCGATGGCTTCTGGATGAACGATCCGTATTATCCTCGACCTTCCTCTACAGACAAGAGGGACAAGGTATTGTGGACGTTGTTCTCGAGCAAATACTTGGATGCTAGTGCTCTGTTGATGGATGGTAAAATGCCACGGCAATTCATCGAGGGCGTGGAAGAAGAAGGCTATCGTTGGCGAGAGAGACCTTCAATATTCGCAAATTAGTCTAACTTGTGAGACACATCATGGGGAGGAGTCACACAGAAGAAAGAGTGCTCCCCAGTCGGAGGAATAATAGTGAGAGTCGTATATTAACAGTTGTAGTCTTTTCTATCTTCTATATTGTCTAGACCCTAGAATCACCAGAAGAAATCACCATACTCGCCAATAACCTCATCATCGAGATTCCATTCGCCATGCAGCGCAGTAAGTCCATCAAAGTGCTGAGCAATCTCCAAACCACGCAGTCTTTGCGCTTCGACTTCTCTGTATGACATCTCTCCCTCCTTTGTAGCCTTCTTGTCCTCAAACATGCTCTCGGCGCGTAATTGTCCCATGACTTGGGCAACCAGGTTTTCCGGGCTGGACATGTATGGCTTCTCACCCTCAGAGGTGGGTGTGTCTGAGACGGCAGGCACGGCGGGTTGGTTGGCGGGTCTCTCGGGCAAGAGGTCTGATCTTCTAAGGACGATTTCCGGTGCTATCGTCAATCTGCCCTTCTTGACGACATACTTTGCCAAACTGGTGGCATAGATGCTCTTGATCTTGTCCTCTTTGTCTGCCTTGGAAGGCTTCTTGGTCCCACTCTTTCCATTTCTCCAAGATTGCAAGAAGTAGTTGGAAGGTTTCTTTGCGCCGCGCTTTACGATGTGGCTGACGATATAGATCCACTTGTCGTCCCAGGAGAGAAGGCGTGTCCAGACTTCAAAGCGCTCGAGAGGCTTGATCTCTTTTCTGAAGGTACAACTCACGCCGCCGAGAGCGACGATATATGTTCCCTTGACCGTCTTTGCTTCTTCAGGCAGGCCAGTGAGGTCTCCACCGTTCAAACGCGCGAGGGACTTCTTGAGCAAGACTCCGACAAAGGCGGCGCGGCTGACGTCGAGGTCCATAAAGTAAGTCGAGTTCGACTTGTGGAAGTTGTAATCGCATTCGGAGATTGAGTTGTGCGAAGTCGTGATGATGGGCTTGAATAATTGGGCCTTGGTGAGGAGTTTCGGTTGCATGTAAAGGTGCCAGATGAGGTTCTTGAAGACGCGGAACTGTTGATAGAAAGTCAGCAAGAGTACTACTTCTCATTCATGGCCATGATTTGGACGGTCCTACTCACATGCCATACAAAGGGCAGACTCTTGATGCTCAGCAGCGCAAAGAAGATGGCCAGAATGCGCCAGACACCACCAGGGGCCGAGATGCCCAAGGATCTAGTAACAGCCTCCCGGAATGAAGGTATAGCAGCCATTGCAGCGCCAGTCACTCCAATGGCAAGAGTCCCTCCAAGGACAGGCATGCGCTGTGCTGCCGACATGATGTTGCTCTTGTGTCAGGTGGACACTCGAATGGCCTAAGAAATATTTAGGGAATCCGAAGATGCCGAGGTTCGGCGACTGGCTTCTGGAATACACCTCGTCACTCGTGAGATGCTCCATGACTTTCTGCGCAACCATCAACCACCATTCCCACCACCGTCTTGTCAATCAACGATTTGATCTTTTGAGAAGCAGCTTTGAGAGTAAAGGCCATTCAAGAGGCCGGTCAGTCGAATTCATCACACGCTGATTGTCGCACTCCGAGACCAATGCGCCCTCTCCCTTCGCAAAACCTTGGCAAAAGTTCCTCAATCCTTCACAACTTTACCTCCATTTCTTTGCTCATCACCAAATCCAAAGCAGAGAGCATGTTCATCGTGTGTGGCTAACAAAAGGATGACGACGCCCGCAGGACTCGAACCTGCGCCCACGAATGGATTTGATATCGGATAATATTCGAGTCAAACGCCTTAACCACTCGGCCAGAGCGCCAATTGATGATCGCTCTATATGATCATCAAATAGAACCTATCTCGTCGCCGCAGCGGAACTGCAGTACGAAGGCGACCGCCCGGGGGATGGAGTCGGTGCGATGGTGTTTTGGAGGAGGCTGAATCGTGAATCGGAATCGTGTTAACTTGCTCTGTATGCCTCTTGAGACTCACATTGTGGTTTTGGCGCTTGTTCGTGGGTTCTCCTGTCGTGAGCTTGGTTGCAGAAGTTGGACTGTTTTGCGATTTAGCCAAGTACAGTGGAAGCTTATCTTTGAATTGATGATATACTCTTTTGTTGTTGCCTTAGACTCAACTGTTCCGGAAAATTGAGAGCCCACCTTTTCCGATTCATTCTTGATTGCTGCCATATTGAAGAGGAAGGGTATAGACACAAAGTATGACTCGTCAACGCCCGGATTTATCAGAGATCATAGAATGGTGAAATATACAGAAGGCAAGGATGATGGACAAGAGTTAGGGTTCATGTGGTACACAATGCCAAGACTACCCGCCTTTCCGCAATCGCCGGCCACATCCTGCGATGATATCTAACCATGTTTGAACCATGATTTAACAATGGTTGGACATTTTTCAAGCACTTCCCAAGTGCTTGTCACATGTTCATAAAATGTTCGCCGCATATCCATCGAATATCTGTTGGAGTACATCTCGCCGTGTCAATGCTCTTATAATCCAACTTCATGTGCTTGGAACCCTTTGGTCTTGACTGCACTACTCCACGACCTCTATTCTAGGGATGCCAAATGCCTTCACAATAGGTTGTAAACTGATTATGCTCTTGTCTCACACCTTGACATTCATAGTGGTATTAGGCATCTGGACAAGTCTTCAGAGCCTTGGCCTGGTCGAACGTACCATTTCTATCATGTCAGTCCTGGTACATGCTTCCAGCCCAGAAGCAATATCAGCACATGCTGAGCACATGCTGAGCATATGCTACATGCGTGCTCTCCGCAGGCGTCTGGAACAGGCATTCCTTCTCATCTCTCGCCACTTGCCGCCGCAAGAAGATCCCAACACTCTTACTTTTCACTTCTGGCCATTGCCTACACAGTTTCAGGTCTCAACTCCCCTGAACTTCTTGTTCTTTCGTTCCCCCAACATGGTCACTGCAAAGTCTCGAGTACTGAAGCAGCCTGCCGAGACTTTGTCCCCCGATGAGCTTCACACAGCAACAGCCGAACCTTGCCATCGCCCAGCCGACCCTTCCCTTGTGCTCAAGCTGTCTAAGGCCGCGAGCGACACAACGCTAGAGCTGGTTACCGTGGCAATTAATCGAGCATTGTCCACACGTCTTTACGGAAACAAAATCGGTTCGTGGCGCTCTGTGTTTCTCTCTGCCTGTCTTTTGAACTGCATTTCGCGTGACGATTCTGCTACTCGTCTCTGCTGTTCAATCCATCCTTCGCTCCTCCGCACGCTTAAGCGTCTACAGGTTTCCTAGGTATGCTTCTCCTGCCCACATACAACTGACAATACTGACCATGGTAGCCTGCCGACTGCTATCGACCGTGAAATTACGATATGGAACCGAATCCCTACGACAAGATGTCGAAGAAGGAGCTTATAGCCTTACTCAAAGCTCGAAAGCTTCCATACCAAGGCACCAAAGCTCTGCTGGTGGTGAAACTTCTCGAAAGCGATGCCCTCTCCCGAAGCGACGATCCGCCCCTACCCAAACACGTCACGGGAGCCATGGAAGACCCGGATCCCACGGCGTTTCTGGATATACTACGCAAATTTGTCCACGACGACAACATACGCAAAAATGCAAAGAAATTACTGGCGGGCCCGTATAGTGAGCGAGTAATTATCAACGTCCAGAAACTGAGGGGAGGCGGCTGTCTAGAGCGCACTTGTTCTCACTGCGGCAGTGGCACACTTTGGGAGTCGATGAATCATACCTATGGCGTGCGCTCGAAGTGTCGCGATCAAAGCTGCCAAGACATGCTTGGTTGTGCCAATTGTCGCAAGAAGCTACAGGACATCGAAGAGCAATGGCATCGTCGCAAGCAAGACAGCTGCTCCGATGGGTCATGTGGTGATTTACACGAATGTTTTCGGTGCGAGACATACATACGAAACGCCATCGTACCTACCAGTCTTCCAGAACATCTTCAAGGGCCCTACGACCCTGTCAATGAGGCTGGCGATATGGAAGAGGCAAAACTCTCGTTGGACGAGATGAGGAGATCTGTACATAACGCACACATTCGCAAGCTCGGCCAGAAGTTGCAGAACACATTACCCTATGCCTGCGAATGGATCGCCATCAAGCAATTGCTCGGCGATGGGAAATGCCTAGGGACCGGTTGTTCTTTGCGCGGCACCAGTCTCTTTGGGGACTCCCTCAAGATTCTATCAGACGGACCAGACATTGATTGTGGTGGTGAGTCATCAGGGCTATGCTCCAATCCGCATGGATGTCCAAGCTGTCGCGACGAAATGCAATTCCTTGACGACGCAGTCGCCCGCGATCACACAGGAAAATGCAACAGCGGGAAATGCTATATCGTTCACGCCTGTATCGGATGCAAAGCTCGACTTCAGCCTGGCGCCAATCGTGATGAGAGTATTCCTGATGCTATATCTATATCGTCTAGCGATGACGAAAGCGCCCCGGGAGACCATTGCATGTCTGGTCAACATGGAGGAAACTTAGTAGCAGAACTCGGACGATGCGACGGTCCTGACCCGAGTAAGCCTGAAGGTCTTGGCTGCTGCTTATACGATTGTCTTAGATGCGGTATGATCGAAGCCAAAACTGGACCTCGCATGCGGAATGATGCTTTGAAACGACTCCGTGCCAACAATAACATCACAAACTCAACGGACTCTAGGCAGCCGATCAACAACAGTAGTGCCAGAAAGAGAAGCTTTGATGATCACGATCTCCATTATTACCTTCCTGCCAGTCATCCCCTGGCACAGCGTATATTTGACGAGAAACACCGTGAGACGCTTCAGAGACAAGGAGCTCGATTCGATGGTGATCAGCTCGGATGGTTTGGCACACAGCAGGATCCACTGCCAGACTTCTGGATGGGACGTCCCATTCTGCCTGACAGGGAAATCAGTATTCTGAAGGCCACCACTTCTATCCCAAAATACTACCTGTCTCAGTCCGAGGAAGATCTGATAACCCACTCAGAAAGCCTTCAGGAGAAACGGCTTGGTATTGTCGTCCGCAGACTTGAGGCTGAACTTATGTCTCGCGATTTCTGGATGCAAAGTCTAGGCTATGATGCGAGAGACGATGGCGGTGATTTGCCTGGCGGTAGGTATATTGTATCGCATGCATCATCTGGAAGCCTTGCCAAGAAACGATGAGAGGGGAGCGTGAGGGTTAGTGGTACGTGACGAAGCTGTCTAGTGGATACATTCATTGCTTGAGTCTTTCCAGAGGATATTCTCGGTTCTTGGTGACAAGAGCGGTCATTCAAGCCGCAGTGTTTTCGTGGATTTGCTGCTCATGTAACCGCTCATCTGCTCGCGCAGGTGGAGGGTTGAAGTCAGGGTCACCATCGACAACGAAAGTGGGGCCGCCAGGACTTTGCGACTGGATGGCAGCCTGTGTCAGCCGTCGTTGTGTAACTCATCTTCTCATCCTCTTGGATAAACATCATAACATCAACTAAATGGACCGACTTCAGTGTTTCCCAAATTCAATGTAAGCTAATATGCTTTCCCCTCCGCGATGCGTTAAAGTAGCCAATTGAGCTGTGCTCACGAAGCCCGGCCGCTATATCCTGACTCGACTTCGTGGGAGGGATGATGTGCACACAGCTCCAATATGATACACGTTGACGGCATGTTTGGAATGAAACCAAATCATGTGCGGCTGCGAGGCTCTGTAGGCGCACGGGTTTTCAAGAGCGTTCAATCTAACCACTCCTCGTACAGTTACACACCAAAACAACAATATTTATTAAACCCGAGATGAGGCTCAATCAAGAGCGCATAGCGGAGAAGAGGAATGAAGTCATTCAAGAACATGCCGAGATGGTTTGTTGCCCATAGTATCAGATTGATTTACGGACGCTAAATGGTGCGCGTGTATAGGCCACTGAAACTCACACGGTATGGCACGCGAGAGACCGTGATAGCGTACACCCACCATGTGTTGAGATGCTTGAACATCTGAAAAAGGTAGGTCACATCAACGTCTGATCGAAAACAATTTCTGACATATACAAGACGCGTCTCAGCACACTCCGCTCACGAAATGTTGGCGCCGTTATCATTGTTCGTGCTGTAGAGAAACCATTGCAACTGGGAGCTCTCTTCCCAATCATGAATGTGGTTGAGGATGTCACGAGTGACGTGAGCCACATGGAGATCTTCTTTCCTACTACTTCACCTCCACTCGCTATACTGAAGCAAGGCACCGTACTTGCAATCAAAGAACCGCTCTGTGCGATGAATCATGGTAGAAAGGTGATCAGAGTCATACAACCGTCCAATATTGTGGTCCTCAAGCCAGAGCACTATATGTATCCCAAGATATTCCGGGATGCCCTTGTTTCGTCAAACAGCCGGATGCCACGGACTGAAGGCGACACTGCTTCAGGCAGGGGCGAATACACAGAGGCGATCGATTGGTATGGTTATAGTCTATCCACAGACGCGTATGAGCTGACACGGTTTCCAGGTACACTCGTGGTCTGAGGCAGCTTCCCAAAGACGAAATCGACCTGCGACAAGCACTTTGTTATAGTCGTGCCAATGCAGCGATGCACGCAGGGCAGTACGAATTAGCGCTGGAAGATGCAAAGCTGTCTGTTTTGGATGTGTCACATTCGGACTATCAACAGGCTTTGTATGTTGCAGGTAGCGCTGCTTATCAACTACGCCAATTCGCGTTAGCTGATGGTTTCTTTCAACGCGTGCTTTCGGTCTGTCCAGCTGATATACAAAGCGCCAAGTATCTCCGCAAAACCAGAGAGCGACTACGAGAAGAGAGTATCGGAGCGTTTGATTTTACAGCAATGCTAGAACAGCAAACACTGGCTGATCACGCTAACTTTATCAACAAGACTGAGATTCGAGAGTCGACAGACCGCGGACGCGGAGTGTTTGCGAAAGATGATATCAGCTGCGGCGAGCTGATATTCTGCGAGAAGGCCTTCGCTATCTCACATCCTTCAACCGTTTCTCCAAGCAATCCGAACTTGGTCCAGAACAACAACTATTATGGCGGTTGTGGAAAAGCGGTTGCTGCATTGTGGCTTCGAACAGTGCAAAAGCTTTTTGCGAACCCATCTCTCGCGCCTGAGTTACTCAATCTCTACGGTGGCGCTTCATACACCGACGGTTTCGTCGCGCTCAATGTAGATGGCAACATCGTGTTAGATGTCTTCCAGGTCTTACAAATCATTGACCATAACGTATACAGCTTCGAAGCTGGACATGCTCATATGCCGTACGGCACCAATCAACACTCTTCCAACGAAGAGCGAGAGTCAGCTGGCCTCTATAAACACGCGTCATACGTTAACCATGGCTGTATCAACAACTCTAGTAGGAGTATGACCGGCGATATTATGATTGTGAGAGCAAACCAAGATATATCTAAGGGCACGGAGATCACCACATCCTATCTCACACCAAGCGTTGGTGAACCAAATCGCAATGCTGAGCTGAAGCGAACATGGTTCTTCGACTGTGATTGCTCGCTATGTGCTAGCGAGACGGCCTGCGATGTGAACTGGAAGCAAATCTTTGATGAAGTCAGATCCCACAGACTACGGAAAGATGAATACGACCCTGCCCAGCTGCAGAACACAATCCGAAAGGCCCAGGATCTGGCAGAGAGGCTTGAAGAACATTATCCAGAGAGCTTGTTCGGCATGCCAAAGATGCCTCGGATCGCCCTTCGAGAGTTGCAAGGGGTTCTCATGTTTGCCAACGAACGTCTTGGTTGTTACGAAAAATCACAGGAGCATGCTTTGGGAATCATACGGGAGAGTGGCTACAACATTTCTTCAGACGGATCACAAATCCAGATAGACTACACGCATGGCTTGCCAACGAAGGCAGTGGTGGACGCGCTTTATCTACTCGCGAAGCAAGAAACCCCTCGGGAGCTTGCTGAACAGTATCTGTCATTGGCCAAAAAGATGTATCTCGTCATCAATGGCACATCTAATGGCTGGGATGTAGCTTACGGTGGACTGGACAATTAGTGCAATTCTCTGTCGGGGGCTGGCACAGTACTATACCGGTATCAAGAACCCGGACTAAAGGTGGAAGACCCCGACAGAACGGTCTCACGCGACGGCCAATCAATCCTGGATTCATCGTGCCTGGCCTCAGCTCATAATGGGAGAAGTGACGGGAGTGAAGGTCAACGGTAGTCAATTATCGAAAATGTAGTCTGGAGCAAGTGAATGTCAAGTGCGTTTCCTCGCGCAGGTGCAACTACCATCCAACACCGCCAGACGCGCAACCAGTCGTAACTTCCTCAGCTATCTTTTGCGTTCTGAGCAGTTCGCACCCTCCTGCATACTTCTTCCATTTGTCACATCTTACGGCGCGCATCGACATCCGTCAACCGCACCTCTTGATCATGGACAAATTCCTTGCTTCGAGCCAGACTGCCAGATCAAGACTCGGAGAACCGCAAGAAACGTCGCATGACAGAGACGACTTGATAGCATTCTATCCCGCTGGTGTAAGTGACTCACTCCATTCTATCCTTGCCTGTTGGCACAAGGCTAATTTGTGTTTTCAGAACCAGAATGCGATCATCGAGGCGTTCAGAAAGATGCAATTCTCCCGCGTCCTCGACAATCCGTAACCGCCTTGTCTCCGTCCACATACAGAGTTGGAGAAAGTAAGTGTCGACTTTGACTATGCATTCGTATGGCTAGCTGACATCGTCGAAGATTTACTTGAAGGATCTCAAGGCTCAGACACACCACACCGATTCTATACTACTGGTGCGAACCATCGGCCATCCACGCAGGCTCAGTCCTGCCGATCCCACGAGCAATGCTATAGAGGACGAGACCGGAGATGTCGAAGATTTCCTCGTATCGTTCACTGGCCCAGGCTGCGACGCCACGATCCTAGCAATAGGCCGCGTGTTCTCGATCAAGGAGCCTTTCTTCGATGTCTCAAACGCCGTCAACCGTGTCAGCGTCTACCATCCGTCAAACCTGGTGCTTCTTGACTGTGATCATACTTCGATACCTCACGGTTGGCAATTGGCAAGTGGTCGCTCCGCGCTCAGATGGAGGTCAGAGGGCGATGCGCTGATGGAGAAGAAGCAATACTCAGAAGCAATCAGAAGGTATGACTATACTCGTCCATTCTGACAGACCCCAGCTAATTGCCTAATTAGTTACGGACGCGGTCTGTCTGAGATCGCTACAACAGATAAAGGCCCAAGAAAGATTTTCACTTTAGGCGCTCTACAGCAGCGCTGTATGCTGGCTATTACGACATGGCGAGAAACGACGCGCTAGAGTCACTCTCTGAATCCGATACAAAGGACGCTTTGGAGTCAGATTTACGGAGTTTGTATCAGGCTGGACTCGCTTCATGTCACCTCGGTGAGTTTACCACTGCCCAGAAGTTTTTCTGTCGCGTACTTGAAATTATGCCATCATTCAATCAGGCCACCCGTCAGCTGGGACATGCGGGAGCACGTCTGTTGGAACAACAGACCGGAATATATGACTTTGGCGCGATGTTTGGGTCGGCTGGAGAATCTCCCCCTAACTATGGCAACTTCCTCAAGCGGACCGAGATTCGTTCTTCTAAGATCTCAGGGCGTGGCTTGTTTGCTACTGAAGACATCCCGCGTGGCGAGGTCGTGCTTTGCGAAAAGGCCTTTGCCACTGATGAACATTCTGGAGACATCAAGCCGGGAGGCTTGTTGGACTTGCACAACAACCGTGCATATGGTGATTCGTACACCTCGCTACTCAACAATGTGGTCCAGAAAGTATTCAGCAATCCATCTCTTTCCCGGATCCTGAATTTATGCAGCGACGACTGCTTCGAGGATCTGAAATCGCTTCACATCGTTGATGGACTACCAGCAGTGGATATCTTCAGAGTCAACTCAATCCTACAGCACAACATGTTTGATTTTGCAGAGCCTCGCGACAAGTTCGACGTCGATTGTGAGAAACACTTTGGTCTTTGGTATCAAGCCTCTCACATCAACCATTCCTGCCTCGCCAACTCTTACAGAAGCTTCATTGGTGACATGATGTTGGTCAGGGCTGGAACAAATATCTCGCGAGGATCTGAGATTGCGCTGGCCTATAGTGGTATTTCGGCATTTTCATCAGAACAGCAAGAGGAGTCTCAGAGGGACTGGGGCTTCAGATGTGGATGCAAGAAGTGCACATGTGAAGAACATATCATCCCAGGCTCAGAGATGCACAAGAAGTTGAAGGACGCTATGAACACTTGGATTGAATACAAGACCAACGCAACACCAATCCCCGAGATCATCAAACAAGCTCAACAGGCGATCGACGCCATCATGCCTTTGTACCCAGATCACGAAAAGCTCCCTCGTCTGGGGTTGACACAACATCACGAAGAACTCATGTGGGTCTATCATGCGATGGAGAAGCATGACCTGGTGGCTGAGAACGCGAAACAGCTCATTCGCGATTATGGTTACATCCTCTCTTCTGACGACCGAGAAGTTCAGATGGCCAGCGAAAACGCGATTCCGGACCTCGATGTCGTGTGGGCTCTGCTGCATCTATCGATCCACGCTTCGAAGAAGGGGAGTGATCCCTTGTCCAAATCATACAAGAAGCTTGTCGTGGAAACTTACACAGTCCTTCGTGGTACTACGATCGGTTTCGAGAAGGAGCTCGGGGTGCCTCTGTGAGTTGGCATATCGGACAAGCATGGTCGTGAGTGAGATAAGATGAAGACTCCTTTGGTTTTTAGAGCGCGAGCCATACATGTTGACACTAATGTTATACTTTCCTTTCCATGACCAGAATGAAACAAGTATTACGTTGAAGAGCCGAGGTTTGCCTTTGCTCGATAGTTGATGATCCTTTTGTCACAGAAGTAAACACACCAAGCAGAGTGGGAAGAAGATGGGTTTTCTGTGTTAAATTATTGATTGATCACTATCGAGGACTATGCTAACCAATGCTTTTCTTGAATGTACGGTCGCCAAAAAAAAGGCCATTGCTTGTATGAATTATCAACGTCAGTGTGTAATGCTGGTCCCACCTCCACAGCTTCTCAGAGCTTTGCTTATAAGAAAGGATGTATGAAAAGTATTGAACGCAGCGAAATGCTTCCAGGTCTCGAGTTTCTAACGGAATTGAGGCATTCCAGGGACCATGAAGCCAAAGCCGGGGACAGGAGGAGGAGGTGCGATGGTGACGGGTTCAGGGCGAGGAGCGTGAGACTCGGGCTGGTTGAAGCGACCGCCGCCGCCGCCGCCTCCACGGCCACGACGACCACCGCCTCCGCCACGGTTGCTGCCGCCATCGGGGCCGACACGACGGCTCATGGCCTTCGAAGATACGCCGGCGCCAATCTCGATATCGGGTTCTTCGACCACGAGACCGCTTTCGATGGGACGGCCACCAGTGCCTCCAAACTCGGCAGTCAACATCCACTTGTGATCGGCCTCTGTAAGAGTGTCGATAGGGATGACGCTGACACCATTGCTGTAGTCGCAGCACTCGCGAGGACCAAAACCAACGCCCCATTTAGTCTGACGAGCCTTGGCCAAGACGTCTGGGTCTCTGGTAGTTTCCATGGCGGTCTTTGCAGCGACGGCATCTTGACGGTTGCACATCTTGACGAAAGCGTGACGCTTGTCTTCGTTTGCGATACAAGTCTGGACAGGGCCGTAGCGGCCGAAGATGGCGCGAAGTTCAGCTTCATTGCCATTGGCGCCGCCGACGAAGAGAGTTCTGCTGAGGACTTTGATGTGGCCGGGAGGCATGCTATTATCCATGTCGGTCCATTTAGGGTTGATGTTGCGAGGGACGAGGGTGTCGTCCGATTGAGGTGTGCGAGCAGAAGGAGGAGTGCGCTGGCGATAGTCATTGCGACCGCCACGGCCACGACCTCTGCCTCCACGACGATCGGACTGCGATGCAGCGTGGTCCTGGGCGGACTGTGCAACCGAGGCATCGTAAGTGCCATATACAGGACTTGCGCGACGTCCAGCATTGTTATTGTTGTTGACGTTGTTGTTACTGTTGTTGTTACGAGGCGGTCCTGGTGAGCGACTGCGGTTGCGGCCGCCGGCACGATCCATGGATCTATCTCTGTAATGGCCGTGCTCCTCTGAGCGAGAAGGATAGGCATCTTGTGCAGGTGGCGCTTGTTGTGGAGGTGGGTATAGTGCGGTGAGAACAGCTCCCCATTGTTCTTGCGGAATACCTTCTTGAGATAGTCCTTGGATCAACTGCAGCACGTTGGGCAAGATTTGAGGGTTGTTCAGAATGTGTGGGGGTAGGAAGGAAGCAGGGCCTGCATTAGCGCTAGGAGTTGGTGGTTGAGGAGGTGCTTGTTGGTAAGGCGCAGGGGTGTGGTATTGCGGTGGGTATGCTGGGGGCATGTGGGCAATTGGAGTCGGCGGAGGATATGGCTGGCCGTAAGCCTGCTGAGGAGGTGGAGGGGGGTAGCCGTAGGGTGCAGCTGGTGCTTGTTGTGCTTGTCCTTGGTATCCTCGAGTGGCGCCGGCCATGATAGCGGCTAAATCTTGGGGTGGAGCTGGTGGGTGAGCTTGGACAGGCAAGACAGGAGGTACCGGAGGAGCGATGACAGCTTGAGCTGGCATAGGCTGAAGTCGGGAAAGAGCAGCGAGGATGCTCGAAGCGTCGGATGGTGCTTGGACGGCGGGAGCAGCTGGGGGCGGAGGGGCCTGTCTAAGACCTAGAGACACGAGCATGCTGAGCGGAGGGCTGCCAGGAGGAGTAATCGAGGCGACGTCTGTTGCGAAAGACTTGGGTTAGCAACTTGACAAGTCTACACTCATGCAGAACTTACATTGAGGCACAGGTTCGGCCAGCTTCTTCTTGATCTCGGCCAATGTCGAGGCTGGGAAGGTGTTGCCGCGCTCCCAGATCTGAACGAGACTCTCTACCTTTGCCTTGTGGTCAGATGGCGCCTTCTGCACAGTGTCGTCCACCAAAGATGGCAGAAGTTCAGTGACTCTTTGCACGCCTGCAGCAAAGGTGCCTTCGGGTGCTGCACTGCCAGTTAGATCCTGCGACAATTGGCGAGCCTTCTCGATCCATTGACGCGTCACTGAGTCTACAACATAAAGGACTCCGAGCTTGTGCGTTCCTGGCGTCCTCTTGAGGTGCCTATAGAGCTTCTGCGTTATGGCTGATTCGGACTGTGAATGGTGAGTGGTTGGTTGGCGAAAGCTGTGTGCTCGAATGAAATTACCTGGACATTTTCCACGCAAAGAGTCGTGACGGCAGAGATCTTTCCTTTGGTGGCACCTGGAGGCTTGAGAGCCTGCAAAGACTGCAGCAATGCGTCGAGCTGCTCAATGTTTGCCATGTCTACTGTGCTAATACAGTACCTGCTCTCCAATTGAAGGGAGTACGGTCCAATGATGCGCTACGCGTGATAAGAAGCGAGGACTACTGAAAGCTACCAGAGACTGATGACTGATGACTGCTGAGTCGATGATAGAGAGCAAAAGCAGTAGTCGCAGTAGACGTGGAAGTAATCAGGCGAGAGTGCTACGAAGGAAAGCCCTTTCTGAATGACTAGATGCTTGCCGAGTGAGAGTGAAAATGAAAATCACGCTGTGAGCGAGTGCTATTCAACTGAGACGAAGTTTTTGAAGTTGACGTGTCTACAGCTATCGGATCCGCTCTCTTACGCAGGTGGAGCGACCGGTCACAGGAGCACAAAAAGAGCCGCAGCGACAGCAATGTGAGTGGGCGAGCGCGAGAGAAGGCGAAAACGCGTCGGGTGTTGATGGATACGTGAGTGAAGAGGTTGGAGTGATTGGCGATTATCTCCAGCGAAAAGGCTGAAGGATGGCAAAAGGAAATCACTCGGCAATGTCGCACTTTCCACGGGCCGAAGTGGAGGGGCCTCGTTCCGACTCACTCAACCAACGTAATCGGGTCTGTGCTCGATAGTACTCGGACTCGGATCGATGCGATTCGAAGGAAACGTGGTTCGCAAGAAGTACGGAGAATAGATGGACTGGACAGACGGATGAGACAGGTCACAGCCGAGGTCAAAACACTTGGTCTACTCCGAGTATTGATTGGTGAATTGGAATGTTGGGTCAGAATTCAAAGGCAATTGCCCATACGTACAGAAGTCGTGCAGTACAAGACGCCAAAACAGCGTCAGAAGACACGAAAATAAATGAAAGTACCCGTCTCAACCCCTCGTCGTCACTTGGTGTCCCCCGAGAAATTCCCCAACCCAAGTCCGAAGTGATGTCTGGTAGTCTGGGTGGCTGCAATTAGAAGAGGCCCGCCAAGACCAAGGTAGTGTGCGGCTTGCCGGTGAGCTCGGGGAGCTCGTCTTCCATCCTTCTTTTCTCTCTGTCGCTCTAGCATCTCTCCCTTATCAATCTACATCCGTCATAATGGTTTCTATGAGAGTTGGTTCTTCCGCCCTGCGCGCCTCTATGGCCGCTCCTTCTACCCTGAGACAGGCCGCGCTCAATGCCACCCGCGCCTACTCTTCCAAGAGCACTGTACGCCTCGACCACTCAGACTATCTGCCGCCGCAATCCGCTCGTCATACTGACCCCGTTATCTAGTCGCTCAAGGAGACCTTCGCTGCCAAGATCCCCGGCGAGATCGAGAAGATCAAGAAGCTCCGCAAGTATGTCTTGCTACTCACCACTACACCACCGACAATGTTTATCAGCGACTAACACATACTCCAGGGAGCACGGTAACACTGTTGTTGGTGAGGTCACCCTCGACCAGGTCTACGGTGGTGCCCGCGGCATCAAGTCCCTCGTCTGGGAGGTACGATACTCGAACACGTTCTTGAAAAAAATTGGATCGGTGGCTGACAGTATACACAGGGTTCCGTCCTCGACTCTGAGGAGGGTATCCGTTTCCGTGGCAAGACCGTAAGAAGTCCAATCGGCATATCGAAGGACCACAGCTAAGACAAAAACAGATCCCCGAGTGCCAGGAACTTCTCCCCAAGGCCCCCGGCGGTCAGGAGCCCCTTCCTGAGGGTCTCTTCTGGCTCCTCCTGACTGGCGAGGTTCCCTCCGAGCAGCAGGTTCGCGACCTGTCCGCTGAGTGGGCTGCCCGTTCCGACCTCCCCAAGTTCGTTGAGGAGCTCATCGACCGCTGCCCCAACACCCTCCACCCTATGGCTCAGTTCTCCATTGCCGTCACCGCTCTGGAGCACGAGTCTGCCTTCGCTAAGGCTTACGCCAAGGGCATGAAGAAGGCCGAGTACTGGGAGCACACCTTCGAGGACTCCATGGACCTCATTGCCAAGCTCCCCAACATTGCCTCGCGCATCTACCGCAACGTCTTCAAGGACGGCAAGGTCCCTGCCACCCAGAAGGATAAGGATTACTCATGGAACTTGTCCAACCAGCTCGGTTTCGCCGAGAACCAGGACTTTGTTGAGCTGATGAGACTCTACCTCACCATCCACACTGACCACGAGGGTGGTAACGTTTCCGCCCACACCACCCACTTGGTCGGTTCCGCCCTCTCATCTCCCTTCCTCTCGCTCGCCGCTGGTCTCAACGGTTTGGCTGGTCCCCTCCACGGTCTTGCCAACCAGGAAGTCCTCAAGTGGCTCACCGAGATGAAGGCCGAGGTTGGCAACGACCTCAGCGACGAGTCGATCAAGAACTACCTCTGGTCTACTCTTAAGCAGGGCCGTGTCGTTCCCGGTTACGGCCACGCCGTCCTGAGAAAGACTGACCCTCGTTACGTCTCTCAGCGCGAGTTTGCCCAGCGCAAGCTCCCCGAGGACCCCATGTTCAAGCTTGTTTCTCAGGTCTACAAGATCGCCCCTGGCGTTCTTACCGAGCACGGCAAGACCAAGAACCCCTACCCCAACGTTGACGCCGTAAGTTCACCTCATGCCCTCGAGCCGCAAGCAAATCCAGCTAACTTGACATTTCACAGCACTCCGGTGTCCTCCTCCAATACTACGGCCTCACCGAGCAGAACTTCTACACTGTTCTCTTCGGTGTTTCGCGTGCCCTTGGTGTCCTTCCCCAGCTCATCATTGACCGTGCCGTTGGTGCCCCCATCGAGCGCCCCAAGTCCTTCTCCACCGACGCCTGGGCCAAGCTCGTTGGTGCCAAGCTTTAAATTTCTGACCGATCGAAACATCGGAGCTAGGCTTTTGTCTATCATGTACTACTATGACTTTTGCGATTGGAGCAATTAGGGTTGATATCATATAAAACGCCTTGATTATTTCTATACACTTTTTGACGTTGAGAAGTTGAGCATCTTGTTGTTGATACCGAAGACATGGCAGGCCCATGCATGACATGATTGACCGAGACGTGCATGAAGTGCTCATGCTCAACAAAGACCAACCACGGACATGATCGGATCCCCGAGTTCGGACAATTTATTGACTATCAGGTCGGCTCCTACTATTTCGAGAAGTTTGTATGAGGACCCGAAAGTCGACGACAAGGTTCCACGAAACACATGTAAGCAGTGAGCCGATGTGAAGAAGCAGGTCATCGGTTGGTTGCATGGTTGAAGAAGCAGGTCATTGGTTGGCTGCATGGTTGAAGAGCAGGCTGTGTGATATAGAAATTCGACATCGGCTTCGGCGTGCTCAACGGTATCGGGACAGGTCTGGTGCTCGAGTCAGAAGGCCGATAATTTGGGGATGGTCAGCAGGGCCGAGCTATAGCTGTGAACAGCTTTCTCTGCGACAATATCACGACGGCTTAGGCAAAATGAAGTGCTGAGCTTCAACAGATCAGCGGTGAATTGCTTCTGCATGCGACGGGTCTTATCAGAAGTGTAGTTGGCGTGCCGCAGCGGTGAGAGTGAGGAGAAGCCGAAGTGAAGATGGTCTTAGATAGCCGGCGCGGGTAGTCACGGGCGGTAATGAATTGAATGGTCTGATAAATGTCCGAAGCAAATAAGAACAAGTGAGCGACGATGGTGAAGACAGCTCCTCCATCTCTTCCATTTTCCTCTCTTCATCTGTCACGTAGCAGAAGTCAGGTTCAGCTCTCCGGGTGAGTTTTCAGAAACAAAGATATCGGGCTGGTTGTTGGCATACAGTTTTGGATTGGTGCAAGCGCTGAGCCCTCAACTGCTGCAAGCTCTCCCCAGACTAACTTGGACACTTGTTTCCCAGCAGTCCCTGAATCCGTTCTCCCCCCTCTCTCTCTCTTCTCCTCTCTTCCACGCCAGAAGCCTCCGACTACGCCCGCTCTCAGGAAGTCTACCTTGTCGTCCTTTAGCCGTCGAGCAACCATAAAACTGTAGCGAAGAAGCACACTCCTGCCTCGGTCCGGCCTTGTCTCCCGCTGCCATCTTTTAGAAGCATGAGCACCACTACTCCCGCTGCCGCCCAAGTTGGCGTTGCCGCTCCTCCCAAGCTCGAGAAGAAGCCTGTCAAGTTCAGCAACCTGCTGTGTAAGTTTGAAAAGTGAGAGGGTAGCGCTGGTCGCAGTGAGCTAACGCGTGTGTCGCAGTGGGTGCTGGTTTGAACCTGTTCGAGGTGACGACCTTGGGTCAGCCCCTGGAAGTCACAAAGACGACCATGGCTGCCAACCGTGCCGACGGTATGGCAGGAGCCATTAGCCGTATCTGGAGCCGTGGTGGTGTCTTTGGCTGTAAGTCCGCATGAGAGATCCTCCATACGACAATCACTAACTTGTGTGTGTGTGTGTTGCGCAGTCTACCAAGGTCTCATCCCTTGGGCTTGGATCGAAGCATCCACCAAGGGTGCCGTCCTCCTCTTCGTCGCATCCGAGGCCGAGTTCTACGCGCGCAACGCTGGCGCCAACAACTTCGTCTCCGGAATTACTGGTGGCATGGTCGGTGGTCTCGCCCAGGCCTACGCTACCATGGGTTTCTGCACCTGCATGAAGACGGTTGAGATTACAAAGCACAAGGTGGCGGCGGCTGGCATCAAGCCCCCGGGCACTATGGAGACATTCATGAACATTTACCGCGCCGAGGGTATCAAGGGTATCAACAAGGGCGTCAACGCCGTCGCCGTCCGCCAGGTCACCAACTGGGGATCCCGTTTCGGTCTTTCCCGTGTTGCCGAATCTGGTATCCGCAAGGCTACTGGTAAGGACGAGAGCCAGAAGCTTGGTGTCCCCGAGAAGATCCTCGCTTCCGCTCTTGGTGGTGGTCTTTCCGCCTGGAACCAGCCTATTGAGGTTGTCCGTGTCGAGATGCAGAGCAAGACCGTGGACCCCAACCGTCCCAAGAAGATGACTGTCAGCAACGCTTTCAAGTACATCTACCAGCAGAACGGTATTAAGGGTCTCTACCGTGGTGTCATGCCTCGTATCGGTCTTGGTGTCTGGCAAACCGTCTGCATGGTCGCACTCGGCGATGTAGCAAAAGAAATGGTTGAACGAGCCACAGGCGAGGCTGTTACCGCTAAGCACTGAGGTCATACGCAATCCTAGAATCGATGGTATGCATTTGATTGCACAAAGTCGAAAATGGAGGAAGTCGCAGCATTTCGCGGTTTTGATAGACACGGCCCATCATAGCATTTGCCTTTAGCGCCTGTTGAAACACACAGTACGTTAGGCAGAATCATCAGCATACAAACTTTGCATCTGTTCATGGTTCTGGTGTGTGTTGATTTGTGATGAAAGTAAGGCTACGTGACTTTCCGTGACTTCCCAAGATGGCCAAGTAACGATGCCGGGGTAACGACCCTGTCTTGAAACTATGGATGGCCATATCGTTGTTTCGCCCACAGTGAACACTCCTCCTATAGTCAGTGCCAATCCACAAATATCCTGTCGTAATGCAGAGTGGTTAGTCGGAATACATGTAGTGGGTCTATTATGAAGTGATGCCTCAAACATCGTTCTGCCGACTTCTACGGCGTGGACGACGTGAAAGATAGCAGAGCCCAACCTGAAGCGAGCTCAACACCCGAGGTCATATTTCCTTGTTGGAGATGATGAATTCCTGTGCTTCCGAACTCTGCAGAATCACGTTGTGACCGACATCAGCATTGGCTTGACATACATGTTCAATGTAAACAAGACAGTGTCCTTGTGGATTCATCCAGGGTATATAAAAATCAATCCCTAACCACCTCAAGCACCTTCGCTAAACCCAAACAAAAAGAGCCCATACAGAGCAGCATATACAAGAAATTGACACCCGACCAACCCTCACACTAAGACAGTGATCAAGGACAGTAACATAGCAAGGCTTGCCAACCCACCCAGCGCACCACCCCCAGAAGAAAGAGCAGCACCACCAGAAGTGAAGGGAGCAGGAATACTAGCATTAACAAACGTAGCCCCGCAAGTCCCGTCAATCATCGAAGCCGCTTGAGCATAAACACCTGCAACAGGTTGTGAACGATTGGTAGCCGCGCTCGCAAACACCGACATTGTGTTCCTCAAGCAATTCGAACAACTCGGTGCTGTGGTGCCTGGTAATGAGACGCCTAGGGGAAGGTAGTAGATATAGCTATCTGTTGGCGAAGTCGCGTTTATTGCATCTGAAAAGCCTATATACTAATTAGTCCGTCACTTAAGAAGTAAGATGTGAGTAGGAAGACAAGCTTACAATAACCGCCAGTATCGGTATTCAACAGACAACCGGCATGATAAAGGGATTGATAGGCCACAAAGCCATCATAAGCTTGCATAGCCATAGGGTTCTGATTCGCAAGGTCTGGGGCACAGTTTTCTGGTGATTGGATCTGTCGGGCTAGAGAGGCCATTAAGGTGCTACAGCCGGAGAAGTTCACACTGCATGATGCCGCGAGCGTTTGGGCCAGTCTGACTGGTGAGCGTTGGACATTAAAGAAAGAAGTAGATGTCTAGTAAGACAAAACGGTATTAGTTTCATGACCTAGTGGTGGCGAGGGAGAGATGCTTACCTGTAAAAGAAGAGATAGAGGAACACATGAATTAAAAGTATCGTCATTAAGAAAATCCTTGAAGAAAACAGGACAAGAAGAAGTCGTAAAGTTATTACCCAGACCGGTATCAAAAGGTCTAGGAAGTGCGTCCGAAGAGCCAGTAGAGTCGGTAGAGCTCGAAGCAGCAGCTGAAGACGTTGATGTCGAACGCTCTACTCGTTTGAAGATACGCATGAAAGACGCTTCCGGTGGTGTAGTCCGATCAAAGAGTAGTACACTTCCAGAACTCGTTAGGGCTTGTGGCATTTGCTCTTCGTGTACGTTTGAGGTGGCTGCAGCAACACATTGCAGACTGCAGAAATTCAAGAAAAGGACAAGACAAGCGAGTGTGGAAGCAGCTCGCGAAACGCCATGTGGCTTTCCCACGCGATGTCGTAGGGCTTTCGGTCTCGAATATAGATGTGAGGCGTTCGAGAGCGTTGTTGATATGGTATCTTTAGAGTCATTGCCGACCGTTACGTCGTTACGGCACTTGGATGGAGAGGCACCCCATCTGTTCATCCCGGCAGCTGGAGGCTGATTTTGATCGACGCAAAAGATTCAAGTTTATCGTGTAAGATGAGATGGATTTACTTGCCCTTTCAGCGACGTCCTCTCATATTCAAGATTAAAACCTTTTCGGGATTAGAGGCTAGTCTGTTCTCCTTCTACAGACTCCCAGAGAATCAAGTAGAGCTCAAACAATTATGACGAATTCTGTAACAATCGGTGTCGCAAATTTGGTGGTTCAGGATCCAAACGGCCGAGCAATCCGTGTTTCCAGTATAAAAAGAGCGTGAATTGCAAATAATCCAGAGAGTCTCGTTTCAGCGAATGTTATGCACAGTTGGAAGAAGAGCGAGTGTGTGTTTCTAGTCGAAGCAGGAGAGACAAGTCGAGTTTGTATATGAGCTGGCGCCAGTCCACACCATCCTCGACAAAAGTCAATGACTTGGTCAATCTAAAAGCTTGACAGACGACGGTCCATGCCAATAGCCTCGATGCATAGCCATTACTAGCGCCACAACCCATGGCGGTCGTGGCTTCCATCGCTTCTTGAGCGTGTCCGCACGGAAAGGAATTGCGAACCCGCTTCGTCAAAGCCTCAGCCCAGCTTGGGTTTTTAGTGTTCAGCCCATCTCATCACCGGCGGGAAGGAGGGGGTGGAGATGCCCACCAACGGCTGCTGTGCAGGGTCGTTTGACATTTCTCAACGACCAACTTTCGGCATCGTTCAATTCTAGGCGATTTTTTGACCCTGTTCCTTGCACTCTATTGCGCGTTCCTGCATGATCTTCTCTTGCTCGCGCGTTTGTATGGACGCCAAGGCCGTGATCGATTTCTGACCCCCTCAGCTACACATTTCTCCTCGCCCTGTTTGCACGGACAATCGAGTCTCGTCCAGTCTTGTCTCACAGCGGGCTGGCTTCGCGGCAGCAACCGCGATCATATCAAACCTTCCCAATTTCGCATCCTGCCGTATCAGAAGAAGAGAGGCGAAAGCTGAGGTAGCAGAGAATTTTGCGCTGGGCAAAAACAGGGAAAGTGCTGTGTAGGTATTCATGCCACTTGGCAAGTACGTCCCTCTACTGCCTTTGGGCGCCCACTTTGTGTACCTTTAACGCTCTCAGCTCTCAAGTGTTGCGTCAGGGCTGACTGAAGATTGAGGATGAGCCAGAGCAAGGTTGATAGATGTCTTCCATTTCTGTGCATATGCAATATCGTCGTTGCACATGCGGAACAGTCGATCCGGGGTGCTTCTATACTTTTGCTGATCACTTGTTCCTTTCTAGCATTCAATATAAGCCACATCTTGGGAGCCGCTTCTGTTCGTGCCCTAAAGCTCGCCTACTTACACATAGGAGACAAGAGCCGACGACGACCCTCTCTTAGTGACTATTTACATTAAGCAAGTAATTGATCCATCACTCCTTTCGTACACAAGGTGAATTTATTGTTCATATGCGATATAGTCTTACAATTGATTCATGGGTATCGAGCTATTTTAAAAACAGAATGCTTCTCGCTTGCGGGTATGAGGGTCAATCAAAAAACATAGTACTTGTATGCACGCGTCATTGCCATGGAATTGTGTCGTTAGTGGGGATCGCGGAAGTCTTTGAGCATTCGATGATCATATCAAGCATCCTGATAAGGATCCATCATGTCGTCGTGAGGATGCAAAGCCAGGTCCAATTGCTGAGCTAGTCGTTGCTCCTCAAAATCAGGAGACAATCCACCTAGCCAGAACTGACCGCCAGAAAGAGCTTCGCGCTCGACAGTGGCCTCGATCGCTTCTGTTTTGGTGTAGCCATGAACGATCTCAAGATGGACCTCGAGATCGAAAGGTTTGATGAAGCGATGCTGGCAAGTGTCGTCAAGGCAGGCAATGTCTCTCCCATGTTCGTAACCAACTCCAGTAAGTCTGGCAAGCACCGTATTGTGATCTTCGGGCGGGAAAGCCGTGAACGAGTCGTCCTCCTCTTGTTTAGTTCTCTTCGCCGGGCGAACGTATCCGGGCAGATGCAGGTGTTGGGTGCGGACATGCTCTTCGAGATTCGCCTTTGCACTAAAAGCACGACCACAAGCGCCACGACCATCCCAGGCAGGAACACGCTTCGAGCCTGTAATGTCGGTCTCTCCGCAGATGAACTGCTTCTGCTTCCCGTGCACGCTTTTCTGGTGAACAACAAGATTGCCCTTCTTTGTGAAACCACGACCACAGTCAGGGTAGTCACAGACGTAGTTGCGGCGGTCTTCAATATCACCATGTTGAATCTCCATGTGTGCTTTGAGGTCGCGATTGGAAGCGCAGATGTGGCCACACTGCAAGCAGGTAGGCGGATGCACCGTCTTGATGTGTTGCTGCATCTCGATGTATGTAGGGAAGCCGACGGCCATGGCGAAAGCATCTTGGTTCAAACCCGGATCAAGGTCAGCCATTTCAGGAGAGCAAATCTTGCACCAGAAGCGATTGCCGCTATGCTCGCGGTCCTTGTGGGCGATCAGATGGGTTGACGTCTTGAAGCGGGCGTCACAAGGCAAGCCAGTAAAGCGATCGGTTTGGTCGCATAGGTAGGGCTTTTCGTGGAGGTGGACGAGCTGAATGTGTCTGTCGAGGGTATCCTGCTTGCGGAAGTTCTGATTACAGGGAGGGAAATCGGTACAGAGGAAGTCTGGCTTCGAGGTCTCATGCGTCTTCTTGTGTTGTTTTAATCGCTGAGCAGTGTGAAAGCCCTTGTCGCAGTCAGGCCAATCGCAGACATAGTCTCGCACATCGTCATGTTTTGCTTTGATGTGGTGCTTCAAGTGGCTTTCACGGAGGAAAGTTTTGTCGCAGCCTTCTTGGGGGCAAGAGAAAGGTCGTTCATTGGTGTGGGAGCGTTTGTGTTCTTGGAGACGGACGGGACGAGAATAGGATTTGGTGCAGCCTTCAAAGTCGCAGGCATACTTGTTCTGTCGAGGTTTGGAGGGTGCCTTGGATGACTTTGGCGATGATGGTTGAGTCGAGGTGCCGGGTGTGGAAACGGGTGATGCGACAGAGAAAGTGTCGCCCTTGTCACTGCCCTCTGTGGAACGAAGCGTTAGATGAGAGTCGATGACGGAGGAGAAAGTGCTTGTTACCATCTGAGAGGTCGTGAGTGTCTCCGACTCTGCTCCTCTTGACAGAGTCTGGAACATCATCCGATGCAGCTTTGCGCTTCTCGCCGGTAGCACACATCACTCCTTGCAATCATGGGACTGAGATGAGCGACTGTTTTTCCACCTTGATCACGCGAAAGCGCTTTCTCGAAAACTTGTCTCGAATCTGGGGTCACTTTTCTGCCACAGCCTTCACCGCCTAGCCGGCGTCCGAGCGCCCTCACCCTCCTCTTGTCCCGTCGTAGCAGTCGGCCAGCTCTCGTTTTGACGTTCAACTTGACTTTGGTGAGTGGCCAAGTCCAACAGGTGTGCTATCTTCCAACCATCTCATCATGACAGATTCCATGTATCATGCTGGAAACTGATAGGAGTGCCGACAAGTCGCAACAAATTGCCAGAATGAAATGAGGGATCGGATTCGAATACCCGATTTGTGCTGCTATCGCTCGTCATAGTGCGGGGTGGAGACAGGCATGCCGCTCCACCTTCATAAACATGGCGTATTCTGTCTACTCTCAATTCTTTCTCTCTTGCTTCTTCTTTCACATCACTGCAAAATGTCTGTCCAAACCACTGCTACTATCGCCTCCTTCGGGGGTCAGCTCCTGAAGCTGGCTCACAAGGCTGCTTCGACCAACTGCGAAATGAAGTTCAACTTGTTTCTCCCTCCTCAAGCTCTCAAGAACTCCGCATCCAAGATCCCCGTACTCATCTATCTCTCTGGTCTGACTTGCACTGGTGACAACTGCTCGGAAAAGGGGTTCTTCCAGCACCGCGCCAGCGAAAAGGGAATTGCTGTCGTCTACCCCGACACTAGCCCGAGTACGTCTGCTTGTACAATGTAAATTCCTAGCTGGAGTCACATCTAATCACGTATACAGGAGGACTTGGTATCGCTGGTGAGGATGACTCGTACGATTTCGGTTCGGGCGCCGGCTTCTATGTCAATGCCACGAAGGAGCCCTACAACAAGGGTTACAACATGTACTCATACATTACCGAGGACCTCCCCAACGCTCTATTCTCAGAGTTCAAGCAATTGGACTCGGAGAGAGTTAGCATTACTGGCCACAGCATGGGTGGCCACGGTGCCCTGACTCTGGTATGCTTCATCTCCTTCGATCATGATTGCAAGCTAACACGAGCATCTCTAGTTCCTCAAGAACCCCGGCATGTACAAGTCCGTTTCCGCCTTCGCGCCCATCGCCAATCCTAGCAACTGCGACTGGGGCAAGAAGGCTTTCTCTGGCTACTTTGGCGAGGATCAGAAAGAGAAGTGGGCAGAGCACGACGCGACAGAGCTCATCAAGAAGTGGAAGGGTCCCTTGGATATGCTTATCGACGTCGTACGTACTGTCGGAATTTCCGAGAAAAGTCTGTATTGCTGACATAACCTTGCAGGGTACCGGCGACAACTTCTACAAGCAAGGCCAGCTCTTGCCCGAGAACCTCACCAAGGCTGCCAAAGAATCAGGCAACGACAAGGGCGTCAACCTTAGAATGCAACCCGACTACGACCACAGCTACTTCTTCATGGCTTCCTTCGCTGATGACCATGTCGACCACGCTGCCAAGTACCTTCTGGGCTAGTGAGTGTTCATAATTGACCTCGGAGCAGTGGGCACACTAATTATGCTCCAAGCCGGCGCCCTCTTAAACAAAAGCTCTAGGCGAAATATATGTTTCCCCACATGACGATACGCCAACCTGATGACAGCGAATTTCCGTATAATGAACTGATTATCTCGATGTATATAATAGCAATACGCTTATCAAGGAGAAAGGTTTACCAATCATGCCCTGTAGACGCGACTTCGAGCAACATGTAGTTCGCGAATCATTTGTCTACACCACATCCACTGGACTTAAGAAGACACCATCAGTGCCGGCTTCCGTGGCTACCAATCACAACATCCAGTGAAACTGTACACGCATCCCCACTAACCGTCCTTTTGGACTGCACGGGACAGTAATAACGATCATTCCACATATGCTGGATCTGTCGAAGCTCCTGTCTCCGGAAGAATGCCATGTTGCCTATCCACCCTCCCGGGCGACATTGTCTAGAAATGCCTCTGCAGCCATCTTTAAACACTGTTCGACTACCGAGCATGTCAAACAGCCGGTACCATACACGCAGCTCCATTCCTTGGTGCAGAGGTGTGTTATCTCACCCCTTGCGTGGTAACCGCACGTTGCCTTGGCAAAGGGTGTTGTTGACTATTCACTGCTCATATTCGACACCGACCCCGATACCAGGAACTCACTGCTCCTGCTCTTGGCATTCATAACATCTCGAAAGTCTCGCGAGCACATTTGAAATCATGAGGCCTCATTTGGCTATCCTGGCCGTTGGCCTCTTTGCTTTCGTTCGCGGGCAAGTCGTCGGCAATGACAACATCACCACTGTATCCACTGCGACATGTTCATCAACAGGAACTCAAACATACGCTTACGTCGACCCTTCAGGCATACAATATAGATATCAATGTGGTGCGGGATCCGGAGGCACCCAGACTTCCGCTGTACCTTCGGCCAGTGTCAGTAGTTGGCAAGCCTGCTTTGCCTTCTGTGATAACCTTGCCGGGTGTAATGGATTCACATACGTAAGTCAACCATATCAAACAGAACAGATATCTCGACATGGGTTATTAAGCCAATAGATCTGACGGAAACTATACTAACGCGACGCTGAGTAGAACAATGGTGCGGTCAACGGAAATGGGCCTGGCCAATGCCTATTGAAGGCCGGAACGACCAATAACTTCGCCAGTACAGCTACTCTTACCGCGACGCGAATTGCTGGCTTGCAGGTACGGTACCTTCCTAGTAAGTACTAAGAGATAAAGCCACGCCAGTTGACTAATATGCTCTCCATAGAACCTATCCCCTCCTTCTCTTGTCCACAACAAGATCAACAAACCGTAACGGACCTGGGAGGTCAAGCATATGTCATTCAATGTGCTCACGATCTAAGCGGTGGATCAGGCCCTGGTATGCTTCTCCAGGCAGCCAACAACTTCAACGACTGTTTCGCATCGTGCGACAGCTTCACTCCGGCTCCGACTGAAACTCAATACACAACTTGTAATGGATTCGCCTACTCTGGAGTGGCCAATGGAGCAGGACCTGGCAATTGTTACCTCAAATATGCGACTGTACCTTTGACTATCAATCCAGCCACCAACACCAACAATGTAGGCGCTATCAGGGTGGCTGCGGCACCGGCTACCGCAACCACTACCGTATTATCTGTGTCCTCGTCGAGCTCTTCCGCATCTAGCTCATCTTCTAGCTCTCTATCTTCGAGTTTTAGCTCTTCTCTAGGGTCGTCCTCGGCGTCCGTAGCTCAGGCGGTGTCTGCGAGTCAGGCCTCAGCAACTTTTTCGAGCTTCTCATCCTTTCCAAGCTCTTCTAGCTCATCTGTATCTTCGAGTCTGTCGTCCTCATCCTCATCGAGTCTGTCATCAAGCTCATCGTCTTCAATTTCGAGCGTTTCGTCTTCGATTTCATTTTCTGCAGGACAGGCGTCAATTACTGCTTCCCTTCTGTCTAGCAGTTCTTCGTCATTTTCATCCTCTTCGAGCTCAAGTGTGAGCTCGAGTCTATCATCCTTATCATCATCTTCTTCATCTAGCCTTTCCTCATCTCGGAGTTCGAGTTCGTCTTCTTCAACCTTTTCAGACACCTCTATCCTCACAGGACCGTTTTCTTGTAATTCTACAGTCACGGTCACTTCTACTTGGACACCGCCTTCTAGAATGGAATTATAAAGAGCATTGGAGCCGGGGATACGGGTTGTTCTGCTTCAATCAATATGGAAGTGTTGGGTATATGTTGTTTACAGACAATGGTTTCACGGCGTTACAAGAGTTCCTCATATAGTTTGGCAAAGCAACAAACTATCTATTCGCATCTTGTTTTGAATTGTAAGAGTGAAAGACAACAAACGGCCATCGTGTACACTTCTCTGCATCTTCCATGTTTTCCTGTAGGCAGATAAGGATGACGGGGCAAATGGGGAGGCTACTAAAATATTGCTTCTTTGTTGCGTAGCTAGTAGCAAACGGAAGCTTCTATCTGACCCTCTACTATATAATCGGTGCTTTCCACCTTCAGATTGGATGGTTGGTTTAATCGATCTCAGGTCTTACTCGTACATAGTCTTCTCTTCCAGACCTCTGCAGGTCTGGTCCGTACAAATCCATCTCTTTATTGAACAGATTAATGTTCTCCGTCGGGACCGTTTCTCTACCAGCCACTCTGCGCAGGTGTCGCTATAAAGTTGTGTATGCGTGTATGAAGGGCAATCTTGTGTAGATTTGCGGAAGCGTGCTTGTGTAAAAGGCAGTGCGGGAGCCCGCGGCGCGTCGATAGTACTGAGATTGTCCGGTGTGATTAGCAGTCATGTCAACGCGATTGCCGAATTTCGAGGCATATCAACGCGAGTATAGCTGGTTTTTGAGTACGACATTGGCGCAAAGGGAGGTGTCTCGGATGTCGAGCATGTCGCGACAATTGTATCAGTCGCTCGCTCATGACATCATCACCCACATCTTGTGCTCTGACATGGCATAACTATGTAAGCTATGCAAGGTGTGCAAGGCTTCGAGGACTCAAAATTACAACACAACAGCAGCTCTCTTCAAATTAGACATTGTCGTAAATGTGGCCATGTTCAAAGTAACCTGAGGTGCGCCACAAAATTCGAGCAGAAGTTTCTATCGATGAGATGATCATACTCAGATTACTTATGGTGCTTTGACATCTCCCAAAGGCCATGAACTGTACCCGCCTGGCAGATTGCCCACATCGCAACTTCCCGGATTCTCGAAGCTCTCTGTACTTCCCATACAGCCCGGCACAGCCGTAATGTTATACCACTGACAGTCTATGGACACGGCACCACCGATAGTGTCATCGCTCCCCTCGTCACAGACTTCGCCAATCTTCTTGATGGCACTGGTGCATTGGTCTTTGTCAATCTTGATGCCGGTCTTGTCCAGGCACTCTTTGTCGACGTAGGCGAAGAGTGTTAGCTTTGCGCCGTCCAAGCCGTCGTTTCCGGTGTCTTGGACAGCATTGGAGTAGGGGTTCAATGGCACGGTTCTTAGTCCTTCGCCAGCATGATCATCGCAGAATTGATCGGCATAGGCTTCCAGATTGTGCTTGCTCATCTTGTATGGCTTGTCGACGTTGCAAGTTGGTGTTGGCTCTGCAGGAGGGCTGGGAGTCTCGGTGGGCTCGAGACATCCGGTTGTTGCTGTGCCGTAGAATGACCAGACAGACATGCCGTGTTGCTTGTTGTCGTTGCAAGTACAGTAAGGACCGCCGTTCTTTCCGGTGGCGGTTTCTGTTCTGCATTCGGTGGGAGCGGTGGTAATTGTGGGTCCGTGATCGATTGTGATTGTCTCAGTGGGCAGGGCGCTGTAAGAGCAGGGAGCTGTCTGACTGGCAATGGTCGAGTACACGCCAACCTTATATGGGTCGGTAGCTGTGCAGACGCACCAAGTAGCTGGGCTTGCTTGTTCGGTGCCGTAGAAGTCAGGACCATCGCTGTTGGCAAAGCATTTCGCAGGGGATGAGTCTGAAACAGTGAGAGCGGCGATTGCAATCAGGATCTGCTCTCTCTCGTCCCACCACTCCTGATCAGATTCCTCGATGTGATCAGGGCCATCTATGACTGGGACGCATGCACATCCTTTGTCATCTCCTTCGGTGCATTTGTCGTCATCATCACCCTTGCACTTTTCATGCGTGCAAGGCCATGAGTCAATATCGGCTGCCTTTGATGGATCGCACTGCTTCGTATCGTCATCATCGCCAGACTCTTCACTCGGTTGACCAATACCATTAGCAGGAATGTTGACGATAGCGATAGCACCGGAGGTCTCGAGTGCTGCTAAGAAAGAAGCATAGATAACCATGGCTTTCTTCTTCTGAGCTTCCGACTCGATGGCAGCAATAGCCGAGACCATCTCGGCAGGTGCATCTTGTGCTAGCTCAATACCTATATCCTCGAAGAATGTCTCATCTTGCCAGAAGTTGGACGACTCTCCAGTCTCTGGAATCTCTGGTTCAAAAAGTTCATCATCGGCTGATAAGTCAATGGCCTCATCAATGAGACACGAGGAGCCTTCTCTTATGTAAGTACATGTGACTGAAGGATGGCAATGTCAACTTACCAGACTGTCTCCTGGCAATCGAAGATCGACGGCGGAAAGACCGTTTGGTGTTCCTGCGAGAAATACCACACTTTGAGATGGCATCCCCAGCCTTGTCTTTGAGCGTGTTTGCAAAGCTCTCAGGGAAGGTGATAGTTATATCTCCATTCTTCCAGTCAGAGCCATCAGCTGTAGCAGTTGCGACCAAAGCTTGCACTGTTGATGTTTTGGTCTTTGAGCCTTCTGTCTTAGTCTCCACTGTCAAGAAGTCGGTGTGTCCTTCGATATACTGCTGCTGTTAGCAAAGTCTCAGAGATGGGCTTGATTCGACTCACGTGATATTCGTTACCAGAGATGGTAAGAACCGGATGATCAGGTCCGAGGTCACTCAGATGATACACTCCAGTATCTCCAAGATCATCGGTCACAGGAGTCACGCCGATCTGACCAGAACCGGTCGGGTTAATAGCTCTTCCGGTGATTGTTGCTCTTTGCTTGTTGATCGAGGATACTGTGAAGCTGGGTGATGGAGTGTGGGCAGGCAGTTGTGCATCAAAAGCGTGAGCCAATTGAGCGATGCTCGCTGCAAGCAGAACGAGGTTCTTCATCTCGAAGCACAAACTTATAGAGAATAAGAGTCGAAAAGGTGACGGGGATGAGGTGGACTAGGAGAAAGCAGTAGCACTGCGGGTCTCGAAGATATATCGAAATTCTGCTTGCCTTTTGCTTCGTTATATTGACACAAAATCAGGCCCTTCTTGTTTTTCTTGCCAATGGAGGCTTATGAGCTGGAGTTGCAGAGGGCTGTGCTCTTGATCCTTCATCCTTCTCGGTCACAAGTCGCTGTTTGGAGATTTAAATCAAGGCATCCTTGCCATGACTCTCGATGTATCCATCACCTGAGTAGGAGGGGGTACATCCTTGTAAATCCTACATCCTTCGCAGAAATGTTCTACTGCGACCCATAGAATGAGTCACTAGGTGCAGTGCCGTTGATTTTGTTAAGGCACGTACAGTTGTTGGTCGTACTTGAAGTAGGACTACTATAAGAAGGACGTCTCTTGGTAGGTGGCCTCACCTTGGCAGCAACGCCAACCAACTTCGGACCCACACCAACATGGAGTTAGCTGAAACACACCAAAATCTTCGAATCCTTCACATGAGTCGAGAGGCGATTCCTCTCAGCAGGTCACTCACGAGGCCTGCCACTATCAAGTAAGTAATCGGAGCCTGGGTTGTTCCTCTAGATGTGATGGGTCGGATATATCTATCTTACCTCGCAATCATCAGTCTCTTTCCCTTCATGTTCATTCATCTCCTTTCCGCCTCTGCTTCGAGTGTTCTTTCGTATATTCACCTTCCCACTTAGCGCCTATGAAGTTCTCTCTAATGCCGGTGGCCGCTGCCACCTTGTTTCTGGCAACTGTTCAGTCCTATACCATTGATCGAGAGAGTTGTGCAAAACACTACGATCTTGTACAGGAAATGGTGGATGGTGCGTGGGTTCGAGCCAACGCTGCCTTGGTTCGAGCTCAAGCAGATCCACATGACGCCGATACGGAGCGACTGCTGAGAAACATATTCGATGCCGAAGGCGATGAGGCAAGGAGAATTGTCCTCGAGAGAATTGAAAGGAGTACCGTGAATGGTAACCAGGATTTCGGTATCTTCCAATTCGAAGAGAAGAAAGACATCGCGCGCGACCGGTACAAGGTAGACTTGTTCAGAAACGATGTGGTCATCTTTTGCAATACAGATCGATACAAGCGCTTCTCAAAGGATCCAGAAGCAAAGTTTGGAGTATTGTTTGACGAGGGTAAGTCAAAGGCTATCGCCGCGACCTACCGTCAATGCTGACGATGCTAGTTTTGGAAGAAGCGGTCGGCATGACCGACGGGTGTGGCGCTGCATTTGCCTGGACACTTCCATACAGAAGATACAACGTTATTCAGCTCTGCGACTGGTTCCTCACCTACGCGGCGAATAAGAAATATAAGACGATAACAGATCTGACGTCGATCAAAGGAAATCTTGCGGCTGCAGGTGCAGACAAACTCATCACCAAGGCTCTCTACACGCCGATTGACCTCATTCAGCTGTGGGACAAAGTTATGTACCACGAATTTTTCCATACTACTGCTGGCAAGAACGCGGAGGACTATGGTGGCTTTGGTGGCTATGGTTGGAAGAACGTCAAGAAGCTCGCAAAGAAGAACAAGGAGCAGGCGGCGAACAATGCTGACTCTCATGCCTTGGTCGGCGCTGCATCCTGGCTTATGGAAGAAGGATATGCTGTCGGGGATGACGGAAAGATAACCAAGATGGAGTAGACTCAGGATGTAGACTCTCGTACAGTGGTGTATGTCTTCTGCGTGCGACATCGATCAGAAGTGTTGTGTTGACGAAAACGATGACTGGTCGTGGTGCACCGAGTTTGAGTGAGGTGGATGCCAAGACTTGCGCATTGGCCGCAGTGGGCAGGGTGATTTGCAACTTGTTGATCGTTACGTCGAGTGCCTTGTGCACCGTCGTCTCACATCAGGCCGCATCCTGCGCCCCAGGTAGGTAGTGAAGGCGTGATGGATGTGTAAAAGCTATAAGACGCAGCTGAAGGTTGCTTCGCCCTACTCTCTCCTTGCCGCGACCAACGTAAATGTCTTCCTTATTGTCCCTCCTCGGTCTGCGACAGTCCAACGATGCACCGTCGCCATTGAAGCAGCTCACATCCAAGAAACCATACAGCGTACCAGGCCCATCCTTCGCTTTACGACGCCCCTTGACACCGCCCGGTCTTCCCGCCGCACCCTATATCGCTCGACCCCAACCGCAGAGTCCTCTTCTCTCGCTTCCTGTCGAGCTTCGTCTTCATATCTGGACTCTTGTCGTCGGACCTGGCCGGGCTGTTCCACTCGACTACTGGAAACAAGCTTTTGAAAGCAGAAATGCTGCTGTCGTCGGCCTTCCTCTTGACGATGGCGACTTGACCGGTTGGGAGACAGGCTTGCTGGCGTCTTGCAAGCAGACATACACCGAAGTGCTGCCCATGCTGTTACGTGCAATGAAGATCAAAACGCGCATACCGGATGTCATGATAAGGTTGCCTCAGCTACTGCCACCGCACAGGTTGCATACTATAAGGAATGTGGAGTTTTTATGGTTCATACATTGTCCGCCAGCCATGGATCCCAACACCAAGGCCGGACGCAAGGAGAAGGAGAATGCATTGCTACTCAAGGCTATTTGTGAGCTTCTGGGCACATTGGATGGGCTGGAGGTCTTCAAGTGGCATTTCGCATTTAATAGGAGTGGATGGGAAGACGTTGAGCAGGCCATACTGGACGAGATCAACAAAGCTAGGAAAGGAAGGCAGGACTGGGAAGTCATCTTTTACCAACATCTCTCGCCAGGGACTGGTGGGAAAGATTGGAATGGTTTGACCATTACTTACGCGATCTGATTCCGCACTTGAAATCCCTTGCCGCACCTCCTCAGACATCTTCTCCTTATCTAGCACTTCGACATCGTGGGCGAATTGACCTTCTTGACCATCGATGCGCTGCTCAACCATCTTCCCGGGTGTCCATACAAGAGCAGAACGACAGCCACAACCATAGGCGCGAACTCCAAACACCCAAAGTATACTTCATGCGAAGAAAGCTTCTGTAGCAACCCCTCCGCTGTCTCGGCCAATCTGAAGCATGTCCTGAGATAGACAGCCAAAGCCGCCACACCGACACTGGCCAAGAACCCGACTCCAACCTTCTGCGGACTAGCCCTTGCCTTGACCAAAATCCAGGCAAAGACGACCAAGAAGAGTGCAAATGAAAAGACCTGGAATGCCAGACCAGCGAGTAGGATATTGTTGTACGTCGAAGGATCTCCATTGCGGCCAGAGTATGCAGTTCCAACTAAAGCAGCACCAGCGACTTGCAGAGCTGTAGCGAGAACATCGCATCCCACGAAGCCCCAGAGGACAAGTTTTGGAGGTAGGGGTGAATATTCGCGGCCGTAGAAGTCTATCAAGACTGAAGCGATGGTGTAGATGGAGGCGCTGAAAAACACTGGTGCAACGACAATGCAGAAGTACTATGTGACTGATCAGTGATGTCTCAGACCACAATATTGGAAATGGTATAAGTACCTGGGCCACGAAATATGGTACAGCATAAGGATCATCGACATGCGACATAATACGAAAGATGTAGCCGATAATCTCCATCGCCGTACCTACGGCAACAGGCACAAAGTACCACGTTCGGTACTTGGAAAGGAGAAATACATGTCCTGCGAGCCCTATAGCGAATAGGACTATAGCAATAATTGACAAGACAAGAGATGGGATATACCTATGACGTAGTTAGTAAACACATCTATCATGGTAAAGCCATCAGTGTGCTGCCAAAACCCACCCATAAATGATAATAGAAGAATCTTGCATGTTTGAACTAGGTGAATTGCTGTCACAAGAGATTATGATCATCCTTCGAAGGGATGCCTGCTGCCTTTTGTTGTTTTCGACTTGTCATGCATGCCATGGCGGAGTTGAGCGAAAGGATTCAAAGCCCGTTTCGCAACTGCCATGGCAGTTTATGCTTTTTCCTCTCTCATACGCACTCATTTCTGGGCAGACAATGTACATACAAAATCGATTAGTGCACAATACCAAGAGATGGTCGCTTACTTGACTTGTAGCTTGCAATCGGCTGAGGTAATACTGCCACATTCTTGAGCCTATTCCATTATTTCTCATCTCGCAGAGTCTGCTTACTCAAAACTCGACCTTTTCATCTCGTGCTCCATCCACAAAATTCGCTGGCTCCCTTCTGCTCCGATCGACCCTTAGATCAAAGATGTCAAGTCTCTGATATCCTCCAACAACATCGTGATATTGTTTTCCCTCCACGCACTCTTCCACATCCAAATCAGCATACAAAATATCCTCTCTATCCTGCAAATACTCCGTCTCCGACTGCTTACCCGCCTCGTCAACAGTAAACCCAACCTTCAACATTCCAGTAGGGTCCAAAAACATCGTAGCCGCCCTCTGAGATAGCTGCAATGTCTGTCTGACACCAACTTCATCACTCTCTCCCTTCGCTACAATATCAATAGCTGCATCATCCAAAAACGCAGCATTAATGATACCAAAACATTTGGCTTCAAAGCAATGAGCAGCAGCCCTCGTCCTATTAGCAGCCAGATTATCATAATTCTTTCCCTTTTGCGCCACAACATCTGGTCGTAACGCTCTAGTCGGCCATGCCGCAGGCCAAGTGGAAATATGGATTTGCTCGCCCTGAGCCATTAATGCATATCTCGCCAATGGATTCGTATTCTCTCCACATATCAAGTTTCCAATTTTGCCGTATTCTGTATTTGAGACTTTTAGGCCGTTTCCATCTCCAGCACTCCAGGTCAGTTTTTCGAAAAAAGTGGGTTGGAGTTTACGGTGGTGGTTTAGTATTTCTCCATTATTTCCGATGAGTAAGTTGGAGTTCCAAAGTGTTGCACTGCTCCAGCGAGCTTTTTCTGATATGCCGATGCTAATCATGATCTTGTGTTTTTGAGCTGTTGCTCGTAGAGTTTCGATTTCTGGGCCATCGGCATAGATGGATTCTTGAACCATACGCTTGAAGAGGTCATGGTTTTCGGTGGGTGCTCGTATGGCACTCCAGATTGGAAAGGCGGAAATGTAGGTTTCTGGAAAGACTACTAGATTCGCTTTGTTGGCGCTTGCTTGTGAGATGAGTGTGATTGCTTTTTGGGTCGTCTTTGAGGCAGAGAGGAAGACGGGAGAGACGTGACATGCTGCTGCTCGGAGGATTTTTGAAGTCATGATAGAGTGTGGTTGTTGATGTGAAGCCTGACGTCGTGTATCGATCCTGTCAGGAAAGACTCAATGATCATTGAGCGATTGATGTCAAGGCATATGTATCTCTTGATGGGCGCAGAGATCGCAATGGAAGAACTGAATATGTGTGGAATGAATCCATGCTGCGACGACTGGACAAGGCTTACTAGACATGTATGCGGATAGAGCGGGTATAACGGATGACCTCGGTGACCAGAGCGGGGAAGGAGCGACCAAAGTGTAAACACTCTTGCTACAAACATTGTCGCAATGGAGAAGCAGATATTTGATAATGGCCGTGAAGCGTTTCGTTCTTGCAATTAGTTGTGTATATAGAGAGACAAAACAAACAGATCATCATCCTTTCCAATCAAGGTTACTATTCTTCTTACTCGCCCTTGTAGCCCTCAGTCAGGGTGACAGGACCAGTGTAGACCTTTCTTCCTCTGAAGACCCAGTCGACAACAGCGACCACAAAGACAACCATGAACATGAGCACCGACCAGTTAAAGTCGGCGGCAGCCTTGGAAGTGGTCTGAGGCCAGAACATCCAGAAGAACACAAAGCTCGAGTACAAGACGGCGAACGTGTTGATAGGAACACCCCAGCGTCCAAGAGACCATCTGCACTTGGGCAAAGATTCGGGTTGAGTAATGCGGCGGTACAGAACACAGCCAATACTGACGACGTAGGTGATCATCAGAGAGGTCAGGTTGAGAGAGACGATGGCGTTGAAGGCGGCGTCAGAGCCAATGTTGATGAGCGAGAGCAAGATGGTGAACATGCAAGTGACAGTGACTGAGTTGATAGGAATCTCGAGTTTGGGGTCGACCTTGGCGATCCAGTTGCTGAAGGGTAAACCTTGATCACGAGCGAAGGACCAAGTCTGGCGAGAGGTCGACAAGTTGTAGGAGAGAGTGCCAGCGTAAATCAGGATGATAACGATTGCCGAGAGGGTGTTGAAAGCGGGCATACTAAAGGCGTTGGTGAAGACATACATGTATGGGTAGCCGGAACCATTGCTGGCATCATCAATGGCACCAGAAAGGTCGACAACGCTGAACATGTATGTGATCAAGAAGACAAGACCCAGGGCGCCGTTCAAGAAGTAAGACCAGATCATTGCTCTTGGGACGTTTCTTCCAGCATCCTTGACCTCTGTTATTAAGTTAGTCATCATACAACGCAATTCTCAAACTTCAAGAAGACTTGCCTTCAGAGACGTGGGCAGCTGCATCGGAACAGATACAGGCATATACGGCCGAAACTTGACCAACCATCAAGGAGAGACCCATGGAGCTCCAGCCACCAGAGTTGGTGAAAGTTCCGAAGACATCCGATGCTTTGTTTCTGGGAGCGAGGACCCAAATCATGACAATGATGACCAAGAAACCAAAGACGTGGACAATCATCATGAGGTTCTGGAAAACAGGCATGGCTCTGGATCCCCAGATGTTTGTGACCCATACGACGAGAGTGATAGCAATGACCAACAAGGTACCTTGCCAGTTTGCGTAGCCGTAGTTGGGGTCCTTTTCATAGATCAAAGACTGGATCAAGGTACCGACGAGATATGGTCCAGAGGCTGTACCGGCTTGCCAAGAGAGGGTTGACATCCAACCACCGAGGAAACTCAGAATCTTCTGTTGCGATGGAGGAGCGAATTCGGAAATCCAGTGATATTGACCGCCAGCCTGTAGCAGTCAGTAAGAAGAACACAACGCAATTGACTGGGGTAGATGCACGTACGGTTGGGCACATGGATGCCATCTCGGCCAGCGAGAAGACGACAAAGGTGAAACCGAAGAATGTCCAGATGTAAGACCATACGAGACCTGCAAGACCGCCGTTGACCATTCCCGAAGTGGTAGCGGTAAGAAGAACCTCCCAGGTGCCCTGAAGGATGATGGTGAAAGCGATAGTCGACATAGTACGGAAGTTTCTCCTCAATTCTTGCTTCTTGCCCATACGCTTCATCTCACGCGCGTCAACACGCGTGAATCCAGTGTCGTTCTGTGCATTGCGCAGATGGCCATGGTAATCGAGGTCGGCGTCATCATCAATACCATCAAAGCTGCGAACTTCCTTTGTTCCAGAAGCAAGACCAGGCTTGGTGGCAGTCTCGGGCATGACACTGGCCGACGAGCTGGATGCAATGGTGTGATCCATGGTATCGTTGCTTCCAGGACGCACTTCAGCAACGAACATGGTTTATCAAGCCTCGAGAAAAGTCGGTCGGAAAGGGAGATCCGCCACCTTTAAACAATCGACAACAAACCGGATCTACCTTGGCGGGGCGCGAATGCTCTTAAGTCATTGTAAAACGATAGAAGGGTCGCTGGCGGCCCGTGCAATATGTATGCGAACCTTGATCACCCTAAGGGCTGGGCAGTGTGCGGATGGGGGTGTGGACCGTCTGCCGGACGTTGAACTTACACCAGCGACCGGAGGTGAACGAGGTTCGAGCTTTTTCGTTTAACGGATTTTGCTTTTATTCGAAGACTGCTTTGGGTAGTCCGTGGAAATAGGTCAAATGATGCACGTATTTCGACAGAATATCTTCCGGCAAAAGGCATCCCTCCACGGCGAGGCTTGTTGGTCGTGGGCGAGTCTCAGGAGTTTCGCCTCAGCATGCCGAGCGAGAGATCTGCTTCGTGCATATAGTACACGGAAGGTGCAGGCCTATGAGTCGTCCACGGCGAAACAAGTTCGCTGTTAGACTTTGAGATTGCTTGAAGCCACAAAGCAGTATTCTGAAGTCAAATATCCACAAGCGATATAGACATCTGGACCTCGGGCTTTGCAGACACAGCTAGGGTCCTTATATTGTAATATATTAAGCGCAAGTGAGCCGAATTGGCCCTAAGGCCTGAGGTCTCAGTGCCGACAGGAAGGCAGACCGATCAACTGTAGACCATTCAGCCGAGTGGATACGGCTCTACGAGAGTGCAGGTTTACGTATTTACGTATTTACGTACGTTAGAAAATGGTTGACCCATATACGAGTAAGTAAGGCGCATCTAGGCAAGAATAGGGAAGCGAAGCCCGGCTAAGAAGTTTTCTGAGGCGTTGTGGATGAAACTAGAAGCGGTCGTAGGATTCGAGGCGCATGCAAAATTTCCGAGCGATTGGCTAGCCACGAGAATTTGTGCAGCCGAGACGGAATAAGCACGTGGAAAGCACCGAAGAATTAGCAAGTGGCATGGTGGAACACGGTGAGAGTGGATTCCAGCAGTTGTCGTAAGCCGATGGTGTGTGGCGATCAATCATCAAATGGTTTCAACCATTCTAGTAAATATAGCGAGAGTGGCATGAGGTGAGGGCTTTCAGCTCGGACGGCCAAGGGCGAGGGTGTGTGCCCGGCGAACCAGCTGGGGAAAGGAAGGTGCACAAGCCGGGGAAAGAGGTACAACCCTGTCTGTTTATCGCAAGCACGATGGGTTCATGAATCGTGAGTAAAAACCTTCAACAACGATGACCAAGCATAAGGACAATAGAGTTGATGTAAGGGGATGGTTCAGAAGGATTGACTTCAGCCGCAGGATGCAGTGAGGGAAGCATTATCTTTGGTCTCTCGTGGGTACAGTCAAAGCTCCGCAAGGTAGCGAGGAGGGTCCACGTTGAAAACAATCGACCGCCGAAACAGCTAGCAGAACACACATCGTCAGCCAAAATGTTACAATCAGACGCCGACAACTTTTTCCAGACCTCGTGAGCGACAGCCCAGACCCGATACACACGAGGGAGACGCCTGCTGAGACTCTGTGACAAGGGACTCGGTCGCCGAACAAAAGCGCAGACAGGCCAAAGCCGACAACAAGAATGGAAATCCCGTCGCCCTGACCTCAAAGGTCCTCGCTGTTCATGCCGATGAGCAGGATCCTGATGCTGTCTACATCGCCGAAGCTGCTGGTACCGCGAGGCGCGTGGTTCTAGAGGTACGAGAGAGGCTGCTTCACCCAATGAACTTGTGGTGTACTAATGCTCTCACCAGACTGGCGACACGTCGACCGTCTACACAGGCGCCGCTGCTCCTTTGACATCTCTCACCATCCTGCGCTCGCCATCAGCTGAGCCCATCCTCTTCGCCGCATGCTGGGACAAGACGATCCACTCCTGGAACCTCAAGACGCGCAGACCCCTTCATCGCTTCACCGGCCACTCCGACTTTGTCAAATGCGTTCTCGCAACACACATCTCTGGGACCCCTGTCCTCCTCTCAGGCTCGGCAGATTCCACCATTGTAGTCTGGAACGTCGAGACAGGCAGAAAGATTCACACCCTCAAGGGCCACGCCCGCGCCGTTCTCGATCTCGCACTTGACCCTGCGGCAACTACAGATGATGAGCTCTGTCTCTTCAGCGCCGATACCGTGCGTGACATTCGCTGCTGGAGGATTACTCTCGACAGCGTAAGTGAGCCTCTGACGACACCACTGCGGCCCCACGAGACTTCTGTCAACCGTCTGCGCTTTGAGGACTCTCTTGTCGTGGATGTCGAGGACGCAGACGCCGACGCAGATCTCTGGACAGCCTCATCAGACAAGACTGCTCAGAGACTGGTTCGCTCGCGTGACTGGGCCACCGACACTACACTGCCTCACCCTGACTTTGTGCGAGACATTGTCATTGATCAGCAAGCTGGATGGGTCATTACTGCATGCCGCGATGAGGAGGTTCGTGTTTGGAGCTCTGCCTCAGGAGAGCTGGCCTGCGTGTTTAGTGGTCACTTTAACGAAGTCACTGGTCTCGCCTTGATGCCTCCTGCACAGGGCAGCAGAGCTAGTCGTGTCGTCAGTGTTAGCATCGACGGCACGCTCAGAGTCTGGACCCTCGACCCTGCAGACATGAAGAAAGCCCAGGAAGAATACGAACGTCAGCAACAGGGCGTTGAAGTCGAGAAAGAGCCCGAAGCCAAGAAGGAAAGCATGCTCACAGCAGAGGAGGAAGCAGAGCTGGCCGAACTGATGGACTCTGACGATGAGTAAACGTAAAGTTGCATGATATAGAGAAATTTCATTCTTGTACAGTCAGAAACCCAGGCTCCTATCTGACACTTTGCATACTCGTTCAGAGTTCCTCTTCCTCGTCTGCCAATCCAACCAATCTTCTTTCCGCCAGTGCCGATATCTTTTCACCCAAAACATCGCGCTCGAATCTTGCTGCGATCTTCACAGCAGCCTCGAGCATCTTGCCCGATCGGTCTCTCATCAAGCTGACCATCTCTAGAGCCCTCATACCTCTCTCTTCGCCTTCTCTGCACTCTGCCGCCAGCAGTTGCAGCAGCACCTTATCGACATCAAGCTCACGTTGTGCAGCTTCCGTCTTTTGTGCATGTGTAGCATTCGTATTATTGACCAAGTCATCTTGAAGGCTCAGCAATACCGAGTTGCGCACGTACTGCTCTTCCAACTTTTGTGTATCACTCTCCTCATTCTCGTCTTGGTTTTCTCCATCACGAGCTGTGACGGGAACCTTGAAGTCAAAGTCGGAGAGTAGCGGGCGAGGGAAGTAGGGATACTTCTCTCCTCCCTTGAGGATGATGCAGTGGAACTTGTCCATTGCTACCGCAACTGGCCAGTATGCTTCCTCCTTTCTTCCCGAGGCCAGACGGTCAAGCTGGCTGGTGTCGAGTAGAGGCACCCATTTGGCTTGTCCAGGCGTACGCCAGTGTAGACATACCAGCAGGACGCCTTCCGAGTCGTAGATACAAGGATCCCCTCTGTCTGACCAGAAGACAGATTGTAGTTCCGATCGCTCTGGGAGAGGAATGATATCTTCTGACTGGCAGACTTCATCACGCTTCACATTCTCAATCGTGTATACGAGCTTAGCTGTGCCATCACCGCCTATCGAACCGTTGCCGATCGTGAGTACGTAGTCGCGCCAAGATGCACAGGCGACAGCTGGAGTACTCTTCTGTCTGTACACTCTGAATGGCAAGCCGTAAAGTGTGTAGACTCTGACATAGCCCTTTGAGGTCGTGACGACAACGAAACTTGTGCTCAAACTCAGAGATGTGACCTCTTCTCCTGCGGGTAGCTGTGTCCGCCAGTCTGTTCTCGATGTCCATGTTTCGTGGGGACGGAAATATACTAGACTGGGATGTTGATCTGATGATGGACACGAGAAGGCTGCACCATGCTCACCAAGACATGCCTTATCGTAGAGGAAGGGATCTGTAAAGTGAAAGTCGCGGTGTGCGGCACGGTCGTAGAATTCGACGGTCACTGTGTGATGGGTATCCTGGTCGACGGTCCAGATGAAGCCAGTCAAGTTCAGGCACATGTAGCGGCGATTGCCTCTCCAAGGGGTGCTACCAGGTTGGAAGGGATCGTGCAGGCGTGGTTGCCATCTGGCGCTGCCATACTGCTGTGGTCTCTTCGATGGCGGATATGCGACTTGTGCTCCTGGTCGCTTTCCGTTACCGTTGAGTTGCTCAACATAGCCTGCACCATCATCGTCGACAATGAAAGGATCTCCATTTTCAGAAAGCCCATCGTCACCAAGAATATCGTCTAGCGAATCGGGCGTTCCTGCTCTGCGCTGAGCACCGGGTCTAGCGCCACCATTCACAAGAGTCCTCGGAGCACCTTCAGGGACATCTTCGTTCAAGAAAGGCGCGGGGACTAGTGTCTTCTGGAGTAGTGATGCGTATTCTTGCGGAACGACTCCAGAATGCATGTATAGCTCTCCATCGTTGGTGGTGTAAGAAAGAATGTTCTCGGTAGGATGCCAGGCAAGAGCCAGGACGGGTTCACGATCGCTGTCAAATGCGATTACAGGCTGCTGTGTCTTCACGTCCCACAGTGTGATATTGAGGTCCTCACTAGCCGTCGCAAGTAGTGCTCCATTGGGTGACCAGGAGACAGCAGTGATGTCGCCGCGCCCAGCTGGTTTGAAAGTTCGTTGGTTTGACCAATCACTCCTTGAGACGACTTGTACAGCTTTAGTTGGGGTGGGAGCGCAAAGCGCTTTTCCGTCAGGGTGCCAGGTAACCTTTGAGCTTGCTTGAGAATCTGTCTCCATAATCTTGATCAGGCCGTCGAGTCGCTTGACAAGTTTTGGTTCTTCCGAGCTCAGAGAATAAACGTATACAATTCCATCGGAGCAGGAAACAGCCAGCGTAGAGCCACTGTGATCGAACGAGACGTGCTTGACAGGCCTTGTTTGATCTCGGAGATACATAACACGCGTCATGTCGTATGTGTTTACAATCTTCACCACCAATTCACTGTTGTCAAGTCAGTACACTACAGTCTACGCGATTGACGAAAGGCTTACTCTGATGCCACTGCAGCCCATAGACCGTCAGGCGAGATAGAGATGTCCCTGATGGGCAGCGTGCTCCGGATGAGGACTTCCTCCAAGGAATGACTGAACAAGGAGTATTTGCACACACTACCATCCTCTGAACCAGTCAAGAAGAAGTCATTGGTAGCCGCAACAGCAGTGTGGGAATCCTGAACCACATCAATGTTCACGGGCTCAGCATCAGATCCAGTAGTGAAAACGCGAATGACATTGTTCAGTCCGACCGTAACCAAATTGTTGCCATTTGGTGTGTATGCCAGATAAGTTGGTCCAGGGGCGTCTGTCAAGATGTGTAAGCATTTCTCAGTCATCAAAACATCGACATGACTTACGAGCCGGTCTAGCTCGAGGTTTTGAAGCCATCTTGATATGTTTAGATGAGTCTATCAGGAGATGATTATCACAAAGTGAGCGACGCGCCAAATGTGAATCACGAAGACGCGACGCGAGACTTGATTGAGTAGTTGTTATAGAACGTCAGTCTTGATCGATGAAAGCCGCCCCTGTTGACACTTATGTAGGATTTGCTACTGTACTCGGACATGTATCTTGATACCTGTGGTATATCTATAAGAGCATGTTGATTGTTGTAGAAGGGTACCATGGTACTCCATGACCCGTCTGCGGATTCCATCTCTCCGCCTCAAGTTGCTTGATCACTGGCATACAAACCCATGATGACGTTCTCTAGAATATTCTATACACCAACTGTGACCGAGCTCTAGACCGCGGCAACGGCTTGCGCAAACATGTGAGCTGTGTTTATCATCAACTTTCGACTCACGATCTTTCGCAATCCGCAACTCGCTTTCACATCATCACCATCATCATTCCGAATACACCTATCAAAACAAACGCAATCATGAGCGACGAAATCAAGAACACTGCCCAGGCCGGTGCCCCCATCGTCAGCGACCCCGAACACCAGCAGGCCCCTAGCAGCAAGGGCAAGGGCAAGGCCGTCGAAGACATGGACATGGATGACGACAGCTCTTCCGAGGAAGAGGAACAGGTCAGTCCAGATCAATTGTGCATCTCGCGAATGACATTATGCTAACAAGTTTGCGCAGGCCGCCCCTGGTAAGGACCATTATTGCCAAATCTTTACGCGCTATCGAACTAACAAGCAACAGAGGAACAGGAGGAGGGCGAGGAAGACAACATGGAGGAGATTGACGAGAGCAACATTCTGTCCGGTGGTAGACGCACCCGTGGCAAGACCATTGACTTCGCCAAGGCTGCCGAAGGTCTCGACGACGACGAGGACGAGGATGAAGACGACGACTTCGAAGACCCTGAGGAGATGAAGCAGTAGATACGCCTCAAGCGACACCCCAGCTGCCGCCATAGGCGCTGTGCAAAAAGTTCTCGTCTTACCTTTCCACGATCATTACCGGTACAGTCGGCATTGGGTATTGCGCAACTGTGCAAGGCGTCTCGGGCAGGAGGATGAATACATGACTTGCTTTTCAGCAGTCAAGGAGTCTCGGCGCATGGCGCAGGCATACCAGATCATCATCGACGAAACGAACCTTTATGAGCAGTGATACCATCGGAAAAGAATAAACAAACCATTACCCCAGCTATTCATACGGCCCAGACCAGATCAATGCATGTAGCGGACTGAAGTCCAGCAGTAACGAGTGTGTGACATGAAAATTGAGGGAGTTGTGGGAGTCTTTGGCAATACTTTTCCTCGGCACTATGGAGCATACCCTTGTACGAGATAGCCTGTGCCTGATTGCACTCACCGAGGTTCGCCTATTTGATAGGAACTTTGATCGAATGGGGCATATTTGCCTAAGAGGTCTTCCGGTATCGGCGAATGTCTCGCTGTGACTGGTGTCTGTCGTTCCGCCTCTGCCAATCCATCCAGGGCTAGGCAAGCCATATATGCACCAGTGGGCAGGCGGGGACATTTCCATTCGTCTCCGACTGCTCCCGCCGATAGCACTTCCTTCCTGAAATCACCGAAGTCTGTCCTTTCTCCTATCAATTGTTGGGGACTCGACACGGCAAAAGCAGGACCATCAGATCAAACTGAGTCGAAGCGACAAAAACTTGCATGTAACTGATGGTCTCGTCTGAACGATTGCGTCTCTAACAAGATCCCCAGCTTTTGACATGCACATGGCAGCGACCGACGTGTGATTTGAGACGGCGATAAGGGCCAAGGTAAGAATCTCTGACATGTCGCTGTGACTCCGGCCGCACCCTAACGTCCGGTCGAGCCAATCAGCTCCTGGCTAAAGCAGATGGCCTGCCGGTCAGCAGTACGGCAATCGGCCGGGGAATGCACGACCCAAGTCGACTATCCAATGAGGGTGTTTGCTGACCAGCCACCAGCGCAAGCTACACAATGGCAGCTCAAGGGTCTGGGGAAATTCTTTGTGTCGTTCGCCGTAATCTGAGTGAACCTGAGTCTCATACTGTCTGGTGACGATGAATCATCTGCTGTCGGAGAGGATGGATCAGACTTTGATCCAGGCTGAGCAAGGAGAGGCGATCGAAGCAAAGTAAGAGCCTTGGCCGAGGTAGCTGTGTTTTCTCCTGACTAGAGATCTTGTTGAGATGGCATCGCGACCAAAATGTTGTCTGGCAAGAGTAAGTCGAATGCTTGGGCTCACAATGAGGAGCATGTCCGACTAGACATAAGTCTCTGCACCGGCCATTGTAGAGTACTACTCTCTATCATACATCCTGTGATATATATGCGGCGGTTGCCTCCGTATAGAGCGGAAGCATTGGTTATTACCTTTGCTTGCCAGACTACGCTAGTTGGATCCCCACCTTTACGGCCAATTTACAAAAGCGTGGCCGTTCCCTCACCCTCTTCGTCTCGTCTTTACCACGCATACGCCTGAACTACGCTCTGCACGCAGACCATCAGAGCGATCTTGACTTCAGTGCAGGTAAGCTTTCTCTCGGCTGCAGCTCGCATCGCAGGCGTGCAAAACCCTGGCCCCTCATTCGTCGAAGCTCCTCGCCTTATCAATACCTGCACCACTTTCTTTTGCCTCCCCGCAATACCGTTCTCCAGTTAGCATACTCCGTGCAGCGGAGACGTGATTAGACGGGCGATCGCCTTGTGTCCGCATCATCTGAAACATACTCTCTTTTTATCGACTCTTTTGACCGAGCTTCAACTCTTTCTCCTTGCCACATTTACTCCCCTTGCCACGTCTATCTCTCGCCATATCAATTAGAGGCATCGGACTAATCATAGACTCTTATAGACGAGTTCGATCTCTCACAACACCAGAGGTTCCCGCCACTCCTTTATACCCCTAAAATCTATCGTACTCGGCTCCAGGCCGAAAGCATGGGTCGAGTGTCTTTCGAAGACCCAGTTGAGAACACCATCATCGAGGAAGATGAACCTGTAAACATCTACCCGTATGAGAACACGCCAGAGAACAAGTCATGGGCTGGTGCACTTCCAGTGAAGCAGGGTCTCTACGACCCTGAGCTTGAGAAGGATGCCTGTGGTGTCGGCTTTGCTGCGTAAGTTGACCCTCAATGTACGATCAAGGAGGAAGGGTACGGTCTAACTCTCGAACAGCCACATCAAGGGTGTCGCCAGTCACAAGATCGTCAGCGATGCAAAAAACCTACTCTGTAACATGACACATCGTGGTGCTGTTGGTTCAGATGCACGCGATGGTGATGGTGCAGGTGTCATGACATCCATCCCCCACAAGTTTTTCGTAAAGGAGTTTGGAAAAGAGCAAGGTTACACATTGCCCAAGCAAGGACAGTACGCCGCCGGTAACATTTTCTTCAAGCCTGATACCGAGGTGCTGAAAGAGACATTGGACACATTCGAGGAGGTGGCAGACAGCCTTGACTTGCGAGTCTTGGGATGGCGTGAGGTGCCTCGCGACTCTTCGTTGCTCGGTCCCGCAGCTGCCTCTAGAGAACCCATTATCCTACAGCCCTTTGTCGTCTTGAAGTCCGCATACGGTGATGCCAAAGCACCCAAGGAGTCCTTCGAGTCCGAATTTGACGAACCCTACTTCGAGCGCCAGCTTTACGTGCTGCGCAAGCGTGTCACTCACGTCATCGGCCTGCACAACTGGTTCTATCTCTGTTCCTTGAGCAACAAGAACATTGTCTACAAGGGTCAACTTTCTCCTGTCCAGGTCTACGAGTACTACTTCGATCTGGTCAACGTCGATTACGAGGGTCATTTCGCCCTGGTCCATTCTCGTTTCTCCACAAACACATTCCCCTCGTGGGACAGAGCACAGCCCCTGAGATGGGCAGCTCACAACGGAGAGATCAATACTCTTCGTGGTAACAAGAACTGGATGCGCGCAAGAGAGGGCTTGATGAAGTCCGACTTGTTTGGCGACGAGCTGGAGATGCTTCTGCCCATCATTGAAGATGGCGGTTCCGACTCCGCCGCATTCGACAACGTTCTCGAACTCCTTACTATCAACGGTGTCTTGTCTCTCCCCGAGGCAGTAATGCTGATGGTGCCCGAGGCATGGCAGGGTAACCGCGCTATGGACCCCGCAAAGCAGGCTTTCTACGAGTGGGCAGCCTGTATGATGGAGCCCTGGGATGGCCCTGCTCTTTTCACATTTGCTGACGGCAGATACTGTGGCGCCAATCTCGACAGAAACGGTCTTCGTCCTTGCAGATACTACATTACTGACGATGACCGCATTGTTTGCGCTTCCGAAGTCGGCACTATCGCTATTGAGCCCGAAAAGGTTGTGCAGAAGGGTCGCCTCCAGCCCGGAAAAATGCTTCTGGTTGACACTGTTGCTGGTCGCATCGTCGACGATGCTGAGTTGAAGCAGACTGTCTCAAAGCGCAAGGATTTCCAGAGCTGGATCAGTAGCCAGCTTATCACTATGCCCGCCATTTACGACAAGCTTAGCGAAAAGGGTGCCGACCTTGGCTTCACACTGTCCGAGACCAGAGTCCAGGAAGATCCGCGACTCAAGGCCTTCGGCTATTCTCTCGAGCAGGTCAGCCTGTTGCTCGGTCCTATGGCCGCCGACTCCAAGGAAGCCCTTGGATCCATGGGTAACGATGCCCCGTTGGCATGTCTTGCACAGCAGCCTCGTCTGCTCTATGAGTACTTCAGACAGCTTTTCGCCCAGGTCACCAACCCTCCCATCGATCCTATTAGAGAAGCGGTGGTCATGTCGCTCGAAGCCTACGTTGGTCCCCAGGGCAATTTGCTTGAGATGAGCCCTTCCCAATGCCACCGTCTTTTGCTGCCTTCCCCCCTTCTCTCAATCGAGGAGTTCAACGCCTTGAGCCAGATCTCGCAGCTCCACCGCGACTGGAATGTTCACACCGTCGACATCACCTTCCCCAAGAAGGAGGGTATCCAAGGTTACCTTGACGCCCTTGACCGCATCTGCGACCAGGCCGCTGAAGCTATCGAGAAGAACGACAAAATCATCGTTCTGTCTGACCGCGCCACCTCGGCCGACCGTGTCGCAGTCTCTGCCGTTCTTGCTACTGGTATGGTCCACCACCATCTTGTTCGCAACAAGTGGCGTTCTCAGGTCGCCTTGGTTGTCGAGACTGCCGAAGCTCGCGAGGTCCATCACATGTGTGTCCTCGTCGGTTATGGTGCCGATGGTATTTGCCCCTACCTGGCTATCGAATGTATCATGAAGATGGCTCGTGAGGGTCTGATCAGAAAGAAGCTCAGCCCTGAGCAGCTCATTGACAACTACAAGCACTCTCTGGATGGTGGTATTCTGAAGGTCATGTCCAAGATGGGTATTTCCACTCTCCAGAGTTACAAGGGAGCTCAGATCTTCGAGGCTCTTGGTATCGACGATTCTGTTGTCGACCGCTGCTTTACTGGTACTGCTACCCGTATCAAGGGTATGACCTTCGAGCTCATTGCTCAGGATGCATTCGCTCTTCACGAGAAGGGCTACCCAAGCCGTAACATTCTGGAGATTCCTGGTCTTGCTGAGACTGGTGAGTACCATTGGCGCGACGGTGGTGAGCCCCACGTCAACGACCCCACCTCCATCGCCAACATCCAGGATGCTGTCCGTACCAAGAACGACAAGTCCTATGAGGCTTACTCCAGATCTGAATACGAGCAGATCAAGAACTGTACGCTCCGTGGTCTCCTCGACTTCGACTTTGAGGATCGTGCTTCTGTTCCCATCGACCAGGTCGAGCCATGGACTGAGATTGTCCGCAGATTCGTGACTGGTGCCATGTCCTATGGATCTATCTCAATGGAGTCGCACTCTACCCTTGCTGTTGCCATGAACAGATTGGGCGGCAAGTCCAACACTGGAGAGGGTGGCGAAGATCCCGAGCGCAGTCTGCGCATGGACAACGGTGACACTATGCGCTCTGCCATCAAGCAGATTGCTTCCGGTCGCTTCGGTGTCACCAGCGCATACCTTGCCGATGCCGATGAGCTTCAGATCAAGATGGCTCAAGGTGCTAAGCCTGGTGAAGGTGGTGAGCTTCCTGGACACAAGGTGTCTGGACCTATCGCTCGCACTCGCCACTCCACTCCAGGTGTCGGTCTCATCTCTCCTCCTCCCCACCACGATATTTACTCCATCGAGGATCTGAAGCAGCTCATCTATGATTTGAAGTGCTCCAACCCTCGCTCCCGTGTCTCGGTCAAGCTTGTTTCGGAGACTGGTGTCGGCATTGTCGCTTCGGGTGTCGCAAAGGCCAGAGCCGACCACATTCTGATCTCAGGTCACGACGGTGGTACCGGTGCCTCCAGATGGACTGGTATCAAGTACGCTGGTCTGCCCTGGGAGCTAGGTCTTGCCGAGACTCATCAGACTCTGGTCTTGAACGACCTTCGTGGCCGTGTCATTGTCCAGACTGATGGTCAACTTCGTACCGGTCGCGATGTCGCCATCGCTTGTTTGCTCGGTGCTGAAGAGTGGGGCTTTGCCACTACTCCCCTTATCGCCATGGGATGTATCATGATGAGAAAATGCCATTTAAACACGTGCCCTGTCGGTATTGCTACCCAGGATCCCGAGCTTAGAAGCAAGTTCAAGGGTACCCCCGAACATGTCATCAACTTTTTCTACTACGTTGCAAACGAGCTTCGTGCCATCATGGCCAAGCTTGGATTCCGCACCATTAACGAGATGGTCGGTCGTACTGAGGTCCTTCGCGTCCGCGACGATCTTCGCAACGCAAAGACCGAGAACATCGATCTTTCTTTGATCTTGACACCCGCCCACACTCTTCGCTCTGGTGTTGCCACCTACAACGTTCGCAAGCAGGATCACAAGCTTCACGTCCGTCTGGACAACAAGCTCATTTCTGAGTCTGAGTTGGCACTTGAGAAGGGCCACCCCTGCCGCATTGAGTGTGACGTCGTCAACACAGACCGTGCTCTGGGTGCTACACTCTCATACCAGGTTAGTAAACGCTACGGTGAGAAGGGTCTGCCCACTGATACCATCCACGCCAACATCCGTGGCTCTGCCGGTCAGTCCTTTGGTGCCTTCCTTGCCCCTGGTATCACTCTTGAACTCGAGGGTGACTGCAACGATTATGTCGGTAAGGGTCTGTCTGGTGGTCGTCTGATCGTCTACCCTCCCAGAAATGCAGTCTTTAAGGCTGAAGAGAACGTCATTGTTGGTAACACCTGCCTCTACGGTGCTACTAGTGGTCAAGCCTTCTTCCGTGGTATGGGTGCTGAGCGTTTCGCCGTCAGAAACTCCGGTGCCACTGCCGTAGTTGAGGGTGTCGGTGATCACGGTTGTGAGTACATGACTGGTGGTCGTGTCCTCATTCTTGGACCTACTGGTAGAAACTTCGCTGCTGGTATGTCTGGTGGTATCGCTTACGTCCTTGATATGCAGCGCGACTTTGAGGGCAAGGTCAACCAGGAGATGGTTGAGCTTTCTCCTCTTGAGGACCCTGCTGAGATCGCTTTCGTCCGCGGTCTCATTGAGGATCATCACCACTACACCGGCTCCGAGCTCGCTGCACGTGTTCTTCTTGACTTCTCGCGTGCCCTGCACCGCTTTGTCAAGGTCTTGCCCACTGATTACAAGCGTGTCATGGAAGAGGAGGCCAAGAAGGCTGCCGAGACCAAGAGAGCCCAGTACCCTCTCCCCATCATGCCTGGCAACGCTGTGCGCTCTCTCCACGAGGACTCTCAGAAGAAGCAACATGAGGCTGAGGCTCACCAGAAGAAGAAGGATGACCTTCTCGATATCGAGGAGAGTGTCACAGACGGAAAGGCTGAGAAGAAGCGTTCGGCTCTTGTCCTTGACAAGACTCGCGGGTTTATGAAGTACCAGCGTCGCTCTGAGAAGTACCGCAGCTCAAAGACCAGAACTCGCGACTGGCAGGAGTTGTCTCAGCGTCTGAACGAGGACGAGCTCAAGTACCAGGCTGCCCGTTGCATGGATTGTGGTGTACCCTTCTGTCAGTCGGATACTGGATGCCCTATCTCCAACATCATCCCTAAATGGAACGAGCTGCTCTTCCAAGGCCAGTGGAAGGACGCCTTGAACAGGCTTCTCATGACCAACAACTTCCCAGAGTTCACTGGTCGCGTTTGTCCTGCTCCTTGCGAGGGTGCTTGCGTTCTTGGCATCAACGAGGACCCCGTAGGCATCAAGTCCATCGAGTGCGCCATCATTGACCGTGGTTTCGAGATGGGCTGGATGGTTCCTTCTCCTCCCCAGGTCCGCAGCGGCAAGACCGTCGCTATTGTTGGTTCCGGTCCTGCTGGTATGGCTGCTGCTGACCAGCTCAACAAGGCTGGCCATAGCGTCACCGTTTACGAGAGAGCTGATCGCATCGGTGGTCTTCTCATGTACGGTATTCCCAACATGAAGCTCGACAAGAACGTCGTTCAGCGCCGTGTTGATTTCCTGGCTGCCGAGGGCATCAACTTCGTGACTGGCGTGTCAGTTGGTGAAGGTGATGTCACTCTTGAGTCGCTCAGAGCCGAAAACGATGCTGTCGTCCTCGCTACTGGTGCCACTGTCGCTAGAGACTTACCCATTCCTGGACGTAACCTCGACGGCATTCACTTCGCCATGCAGTTCTTGCACAAGAACACCAAGTCTCTGCTTGACTCCGGTCTTTCTGACGGCGAGTATATCTCTGCCAAGGACAAGCACGTTGTTGTCATTGGTGGTGGTGACACTGGTAACGACTGTATCGGTACTTCCGTCCGTCACGGCGCCAAGTCTGTTGTCAACTTCGAACTGCTTCCTCAGCCTCCCACTGAGCGTGCTAGTGACAACCCTTGGCCTCAGTGGCCCCGCATCTACCGTGTTGACTACGGTCACTCCGAGGTGAAGACCCACATGGGTAAGGACCCTCGTGAGTACTGTATCCTTTCGAAGGAATTTGTCGATGACGGCACCGGCAAGGTCAAGGGCATCAACACTGTGCGTGTCGAGTGGACCAAGAGCGCTTCCGGTGGTTGGGACATGAAGCAGGTCGAGGGCAGCGAAGAATTCTTCCCTGCTGACATTGTCATGCTCTCCATGGGTTTCCTCGGCCCCGAGGCTCGTGTTCTCGGCGATGATATTGAGAAGGATGCTCGCAAGAACGTCAAAACTCCTCCTGGCAAATACAACACCAACCTCCCTGGTGTCTTTGCCGCTGGCGATTGCCGTCGCGGTCAGTCTCTGATCGTTTGGGGTATCAACGAAGGTCGTATGGCCGCTCGTGACGTCGACTCCTTCCTCACTGGTATGGGAACTCAACTCCCCGTCACTGGTGGTATCGTCAAGAGCCCTCCTTACGAGTTTCTTCACAAGCCCAAGGATGCTCCCGTAGAGCTCGTTGCTGCTGCCTCCTAGAGCAGTGAATAAGACTGAAAACAAAAGTAAACAAAAAAGCTGGTCATACATTCGTTCATGTTACTTTCAAAAATATACCCATAGCGTCGCGGTATAGAGGCGCAGGCGCTAGAGAGAATGTGTATGATACGGGGGGAGAGGTTGAAACGATCTAACGCTGGGATGGAATAAGAGGTTGCCTTTTATTATTGATTTTATGTTTGTAAGCGATTGATTTTTATAGTGATTCTCGCAATGCCAAAATGTTATAACATTCGAACTTGTCGTCTCCCTCCATGACAAAAGTAGAGCAACAAAGAGCTGTAGAAAGGCAAAGTTCTTATCTCGATTGTGGGAGCCTTAACGAACCATCGATGTCTCGATATCTCGGTGGTCGTCGCTGAACGTCGTAGGTCTATCGGACTTCTGTGCACTAATGCATCAAAGCCACAGCAATGGCATGATCAGCTCTATGCTCCACATGTGCAGAATACTGTCACACTCTTTCTGTCAACTTCGTACCGGTCGTGATGTCGCCATCGCTTGTTTGCTTGGTGCTGGGGAGTGGGATTTCGCTACTACTTCCCTTATCGCCATAGGATTTATTACGATGCGGAAATGCCATGCCCTGTCGGTATTGCTACCTAGGATCCTGAGCTTAGAGGCAAGTTTGAGGGTACCCCCGAGCACATCATAGAGCAGGGCAACAACAAGCTGTATAAAGGCACAGTAATATCTTGAATCGATAAGCCTGGTGCAGGGAGTCGTTGACACGAAATATCTCGATGACATCGCTTCAATTTAAGAAAACATTGTGCCTTGAGGCAGCTACATGTGTGACAGCGTTTCGCACACGGGGAGGATGGACGAGAGTAGTGGAGGCGCGTGAAGATAGCGATGCGCGTGCTTGCATAAACCATGCATGACATGAAGCAAGCTACTGCAAAAGCTTCGTGCTCACGCCAATGATCGGCGTCAGCAACACCTCATGTGTTGGCAACCAGCCTGGCGCAGCCTAGGGGTGCCTTGGTTACGGTAAATCACGCGTAAGTCACAACCGTCACCGTCCGGGGTTATTTACCTCATTTTTGCGTAACTTTACCGATATAAACCGTACGAGCTTAGCGAGCAACGTCCTCTTAAGTACCTTATTCGTAGTATTAACTAGTTCGACGATAGATTAAGTAGTACTACTAAAGGAGAATAGTATTTCGAGAGTTAAAAGAAGGGTGTTTTATATAGTATAAGTAGTAGCTCCGGCTCGAGATAATATACTCTTATCGATTATTATACCTCGCGGAACCGACTATATAAACGACTAATTCCTTACTTTTATAGTCGCTAGAAAGGAGACTACTCGCTATTACTATTACGTAGATAAGTACTACGTAAGGAGGTTAGTTAAGAGGAAGTCTACTTACCTTCTATAATATTAATCGTTCCTTAATTATATTAAGGACCTAAATAGGAGACGCCTTAACGGTAATACTTCTAGAAGGTTAACCCTTTAGGTAATTCTATTAAAGTATACTAGAGACTTAAGGATAGAAGTACTAGATAGTAATAGGAATATAGAAGATAAGGTCCGCGAGGAAATAAGACGTTAGAAGTTATATAGACTATTCTTAGCTATAATGCTATAGACTAGTATACCTTTCTACTCGTTTAGTAATAATATATAGAGGGAGCTTTTTAAGGAGCTTAAATACGTACCTCCTAGTAAAGATAAGCTCTCTAGCGAGCTTTTAGAGTTATTATATACTAATATAAAGAAGAAGGTTAATTAGATTATTAACTTATAAGG